GCACAATGCGAACGCGCCCCCGATGTAAGCACCCCAAATCGCATAGCTTCGAATCTCGATTGAGTTTGAGAAGTCCCGCAGTGGGGACGAGAAGCAGGAACGATTCTAGATTGGTAAATCATGCGGCGCGCTGATCGGCAATCCAGGCCAGAGCCGCAGCGAACAGCGCAGGCCCAGGCATGAAATGGGCGCCCAGGCAGTGCGGGCCACGTGGTAGGGCTTAAGATGGACACGAAATACCCCCAATCCGGGCAAGCGGTTGCCAAGAAAAAAAGACCGGGCAAAGGCATAGCACGTGACGAATTGCACTAATAAGCCCCCTAACAATTCTACGCTTTTCTATCACACCACCACTTCCACCACCATTTTCCACCACCACTTTCTACCGCCACTTTCTACCACCACTTTCCACCACCACCACCACCACCACTACCAACCATGGCTCTGGGAGATCAACACTATACTACGCCTCAGAAAGCCGGCCTTCTTGCCGTAGCCGGCTATCTACAAGCCCACAAGATCCCATTATTTAAAGCTGATCTTTACCGCCACTTTGGGATAGGTGAACGGCGTGGTAGGCAGATCCTCCACGACGGTGATGAGCACGTACGGCGGCACTTAGAGGTAGAAACTAGAGGCTGGAAGCCGCTCCTTACACCAGCCAATTTACTAGCCATGGAAAGCATCCTCTGGGAATACGGTTTCCAAGCCCGGGCACTAAGCTGGCAAGGCCTTGCCAGAGCAGCAGGTGCACCACCAACTTCCACACGCACGATCGAGAGGGCCATGGGTACACTAGACTACCGGAAGTGTATTGCTTGCGAGAAGGGCTTTGTTTCCCCTGCCCACGCCAAACGAAGGATGGAAGTAGCCAAGCTTTCACTCTCCTATCGTCCTTTGCCTGAGAATTGGCGCGATATAAGATGGTCAGATGAATCCCACTTTGGTGTATTCCCTGAAGGAAAGATCCAGATTATCCGGAAGCCTGGGGAGCGCTATTGCCCTGACTGCATCCACCACGCTGAAGAGCCTTCTAAAGGCAAGGAGGTTGAGCGATACCATGTGTGGGCTGCTGTTGGCTGGAACTTTAAGTCACCACTACACTTTTATACGGTCCCAACAAACACTAATGGAAAGATGTCCTTGGCTATATATCGTAGTATACTAGAAGAAATGGTAGGTCCTTGGCTAGCACGTGGGGATTCTTTTGTTCTGGAAGAAGATGGGGATTCTGGCCATGGTGGTGGAAACTGCAAGGCTAGTAATATGGTAAGGAAGTGGAAAGAAGAACACCACCTCAAGCACTACTTTAATACCCCTGGATCCCCAGACCTCTCGCCTATAGAAAACTGCTGGCGTGCAGTGAAGCAATTCGTACGTGTACACTATACTATAGGAGCTGATTTGAAGGCACTAATTCTGGAAGGTTGGGAGCGAATAAGTCAGGAGACTATTAATAAGTGGGTGGATTCTATGGTAGTGCGGATGCAGGATGTGTTAGCTGGCCAGGGTCAGATGACTGGTTGGTAGAATACCCAGGTGTGACCTGCTTATAGGTAGGATTCTGTATGGTGGTGGAAGTACCGTGTGGGTAATAGAGGTCTTTTTTTCTGGCAACCGCTTGCCGGGGAACCGATTGACGGCTTGTCTCTCAATCAGTAGCGCCTCAGCTAGGCCGAGCCGCTGACTCCACTCGTGGCCTTGATCTGGAAGGAGTGACTACGCCTGAGAACTTGGAGATCCCGCCAAAGAATGCAGATGCAGATGCAAGCACGATTGCACGCAGAGAAACAAACAACCCATGTGCAAACCACGACGGGCAGCAAGCAAGCAACCCCGATCCGTCTTGTTTCACCTCATGCTAGGCCCGCAAGAGGGAGATTTTGTACTTAGCATTCAGAGCCTGCAGCTGTATGCAGAGAAGGTCTGGGCTGAGCTGCGGAGATCAGACTAGCCAATCAGAAATCAGTATTGATGACCCAACATGTGGCCAAAAACGGCAGCCACAACAGTGACACGGGCCCAATTCCAAGCAGGGTGAATGGCACGCTTGGCGGCAACAGCAAAATAGCTATATACAGTCGCGACATTTCCTTTTGAGAACGGGATTTGATTGGACGTTGGAGCGCTGCACCCAATGGGAGACTTTCTCCAAAAACATGAAACGGGCTCAGCGCTAGGGTGCCCTCCAGTGCGGGGTGACAATTGGGGGAGATGGCTCGCCGAGGGAACCGATGGGAAAAGGCCGTCGGACAGTTTGAACTTTTTTTCTTTTCGCGATACGGATACGCGCTTCGAACTGTATCATTAGGATTTGCTCCCTCCCAGGGCATTCTCGCTGTCAAAGTGCTACCCACCAACCCCACCGGCCTGAATTAGCTGGCTTTTCCAAGAACCAACACCCGCTGCCCGAGCCGTGCAAAAGGGCGGACAATGGAACCAACGCGCGGTGCCCAACCTAGGCGTCCATGTTACCAGGCTCTCCCAGGACTCCGGTTGTGGCGGGGCGATCACTTTAGTCCGTCTGCCTCCGTGTGCTCCCGTTCGGCGCGGCGTCGGACTGCGCACTCGTCTGAATCGAAGGCATCACTTCACGGTTCGTGGCGCATTCTGTTGCATTTCTTTTCTGGGTGCTTGGTGCCCACCTAGGTTGGTAAGGCAATTGAGGCTTGGAGACAATTGAACGCGCCAACGGCCATTTCTGTCCTAATTCGGACTGCTATCATTTGAAGACAGCTGGAATGCCGTTGCACAAGACCAGACCAGCAGACCAACGAGCCCCCTCTCTTCCGTGCCAAACTGCCAAAGTGCCTCCTTGTAGGCGCAACTAGAAGCACACGACTTCTGCGTGTTCTGCAGTCGGTGGTTGACTTTTACTCCCCGCTTTCGCAGGAACGTCTGCATTCCGACGCTCTGGCACACCATTGGATGGGGCAGCGGCTGCCCTGGCTGAACAGCCCAGAGCGCTCTCTCATCAGCCCCGCAGCCCCCTGGTTTGAAAGCAGCAACAGCAGCAACAGCAGCGCAGCGAACGGCGGTCAGGCCAATGGATGGGGGTCAAGTCAAGCACTCAAAGCGCTGCGCCGCTTCTCCAGTCACTGTGCGGGATTCGTGAGGACCGGAGGCAGCTTCGCAGCATTTTGGCACAGGGCATGCGCCGCGGCTCTGGACTCTAGAGCGGACCTCCAGCGCGTGTTCTCGGTGGGTTTCCCCCACTGTGGGAGCCTGCGCCGCCTTCTCTTCCCCAGCTTTACCCTGAGCTGCTGTCATGAGGTGGTGAAGAGGGATCCTCGCCTCGGGCAAAAAGAAGCAGCTTTCGGCATCAAAAATCTTCAACGGCTGTTTGTCCAACTGCCTGCCCGCTGCCAACGACTGCGCTGGTCCTACACTAAAATGCTGCGTCTTCCATCAAGCAAACAAGCATTGCCTTCCGTGTCGGCCAGCTCAGCAGTCGAAGCCTCTGCATCGCCGAGACAAAATATCTAAAGTCAAACAGCTCAGGTTTGTCTAGGCTGGAGTGTCCGCTCCCTCGTCGTGCTCTACACTGGCACAGATATCTACTACTAGGTTAAGGACTGCTGTCGTCGTCTGTGAAGGCGAAAACGAGGGTGCCATCCCAAATCAGGTGCTTCTTCCTAGCTTCGCTGTCCTGTTTCACGTTTTAGACTTGGAGGGGAGGCTAACGCAGGTACTGGACCGAGATTCAGGATGCCCGGGCTGCATTGACGAGTGGTGGGGTAGCAGCGAGTGAAGTGAAGACATCCATCTCTGAGTCCTTGACCCCTATTTTTGCTCCCCTTGCCCTTGGCCCGTGCGGCTGCCTGTCTTTACGTCCTTGCCGCTCAGTCGTCTGCACTCGCCGTAGCGGCGTCTCTTGCCGACTCGCGGTCTTCGCGGGCTCGTTGTCTTGGCGGGTTGCATCCACCGCGGCGCGTGCCCCTCCAGAGTCGTCAGTCTCTTGACAGCAGTTTGCGTCGCTGGCGGCTGCGCAAAGACAAGAGAAGACGTTGCCGCGCCGAGTCCCAACACTGCCGCCAAACGTTGGGCTTGCGGAATCGCGCGCTTGGAACCTTTTTTGGGCTCGACATCAGATGCAAAAGTTGCACGCTTGGCCAAAGTGGGGATGGACGGCACCGGATATAGACCAGGGTTGCTCTGTTAATGGGAGCTTCCCGGCCAGTCAGGATTTTCTGGCGGCCCAAGCCTTGCAACAGGGAATTCCAGAACCGCGCTCGTCAGGATCTCGGCCGCCACGTCCTGGGTTCTGGCCGGCAATGTTACCCATTGGGCCTACGAGCAGGCAGAGTTGTTCATGTTTCATGCTCTCTCTCCCAAGCCAATTTCCCAATCAAGACCAGCCACGGCTGCCACGCCACCGCTTGCTGACCCTGAGCTCATATCTCCCCCTAGCTCGGACCTATGCACACATCGCTCCGCCATCCATCAGATGGGATCTGAGCATGGGAGTCCCGACCCCGGCTCGGGTTTGCGCCATGCGTGCCGAGGTGGGGACACCGCCTCCTGTCCCTGGGTGTGCTGCCCAATTTATTCGGTATATATGCTGCTTAACAGCCTCCCGCGGCCGTCCTGCGTACCTTAATGCCTGGCTTCATGCTCCTTCTTGTGCTGTGCCTTGCTTCAACCTTTTCCGTTCTCTAACCAAGCCGAGTTCTTGCTGTTCTTGTTCCCACGTTCCTTCACTTCGCTTTCCCAGGCTCCGAGCGAACCCCTGGCCCGTTCTTTTCTCGGTATCTGCCATACCGTTCGTCCACTCTCTCTCTATCTCTCGATCCGCCTCGATCCCGGCTTGGTGGCCTGTTTGCGTTCTTTTTATACATATCTTCAGCCAGCGGCAGCAAAGTTGACCTTTTGCCCTTCGTTTCTTCTCCCTCAGCCTTGAAGCTTGGTGGTTTGTATAAGTCATATACGACCGACACTTCTTCATCCCAACAGACACGCATTATTTATATATACACAGTCGTTAGACAAAAAACGCCACAATGCGCCACAACGCCGCACTCAGTTTCCTCTCTCTTTTCTCTTCTCTCGCCGCCGCCACTCAAATCCCAGGCTACCCGGGATTCCATAGCATATGGTCTGATGGCTTCGGCGGTGGCGCTGGCCAGTCTCCCAACGGCGGCCAGTGGACGACGGTGACCAAGTGAGTATACACCAGCCGTACTGTTGCTATCCGCCGGTGTTCTTGCCTTGCTGATGCCTGCTTGTCTCAGCCTCCACGTCAACAACGAAGTAGAAGACTACACAATGTCGAACCAAAACGTGCAACTCTCTGGCGGTGACACGATCCAGTTCGTGCCACACAGGAATGCGTCGGGGCAGTGGACATCGGGCCGCATCGAAAGCAAGGCGACCTTCACGCCGCAGCAGGGCAAGGTCATGATGGTGGAATCGATGATACGGTTCGGCGACGGCCCGAGCGACCGCCAGCAGGGCATCTGGCCGGCATTCTGGATGCTGGGCGATTCTATTCACCACGGCACGGAGTGGCCCCGGTGCGGCGAGCTCGACATCATGGAGAGGATCAACGGCCAGTTCACTGGATATGGCACCACCCACTGCGGCTACTCGAAGTCGGGCGGACCCTGTAACGAGCCCAACGGGCGGTTCGAAACAGTTGCCATTTCAGATAACGGCTGGCACCGCTGGTCCCTCAAGATCGACCTCACCAACTCGGACTGGCGTGCCCAGACCATCCAGTGGTTCTACGACGGCCGCGGCTACCACACCCTCTCGGGCGGCACCATTGGCGACGCGGCCATCTGGGGCAGCCTCGCCCACTCGCCCCTGTTCATCATCTTCAACGTTGCCGTCGGTGGCGATTGGTACGTGTTCCTCTCTCTCAGCTATCCGTCCATCCACTCGTCACCCGTGCTAACACCTCTTGTCTCTAGGCCTGGCCCGCCCAACGGCGCCACAGTCGACAGCTGGAGCAGCATGATGGAAGTCTCGTACGTTGCCGTGTACTCGACATGACATCTCTAATCTCTTTCTTTCTTGGGATATTTAGAAAAGGCGGGGTTTCTCTTTGGATGTTTAAAAATCGCCCGCCTCACAGCAGCACACCACCATGTTGGCCTTTCTATATGTCGTGTCACATCTGGGCGGCGGCGGCGGCGGCGCAGGCGGCTGCGATGGCTTCCATGGCGCCTTATTGTTTTTTTTTTGGCCAGGAGTCGGCGGCGTTCTTTTTTTGGTCTTTTCTTTCTCTTGTCTTCTTCCGATAGGAGGGTACCGGAGACCACACACCACACCACAACTTTTGCATAACCCTTTTTGTTTACCCTTTACATTCTCATGATACCTTCTTCAACTACATTTTTTTTCTCCCATTCTTTCCACGCACTGCCACGCATCCGCTCCCCACCTCACCTGGGTGGCCGTGTCTGGCCTACTTTTGTCGTCTTCTCTTCTCTTCTTGAACATTTATACAGCTTTGCCTTAGGGCTCCTCAGGACTCAGAGTCCGGCTGCGGGTTGGCAGACAGATGTCCGCCGCGCATGGGTATATTAGATAGGCGTTTGTCAAAAAAGAGCCTTATATATACTAAGCTATACTCTGTATCTTCCTTGGCGTTTTTACAGACATGTCCTGCAACGTGTTTACTGTTTATTGCGTTCGCACAGACATGCCCTACAATGTGTTTACCGTTTTTTTCGTTCACATAAACACGCCCTGCAATGTCCCAGCAACGCCAGCAAGTCTCTGGTGTTCACCCTCTGCTTGTGCAACGGCCGAGCGTGTCTGGTCGTCCATCATCCAGACCCAACACCACACAGAGAGGGCGTGGCTTTGCAGCACGTGCTTTGGCTGTTTCAGCACAACGAATATTGTAACCATCTTTCCGTCTTGGTTTAAATTAAGCCGTTATATACGTCTCTCTCTCTCTCTCTCTCTCTCTCTCTCTCTCTCTATGCGTGCGTATATGTATGTGCTAGGCTTCCTCAGCTTTCCCAAACCCTCTCCACAACAAGGCCGGGATATCCCTTCATCCATAAAAACAGTTCCCTTACACCTCGTGCCCCCACCCCAGTCGTGCTGTCTCGTCGGCTCCGCCCAAGGAAGAGAAAACCTCCACTTCTTCTCAAGTCTTTTGCATCCACCGGCATCTCCATAATGTACCTAGTAATCAAGTTTTGGGACAAAACTAAACATCGAAAGACACAAAAAACATTGTGGTAGAGTGGTCTAATGCGCAAGACTAGGAATCTTGTCTCTTCGGAGGCGTCTGTTCAAATCAGGCCAATGTCGTGAATCGTTGTTGTCGGAACGTGCAGACTAGGAATTATTTCGTATCTTTTTCTACCCTTTTGTCCCCCACATTTTTGCGTTCGTTTGTTTCTCACTACACATTTTTCATCTCCGGGATGTGGAAAACATTGTTTGTTCTTCATTTGATGTTACCAAGGTGTCGCGATTGCCTTATCTAGTAAGCCGCGCTGCGTGCACAGTGCAGTGCAGTCTAATTACAGCCCACGGCTCCATCCCAATCACGCGCCGCCGTTAGGCAAGGTAAGCTGGCCTTCCCCGGAGGGATCCGATGCCGATCACTATGATTGGCGACGCACGACTAAAAAGTTCAAAACTGTGCTCGCTGGATATCGATACTGTGTACTACACGAGCTGACATGGATTTGCAAGCCCCCAACTGCATGTCGCCTTTCTCGGGCGCGCGGACTGCCCCCGTCCTTAGTGGGGCTCACGGGTGGTGGTGAGGCCGAGGCGGATGGTGGTGGGACAAGGCGGCATTCTCGTTAATAATTAGCGAAAATCAAGGGTTCAATGGCTGTTTGGGATCGGCGGCGTGTGTGATGGAGACGGTCTAGCGTGGCGTTTTTGGATATAAATGTCTCAAATGAGACAGATGCCTACAATGACGTGAATGTGAATGAGGCTGACGGCCTCTCCGCGATTCGCAAGAGAAGGGTGTTGCGGAGGAAGGGAGGGGGCTAGGTGACCGCCAAATTTGCAAACATGAGACTGTTGGTTCAGGGAACTCAGCACCTCACTTGGCTGAACAAACCTTGCTACGGTTCTCAGTCACCCCCGTCGGGCGTGTGAATCACGATGTGAACCGCCCCACGGACAGGGACATATCGAGTAAAACAGCGATCCTTTTGACGCCCGCTTCTGCAAACCATTGGTAGCACAGGTACAGTGCCTGCGAACCACCACGCTCTGTAGTGGCTGCCAGAGACCAGTAAGTGGACGCCACGATGTGGTCGGAACGAACGGGCCGAAAGGTGCTTGATTTCAATTTTTGAGCTGTGTGTCTCACTCAATAAAGAAGGGTGCATAGGGGACACACTTGTTCGAAATCTCATTGCCTAGTTGCTAGGTAGAGCTGCACGCGCACTCCGGGCCGCGGATAGCGGTTGCTGCATCTTGTCCATGATCGTCCTAAAGATTGCCTGTATGGATTATCATAGCTTTCATTCCGGTCGAATGCCAAAGGCCACCACCACCGCCACCACGCCCGGCAGCCGCACTCGACCGCTCTCGACTAGCCCTAGTGGCCACTCCTGGCCTTGATCAAGTCTGCCACCTTCTCCGCGACCGCATACACGGTCGCCTGGAGCGCGCCGGATACGGTGAGTGGCATCATACTCGCATCCACAACACTCAAGCCATCGACGCCGTACACTTTCAAGTCGGGACCAACACAGCCGCCGAGATTTCCGGGCATCATGGCGCAAGTTCCTGATAGGTGTCCGAGGGAGGGCCATAGTAGAAGCTGGTTGGTCGTGAGTGCCGTCTGAGCAAGGAGCCGTCTGACAACGGCTGCCGCATCCGCTGCCGTACTCAGCTGCGGGCGTGAAAAGAGGATAACCGTGGTTGCACCCGCCGCCGCTATGGGGCCGGTCTTGTTAGCAAGATACTCGGCCCAGACGGTGGCATTGTACGTTGCATTGGTGAAGATGGCACTGGGGTTTAGTAACGAGGGGTTCGCCAAATCGAACGACATCATGGTAGTTGCGTGGTCTTGGAGGTTGGCGCCCACAGCTGGCGTGTCTCTCTTGACTGGGATGGCGGCCTCTCTAAGAACGTCTCGTGACCCAATGCCGCTGACTTGCAGCAGTTGAGGGAGTCCAGTACGCCCCTGGCCCGCCGCCAGCATTGCCGCCAACCGGCACCACGAGACCAGGCTAGTGTCTCAGCGCGTCCCAAACGGAAGCGATATCGGGATACTGGAAGCTCGGGATGTGTGTATGCAGCGGGCCATGGCCATGGACCGACGGGTCAAAGGTGATGTTCCATTGCCGGATGGCCTCGAGATAAGGAGGCGTAAACGTCGTACTTTTGCTGAAGCATGGCAAGAGCCCTTGCCAGCCCCAACCGGTGTTTCCCAGCTCTTCCCAGGCGTCGTAATCAATCTTGCCGCCTCGAATATAGCCCATGCCATTAACCACCGAGCCACCGCCCATAACGGCTGGAACAGTGACCGAAAACGTGGAATTGTTTAGTCTAGCTTAGGCACAGACTCGGGGTTGATCAGGACGCTTGTATGCAGCAAATTTCCATACCATGGCACAATGGCCTCTGGTTTGTTGTCAAAGTAGCCTCGCTCAATGATGAGTAAGGTGCCTATTTGAATAATCTAGTGTCAACAAGACCCGGCACAGAACTGAAGTTGAGAAAGGGGCTAGTTCTTACGGCGACGATCTTCAGTCAAGCAGCCGGCAACCACAAGACCAGAAACACCGCCACCCACCACGATGTAGTCGTAAGTGTTTGCATCAACCGGACCATTGTGAGAGTCGCTGTCGGCTCTAACAAAGCCAGAGAGGTAACACGCCAAAGGCAGAGATAACACGGCATTGAACGTGGCCTTCATGGTTGATCGAAGCGATCGAATGCGACAGTTCCAAGCTGGGCGGCGACTTGAAATGAATGAGAGAACCTTTTCTCCCTGTTTCGCGAGAGCGTGTTGCCATTTTATTGCTAGGTGCTGGTCACGTCCCGTCTCGTGATTTCGCGATCCCACCGGCCAAGTGATTATCTCATGTAACAGTGGACCAATTTTAAAAGACTTGGCTTCAGGCTTTAGCTTACCAAATACTGGTCTAACAGCTGCATCATTCATAAGTACGGAACGGTCGGTAGTTGGGTGGAGGGCTGTCCCGTGCATCCCGCTGTTGCATCGATGGACACCACACTTTCGCTTGGAAAGGAGGGTAAGCTTCGTCAGCACGCAAGGCTCATCAACATCCGATGATACCTTTCCAGGTGCCGGTGCCGGGGATGAGTATCAAGATGCCCGTGGTTAGATAGCGACTCGCTACCGGAACTAGGTGCCTCCATATGCTGGCCCTAACCAGGACTGGTCTGAGAGAGATTCGGACTGTCTCGACAAACGGATCTGTGGCTGCGGTGCCCCAGTTTAGCAATTGATTGCAGCATTGACAGTTGATCAACCCAAAAGCTAGACGACGAGACAAGACGTGAGATCAGTTTGACCTCTTGATATGAACTTGTCGCTGAGTATTAGATAGGTAACTAGCTATATGACCGTGGAGATACTGCGTTTGGCTATCATTATAAATGGGCAGGGTTATCAGCGCAAGCCCCAAGAACTCACAAGAAATTGAATCACAATGTCGTAGGTAGAAAGGGCTAAAGTAGCCAGAGCGAACGAAACAATCACATGTTGGGGGTATCTAGGCAGTCGTCCAAGAGTAGGCAGGTAATCGATCCTGCCTGTCCAGACTTCGGTTTCTGAATATCAAAAGTCGCAAAATTGTGGCACCCTTTGGACACAGTCCCGGATCCCAAGGTCGTGGTTAAGGTGAGGTAGGAGCCGGGCTAAGTCTCCTGCGGGATTCGTGCATTTTCTGCAGGTGTGGTCAAGGTTTCGACCGCGTTCGAGCGCATTGGACGGCATCGGGGTTCGGACGGCAGCTACCGAGATATCCGACTCGATCCCAAGCAGTTGAGTAATCAAGACCAATCAAGTGCCTGGCGATGCAATAGGTAAAGTAGGCAGTAGTAGTAGTATGGAATTTGTTGGAGGATCTAACCATCTAGGACCCCCCGGTAAAATCCCTATTCGAGCTGTCCTCAGTTGGAGATTGAGATTGGAAGCCTGAATGGAAGTTGGCCTACTTGGAGGTTGTTCTGGTGTGCCTTCCTTCGATATAAGGTTGTTTATCTGGGTGGATTCCGCAACTTCGGCATCTTGGTGCCGGATGCCCTTTCCTTCTGGACCCTAAAGTTCCAGGCAGCAAACTCTGTTCGTTGTGGAATGCCCTATAGAACGAAGACGCCATCCATGGGATGAGTTGATTGCCTGTCATAGCGAATGCCGGTCATAGCGAACCGCGACGTTGGGAGTGCGCCTGACGTGAATTTCCTGATGTTGGTCGCTGTGGTGGGCAAACACGTCCCTTTATTATCAAGGGTCTTTGCAGGCGCCTCAGCAGCCTCTCGGAGCTGGGGAATTTGATGTGTCACTTTCCTCCCCAATCTCCATCCTCGACTTGACTCTTTCGGCTTCTTTCTCCACCCCCGCCTTGGATCAAAACCCAAGGATCCGTCGATCCTTCCTGCCCTGTCCATTCCTGGCTGGTTTGCCCTCGTTCTCGTCTGGAGGTGGAAGGCGCAAAGGCCAGCCGCTCGCCCACAGCAATGGGACCGGGACCGAGGGTCTCAGGGTCTCACAGCCTGCAACGCTGGTGAGTCGGGTCGGGTCGCCGGACTGGAACAATGACACAAAGACGCGCCAGTGCAGCCGAGTCTTTTAATAGGTCGGTGCTCGTTCGCAGATGCCGTGCCAGGCAGCGAGCGGTACACGGCAATCTTCTCGGCTAGGATTGATTGGCTGGCATGCCACCTGAGATTGCGGCCGTGGCGGTCTGGAACCCATCCATGGATCACCCCAGGTTTTCAGGCCGGCGAGAGCGAGCACACGCCTAAGCAAGCGTCTTGCAAACTAAGGTAGGTACCTCGGGATGCCGTTGCAGCAGCCACGGGTTGAGGATACAGACGCCGTCCTGGTTGGGCAACGTCTGCGACATGGCCCTATTGGTCGAGCTGCATTTCCTCGTCCAACCCATTCCTATCGCATTGTCGCGCCCAACTCTGCTCTTCACATTGTGGCTTGCACAGCACCCGATCCTCGGAGGGCCTTCGATCGTCGTCGATCATCTACCCAGGGCACCTCTCCGTCTCAGCTCGCCCTATGGTTCTGATTGCTTTTTTTTATGCTGCTGATCAGCAACCCCGGTTGAAATACTCATGACCACCCGCTGATGCTAATTCGTATCTCATTCTCTCTCGTTCCCCCTCTCAAAAGCCCCTCCAGTTCTCCATTCTCTCCCTCTCTCTCTCCCTTTCTCTCTTTTCGCTTCTATGGAACTGCCTTACTGCCTTGGCAGCAGCTTTGCTTCAGTCTGCTGAGGGTTTCCTGTGGCGTCAGTCCCCGCCAGCTCACTTCAGCTTCTCACTGTCTCGGGCGGTTGCCTTCAACCGCGCGAAGGACCCCTTGATGCCGAGCACCCATTGCTTGGCGTCGTTTGCCGTCACCTAATTAAGGTAGAATACCTAGCTGATTGAAGCCCAATTTCGTTCATTGCATTCCCCCGTGACAAGCTTTCGCCGTCAGTACGGATCTCGAGGCCCCATGTCTCTGCCACAGACAATAGAAAGAGTGTTTCCCATCCGCCTCTCAATCCTTGAGAGCTCTCCTTTTCTTCGGAACGTTTCCGGTACGCACGCCCCTTCATTCAAGTCGTTCTATTTTGGTAATATTTCCCACGTATCTTTATCAAGGGCGTCGGATGGTACTGGCTCTGTGTGCTGATTGATGAATCAAAAGATACCGAGGATGCACTATCTGGGGTCCAAGTGATCGAAAAGCCTGTTGACCCTCGTATCGTCCTCGAGACGGTTGAGCATACCCAGACAGCACCCGAACCGCCAGCAGACGCTGCAGGAAACGGCCACCTCGAGTCGTATGAGCCACAAGATATCCCCGCGACTCCAGAAGTGATCATAACGAACGGCTCAGATGACCCGGGCGACCATAGAGATCGCGTAGAGCCTTCAGACCCACTGGTGACTGACAAGTTTGAATACGCCGTCTTGAGCGATGGTTCTCATGGGGTCGTCCAGGGCACTCGCCGCGCCTTTACGCGCTGCGAGGATGAGCTTATCCACATTCCCGGAGCTGTCCAGTCCTACGGAATGCTCGTCGCACTGAAGCGCCAGAACGACGGCTTATACGTGCCTCGTATCGTCAGCGAAAATAGTCACTTCATTTGCAGCTATCGTGCCGATGAAATATTTGCGTTTCCGAACTTCGACCATGTCATGCCGCTGTTTCAACGTCCGCTTTTCAACGCACAACTAAGCAACATACGTCGTCGCTACGAGGCCAACATGGACGAGCGCGAACCGGTCGTCTTCGCCTTCTCCTTCTTTGACGCCCAGAGCCGAGTGATACCGTGCTGGTGTGCAGCCCACTACATTGGCCCCGACGTGGATCTTTATGTGTGCGAGTTCGAGCTCCAGGACTTCTCGATGCACCCCCAAGCAGATATTCTGCGCTCTCATCAGCTCAACCCTGTTGATACCCTTGGCAGTGACCACATGGACATGGCTACGGTCTCGAGCATGCATTCCAGAAGCCAGCCAATCTTTTATAGCCCTGAAACTCTTGCCTTGGCGTCTGATCCCGCTTCGTCGTCACTCGAGATTGTCGGCGTCGCGACCAAGATCCAGAAACAGTTCTCGGAAGTCAAATCCGTCACTACCCTTCTTGACGCCATTGTGGGAGTTGTCAGCGAGCTCTCGGGATTCCACCGTGTCATGGTCTACCAGTTCGACGAGGCTTTCAACGGTACCGTTGTGGCGGAGCTGATGGACCCAGTGGTTAGCCAGGACGTCTACAGAGGCCTGCACTTCCCTTCAACGGATATTCCGCCCCAAGCCCGGAAACTCTACATGCTCAACAAAGTCCGGGTCCTATTCGACAGATCACAGCAGACGGCAAGGCTTATTGGGAGAGACAGTTCTGACATTAACGTGCCGCTAGATCTGACTCACGCTTACCTGCGTGCCATGTCGCCCGTTCATCTCAAGTACCTGGCGAACATGGAGGTGCGCTCCTCCATGTCCATGTCCCTGGAATCTGAGGGCACTCTGTGGGGTCTCATCGTCTGCCATTTTTACGGCCCCACGGCCACTCGGGTCCCCTTCTCAATCCGTGAGCTCTGCTACTTTGTAGGAGTTGCGGCCTCGACATGCCTCGAGAAGCTCCTCAATTCCGACAAGCTTCAAGCCCGTCGCATCATCAACACCCTTCAGGAACAGAAGAATCCAAATGAGTGTATTACTGCTTCCTCGGAGGAACTGCTGACCTTGTTCGAGGCCGATTGCGGCTTCCTTGTCATCGAAGGAGAGGCGAGAACCATCGGGCGGCTAGCATCCTACACAGAGGCTGTGACGCTGCTGAAATACCTTTTTTACCGGCGGCCAAATAAGATCCTCTTCTCGAGCAATATCAGTGCGGACTTCCACGACCTCCACTATCCTTCTGGCTTCAAGTCAATCGCCGGAGTGCTATATATTCCACTATCCGGGACCACTGATGACTGCGTCGTATTCTACCGCCGAAACCAGCTCCGCGAGGTCCACTGGGCAGGTATGCCATCCCTCGCAGGAAAGTTTGGAAGGCTCGAACCTCGGAACAGCTTCAAAAAATGGACCGAGGTGGTCGATGGGACAAGCATGGCCTGGACGCCGGAACAAGGTAGGTCTGCCGCTCCTGGGACTCCCGGTCGTTTCGTTTTACTTATCCTGCTCGTAGCTGATATTGCGGCGGTGGCTCAACTTGTCTACGGCAACTTTATCAGAGTGTGGCGAGAAAAAGAATCGGCCGTCAAGGAGTCACGGCTTAAACGCCTGCTTCTCCACGATGCCTCTCATCGAGGTTAGGATGATCCAATACCGCGAAACGAACTCGGGCTAACCAACATTTTACTTCAAGTGCGGACGCCATTGAATGCTGTCATCAACTATCTTGAGATGGCTCTGGAGAAGCCGCTTGAGGATAGCACCAAGCAAACTCTGCTGACCTCGTACAAGTCTTCAAAGACATTGATCTATGAGATTGACGACCTCCTCAACTTGACTGGCAGCACTACGGGCTCCACCCCGCAGCTCTGTGAGCCTTTTGATCTAACTCACTGTTTGGAAGAGGCTCTCGACCCTTTGAAGCGGCTTGCCGGAGACAAGGGGATCGAGCTGGTCTTGAGCACCTGCTCGGGGGTTTCGCGATATCTACGCGGAGATTCTCAAAACCTTCAGCGTACCGTTTCAATTCTTGTTGCCAACGCAATCGAACATACAACTAACGGAAAAGTCCATGTTGAGTGGAGCGAAATACTTAAGAAGCCCAAGAGCTCCGTCACACACATTTCCGTCACCGACTCTGGTCCCGGCCTGTCGGAACGCGAACTTGATGACATGTTTCAAGAGTTCGAGCAGGTCCCGGACGAAGACTTTGATGAGATTTCGGGGCAAATTTTCAGACACAGAGAGGATGTACTTCGCGTGGGAGTCGGTCTGGCCTTTGTTGCGCGGTTCGTCAAGAAGAGGGACGGCCAGCTGAAAGTAAGCTCAACCAAGGGCCACGGCTCTACCTTTACAATCGAGGTCCCCTTTGCATTTGCATCGCGCGCCCCGTCTCTAGTTTCTCGCCGCGACGCCTCCCCTCTTCCAGCCCTGCCCATGCCAGACCGGCCGTTGTCGAGGTCCATGAGACCAAACTCGACGTCCATAGCCACGCCGGGCGGCTCGTCAGGCGCCAGGGCATCGCCAGCGACTGTCGCACCAACCCCCGCCATTTCTCTAATGGGAAGTGTGCAGACACCAACTACGCATTGCCTCACCGTCATTGTGGCAGATGACAATATCATCAATGTCCAGATTCTCAAGCGACGGCTAAGCAAGATGGGCCATCGGGCTCTAGTCAGCCGAGACGGCCAGGAATGTTGGAACACATTCATGTCAAACCAATCTACCATCGACTTCATACTGATGGATTTGAATGTGAGTCTAATATCCCTGCTCGTGAACGTTGCTTTCACATCACGTACCTCCACCACCTAGCTCAAAGGCGCCCCACTCTTAGCCTACTAGTCAAGAAGCCTTTCTCATTTTTCACTGCCATATTTCCTTTGAGGCATTGCTAATCCGCGTGTTACCACACAGATGCCGGTTGTCGACGGTTGGGCATCGACCTGTCTGATCAGAGAACATGAGCAGAATTTCCCTTTACCTTCGCGTGCGGTGCAGTCTTGTGGCCGCACCCCCATTTTTGCCGTCTCCAGCATGTTGAAGCGCGGCGAGGAACCGCGATTTCTGGATGCGGGGTTCGACGGCTGGATGCCCAAACCCATCAACATGCAAATGCTAGGTACCTATCTCGCAGGGGCACTGGATTGCAACACGCGGAATCAAGGCGAGTACAGCGAGGCGATGTTCGAGCTAGGCGGGTGGTTTCCGCAGTGCCCGCAGAGTCAGGCTCATTCAGAGGTTATCGCCACCACCACGCCCGACATATTTGCAGGAGATGTCGGGGATTGGAATTGGGAGCCTTCCCCGTTCCCCGAAACCCTTTTTCCTGTTCCTCTCGAGGATTTTACTATGTCGGTGCCTGCAGCTGGTCTCGAATTTGTCCCCGACGTTGACCTTGAGCTCGTTCCCGAGATTAGCCATGAAATGGCCCTCGACCCTGAGGCTAACCTCCATCTCGTCCCAGACCGCTTTCGAGGGGCCGACCATGAAGTGGCTCGGGAGGTGGGCCGGGAGGTAGCCCCCGGAATAGCCCCCGAGGTAACTACTGAAGTGCTCACAGAGGCGGTCCCTGAAGTGACCTCTGAAGTGGCCCCCGAAGTTGCCCCTGATATTGCCCCTGATATTGCCCCTGAACTCCTTGAAATTGCTTCCGATTACATTGTCAAGGTTAGGCCTGAGGGAATAGCACCAGCTGGGGCTCCAGAAATGGCGCCCGATACTGTCTCTTTCGCCCCATTGAATGAGACGAAACTCGAGGCGGAGGACGACAGACAGGCAAAGGCTATGTCCTGGCCTTGACGATTGGCTTGAGCATGTCCTGCAGTGGCTGGGGGAGATGGGTTTGAGTATAAGCAGCCAACAAATCCGCGCTGTCTTTGGACAGTTCCGCCGCCTGCCTACCAACTTAGAATAGTAGTATGTTGTTTACTGCTCAATACGGGTGCCTTGCAGTTCAATCACGACAAGACAATATGACCAGCCTTGCTCTTTACTCCATTTCCACATAAAACTGGGTGATATCCGTGCCATCCGAGAGCCTTTACGACCCATTTAAAAAACCTCTGCTCCTTAACCAGGCAAATTCTAGAATTGACTTGCCTAGCCCCCTCAGTTATCAGGACTACGCACATGGACAAAGCGGGCAGCCCTGGCGGCAACAAAGTCACAGGCGAGGAAACACGAAGGCTTTCAGAGAAAATAGCCATCAGTCATCAATTTTCTCATTCGCAGCGCGCAGTAAGTACTAAGTCATCTATGGGAGATCAATGAAGGAGAAAAAAAACCAGCGGGCGACTTCTGACAAGCTCCTGGGTTGGGTGAGAAATCCCAGCAGCCACAGCAAGCTTCGTCACACCCAATCCATGCTTCAGAACAAGGTACTCGTCAAGGCCAAGAGGGCAAAAAAACCACCCCGACCCAGTTGCGTGCAACAATGAGGCCAGAGGGGCTTTAGGATCCAACCCTGACCAGCAATAGGCCTATGTCTTTACCTTTCAGAGAAGTCCGCATGGCCAGCGGACAACAATAAAAACAACAACAGTATGCAAAAGGAGCAACGTCTAAGAGAACAGCGAGGGGGTGGCATATTTATGCAAGCAAACTAGAAGCAAATATCGCAGGATGAAACACAGCTCAAAGGACAAGCCAAAATATGGGACGGACAGGGTAGTAGATAGCGAGTAGCAGCGAAAAGCAGCTCGATAGTAGATAGTACTAGTGGTAATAGTAAAAAATAAGTGTTAGATACAGAGTCGACACCCTCCCCCCTATGGCGTAGTAATTGTGTGATGAGTGTGTGTGTGTGATGGGTGTTTGCGTATGATGAGTATGTGATGAGTGTGTGATGAGTGTGTGTGTGCATGTGTGTGTGTTGTGTGTATGTGTGGCATTGCTCGATTTGAGCGCCTCAAGTACAGCAGCGAACTAGGCGGGACGGAAAGGGAGGGAAGAAAACACCACTCAGATATTTCGGAGACAGAACTGGGAAAACCGAAAAAGGAGAAAAACAAATATGAAAGACCGCGGGCCAAGAACGAAAGGCCACCGTTCCAGCCTAGTGTAAAATAACAAGTCAATCGCCCCCTCCAATTGCCGCTTTGCTCCCGCCTCCTTTCTCCTCTTCATCACAGAAAATTTGCTGTGCATGCGTGCGTCGGAATTGCATTTCTCAGTCAGAAGCCGTGCGTAGACGTCTCTCCGCTTCTTTTTTGTGTCGTGGCTGTTTCGTCCGATCGTCCTTTCTTTTTTCTTCTTCTGCCTTCGTCTCAGCCACCTTGCCCAGAGTCAGACTACTTTTTCGTTGCCCTGTGATTCAAAACATAACGCTACGGAATTGTATGGCGGAAAAGGAAATGGTAAAAATGCGATATTAAGGGGGTCGGGAGAGGGAGATACATGGGTTGCCGGGCCCGGAAGAGTTGTGGACCAGCAACCATGCAAGCGAAGCCAACCAAACACCACATCCAGCTCGAACAATTCTTCCAAAAGGAAGAGAAAATAATGTTAAAAATGACTGTTGATAAGGGACATGTTGGAACAACATCAGCCCCGGCATCAGCCCCGGCGTAGGGAGAAGAATTGGAAAGACTGCGAGATGAGAAATGAGGGAAAGGAAATAAAGCCCAGAACAAGCGCCCCAGGCACCGATTCGCAAAACCCAGCCCATATGAAGGAATGAGAGCCTGAAAAAAGCCCGGAAAACATGTATTTGCGGAAAAACTGAAATCATGCTACCGAGTGCGAGCTCGATAGATCATCCACCGAGTGTGGGGAAGTATGGCGGCAGGAGAGCCGAAAATTCTATCAAAGCGAGGTATCGAGATATTTCTTCGAGAAGGGTTCGACGAGGACTTAATTGGTTGTCCACTGTTTGAAGCCGTATTCGAGCGATATGTTGAAACGAACCAAGATGATTCTCCTAAAAAGCTCCAAGAATGCCTTTCTGGATGCCGACGACGAGATTGCCTCCTGCTTGTCGACTCCTGGTTATTCTGGGGGGTCGCGAAGGAGTGATTGGCCGAACAAGGGGGATTCCTATTCCGCCCCAATCTCGCCTCCCTCCATGAACCCTCCAGAAAAGTCAAACGCGCCATCCTCTCCGCCATTGCTATCATGCAGGAAGGAGTCAAAGTCAAATTCGGCCAAGACATTGTCCGACACAAGAGGGTTAGCAAAATCCAGCTGGTTGTAATCCTGTTCCGTGTCAGTGAATCTCTAGACTGGCAGAGGCATGAAAGAAAGAAGGGTGGCTTACAAGTCCGTTGGTCATGAAGTCGTTCGCTTGGGTCGGATCCGCATGCTGAGGAACTGGCACAGGAGGCGCTGCCGCCGGCGGTACAGGTTGCGCAGGCTGTCCGTTCGCGATAACCTGTGCAGGCACGTTCTGGTTCTTTGCAAAGTTTTGCGGGTTTGGAGTCATCGGAGTTGCCGGAGCCTGGTTTTCCGGCGCCGGTTCCGGTTCGGCAGCGGGCGTAGCCGCAGCATTGAGGTTCGCGTTGGACTTCTTTTGAGCAGCATTCTGTGGGTTGTTAGGTCAAGGCTAAACGGTCATAGTTCAATGATAGGCGACATACCTTGCTCTTAGCGCTCTTAGTATCCTTCTTCTTGGGAGCGGCCTTGTTAGTTTGCTGTGGGGTCGGAGGCGCGGCATTGCTCGTCTGCGGCGACGATGTAGTGTTGCGCGAGCTAGCAGCAACAGCTGCCGCTTGGGGGGCCGACGGTGGAGGCATTGACCGTTGCTGCGGAGTGCCCTGAACCTGAGGCTGCGGGCCCGGAGCATTCTGGCCGCCCTGTTGCTGCCACTGCATGCCGGGGCCGCTCTGTGCAGCAGCTTGCTGCGCGCGCTGTGCCGCCAACATATGTTGCGGGTTCATCTGCCCGGCGAACTGCGGTCCGGGGTGCGAACTTGGCGGCCGCATGCCACCATTCATGGGGGTGTTGAAGAAATGCTGCTGGCCGCCGCCGTTGGGGTCCATATTGCCGCCCATGAAGTTCATCGAGTTGGGCGAGCTCCGCGACTGTGCGCCGCCATCCGGTACCGGGGATCCCACGTTTGCAGGATTGTTCATTTGCTGATTTCGCTTCATCTGGTCTGAAGAATTCGGCGAGGCGCCGCTCCGGCCTCCAGGTGGAGAGTTGCCTTGAAAGGACTGGGCATTTGGTACAGGGGCGCCTGGAACGCCAGGGGCGCCTTGACCATCAGGACGGACCATGCCGCCACTGATATCCTGCTCCTGCCGAGCCATCATGAGCCTCTTCTTGTTCTGCTGCTCAAGCAGCATCAGCTGCATCTGGTAGTCTTGCAACGCATGGTTGCTCCCGCTTGTCGCCTGCCCGTTACCGGGACCAGCACGCATGTTATTGGGGGCCATGTCACCGGGGTTGTAGAACTGGCCAAGCGCGGCACCATCGGGTCCTTGAGGCACCAAGGGTGAGCCTTGCGGCTGAGGTCCGCCAGCAGTCGCCATGGGTTTGTTGGGCATTTGGTTGCCGTGGTGCTGCTGGAGGTTAGCCGCGTACGAGGCAATAGACTTGGCTTGTGCATTTGGGTTTGAGGCGGCAAAGGACTGCAGCTGTTCAGAGTTCAGCGAAGTTGGGTTGATGCCGTTTTGAAGGAGTAATGTTCGCGCTGAATCAGGGCCGCTCCCTACCTGCTGCTGGCCTGGCATGCCCTGCGCTGGTCGACCGTTGGGCATCATGACGTTGGGGTTGGGGTTGAACTGGGCGCCGTCCAGGCGTGGCCGCTTGGATGGTGAGGGCGCGTTGTCAGTCGAGCCTGGTGATGCCTGTCTGGCGCGGTTTCCATCCATATCCGAAGGGTCCCGCTGCATCTGACCGGCTGCCTTTTGTTGTTGGAGCATCTGCATGGTCTGAGGGCTAGAGAAGAGGCAGGCGTTAGCCATGAGATAATAAAGCTATTTGATACGTAGAGAGAGGGAAAGGGTATAATTAACGTACTTCTGGTTATTTGCCATGGCCGCTCTTTGTAGCTGGTTTCCAGGCTTCATGTTCATGCCGCCATTCTGCATCCCCCTCATCATGTGCTGCGGATACTGCTGGTGGGTAAATTCGGGGCGGATTTGCCGCAGCATGGTCTGCTGGTCCTGTTGCCGCATCCGCGATTGCGCCTGTGCGAAATGTTAGTAAGCTGTTCAGGCCGCCATCGAAGCGTTCTGATTACGTACCTGAGTATGCTGGACGTATTGGCTAACGTGCGCGATTGTGCTCTTGCCCTTTTGCGAGTTGAACATGTCCCAGAAGAGGCAGAACCACTCGTACAGAAAGCAGGTATCTGGTACGCGCGTGGTCACGTTGGGTGCGGGCAAATCGAGCGGGCGCTTTCCCATACCGCTCTTGCTATCCGTGTCCATGGGGTCATCGCCGAGACCGGCGCCAGGCTCGTCCCGGCGCTGATCGAGGCTCTCCTTACTCACGTGGATCTGGTCGTCGGCGTGGTAGAGCGCGCGGGCGGGCTCCCACATGCCATAGTGCACGAAATACTCGTAGATGTAGGTGTTGAGCAGTGTCCGGCTGGCGTCGTTGAGTCTCAGCGGTGTTGCCTGGGGAGGGAGTGCGCCATTATTCATCATTGGCATGGGGCCGCCAACGGGACCTCCCATGGGGTTCATATTGGCCATATTAGCCATGCCGGCCATGTTGTTCATAACTGGCGGTAGGGTGCAGACGTCGGTCTGCTGGGAGGCGGGATGATGGGTATCGAGGGGTACAGGATGATAATCAGGCGCGTGCAGGCGCGAAGCGTGTCGTGTGCGACGGCGCTGCAATTAAAAAGCCGAATGCGAAATGATTTGGTTCGCCGGTGGCCGCCAGTGGGACGACGCAGTATGTCTAGCCCCGGCGACAGGCGTCAGATGTGGTGTCGGGGATGGGTCGAGGCCTGGCGGGAGCCAGCTCGGCGACGTGTCGAGGTGGAGGCGCGGAGGTGGAGGTAGAGGTGGAAGCAGGAGCCAGGCCGGGATAAGAGGCAGGCAGCCAGGCGACAGCGACGACAGCGTCGTCAAACTGTCGGGATGGAAGTTTAGGTGGGTGGGAAGCGCAAAGGCTCGAGCGAGAGCAAATGCGTCGAATTGGGGCGACCAGACGGGACAGACGGGGGCTGGGCGACAGTAGTGGTGTGGGATGATGAGTCCCAAAATGGGGAGACTGGCAGCGGCAGCAGCACCTGCAGCGACCGAAAAGACTGTGGCTCTCTCTCGGCCTGGGCTGGGTCCGCCACGACTGGGGCTCGCGCTCTCGCTTCCTCGTCCCACTCGCCACTGGCAATCGTGTCGCAATTGTCGTCCCTCACTCCCACGACGCTGCTAAGCCAGTCCGGCAAGTTCGGTGATGGTCGAGGCAGCGATTCTTGGAACATCAAAATGATATGGCTCGGGGGAGGACGAGTCGGAGATGCAGGGGGGAATGGGAAGGTAGAAGAGAAGGAGGACTGGGTTTGGGATTTTTCGAATTTTCGGCGACGCTTGAGCTTATGGGGGGGGAACCACAAGAGCACACAGGTGACTGGGGATGGTCCTGCTGCCAAACTTCCTCCTTGGGGCCCTCGTGCGCGCAGTTTCTGGAACGCTCTGAGGTGGGACCATGCGTACATTTGAGACCCCAACCGCTGCTGCCTGGTACCTCAGGCTTCTCAGGCATCTATACATGGTAGTCAGGCAATAATGCACTTATAGAAGGCTTGGCACCCCGATACTCGCTTCAGGCGATATTGCTAGTCCTCCGTACTGTGGGCGCAGGACAGACACTCCGCCGCCTCTGGAGGTTGGTTACCTTACCTAGGCAGGCCAGGCGGGTCGCGCAAGTATGTATTGTACATACGGAATACAGCATCAATTTTCTTTTCCGAGGCTCTTCTTTCCTTGTCTTGTCTGAGCCCCGGAAAGTCGAATTTGATATCTACCAGTATCCGTATAACGGTCAAATCGACCTTTTCAAAAAGTGTAACTTTGGCCGCAGTGGAGAGCTCGGCCTCGGAAACGAACCCACGCACGCACGAACGCGTGCACCAGCCGAGACCTTCGGTCCCCTTCATTAGTGTAGGCGTGGGAGCGCGGGCGCTCAGGCTTGATTCAAGATGGCATCATCTTCCAGGTCGGCGGCGCCTTGTTCTGCCCAGGCAAGCTGGCAGCTTGCGCCCGCGACTTGTGTCGTCAAGTTAGGCGTTCGGTCAACCTTGCCAACTCACTGGGGTTGGCAAACTAGAAGCGCATTCCATCCCTATCGAGTATAGAGACGTCTAGTGGGTGGTAGCTCGAGTGCGGTGACGCACCAGCCAGCGAATCTCCCCCACACAACTCATTTGGGTCGCCGCCCATCAGTCAATCCATCCCATCAGGTCCAGGAGCCGGGGTTTTGACGACATGCATTGCAGCCGGCGGATTTGTCGAGTGGAAAATCTTAATGGGGGCCAAGCATCGATGCGTCGTGGCATCTTCATGCAGCCTTCCTGTCATATTAAGATCTCCCAGCGACTCAAAGGGGCTCTTTTATTTCTCATTTTACGCTTCGGGTCGTGCTGTAGCTCCTTGCTATGCTGTCTGTCACCGGGAGCGCATCTCGGACCTACCTGCGAGGCGTATTCGTCCATAGGACGTAATGCGCCGCGTTTTTCGGGGATCAAAAATCTCCAAAGCAGACCGACTTCAATTTCTTTACACCGCAGGCGATCTTGATGCCACGTTTAGCAAGGATCTGGCACGACCTGGTTGGCGACCACGGTAGATTTCGCCATCACGCCAGGTTGGTTGGGCGCCTCCTGTCAGGCCGAAGCCTGACTGTATTCTAGCATGGTGCTCGCTCACCATCTGCTGCGTATGTATTATACGAGACGGAAAGTTTCCTGGTACATCCAGGCGTCCAGATCGATTTATCGTTGATATCCCAGCGTGTCGCGCCACGTTCAAAGCCAGAGCCAGTTTCCGACACAGACAACCTTACAATTCAATCCCTGAATGTTTGCTAGCGGGGGACTTTCTAAAATTTTACGGCTCACCCCAAAGATTTTTCGCCAAGTGAGGTGAAATCCATTAGAAACCCTTTTTTAGAATTCTAGAGGCTCAATTATCTCTTCGCCCAAAAGACCCATCATAGAGCTTCCCTGGCTAGTTTATTTGCTGGGCCATCATCATTATTCTGCCCAAGTACCACGCCAACAAACATTCAGGGACTGAATTGTACCTCTGGGTTGCATTGACGGGGGGTTTTCGGCCGGCCCCTCCGGTCGGCGCTCGTCATTTGCGTCAGTCTGGATAGGTACGGGGTAAAAGGCGTGTGCACCCGGCAATCCATGTGCTCTACAAGCCCACAATCCGCCGAAACTCAGGCACGATGCGTTCTCGGAACCCTGGAAGATAACTTTGTGGGACTTGGGCAAATATTTGTTGATAATTGGAAGCACCAGGTGATATCTTTCTCTTTTTTGTTCCTTTTTTTTTATTGCTTTTTGCCTTCGGACTTTAAACTGTGTTAGGTACTTTTCTACGTGCAAAGCGAGACTTATCACATTATTCTTCTACCCCATTTTTTTGGGGGGGGGGGGATTTTATCTCAGTTCTTTTTTTCGCGCGATCTGGCTTACCATGTCTTGTTCGGCAACGCCCGCATCCCAACCAAATTGGAGAGGAGATCGTGGTGGCACAAGATGGACAGCTGCACCCGCGAGCGCCGTGGCGGCGGTCGGCTGTCACGTTGCCAACGGTTGCAGTGTGATTTTTCGATGCATTTCAGCTCAGTCGGACGCCCACAAAACGTGCAGCAAACAAGCACTTGCAGCTTTTTCTTCAACGAGCGCGCCGCCATGCGCATAAAGCGGTACCTTGCATTAGCCTTCTGTTGTGGACAAAAGCCTCACTACCACCCTGTAGGTGTCTGAAGGAGCTATCAGATCCCAAAGCTTTATCCAAGTGCATCATCTTGCTTTTCATTCAGCCTTGCTCCCCCGGTGGGAGTAAGCTGCGAGGCATTTGCAAGCTATGCCAGCTCTACCAGCTCTGCCAGCTCTGCCAGCTCTACCAGACCTATCTAGAGCTACAGTCTAGGGAGCACGGGGGTCTCCGCTCTGATTAGAGCGATTTGACGGCATCTGCGGATGCTCCCTTTGAGGCTCCATAATCTGCTAAGCTACGGACCCCCGAAGAGTTGCCTGACAGGCAGGTTCCAGTCTGCGCTCCACAGCCGTCGGAATCCCGTCACAGTCGAGAATTGGTCCAGGACAGAAATCTTCGGGATAGAAAATAAATACTCGGAATACCTCTGTAACATATTCCATGTAAATTGCATCGTCATGATACACGCACAAAACGCTGCCGATTCTGACTGAGATGGAAGCAGGAAGCCGCCGATCGTCAGGGGAGAAACCTTAAAGGAAAGGGCCCCGAAAACCATAGGGCTGAGGCCTCTTAGCGGGGTCCAGGACCATACTACGGGATTGATTGGTCAAATGCCTTCCGTTAAACGCATAAGTGCATCATAACCTCTCCGATCCCGCATCAACCCCCAGATTGGCGGACGGGCAGGTCACCCGAGACATTGGGGAGGGCTCTGCTCACGCCTCCGTCCCGTCATGCCCGCGTCCTCAAAGTGGAGTGATGAGCGGCTCGTTTCTTATTACCCGTTTTGCAGTTTCTAGAACTTTCATTGGAGTGGAGTCTCGTCCTCACGCCTCATGCTTCTATCCGATCTTTTTGCTGCGTTGGAACCAACAAGCATCTGATGACTGTGCGGGTTGTGGAACCTCGGACATAACTCTCGGAAGGACAAGAAATGAAAGAAATAAGGGCAATCAGCGACGGAACTCACCAATCAAAGCTGTAGTTGATGTGCTTGGTGTCTAATATAGTAATATTCTCGAGCCCTGGGCTATTTACTGTCTCCCATGTCTTGGTTCAAAGCCGACTCAGAAAATTGTTCCCGAAATTCTCCATTCTCTCATCAAACAGCTTTCTCGATTCACATCGTGACAAATGTTCCTAACCCACCATCACATGAACAAAGCTCACTCGAAGGGTTACCAAGGTGTGAAACCCAAAATACAAATAAAACTTTGTTTGACATTTTTGTGGAATTGACTTGTGCGTCCAGCGAGAGACAGTCAGCGCCGTATTACAGACTCAACCGACACAGCCACAAATCATCCGCACCAAAAGATCAACGTAAAAAATGAATGCAAATCTGAGCGGGACCGCATTTTTAACCACTTCATATATGAGCTCAAACACCACTATTCAACCTCAAATTTGTGGCTTCACTCAAATACCTAATAACCTACCTACCTTCTCCCAAGAAGGTTACAATCGCTTGGTCAAATGCCCCGATCACAGATGGCTTGAAAATTCTCATTTTCGAATATAATAATTCTTTATTGGCGTCTCAGGGCTTCCGAGAGAAATTTCATATCACGGTAGGAGCATAAATCGGAAACTAGACATTGAAAATTTCACTCCTTGTTGCGAATCATCATCGACATAGTATCAGGGTCTAAGTCTACGTCATCATGACGAATGCCCGGTCAATAATAATATTGTCTCTGGCTGCGGCTCAAAAACCTCCAGGCTTTGTTTCAATTGTGCTGTTGTAGGCAACGTTCTTTTCAATTTCCGCGCTTCTGATTGAGGACACATCCAGCCATGCCCCTGCTTCTGTGGCCATGCGCCACCAGCGAAGAGAGTGAAGTGATACAGAGGACATTTCAAATCAACACCGCAAGCCAACTTGGTCTCAAATTCGGGTCGAAAGTTTGCTGTGCCGAAGCGACGGGTTTGTCCAAGAGTCGAGGATAGGCTAGGGTTCCCGTTGTTAATCAGACTTCAGTAAGCAGACTTCCGTGGCAGGCAACCTAAGTTTATTTGAGCGTGAAGCAAGGCCTCATGGCTCTGCCCATAGAGTTTCTCTGAGATTATTCAGTGATCAACTTATGCCATTGTCGTCAAATATCATGAAGGTGTGAATCAACGGCTCTGAAACGAGTGAGCACGAGATTTACTAGATAATTACATACCTACCCACTCCCCTAAGATAGAGAATATGTGAAATAAATGACACTAGTTGATTTTGTCGCGGGTCTCAAAGGTATCATCTGTTGCCTGCGCCCTATAATGTTCTCAAAAGACGCCGCCTTCTCCCATGACGCGCCAGATCTAACCAACTCGTTGATTGATTTACAAGTTCCGTTCCCCCGTAAACCCCAACGCCAAAACGAAAAAGGGAAAAGAAATGCTGAAGCATCCGAGAGGCCCGCCCAAAGACTTACAAGCTCTTAATATAGCCCGCCCTCCACTCCTACCCTGTAGCCGTAACGCTAAGATTGCTCAAAGAAGCCCTCAAGATTCCGCGACTCAGAATGAAAAAGGAGGTAAAGGAAATAATGTGAAAACATAGCGGTTAGAAAGATGGCTTACTGTGGTAATTTCTCAAGCCCTCCTCGTCTCTGATTACCACCTCGACAGGCACAATTGATTTGTCGTTTAACTCTCGCTCCGGGTTGATCTTAGTGAACCCATATTTAAATTTCCAGTCATGACGCCACTTGAAAGGGTATACCCTCGCCAACATTATTCTTTCGCAGCGCCCGTCACGGTTAAACTCGTAAGCAGGCCTTTTTTGGAGCAGCGCCAGCATGATATGGTCAAGGTCGACACCGTTCTTTGTCCTAGGTTTCGAGTTCCAGCGTTCCGCTCCCGCAAAGAGCTTTTGCAACCTTTTGAATTCATCGGGCCCGATATAGCTTGAGGCGCAAAGGTCAAGCTGCATGTATATATCTCCTTTGGTGCTGTTTTCCTCTTCGACGAGCATGCGGTACTCCTGTTCAGCCACGCAGGGTCTCAGGTCAAGTATATTATGGCACTTGCTTCGAGAGAATTTGCATCCGGCACATTCTACGTGCAAGTTGAACTTGCGGACGCTCATCTTTTTCGGCCTTTCGTTGCGTCCGAGGAGGGGACCAAGGGGTTCATCCAGAAGAGTAGACCGCCCCGAACCGTAGGAGAGGTCAGTGTTGCGCGAGTACAAGCTCGGTGCCCCATAGTAGGGATCTTCCTTGGAGGCCCCATAGTAGGGTTCTTCCTTGGAGAAATCAGATTGCGCATAGTGAGGCCTATTATCATGTCTGTACCCCTGAGTGATTTCCTGCCGGCGGCTGCGCTGAACATGATAATGTTAGTAGGACTCAACAAGCGATGTGAGTGCAGTGCTTAATGCAATGACATACTCTTGATTTCCAAAATAGGCACCCCATGGCGGCTGACTCTGACTGGCGAAGCTTATCGAGTATGCGTGCTTTCTGGAGAAGTGCTGCTTGCAGAAGGACTTGCGATATAGTTGCATCGACGCTATTAAGTAGTAACAGATAGCTCTCCATGTTGTCCGGCACGGCGGCTTCCATGACGGTCATGCTGCCAATCTTGGAAGCGGGCATGATCTCCATGGGCTGGTGAGTAGTCAACGTCGCGTGTTGGAGTTTTTGTAACATTTTGCGTCGAGAACTTGGGATGACCGTGCGGCGGGCCACAGAGAAACCAGAAAATGAGACTCAGAAAAGAATCATGAACTCGCAGGGCAGGTATCGAAGAATTGGGGGGGATTCATGGCTAGGTAGTAATAAAGATGTAGTCTTGGCCATGGCCTCAACTATGAGAGTGAGAAATGGCGTGGTGCCTCGGAAGAGATGGGAGGAAGGTGGTCATCTGCTGCGGCGCGATAAAACTGTGGCGGAACGGGGCTGTGGCCTCGCCTGCGGGTCATTTGTCCGAATTCTTGCCTGAGCGGAAGTGGCAACCCCGAAAGAGTGGGTACGTACGTACAGCTGGGCCGCAGCGACTGGGCTGAGAGTGGCGCGTTTTGTCCGGCCTCCACCCGGCGGCCCAATGACCCTTCTTTATGCAGGTTTGGGGGCCTTTAGAGGGTTGAGGGCGCAACATGATTGAAACAAAAGCCACACGTGCAGACACAATAAAAATGGCACTTCCTGCGGAAGAAGGCTCGAGCATCTTTGCCAATCACTTCGCGGATTCCCTGTGCTACCTAGGTAGTTTGGACAATTCCATCCGGTTCTGGTGAAGTAGGCCGCTAGCAGGCGGCTGTACTAATTTGAGGCTCAACACAACACAGCGGCCGCAAAGCCCCGTTGGCCAATAGATGGAACGAAGGCAAGAGCCGAGGGCTGGCACCCAACCGCTTCATTTTCACCATCTCAACAACCAAGGGAGCTAGCTGTCTTCAACACACACGGGCCGTATCTTCCCAAGTTTCCCAGCCAGGCTTGCATTTCGGCCCGCCTGTTTGAGAATACGAACAATACGGGTAGTCAACCCTAACTCTTAAATCCTTTTCCGAGCAATCTGTAGGGTCTAGGTTGGGATACGGTGAATTCTGAGGCGTAGTCCTGCTCGAAAGCGGCTTCACTGGGCTACACAGGCCGCATCTCCAACCGTCCCCCACACTACCTATCTCGGATGAGGTTGGCCTGAAGCCCATCACGGAGGAGACATTTAACTGGGACAGAACTGAATACACTCGGACCGAGAAGTGCATGTTTTTAATCCACGAGCAACATGGCAGGCTCAAGGGGCGGAAGCGGGCATTTATAAAGTAAGCCCGGGCATCACGCCACGCTCCAGATGAATCGCCAGCCACAGGACAGTTAAGCCTGTCGAGTAAAGGGACGCACGCATGTTGAGGGCCCTGTGAACTAAGGCGTCGGAGTTGGGACCCAGAAATATGGAACACTGAGCCTGCCAACTACATGGATCCGAAGCCCGTTGTCACGGCCAAGGTATCCGCCGCACGCCCCGTCCCGACCGCATGGCCTCGTCACTCATCGCACTTGCATCAGGGAGACCGGCAAGGGATGCGCTACGTTTGAGAGCCGGAAGGGGTATTCAACAATACGGACCGCATCTCCCCAGCAGTCGCCCGACGACCCCAGCCCCACATGCTCGCGTCCCATGTCCCGTCATGCCAGGACTCCAACTTGAACCAGAACCACAATCACTCGGAAAAGGGAACTACGGCTCGAACAGCACCTCCGCCTTGTTTTCTCAAACCCCAAATGGAGGGCAACATAGTGTCTAGTCGTCCTCTGGCGGCAGTTCGTCGTCAATATACCGTATAAGGCTGATGCGCATCTCGGTTGTGTCGTTGCCCCTGAGCACGTCGCTGATGAAGTGCGCCTCGACCTGCATCTGCACCATCTCGAGAGCGCCCCTCAGCACTCCGCACAGGATGTTTGAGAACCAGAGTTCGTCCTGCGCGCGGCCGTCGTCGGGCAGTTCGACAAAGTCTGCGAGCGGGTTCTCGTCGAAGACGAGCGAGAACTGCTTGCTGTCGCTCGTCCAGTTGGTGATTGTCGGCGTTATGTTGAGGAATATCTTGAACCCGACCTGTAAAGTCGTAAGAGAAGAGTTCCCACATCGTCAGCCCCCGCACGCACGCGTCCAAGGCAAAGACAACGGGGGCACAGCACACGGGGAAAACACCAGCCGCACCTTGGCAATCATCTCGGCCGTTTCCCGAAAGTTTGCACACCGCCGCATCGTGTTGGACTTGGCCAGGTAGTCCTCAATCAGGCGCAGGCCAATGTTGTATCCCATCTTGTCGAGCTGCTTGTTGACCTCGACATAGTCGCTGTCAAAGTCCTTGCAGAGCTGCGCGACAATGGTTCCGTACGTGAGGACGACGAGCTCCGAGTTGACTTTGTCGATGCGCGTTCTTCTCGACGGTTAGCAGCGAGCTGGAGGAGGGGTTTGGAGGCGTGCTAGTAGGCGAGCCGAAGCACGCGCGGGCGCTTACTTCCAGATCCTAGCCAAGGGACGAGTCGAGATTAGCAGCTGCACGAAAGGAAGGGACTGGGACACCGACTTACTCTTCCCCTAACCGAGACGCCTTACTTGCCGACATCATGGGCCTCGAAAATGGCCGCAAGCTGCTGGAGTGCGGTGTTGCTGGGACAGGTCAAATGAGTCCAGGTGGGCCGGATCGAACGTTGGAAAGGCGGTGGGTGGGATTGCGCCGTGGTAACTAACAGCAGGGGTCTCGCCTGAAGACCGCCCTGCCTCAGCTGTCGGGTGTCGTCGCCTTTCTCTCCGACCACACTAACCCCACCAACCCCACCAACCCCAATAGATGGAACTTGGGCAGGGCCCCACAGAGCGCCCTGACGGAAAGCGGGGAATCTAAAATCCCGCCAATGTTTCCCTCGATTTAGCGGGAACTGCCATCGAATTTTGAGAAGGCGCGCATCATCGAGCGCATCAACCCGAGTCTCATTACCCACCTGCCGATTAATCCCACATTCCAGGTTGCTCATTCCGACTGTGAAATCATGTCGGCAGAGAAGCGACCGGCGTCAGATGACCCTAGCGGCGGTCAACTGGTGAAGAGGCAGAATGTGGGCTCCAGTCGCGCTCTGGCGAGGTCTGGCGCGTCGGGGAGCAGCAGCGCGCTGATCCAGGCGGTTCGTCCACCTTTACTTGTCGCGCATTCACTTATGAGGCTGACAGACGTGTGGTGCAGGCGCCCCGAACGAGCGGTCTCCAGGCCCCCGTAATAGAGCTCTCGGGACATTCTGGCGAGATCTTTTCGGCTAAATTCGACCCGTCTGGGAATCTAATAGCGTCGGGGTCCATGGACAGGACAATAAGTATGCTGCCGCTCTTTGGGAGTGGCTAAGGCTAGCCGCTGACATGTACGCAGTGCTCTGGAGAACATATGGCGATTGCGAAAACTACGGCGTGTTGAATGGACACAAAGGCGCCGTCTTCGACCTCCAGTGGTCGCGCGACTCCGAGATCCTCTTTTCCGCCTCGGCCGATATGCACCTTGCGAGCTGGGATCTCACGTCGGGGACTAGGATACGGCGCTATGTGGGGCACGACGAGATTGTCAACACGATGGACATCAGCAAGCGCGGCGAGGAACTGCTCATCAGCGGCAGCGACGATGGGACCATTGGCATCTGGGATCCGCGAACGAAGAATGCCGTCGACTACATCGAGACCGAGTTCCCCATCACGGCTGTTGCCATATCCGAGGCAGGCAACGAGATCTTCTCCGGAGGCATCGACAACGACATCAAGGTGTGGGACATCCGGAAGAAGGCCGTCGTTTACTCGATGATCGGCCATCAAGACACCATCACAACCCTCAAGGTGTCGCCTGATTCTCAACAGCTGCTTTCATATTCAATGGACTCGACGGCAAGGACGTGGGATATCAGACCCTTTGCGCCTGCCGAGCGGCACCTTCGCACCTTCGACGGAGCCCCGCTCGGCCTGGAAAAGAACCTGATTCACGGAAGCTGGGACAAGGACGGCAAGAAGATCGCCGTCGGCGCGGGCGATGGTACGGTTGTTATCTGGGCGAGCGACTCGGGAAAGCTTCTGTACAAGCTTCCCGGCCACAAGGGAACAGTCAATTGCGCCGAGTTCTCCACAGGATCAGACCCTCTCAGTACGTTGCTAATCATTGTGTTCCGGCCATTATGCCCTGTGTTTGCTAACTCTGGCTGCTAGTTCTATCTGCGTCATCTGATCGAACCATGCTGTTGGGCGAGCTGAAGTAGTTGCGACTAAATGGGTGGCCTTGAGACCCTGGAGGGCGAGTAACATCGGACCAGGTCAGCTTTCTGCGGCCCGTGTGGCGCCGACGATATGTGCTGCATTGCCGGCCGCGCTAGGATGTGCATCGGCCGTTTTCTGCGGCCGGCAGAACAGAATCACAGGCGCAGCTCTTTGCCCATGTGCGCAAAGCATGGGCGCGAAAGACATATGTATGGATTTCTGCCGCCACGTTGGACCCAGTTTGCAAGTGAACGAGGGAGGCTGCTCAAGTCAAACTACGCCACTGGCCCTTTTAAAGGGGAAATAGGTCCTGGGCGGCATACCTTTGTTGTGGAAACAAATGTAGAAAATAAGATACCCAGCCTTGAAATGGTATTTCATGGCCGACACGCGAAAGGAGCTGGGATTGCCTGTGTGATCACGAATTCATGATCTTGTTGTGTAGTTCTAGATTGCGAGCGAGTGCGAGCCTGCTGGTGCGAGCCTGCCGGTGCGAGCCTGCCGGACATTACAAGATGATCAAGGCCATCACTTTACATGTGTATGGATGGACCTCACTCCGCTCCGAGCATGGCCTGTCCTGGGTGTCTGGCTTGCGGCATCTCTTGAAGGCACACGCACCTGACGGCTCTACATTCGGTTAGACTTGCCGGTTGTTGCTACAAGGAGCGGGCGCGAGCACCAAGGGCACGAGTGCAAGTATAGAAAGAGGTTCACAGCCAGTCTTTCGGGTGTTTGTTGTGGTTGTTGTGTCTGCGATGGCGATAACGGTGGCTTCTTGGTGTCACCAATGCAGAGAACCGCGATTTGGTTTGCTTATAGCCAACCAGTCTCGCTCCGTTGTGTTTATTGTTGATGGCTGCCCAGGGTCGACGACGCACAAAAAACTTGCTGCCTCAGTTGCAGCGCGGCAAGCCCAGGATATTGGATCTGGGCCGCTGTGTCGAGGCTCGCAGCGCAATTGTGAGCAATCAACGTCGGGCCACCTCCCCCGCCTCGGCTATCTGAAGCGTGACGATCCGAAACGTCTGGTCCCCTGCTTTTCATCCCCACCTCCCTTTGAGACTTTATGCGACGCCGAAGCTCAAGCTCCGGGAGCCAATCATCTGGGCGCTCCCGTCCCCTTTCTGGTGGTTCAGGCATGCGCCTCCCTCTCTTGCGCCCTGGGCTGCGGCGCTGGCGAATCATCGCCGTGGAGCTCCAAGGGGCTGACACTCGCCCCCGAGCACCAAGACGCGGGCGTGCAGCTGCGCGCAGCCCAATTCTTAGCTGCCGAATGCAAGGTACGCCCGGGACGAACATTAATGTGCGCTGCGGGCACTAAACGTATGTACACCTCCGCCGGGGTTTGTTTTGTTAGCTCCAGTGACTTACAGGGGTGATTACAGTGTTTTAGTCATCTGGGCTAGCCGCATACGGAAAATAGAAACCAAGTCATTCTTCTAGCAATTTCTGTGGCAAAATACCTGCGAGTTAAATTTCGCATGCTGAACACCCCGCAGTGCAGCCAGTCGCCCACAGCCAAAAATGCCCTTTGCAATTGCAGACCTCCTGAATCCACTGCCAGAGCCACTACAAGAGCCACCACCAGAGCAATTGCCAGAACCCTCAACCCCTAAACGCCGGCATAAAAACAAAGACCTCACACGCGAAGAAAAGGCCGAAATTCGAGGCCTACGGAAGTACGCTGGTTGGACTTACGAGAAGATTGCAGAAAATACCCCCTTCTCAAACCGGCAAATCCAATCTGCCTGTAAGGAGGGCCCGTTGACACCACAGAAAAGCAAAAGTCGACGAGGAAAGATTCGAACCCCTCAGAAACAACGTTTAAAAGAATGGTTTTTAAAAGATAAACGCCGTCAATATCTTCCCCTTTATCAGCTTCAATACTACGTTCCTTTAGAGTTAGCAGAATACGGTGAAACTGCCCTTGTTCGAGCAGTCCACGATTTAGAAGGAGAATCTCGGATTCGACCAAGAAGAGTTTTCCTTACTACTGCCCATAAACAGCAGAGGCTTCGTTGGTGCCAGGAACAGCTTCGTCTCCGTCCAAATCCAGAAGATTGGGATGATTTTATTTGGTCTGATGAAACTTGGGCAATAAATGACCCAATGTGGAAAAAGCACGTTATCCTTTTCCGGGGGCAAGATCTTGCCGATTTTGCTCTTCAACGGCGGAAACCAAAAGGTTGGATGTTTTGGGGATGTTTTGCAGGTGGAATAAAAGGGCCAGGGTTTGTTTGGGAGAAGGAGTATGGAGGAATCGGCGCTAATAATTATATCGAGCATATTATTCCGCTTATTATCCGCTTCTATCGCCAGATTCAAGCCTCGGTTTTCCAACAAGATAACGCTTCAGCACATCGGGCACGGCGGACCAAAGCAGCACTCAACCTGCAAGGAGTTAATGTGGTTCGCTGGCCTCCTTATTCTCCAGACCTCTCGCCTATTGAGAATGTCTGGCCGTGGATCAAAAACTGGATTGAATGTAATTGCGAGGATATTCAGGAGCTAGATTTACCAGACCTTCGCAGGCTTCTAGAGGCGGCGTGGGAGGCTGTGCCAGAAGATCTTCTTCTACGGCTGGCACACTCGATGCCACGCAGGCTGCAGATGTGCATAGATGCTGAGGGTGGTACAATAAAATACTGAATTTTGGCTCTATACCAGGCTACTTTTATGTAGCAAGGGGCCCTTGTTAGAATGTGGGGCATGTACCGAGCTAACAAAACAAACCCCGGCGGAGGTGTACATACAATGGACGGATTCCAGCGGGCTAATGACGAGTGGCGTTACGTGTGATGGAGTGCCGCGTAGCGTAGCGTTCTTGGACCAACGAATTGGATTGAATGGAAACTACCTTACTTGTTTAGGGCCGCGCTGAAAAGGGAAAGAAATGGGAGAAAACACCTGGCCCTCTGTCAAGCCTGCCCCCTCCACCTCAAGATGATGTTGTAAGGTAGGGCTTAGGCTGTCTGAGAACTGCAGGTACTACCCTACTCCGTAGATGCATGCTATGGTGTGTGGACTGGTCCTGTATCGCTCCTTCCTGTTTCCTGTTCCTACCCGTGGAAGCCCCCTGCGTACATCGTCGCAGGCGACTCCGCCTGACTGCCAGCCAGCCCGAGGATGCACGCCTCGGGGCAGGAAAGGCACAGCTCCGGGAGAGGCAACAGGGCGGTCCCAGACTGAACTTCCATTCTGTGCCTACCATCCACTGACTGCAGTTGATGGGAGTTGGTTACTGTCCATATTGTGCATGCGTGTTTGTGCGCACGCACCTCGCGGGGCAATAGTGACTGTCGTAGGGGTGGTTTCCCGTGGTACAACTCTGCTTCTCCTTGCATTTAGAGAGTAGGTATCGTATCACCTGCGACGCAACCTCGTCGGCTCGTCCCTGGGCTCCGTCGTTTTCACCCTCCCCTCCACCCCCCTTTCTTTTCCACCCCTTCCCTTCGACGAACGAGGGTCACAGTTTCCCGTGTCGTCCGGACCTTTATCGTGCTGTCTCTCTCGAGGTCCCTTCGATCTGAGGACACACGGGGTGGTGGTTCGTTAGATTCGTTTCCTTCGCCTCCACCGTGCATAGGTGCATGCACACACCACTTCCGAAACAGCCAAACATGGTGCTCCGCCCACGAATCAACGACGTAGTAGACCATTGCCGCCACCGCCCGCGATCGTCAGCCTGACAAACATCAACACCACCGCTGCCCGCCCAGAAAAGTCTACCATCTTCCACTTTCCTTATTTCGTTTGGTGTGATTGTATTTGCCGCGACTTTCGACGAGCCCGCGCGTGCATCAAAACGCTGCGCAGACGAGCCGGCGCATTCGTTTCCTTGCATTCTGTCCAGTCAGTTTCTCAATTGGGACAATTGTATTTTGTCTCGATTCTTTTCCCTTCCCTTTAGGTCCTGTTGTTTGGCATTCTGCATTATACAAAAAGGGCTCTGGGAGCCGGGGGAACAACCACCGCAAAGGCATGGGAATCATTGGACGGCGTTGCTTAATCTCGTTCTTCACCCTCCTTACACAGTCACTCTCTCAACGGAATCTCTTTTCTCTCCCTTCGGCATAAGATACCCCCAAGACATTTACCCTCCCTTACTCGGGGCACGACTTTCTTCCTTCCCCCCCCTCCCAAACATCTAATCCTGAATATTACCCTGGCTGGCTGGGCCCCTCGACAATATCTGAGAAAAAGGGAGGCCACGGATAAGGGCATCTCGAGATATACTCACGCAGCCTGTGACAGCGGCTCGTTGCACGCTCCCTGTATACGCACCCACACGATCGTCCCGACCAGCACCTGCCAGACGACCTGGCCTAGTCGACACTAGCACCAAGTCGGATTCTAGACAGGCTAGTTAGAGGAGGACTGGTGTCGAGGAACACCTCGTGTGGAGGTGGAAATAGCATGCGCAGTCCAGCCAGCAGTCGATGACAACGGACGACAAGCTGGGCGACCTCGCGTGCCACCGATCTCGACCTCGCGGAGGGCAACCTACTGAGAACTTGTCCTGTCACGCAGGAAACACGATACGGAACGTGCAGTAGAAGGCACAATGAACAACCTCCCGTTTACCCTCCCGCGACCAAACATGGACCGCTTCAACTTCCTTGGCCGTGGCCGCGACGCAAGCGGCACGGGCAATGGCCCGCCCCTCGATTTGGACGATGACGATGACCGCGCCCCCCTCTCGCCCCGCGCCTATGCGGTGGCCGACCTCGAGGCCCAGCGACCTACCGCCGCTGCCGCCACTGTCGAGATGGCCGAGCGACCGTCGAGATTCGTTTCAAGATTCCGGCCTGCCATACCGAGCTGGTTCAGCGTAGCTAGCAGCACACGACCGGCAGGACAGCCGGGTATGTTCCCTCGGCCGAGCAGTAGCCACTATTCGGGTGACGGTGCGCCACCGGGCACGGTGGTGGACATGCAGCACGGCAGAGACGACGACACAGAGAGTCCCAAGACACCGCAGTTTCGCATCGGCGCCCAGGCCCTGCCCAGCACGCGGCTTCACCTGCCAAACCTAACGCGGACGTGGACGCAGGGCTCTAACGGCCCCCCGTCTCGGCCAGGCACGGGAGTTACGACGCCACCGCGGGCACATGTCGCACTAGAAACCGCTGCGGGCGCCGAGAACCAAGACGACGGCAGGCGGCGGAGGCGGCTAGAGCACCGCCGGAACGGCAGCGATAGATCGGGCCGATCCCACGGGTATCGGTCGCAGCGGTCGCGGGACGAGGGGCGAGACTCCAGCGGCAGTAGCCGGAGTAGGAGGCGGCGCGAGCGAGAACGACATCACCGGCGCCATGCCGAGGACAGCAGCAGCGGACTAGGCTCGGCAGAGGCAGATGGCGAGGGCGAGAGCGAGAGGCGGTGGCGGCGTCGTGAGCGCCACGAGCGCCGCGACCGCAGGCCCCCACCGAAGCACTTTCTCTTTTGCTTCCCGTGGGTCAAGTCGCGCCGGGTTCGGACGCAGATACTGCGATGTTTCGTGTCTGGCATGTTTCTCCTGCTGATGTTGGCAGTTTGTAAGTCACCTTACCCCTTTTCCCCTGTCTCCTTTTTTGCGTAGCAAGCCCACCTGTGTACCCCTTTTTTTCTTCCACTACTGGGCCTTAGTACATAGAGCGAACGAGTGGACTAACACCGAACAAAAACAGACCTCTCGCTCTCCCTCACCAAAAACATCAACAGCAGCGAGTTCACGGTGCTGCTGATCCTCATTATCCTCTTTGTCACCATAATTTTCTGCTACGGGCTAGTCCGGCTGTGCATTCTGCTGGTCAGGGGCGACCACCATGGGAACACCGACCGGCTACCCGAGATGCGCGGGCCCGGCGGCTACGCCATCCCGGAGCAGCCGATCCGCGTTGTGCTGGCGCGCGACGAGGAGGCAGCTGGCATTGAGAGCGAGACCACCAAAATCAAGCCCCCCGCCTACGGCCTGTGGCGCGAGAGCGTGGTATGTTGATATGCCTGCACAACCCCACTCTATCTTCTGGAAGAAATCGAAGATGGATAAGAGAAGTTGAGATTGACTGACAATTGTTATTGCTTTAGCGGGTCGACCCCAATCGCATATACTGGATGCGCAACCACGATGCCCCTCCACTGGACACGGATAAGGAGGAGGCGTCATCAGACAGCAGCGGCAGTGGTAGTAGCAGCAGTAGCAGCAGTAGCAGTAGCAGCAGCTCTTCCGGAGGAAGCGGCGGACCAGGGGCAAGGAGTGGGGGCGATAGTGGCAGCAGCCACGCTCCTCGAACAACGGCCCCGCGCCCGCCGTCGTACGCGTCCGAGGACGGCGTTAGCTATGTGGTCGAAGCACGGCCGCGGTCAATGGCACCCACAACCAACGTACCCGTTCTCCCCCACCCGTCCGAGACGGGCCGGGCCGGGCGGCCAGTCGGCTGGTGACGTGTCGGCATATGCATCACTTCACCGATGGTAGACACGCTCGGCTGTAGCTACGTGGTAGCAATTAGGATACCATTCCCGAGAAGTTTAGGGGAGAGCTTTAGGGAGAAGGAAAGAAAGAGTCTTTTGTTTCCCCGTGAGGTTGGTTTTATGGATGGCAAGGCAAAGAAAAACATAAGCGCTGGCGTAACTCGGGGGTTGCTTTTCATTTGCAGAATCGGCGGAGACAAACACACATATGTCTTCTGCATATATACATCTATGTGGTAAACATCTTGCATGCGAGTTTGCCTTCCTGCAGAGGGAGAGGAGCGAGCTCCGTGCTGTTTCTCACCACCACCGAAGGAGGGGCATTTCTGTTTAATAATGCATGGACGCTGCATCGGTTACTCGGTAATAATGATCCCAAGGAAAGGGACGAGGAGCGGGGAAAGTAGAACATAGCTGGGTCCTAGATATACAAATTAAAAAGCAAAGCTTGATGCCATGTTGCAAGACTACTGCTGTGGTGATTTTTGCATGTGGTGATCCATGACTTCCCGGGAGCTGGTTCTTGTCGACATCACACCGTGGTTTCGGGAAAGGCATTTAAATATTTGTTTTTCGATTAGTTATCCTCAAAAAGAAGAAGAATAAGAAACAAAGCTAGTCTTCGTGTATTTACGTACCTACCTAGGTAAGGTAGTCGCCGAGAGAGAGCTTTCTTCCCCCTCATTTTAGTTTCGGGACCATTATCCGGGGCCAATGCGACTGCGACTGCGGCCAGCAAGCGAGTCGCGTTGTCACGATTGACTTGGCTAGGGGTGGACGGTTTGTATTATTCTTTTCTTTTAAAAATATTATTCTTGGCGATTACTGGAAGTGTCTATTTGCACTCTATACTTGCTCTCTAATCTATAATTTTATCTGGGGCAGGCTGGCTTGGGAGCTTTTTAGATACCGACTTGACGCTTTGCGAATGCAAATCCTGCCGATAAGCAAGCCGGTCCCAAAAATAAGCTCCGTGCGTTCCCCCCTCCCTCCTCCAAGGTTGACGAACGTGCCACTGGGACGCCCAACTGCAGGGCGCCCCTGCATGCCTGACTGCTCTCGCCAATCTCGTGTGGCTCCCAGCCGCCGGGGACGAGGCTCCAGGCTCGGGACAGCCCTTTGTGGACGACCAGACTGCCTCGCCCAATCCGTTTCGGGTCTTCCGGGGGCGCATGGATTTTATCTTTTTTTTTTCTGCCTTTGCTTTCCTGGGCAGCAACAAACCCCACCCTCACACCTCCTCACCTCCGCCCATTTCCAAGCGATCCTTCGAGCCGGCATGGGCCTGGACATGGGCAAAATGGGCAATGAATGGATGGAACATGTTACCGCGCCGCTGCGCGTCTGGGCACACGCTGCCCAGTCTTCAGGCTACAGCAGTCTGTCTTATACATACACCTCCGCCGGGATTTGAAAGCATAGCGCGATACCTTCAAGTCACCACGTGACTTTTGGTGACTTTTTGGGAAGAACCTGCTAGAAAAGTACTTCAAACTCTTTATATTTCAGGCTTATATCTCTTGTCAACATCCTCTGCAAAAAGTCACGGCGCTATGCTTTCAAACCCCAGCGGAGGTGTACACGACCCTGGACCAGAACCACAGTCAGAGCCAGAAGAGTGCGGAGGGCTGCGCCGGTCCGGCGCTGCAAAGTGGAGTGGATTGGGCATGATTGGGCAGCGCATTTCCTCGTCGCCACATGACCCCCAACCGACTAGACGCGAATTGAGGTGAAGAAAAGCCGTTGGCTTGCCTCGGTTCGGTTGTGGCCCGATGATATATACGGAAAATGCAGGCACTTTGCGCGTAGTGTTTATCATCACAACTAACATTGGCAAAAATATCAATAGTCATCAGAGTTGAAAATCTTGTCGCGGGCTATACAGGGTTTGGCCTTCCATTCCATAGCCCCGCTGGAGAACGGTCTCGTCCAACCCACGGCCCCGAGTCAAATTGTGGTGAAAGTGTAAGACGGGTTCCCCGCCTAGCGTTGCTGAAAGAAAAGCAACTTCCATTATCTGGACATTGGAGCACAAAAAAGGCAGTGAGTAGCTCCCGTCCCTCTAAAAAAGATCTGGAACAAAGACAAACCCATTTCTACCGCCTCCGTCTTTCAACGGCGCTGGCGGCGGTACCTTCGAATTCCCAACGAACGAACCACCACTGCCGTCTATGGGGCACGAGCCAGGGCTAGAGCGGACTCCCAGAGGCGGGCTCGAGTCAGTCACGAGCCGCTCCCAATCTCGGCCAATGGGAAGAGCCAAAGATTAGGACGGTGCGCTGCACAGGTTGTATGGAGAGAACCGTTCGAAATGATGGGTGTGTGTGTGGGTGACAGCGGAAGGTGAGAGTGGACACCTACATAGAGAGCTCGCCAAGCTCTTGGGTTGTTTTCTTCTCTTCTTTTGTATTCCTTTTTTTTAGCACAAGCCGTAAGCTACCTTAAGTTCAACAAACTTCCCTGATCGGCACCTATCAGGCTGTTCTTACAGTGCAGGGATGATGCGCGCTGTGCCGTGAGATTCCCGGCGGGAAAGGCTGGTGCTAAGGTTCTGGGGGTGCTTTAGGGATGCCTGGGAGCTTTGTTTCGTCCGCGACCCCAACCCAGTTCGTCCTAGCTAATAACCGAGGAAACAATGCGCTGGGTAGGGAGTTAGAAGCGTCGATGCCCTGTTCACAGAGGGGACAATGGAGCAGACAGATTTGACTTGCCACATGCATGTACCCATGAGGTACCTCGTTTTTGCTAGCCAACCACGGCCAGGCCCCGCAGTTTGGCGGCACCGGCGCAGGGAGCAGGCAGCAGGCGCGACGGCCATGGCGACGAGCTGGAAGTCGCTCCCTTGTCACCTAGCTCCCTTTCGCGCTTCGCCCTTGCCCCCTTGCGGAAGCACTGCTCGACACTAAGTTACCTTAGCTCCGGGCCTATCCCTTTCCCCGTCCTTCATGGTTCCGTCTGTTCCGCTCTTTCCTCTCCCCATTCATCCTTTCAGCATCGCTTCTAGGAACAACTTTTCAGGTGTAGTTTTATTTTGGTCGTTGTTGGTGACGAAGTCGAAGGTCGAGACGAAGGTTGTCGTTGCTGGTTGCAGGGAAAGAGAGTTGGACAGGACAGGACAGGACAGGACAGGACAGGACAGGACAGGAACGGACCCGGAACAGGAACTCGGCACGGTCACCCTTTTGTTTTTGCAACCCCCAGAAGGTCAGTGAAACTGAATTTTGTCCAACCCACCCTTCCCTCCCATTTGCCTCATTCGCCCCTCGCGCGCCCGTCTGGTCAACCATCGATTCCGACATTCATTCACCTTTCACTGTCCACGTCGTCAAACCCACATACCATCTTGGCGACACATTTTTCTCTCTGCGAACCAAGGATACGGCAGGATATGTGCGCGCGACCGCACGGCTGGACGCAACCATGAAGCCCGACTCGGCATTGAAGGCTGGCGCATCTTGTTTTGCCACTGCCCGTAGCAAATTTCAAGGCCCGGGACGAGCTTCGCTGCTAAATGCGCGTAAGCTTTCGCACTCCTCTGTCGTCGCGGTCGCGAGGAAACCTACAGTGGGGGATCACACGGTGATTCGCAGTATTCTCCGAGATATTGGCGAAGATGACACACCCCCACACCTGGGGTTGCGTGATATCGATGACCGGCACACTCCACAGTCAGAGTATCAAGAACAAGACAGCATGGCGACCCGCTGGGCAGCCGGTTTCCAACCGGACCCCGAGCATTTGCAACCCGGCTGGGGAGTGAAGCCATCAGTCAAGACTCTCCTAGGCACACTGGATGAGGATTTAAACTACCCCGTTCTGGACTGTGAAGGACAAGGACAAGACGACGACATACGTGAGCCAAGGCTTTTCTTCGCATTCCGCAAGCACAAGAAGAAATACGCCCCCCGACATTTTTGTTTGCTAGGCGATTCCTGCGTGTCGAAATACCCTGTCCCATCAAGTCCACATGTTGAACTTTGCCCCGCGCAACCTGCCTTCATTCCTTCGTTTCCTTCGCATGGGCGAATTAAGCTCGGGGTTGCGACATGGCCGAGGGTTATTATGAAGTCTGCAAAGCGAGTCGAAGTCCGCTTTTTTGCAGATAAATACGGTTCCGGCCACCGCCGCTTCGATCGATCCTGGTCTCATGCTTCAACGTGGCCTTACGCCTTGTCTTCCGGATTGAATGACTTCCACCTTTTTTTCTGCCTTTTGTCCCATACCGCTTGTCAGACCGGGGAGGACCGGCTGTGATAAGAAGCCACTAAGCGTTGCGCTAACAGCTGATGCAGAAGAAAATAGCCCATACGAAATAATGTCGTCGCTCTCTCGCCGCGCCTGCTATAAATGTGGCGAGCTTGGACACCACGCCGAAGCGTGTTCATCACCCCATCGCCTCTGTTACAACTGTAAGCAGAATCCCCCTCTCGTTTCTTGCCGAGCAAGCCACTAATCAACCTCTGGAATAGGCAAGCAGCCGAGTAGGTTTTTTTCCCTGCTCCTACGCTAGTTTGCCCGGGACTGAAATTTGAGCCTGCCAGATCATGAATCGAACGAATGCCCTTTGCCTCGCAGTACCGAGGCCAAGCAGTGCTACCACTGCCAAGGTCTAGGACACGTTCAGGCTGACTGCCCGACCCTTCGCTTGGTCAGCGCTGGTACCACGGGCCGTTGCTATAACTGCGGTCTCCCCGGTCATCTTATGGTATGTCAAACTCTACCTGGACGTGGCCCACACATTAGGTTCTCCGTCGTCTAACTCTACTCGCTTCCCTAGCGCAACTGCCCCAACCCGCCAACAGCAGGGCCCGCCGGGCCCGCTGGACCTGTTGGAGTTCCTAGGGGCGCCCCGATGCCCCAAGGCCAATTTAGATTTCAGCAGCCGAACCGCTACCCCCCACTAGGTCAGCGTCCGGCGACTTGCTACAAGTGCGGTGGTCCAAATCACTTTGCCCGCGATTGCCAAGCACAGTCGATGAAGTGCTACGCTTGCGGCAAGCTGGGGCACATATCACGCGACTGCACCGCTCCCAACGGCGGCCCCCTCAACACGGCTGGCAAGATCTGCTACAACTGCTCCCAGGCGGGCCACATCAGCCGCGATTGTCCCGAGAAGGCCAAGCCTAACGGCGATGCTCAGCCGATCCAGACGAACCCTGACCTAAGCGCCGCGCAGAGCATCCCCGCCCCGGCTGCTCCTCCCATCGCTCCCGTCGCCTAACTGCACCGGGCCTGCCACTATGGCAGGCGGCCAGTGCCCAGGCCGTTAGCATTTCAGTTTCCTTTGTATTGACATCCTGGCCGGTTCCGGTCTTGATATCCGCGTTCTTTTTTTCGGTTTCCCCGGCACTTCTTTTAGGTACAGAGCAACCGCGTTTTCGGGCTCGCAACGGCGTCCTTTGACTGATTCATATACCACCTCTCCCGAATGTCTTTTTTTGCAGGCTCGGACAAAAACACGTTGGAATGATCAAGACTTATGACTCGCTTGCAGGCCCACATTCCAAGGTCGCAAGCACTCAGATGACAACGACCTTTGCATACTCTTTGAAAGCTGCGTCTCGCACGTGCTTTAACTTTCCTATCAACCGGGACACTTTGGCTCGGCTTGCGATATTTAGGGGTTAGGGCCATTAGCATCCTATCTGGGGTTGCCGTCGTATTTACGAGATGGGCTAAAGGGATGGTCCTTCAACAAGGGGTTGTCCGTTGGACTGTTGGACAAGGGACGGTGCCTATCAAATAACTACCCCCACTAAAAAACAAAACAAAATCTGCGAAACAAACTAGCGAGTACTAGAGCTCTGCTATGTGCTCGACGGCGCCCACACGGGCGCTGGTTTGCAAGAGAAACCAGAATGGGGCTAGAAAACCTAAACTCGGCCGCAGGTAGCTAAAACTAGGACTTGATGTATGTAGACACGGACTTTCACCGCTTTGTCAATACTGGAACGTGGCGTATGGATACGACGGCCGGTTTTTATGCATCGTTGCAAGACTGCCAAAGTCCATATGGGGCAATGTGGTGAATTTTGCTGTTTGGGATTCCCGTGAGTCTTGCGGCGCATGGTGTTGTGCTCTTACGCACTGGGCGTCAGCCGAAGATGTAGACGTGGAATCTAGGTACGCATGTCGCTAGACTGACGAAACCAGTGTGCAAATATGCCATGAATATCGTAGCTTCGTATGCCATCCGTTCTAGCTTAAGTGTTGGTTGGTCGAGGTCTCTCCTGCGAGACCTGCTTGAGGGGTTAATAGTTTAACTCGACTGTCCAAGTAAGGTAAGGTAGCTCATCATTTAGCCAAGGTATCGCGAGGCTTGCTTGCACTGATGTCTTCGTTCCTCGCAGAAAGTTGAGCATGCTATTACTATTGGGGGTAGGCGTGTTCACATGCTTGTCATAATCAAAGAGGCTGACTGGCTCGACACGGACAGAGGCCCCCAGGTTAAGTCAGGGCAGGTCAGGGCAGGTCAGGGCACGTTTCGTCCGGTAATTATGCGGCCGCTCGGAAGGCCCGGCCAGCCCTACCCGAGGTAGTACAAGCTAGTTCTAGTGGAGGTAGGGAAAAAGGTAAGGTAAGGTAGGTCCCAGGAAAACATGAAACGTAAAACTAGGTAGTGCAGTAGAAAAGACCTGGGCCAAGGGTCATGCAAGCAAGCAAGGTAGGGCCCGGCCAGACTGGAAGGAAGGAGTAGCATGGACTAAAATGAAAGGTTATTTTTTGGCAGTGTTGCAGAGGGGCGGGTGCAGCATTAGAAACTTCTTTTCTCTTTCTTGTTTTTCTTCTCATTTTCTCACAAGAGTTTGTCGTAGCATGGTTGTTCAACGACAGGTAAGGTGAATATCTGCGAGCGTGTTCGTGGCTAGACGTGTAGTTGGGAATGCAGATCGAGAGCGGACTGGCGGGTCAGAGAAGAAAACTGCCGAGACCATGGAATGCAGCCAGACCACAGATACCTTGTGGTTAGCGACTCTCTAGGTTATGTTAGTGATGATTTCTTACAGAAAAGTGCAAAAAGATGAAGTGGTGATATTGGAATATCAGGTTTTAAAGTGCCTGATACTGGAATTGAACCAGTGATCTTTGCATGTTTCAAGATGATGTGTCTCGTTACGAGTGCAACGCATTACCACTGTGCTAATCAGGCGCTGCAGTAGGTTTGTTTGATGAGATTACGAAGTGGAAATGCATGTTATTAAAGAGGAGAGATAGAAAATAAGGCTCCGTTCCTCGGCATATCAAGATGGAACCTTTTGAGCTGCGGATCGAAGTAAAGCTATAGGTTTTGCCGTTGTGGGGTTGCGGTCTTGATCCATCCGTACCCCTCCTTTGGTAGGCTCTCTCCTCACTGTGCAGTGGCAGCTGTGACACTGTGTCTGGTACTGTGTGAGGTGCCGGGGGTTATTTAGCCTTTGACGGGACCGAGGCGTTACCTTGGGTCGGGATGAAACATCCATGTGCTGAATCCCGTCGAGCCCCAGCCCGCGCCGTCGAGAGAAAAGCCAAAACAAGAGCTTATCACCCCTCCAGAGTTGGGCGTCCAATAGTTTGGGGGCCCCGCCGTGCAGCGACAGACCAAATGGAAGTTTCGAATTGGTGCTGTGCCGCGTTCCTCAGGCAGGCGCGGGGCAGAGTCCAGTACTCACTGGCCGTCTGCTGCTGCGGGAAAGAGCTAGCAGATGCAACAGCCTCTCGGCGGCAGCAGCGCAACAGCACGGTGCCTGCAATCGCGGGGTGGTAAGAGCTAAAAATGGAAACCTGAGGCGCGAGGGAACGCAGTCGTCGACACCCTCTTCAGCAGATTTCTATCTTCTTTAAATTTTTATTCCATCCCACCTCGACGCACAACTTTGGGGATCGTTACCGGATTTGCATATGCGTACTTACATACCGCCTTCAGCTGGCCCCCATCTCTCATCGACTTTGTTCTTGGCGGATGGCGGATGTGCGCCCATGCATGCAGACTGCTGCTGCCTTTCCAGAGCCTATTTAGTCAACGGCATGCTGAGATGGACGAGAGAACCTCAGAACTTGGACGCTACCGCAGTGCAGACCTGCCTCGCCCGGCCTGGACCCAATCCAATGCGTGTCAGCACATGATGCGGCCGATCGTTTTCTCCCTATCCGCGGCTTCGCAACCATGCAGACTGGCTGCCGTTGGTTGCTGCCGTTGGTTACTGCCGTTGGTTGCTGCCGTTGGTTGTCGTGATGCTCGCTGATCGACAACACTGACTAAGCGGCTGATAGGCCTGAGGTGTTGACTGCCGTGGCCGGTTGTTGCTGACAGCAGCAAACTCGAGCAATATTCCCAGAATGAGACATGGGGCTAGAGAGAGTCAAGTATCTTGACGGTTGACAGCAAACTTTACGCGGACAATAAGCGGATCAGCGCTGGCCATGGCGGGAACGGCTCCCGTTCAACCAACTGCATCCGTGGCTTGCAGGCGGCTGCGGCGTTCCTTGTTCTTGACCAGCCATGTTTCTCGACCGTACTGTCGTTATCAGCCAACGTTGGGCGTGCCCTATTTTGGCCTGCCACCCACCCTTCAGCCAACAGTCTTCTATCTGCAGGACTAGACTATGGGGGCTGTCGAACAACGCAGACTCGCGGCAAGACGAACCTGTCACACGAATGACAGCTCCTGCTCCCGCACGCCCCCAACCTTCTGCCGCATTCCGGCCTCAAGGTGCCTCTATGTGCCCCGGCGGACCATCCTTAACCTTGCCCTTCCGGACCATACCGCTGCATGGCGGCGTCAACGCCGATAGCAGCACCCATCCCAGTTCCTCACAATGGGCTAGACTACAGACGCCTACCCGTTAGGGTACCGGCTCATCCGAACATCTGCCCATTGCTGTCAGCAGTCAAATACCCCCATGGTTCCACTACACTCGCCCTCTGGAGCCCGACTATCTCACAGCTTGCCACGTCCACGCTCGTGCCTCCATTTCCAATACACCGCAGGCAGACTCGTCAAGGAACATGTCATACCGACAAACCCGTCTCGGCGGGGACGAAGCTCTCACTGGCCAGGACAGCACCAAGGCCGCCGAGGCTGGCTTTGGAGCCTACCAGTACCTGAACATCGACGCCGGGTACAGACCTGCGTATCAAATGTCTGCCCAGTCCCAGCCCCAGCAGATTTCGCCCTCAAGCCAGTCCTCGATCCAGTCACCTCAACTGGTCCAGTCCCCGCAGCTGCCGTCCCAGTCGCCCCCTCTGCAGTCGACCCAGTATCTCAACACCCCATACCAGGCGCCTCAAGTTCAAATTGCCGACCCCCAGTTCGCACCACCCGTCCCCGAGAAGCAGCCGCAGTTCACCCAGACAGCCTTCAATGCCTCGCCCGTAGTCTGGGACAGGGTCCCCAAGTCCGCCGGGACTGATGGCTCGTCGCAAGAGACTGGCCTGACCGGCGAGTCCATACTCTCCAGGGCCAACTCGTGGACGTACGAGATGCTAAGCATGCTCTTCGCCATCGGCGCCGTGGGATCCATCACGGGCGTCCTAGCCTGCTACGACGGCAAGTCACTGCCGTCGTGGCCATCCTCCATCACGCTCAACGCCATCATTGCCATCCTGGCCACCATCGCTACCGCCAGCATGAGTGTGCCCCTGTCCAGTGGCCTGGGCCAGCTCAAGTGGATTCGCTTCAGGCAGAACCGCACACCTCTCTCAGACATGGAGCTCTTTGATGACGCGAGCCGTGGCGCTCTGGGCGCTCTGGTCCTGCTCCTGCGGGCCCGTGGAGGGTACGTTCCAAGTGACAGAGAAGACCCTCCAGCTGTGATGCTCGACTAACGCCAGATTCGCAGGATCGCCGGATCGTTTGGCTGCATAATTATGGTGATTGTGCTTCTGCTGAATCCTTTTGCCCAGCAGATTGCCACATACCCCGTGCGGATCGTGTCAACGACCCAGGGGGCTGTCAACTTTCGAGCGCTAAAGTACGGGCCGGCCCTGTCTGGCAACAGCGACGCGGCGCCGTTCGTGCCCATCCTGCCCCTCAAGGCGGCCGTGTACAACGGCATGTTTGCCGAGAACGGTAAACCATGGATGAGCCTGCCCTTTACCTGCCAGACAGGGGACTGCGACTGGGACCCCATTGAGACGCTGGCGGTGTGCTACAAGTGCATCGACATGTCCGAGTACTTGTCGCGCTTCTGCTCCAACGGCACGGCACGCGGCGGCAGCACGTCTGGCTGCGGCTGGACGCTGCCGTCGGGGGCGCGGCTGAACACGAGTGCGGAAGTGTTTGGCATGACATCCTTGGTGAGTTGAGACTGGCAGTTGGTCTATGCAGTGCGCCATGCTGATCGGGCTTCTTGCCATAGTTCCCTGGATCCATGGGCGGCGCGTCGTACTCGACCATCATGAAGCTCATCTTCATGGGCACCGAGGCGCAGGCGGGCAAGGCAGGTGAAATCCAGCCGTGGGCGCGGCAGTGTACGCTGAGCGCGTGCGTGCAGACTATACAGTCGTCGGTGCGCAACGGCAACCTCAACGAGACCATCCTCAGCCAGACAACCAATGACACAGTGCCCGGCGACGGCGGCGCATCGCTCATCAGCAACGGGCAGCCGCAGCTCATTGTCATCACCAGCAACACCACCGGAACGTCATACAATATGACGGCGAACGCCATGCTGGGGATTCAGTCGTGGTTCACGACGCTGTTCCGCAACGGCACGGCCTCGCGTAGCTCGAGCGTTACCAACCGCACCATGACCAACCTGCCGGGCAGTCCGATCGTGGTGAACCTGACGGTGGGCATCTCGTCGGGCGTGACGTTCTTCGACACGGACATGGTCCAGGCCTTCTATTGGAACTACTACGAGTACGCTAACGGGCTCGACATGCTCATGAGCGACCTGGCCGTGTCCATGTCGGCCAGCTTCCGCGCCATCTCGGGCCAGCAGGTCAACGGCACGTCGCTCACCAGCGAGAGCTACGTGCACGTGCGCTGGGGCTTCGTGGCGGTGCCGGTGCTGGCGGTACTGCTAGCCACCGTGTTCCTATTTGTCGCCATCCACCGCACGTGGACCTCGGGCGCGCGCGCCTGGAAGACCAGCGCCCTGGCCATGCTGTTTCACGGCCTCGACGAGGGCGCGCGCGGGAAGTTTGACGAGCTCGACAGCCTCGCGGCCAAGAAGCGCGAGGCCAGAGGCATCCAGGTCAAGCTCGACGCTGCCCAGGGCGGAGGCGGGACGCTCAAACTTGATAAAGTGTACCAGTAGACGGGAATTTATTATGTGTTTTCTCTGTATTCACTTTGCCGCATCATAACAGGCTATGACGCTGCAAGGTCATTTGCTGCTTGAGGTGGTTGGGCGCGCGTTCCCATGTTGCCGGCCCAAAAATGAAGTGCAAAAAGTGCATTCTAGAAGGATCCGAGGGAATCTCCCAGGCCTGCAGCCACCATCCCATGAGGTGGTGCTGCACGGGTAATTTGTCTTGACGTTCTGTGCCACCGAAGCTCAGGGAAAGCAGTGGTGTTCGTCCGCGCCGACCCCTCGCAAAGAGGCACGCGGGTAAAAGAACGGCTCGCCCTTGGCAGAGAAACTGTAGCCGACGGACCATCATAGCAGAGTCACTGGAAGACAAGCCCGTGAAGGCCATACGTCAGAAAGATTGTCTTGGGGCCTCGGAATGACTCTCGCATTTCTCTGTCTCTTTGGGTTCTTTTGGGGCTCCAGCCCTCAGCCTTGGCCCAGAAGCCCGAAATGCAATAAGTTCAGCCGCCGAGAACGAAGAAGGCCGCCAATCTACCAGCTGTCTTGGCAGGGGACAATTCAATATAAAGCCGGGAATATTCTCGCAATATATACAGCATATATTGGAGAGGTAGCTGGCTTCCCCGACTGCTCTGGCGGGTAGACCAGCTAGATGCGCTGCGGGGTATTGCTGGCTGCTGGCCGGCTGGCCGAGAGACTCAATTTCATATGGGCGAGAGTGAGAGGAAACAAATAATAAGGGCTCGTGTGGGGGGGGGGGTGCCGTGCCGGCGAGGTGGGCGTCCATATGATGGTAGCCTCGGAGCCAGAAGCAGAAGCCCGCGACACCAGGGCATGAATGAATGACATCGCGGCCCCTTGAAGCCTCATAGCTCCTCGTTCGCCTGCCTCCCCTCCCTTCCCCTTTCTCTCCCGGTGTCCGTCGTCCCCACGCCACATCAGCCATGCTCGCGCTCCTCGCTCTCCTGTCTGCCGCGGGCAGCTTCGCCCCTGCCCGGGCCGCTGCCGCTGCCGCTGCCGCTGCCACTGCCGGCAGCTGCACGCTGGACTCATTCGCCGCGCCTAGCTGGCTCGTGCAAGAAGTCCAGCGGGCCAAGCCCGCGCTGCTGTCGTTCCGCCTCGTCAACCGCGCCACCAGCGCCGCGGCTGACCTCGAGTGCCCCGCGTCTCCGGGCGGCACGTGGACGAGCTGCGCTCCGAGCGGCAAGAGGCCCGCCGCCGATGCCCTGCAGGCGTCGGTCAGCCTGGACAACGGCACAGCCAGCCTGCTCGTCAACGAGACTTGGATCTGCAGCGACATGACTCCGGGCAAGCCGTAGGTCGCTTTCTTCTGTTTTTTCTGTTCTCGGGGAATGGTTTTGTGACAAGGGGGTAGGGGATATGGGATAGGAGGCGGAGGAAACGGGAAACTGGAAGGGTGCTATGGAAACGTCGGTCACTAACACGGCGTCCTGACAACCAGCATTATTTTCTCGGCAGTCGGTAATACGACCATCGCGCTCGACGGATTGTCGGTGGCGCCGCTGCTGATCCGGGCGTCGCTAGTAGCGCCGGTTCGCGTCTCGCCGGCGGCCGAGGACGGGCCGGTGGGCCACGATACGCCGGGCTGCGCGGCGGCGTCCAAGACGCCCGCGTGGGAGCTCCAGGCGTCGCAGATCGTCCGGCGCACCGAGGTCGGCGCCAACGGCACGGTCCAGGTGTCGGGCAACGCGTACGTGGCCGTCACCAACCTCGCCACGGGCGCCACGGCCGGCTGCCTCGGCAACACGGTCAACTACCCCGAGCCCCAGATCCTCGATTGCGAGGTCCAAGGCCCGTACCGCCCGCACCAGGCCCACACCATCCAGACGTCCATGCTCTTTGACCCGGCCACCTTTGCGCTGACGATGAACGAGACGTGGTTCTGCGACGACGTCAGCCCGGCTGTCCCGTGAGTCGCCCACCTATCCCTCTCCTTCTCCATCTTCCAACCGCTAACACACAAAAACAGACTCACCATCACCGGCGCGGCATCGACCAAGCTGCCGCTCACGTGCAGCGACTTCGACCACGAGCCGTCCGAGCCGACCATCACCTTCTGCACCAACACGGGCGACGCCATCGACTTCTCCGGCAAGCAGGTGTCCGAGTCGGCGCTGGCGCCGTACGCGCTGACCGACGCGGCGGTCAGCACGGCCAGCAGCTGCACGGCGGCGTCGGCGGTGGCGCCGGCGTGGCGGCTGAGCGACTTCGAGACGACCATCTCGCTCGCGGGTGCTAGCTCGACGGGCGTCGGCGCGCTCGCGCTACGCGTCGCCCTCGCCAGCGCCCCGCCCGACAGCGCCGACTACCCGGCGGCCACGGTGCGCGCCCAAAACGTGCATCTCTCGCCGGCCGCCCCGGGGACGTGGTATCCGTGTGTGCTGGCCGGCGGCAGCAGCAGCGAGGCCGTCCTGCAGGCCTGCAGCTTGCAGTATGATATGGCGGCGAGGACATTGGTGCTCAACGCGACGTGGCATTGCAGTGATTTGGATTCGGCGCACCCGTGGGTTTATTTCTCTGTGTTCTTCTATATTGTTGTTTCTCTCCACGTTTCCCTTCTCCGTTCTACCTTTCCCCTTTCCCTTCATCTCTCCCCCCCTCTATTTGGCGTGCCAGAAACAAACACCCCCCTGAAAAGCACGCGCTGACAACCGCCACGAAACAGAGTCGTCTTCACCGGCATCGCCAACACGACGCTGCCCGACTACACGTGCACGACCGAGACGACGGCAGACCGGATCCGCTGCGCGACGCCCAAGGGCACGTCGTGGGTCGCGACCGTCAACTCGACGACGATAGTGTCTTCAGGATAAAAAGGCGTGCGTGGCGTGCTTTGCGGCGGCAGGGAAAAAGGGGGGGTCAAGTTGGGAAAGCAAAGGTTTCGTTCGGTTCTGGGTGTAGTGCAGTAAGTGGGTAGGGTGCATAATACGGATACATAGGTGTAGTACACAATTCAGAGCAAAAATCGGCTTTACTAGACAGCGAGGACGCTTTCTCGTAGCGAAGAGGCCTGAACAAAGCGACCCGAACAGCGAACGCAGGCCAAGGAGGGGACCTCTCCTGTGAAGCAACAAACCTTCCTTTTAGCCCAAGAAGCCACTCAACTGCACGACATTACATTGCCCTCACGCCCGCTCATAATCGAGGAACCAAATAAACAAAAACAAAAGCACAGAAACAAAAGAAACGAGGTCACGACTCCTTCGCCCACTGCCGCCCACTCCACAGCCGTCCCGTCGTCCACAGCCAATAGTCCCTCCCCTTGATCAGCCAGACAGCGAAGCCCGGCAAGCGGTATCCCATGACAGCACCAACACCAGTGCGCGTACCAAGGGGCACGAGCTGCGTGGCGCGGGTGTCCTCACGAAACATGGCGTCGTCACCCTCCTGCCCCTTTCCCTCACCCACCAGCGGCAGCAACAAATCCCTCCGCAGATTCGCGCACAGCACCGGCACGGCCGCCAGCACGGCATGCACGGCTGGGCGGCGCGCGTAGTCGCTAGCGTCGCCGATGGCGTAGAGCCGCTCGCTGGGCTGGGCACTGCTAATACGCAGCGTGGACGATTCCGTGGCCACGCGGCCGTCGGCGGCGAGGAGCCCACTACTAGACAAAAACGCCGTGTTGGGTGTCGTGCCGACGCAGGGAATGTACAGGTCGGCGTGTAGCACTGCGCCCGATGCCAGCGCTACGGCCGCGTTGCTGGTGAGCGGGTCCGGGTCCGGGTCCGGGTCCGATGTAGCATTGCCGGAGGATGGAGACGGAGACGCGGTGAATGACACGGCCGTGACGCGCGTGTTCTTGACGACGCGCACGCCTAGCCGGGCAAGCTGGGCCTCGGCGGCGCGCGCGATGGCGGGCGGCAGCGCCGGGAGCAGCTCCGGCGCCGACGTCACCAGGGTGATGGCGACGCGTGGCGGCGGTTTGGAGGAGCCGAGCGGCCACCAGGCTTTCCACCCGCCGCCGCTGCTGCCGTTGAGGTGCTCGCCCAGCTCGCCGGCGACTTCGACGCCCGCGGGCCCGCCGCCGGCGATGACGATGCTGCGCGCGGTGGGGAGGGCCGTGCGGAAGGCTGCCCAGTGCGCGCGCAGGGCGTCGCTGGGGCCGTCGTTGAAACCGAGCAGTGGCGAGGGTGTGGACGCGCCGGTGGCGATGACGAGGGCGTGGAAGGAGATGGTTTCGGTCTCGGTGCTGGTGTTCTCAGGTTTGCTGCTACTCAAGGCTACGGCCACGGCGACGGTGCGGCCGCGGCGGTCCAGCGCCGTGGCGCGGCCGTGCACAAAGCGGAACTGGCTGGGCGGGTACGCGGCGAACTGGGCTGCGACGCTGACGAACAGCTTGTCCTGCGGGAAGAAGCGGTCCGCGATCAGCGCGCGCGGGCACGCCGGGCGGCACATGGCCTCGGCCGAGGCGCTGACCAGCACCACGTCGTAGCCGCCGCTGTCGGGCCGCCGGGGGAGGACGTGTTTGAGCACGTAGTGGGCCGTCGACAGCCCAGCGTATGACGCGCCGAGAACGACAATGTGCTTCTTGGGCTCGGCCATAGCTCAGGGGTGCGGGAGGCTGGCTACTGCTAGAGGTCTAGAGAGCGGGACAGGAGAGGGAAGAGGACAGGCCATTTTCTCTGCGTGTGTCTGGCCGACCTAGATATACCACCGACGAAAGATCGCATCTCGTCTCTTCCCTCAATGTGCTAATGGCCTTGGTCCGGCGGCGAGCGTCGGACGGACGAGCTGAGCGGCGCTACTCGGGAAAAGTGGATACATATTGCCCCTGAGGTGCCCTGTTTGTTGGTTCGTCCGGCCGGGCGGGCGGGCGAATTTGATCCATCTCGGCAAGCCACCAGGCCATCAACTGAGAACGATAAAATAGCAGGCCAACGCACGCAACATAGCTACAAAGTCGAAGCGGTCAGACATCAAGTCCCAACTGCCAGTCTACCGAGCAATTTCTTGATGAAGCTCTTGGCAGCACCCTCCAGCTCCGCCCAATGGACTGACACGGACTGCTCGATGTTGACTACGCATGTGTGTGTCTTCGACTGTGATGGTGTAGATGGACGTGCTTGACTGTCCGACTGCTGAATTTCTGTTCCCGTTGAACTCCGCCGATGGGCCAAGTTCGATGCCGGGCCACAGCCAGAGACTCGTGCCGAATAACATTGGCATTGTCAAATCTGCCGAACCAGATCCGAAATTATCTGTCAATGTTGACTGTGCCAGCGGCATGCACCTCTTTTCTCCTCCTTTTTCAGTTCGTAACTAGACCCGCCGAGTACAACCGAATGCACAACTGGGCAAGCTGTGCAACAGCCATCATCGCATCTCCCCGTGAACAACAGTAAAACCCAAAAGTGCGCTGCGGCACACATGCACGTTCAGATGTATCGCCAACAAGAGCGGCGCAAATACAACTATGCACCTCTCTCGCAAGAATTGCAGCCAGCAGCGGCACTCGGCGCGGCAAATCCATCCGCGGCGATCCATGTCGGGGAACCACACACCCACACGCCCGTCACAAGCCCAGAGAGAAGAGAAACTGCCCCGGCTCAAGTCCGGGTAGCAGCAGCACAGCAGCAGCACAGCAGCAGCACAGCAACAGCACAGCAGCAACACAAGCAGCAGCAGCAGCAAGGGAACGTGGCATTTTAGAGTTGCGGCCGCACCGCACTGCACCGCTGCAAGCAAGTTCCCCCGCACCGCATGATGCGTCCCATCCGATGCCATGTGCTTGCTGTTTGTAGGGCGCCCATTCGTTCACGGGCCCGTCCGAAAAAGGAAGCTTGTTTGTTCCCGGACGTGTCACGCCCCTCTTCCTCCCATGTGTGTCGAATGGGACGGCGGTTTGCGATATTGGCCCGCTGCAGTGCCGACTTGCAGACAAAAAAGAAAGAAAAAAAAAAGACGAGGTCGACGCAGGTCGGATTCTCGTTTTCGTGGTGGAATACTTGATATTTTTGCCGGGAAGTTGGTTTTGGCCGTGCATTGCCTCTTCCTGTCTGCCCCTTTTCTCTTACCTCACCGCAACACAGCACAGCCTTGCCCAGGCCGCGGTAGTCAAGCAAGTGAGCGAGCGAGCACCCGACGGAGCCGCAGCTGAGATATACAGACACGACACACACCTACAGACCACCGCAACGCCGCCCGCACCATGCGCGAACCAGCCACGGGGTTCGCAGCAGCCCTCGCCCTCATCCTAGCGCCGCTCGCCCTCGCCAGCTGCCCAGACTATTCCGCGTACTCTCAGCAGCGACACATACCACTCTCCAGCGGGCGCTACGCACTATCCTGGCAGCGGCCGGCGCCCGCGTGCCGGACATTCAACTCGTCCGTAGTCGAGGCGGCGATCACACACATAACGGCCGACATCGCGGACCCGGACCTGGCGCGCCTGTTCGAGAACAGCTACCCCAACACGCTCGACACGGCGGTGCGGTGGCGGGGGCGCGCAGCGGACAATAACGAAGAGCTGGCATTCATCATCACCGGCGACATCGACGCCATGTGGCTGCGCGACAGCGCCAACCAGCTGATGTCGTACCTGCCGCTTCTCGGCCCGTCGTCTTCACCTTCCAACAGCAGCGGCGGCGACCTCGCAAGCCTCTACCGCGGCGTCATCAACCTGCAGGCACGGCACGTGCTAACAGCACCGTTCTGCAACTCGTTCCAGGCGCCGCGCGAGAGCGGCATCGCGGCCGCAACCAACAGCGCGGCAGCGTCCGACGTCGTCGTGCCGCCGTACGACGCGGCGGCGGTGTTTGAGTGCAAGTACGAGCTGGACAGCCTGGCCGCATTCCTGCAGCTGAGCGCGGCGTACCTGTCCGCGACGGGCGACAGGGGCTTCTTCGCGCGGGCCGCGTCGCAGTGGGCGGCGGCGGCGCGGGCAGCGCTGGCGACGGCGCGGGCGATGCGCGACGCGCCGACGTACGACGACGGCGACGGGCACGTGGTGAAGAGCCCGTACACCTTCACGCGGCAGACGACGCGCGCGACCGAGACGCTGGCCAACGACGGCGCCGGCAGCCCCGTGGGCAACGGCACGGGGCTCGTGCGCAGCGCGTTCCGGCCGAGCGACGACAGCACGCTGTTCCAGCTGCTGGTGCCGGCCAACATGATGTTTGCGCGGGGGCTGGCGCGGGCGGCGGGCGTGGCGGACGCGGCGGGCGACGGCGCGCTGGCGGCCGAGATGCGTAACTTTGCCGCGGAGCTGGGCGCGGCCGTCGAGCAGCACGGCGTTGTGCGCGTGCCGGTGCTGCGGGGCGCTGGGACCGGCGGCACGGAGACGGTGTATGCGTATGAGGTGGACGGGTTCGGGTCGGCGGCGATAATGGACGACGCCAACATCCCGTCGCTGCTGGCGGCGCCGCTGTTAGGTTACGTGAATGCCACGGACGCGCTATACCGGCGCACGCGGGCGCGGACCCTGGCGCCGCCAGCCGCGGGCGGGAACCCGTATTTTATGCAAGGCCCGGTGCTGAGCGCAGTCGGGGGCCCGCATGTCGGGCCCGGCATGGCGTGGCCGATGGCGCTGATCGTGCAGATCATGACGAGCGATGACGACGCCGAGGTCACGGCGGCGCTGGGACAGATCCTGCGCAGCACCGACGGGCTGGGACTGATCCACGAGAGCGTCAACACGTTCAACGCCAGCCAGTGGACAAGGCAGTGGTGAGTCCGATCTATTCGCCCCGTCAAAGTACCGGAGCGAGTACTAACACAGCCACACGTTGCATGGCACCTTGTCAGGTTCTCATGGGCCAACGGGCTCTTTGGTCAGATGATTCTCGATCTGCACTCGAGGAAGCCCGGAATTCTCAAGACCAGTTTCCAGTGATGACCGCTAATAGGTAGTCTGTGGAGAGTAATAATAGCAAGGCGGAATGTCTATATTCGGGTGGCTGCCGGGAGGAGCTGTCCTGCATGTCCGGGATCTCAGTAATTGTCTCCGTTTCCTGTGTGATCTTGGTCCAGAGTCCGTCTGTATGTCAGTTCCCAAGAAGATGGACGGCTTGAGCGAGTGACAACAGAAGTGGTGACACGGCTCATCCACAGGTAAATAGTTCGTTCAAGACTCGAACGACAGTATCCCTGTCTGATTCATATTGCGTATCTCAAGAGTCATGTGAAAATGCCGCTACAGCGACTATCACCCCCACAAAAAAAAGAAAAAGGGCTACATGCCAAGACGTGGCAGCGAAGGACAACGACCACCGTCGATCCACTATCCTAAGAACCACCATCCAAGTTATATAGGTAATCACGGAATCGACAAAAGAAACAAACATAGTGCATGTAATGTACAGATACAGTACATATAGAAGTAAAAGCAGCGAGCTATCATCAGCAAAGTGTTATCAGAACAGGGCGGAACCGGATAGACAAGAAAGAAAGAAAAACAAAAAGAACAACCTGCGGCACAGACACGCTATGGTTCTGAGAACGGCCCGGCCTTGGACACAAAGTTTGGCGTGCGCCCCTCGGCGAGGGCCCTGAGCGCGGCGTCGTCGAGCGGGAGAAGGCGGCCACCGGTGCTCTTGCGGGAGCCGAGCCTGGCCATCTCGCGGCGGATGCCGTGATTAACAGCGTCGAGAACTGTGTCGACAAGGCGGCGGGGCTTGTAGCTGGGCTCGGTGCCGGCCTGGTAGACGCCCGTCTTGACGAGGATGCTGTACCACTCGTTGGCACTCTTGGCGTCCATGGCGTTGGTGCCGCGGATGTCCGACTCGGGCGTGTCGCCGACAAAATAGACGGTGGCGGGCGGCTCGCCGCCTTCCGCGAGCCCGTGCTGCGCCGTGCGCCACTGGCCCAGCAGGCGCGTCGCGAACTCGAACGTCGACACCTGCGGCTTACCGAACACGTGCGTGTACAGCTTGCGCCCGCCCGACGTGTCTTCAAAGACCGTCTCGACGATGCGCCGCAGCGCCCCCATGCCCAGACGCGCGTGCTCGTGAGCCGAGGACCACAGCATGTCGTTGTGGCTAAAGTAGATGGGCGGGCCCTCGTCAAAGGTCTCGGACCGCGTCTCGAGGCGGCCGCCTTTACTCTGGGCGATGTCGAGGATGATCTGGAGATCCGACGCCCAGTCGCGGCTGTCGGCAAACACAAAGATGGCCTCGACCACAATGTCGCTCATCTTGACGCCGTGCGCCAGCAGGTCGCGCGAGTTTTTGTGCTCCGAGTCGGTCAGCTTGCGGAACGGCGCCGTATGGGCGTTGGCCTTGAGGATGTCGCCGGGCGTGATGACGTCGCGGAAGCCGTAGCTCTCGGCCACGTCACGGCATGTCTCGCCCTCGCCCCCGACCACGAGCACGGTGCCGTAGCGGTCGGCAAATTCCCGCATGGGCGTGTGCCCGCAGATGAACTGGCCCGGCGACACCTCAATCTCGAGCTGCCGGGAGAGATCCCTGCACCGCTCCGTCTCAAACTTTCCGCCGCCGTTGGTGAGGAAAATGTACGGGCTGTGAGATCATGTCAATACCCTGACCTTTTGGAGGCATAATAGGACACGACACTTACACCTTGATACCAAACTCATTCTCTCCATTGAGCACTTTCATGGCCTCGATGGCTTCTGGAATCGGCCTTCCGCCGCGGATGAGCACCCCATCAATGTCAAAGGCGAAAGCAAAGTCGTCGGCCACATCCGGGTCAAGCATGGGGGAGAGAGGCGTCGACACGGGCGACAAGGGGGTCGACACCGTGCTAGCAACGCTAGTGGGAGACGAATAGAGGCCATCGGAAATATCAAAGTCCTCCTCCGAGGGCGACGGCGATGATACCGGGTCTTCTTGCTGCAAGACTAGCTCGTCCAGCTTGCTCCGGGCAACATCAAAGGCTTCGGCAAAGCTGCTGCTAGAGATCTGGCGGGCATGCATACCTGGCCGCCGGAAATCCGGTGAACCCATGGTGTATCAAGGCGTCTGCCAGGTGTGCGTTCTTGAATGATACCGATGTCGCGTCGCGATATTGCAGCAGCAAGGGAAATATGGGACGAAGCTAAGGTAGTCTCTAAGCAATAGGAGCCTCGCGGGGTACGGACATATCCCTTATATACACGCTTCCAGAACCTATGTACAGCCGCCATCATAGCGGCCAGCTGGGTGTGGAACGTCTTCGATCAATCAACTATCCCAATTCGAAAACGGAACCAGGTCGACTTCAAGTAGCACCTTTGTGGGTATCGGAGAGTGGAGGGAATTTGGTAGTATGATGTCCAAGTGTTGGATGCCATGGCTGCGAATCGAGTCGCAGGTTAGTTCCGTCAAGTTCTGGGCGGCACTGTGCATACTAATCTGCCCTCGCTAGCTTTGCGAACTGAGGCGAATTGTGAGGGATTGTTTGCTACAGACACGGCTGGGGGCCAATGAGTTTAGAACAGAGACATCCGCAGTTACCGAAGAACTGACAATGAAGGGAGGCCAGAGCAAGGCTTGGACTAAGCCAACGGTGGAGTGCTGACTCAAACCACCCGGGTGGCTCCGAGGAGAAGGCAAAGTCAGATAAGCCTTGCGATGTTGCAGGAATAAACGCAGACAAATCGAGGATGAGAAGGCAGGGATACAAACAAGAGCCACGCACTTCGTCTCTTGACTCGAATCGCCTGCCCTGGGAGGAGATGCAGGTGTTTATTATGGGAGAGTGCATCGAGGGAATTGAGCAGCAGCGAAGAAAAGGGATCAATAGTTCTTCCGCCATCGGATTATCCGTCTTAAACGTTTGTGAGGGCCCATCTAGGATCTGTGGGAGCTGGTAGGCCATCTCTCCAATATTGCCTTGTCGGGTACGGATTTGGCATCCCGAGGCAAGGCGAATATATGGGGCGGTCGTCCAAAGATGCCTCCTGGAGGTCTGATAGCAAATGTAGAGCCTTCGGCAGGGCCTGCAGACTCCTCAACCGTCAGAAGCAGAGTCCGAAAGGGGGGCAAGGGTCAACTAGCGGCCGAGAAATATGGCCCTCTTCGGCCTCCTCGGGGCCTGACCGGCGCCGGCTGGGAAGGGTTTAGTGATCCTCCGGTCGATCTCCACAATCCCCGCTAGCACTTGGTGCCTTTTTGAGGCTCATTCTTTTGCCAGATTCATTAGACATGTGATGAACGGCGGACATGAGAAGGGGCAAAATGATATGCGGCTTCTCTACTGATCTAGCCTTCGTCCTCAAGGAGCTTGAGGGAGCGTAGGTTGCTTAGTTTCGAACTGCCGATCCGTACCCCCGAAGCCGCGGCGTTGGCAGGGTAATAAGTAGACATCCGTCTTTAGTGTGGACGCCTGTAGATGAACATCAAGAGAAAGCAAGCCGGGGGTGTCAGGGTCCCTACTCAAGTTTCTAGGCTCGAAGGCGAAAGATAAAGGGAAAACAACGAAACGTGGAAGGCGTCCCGAGACCAAATACCTGACAGATGGGTCTTCGAAAAGAGTCATGTTAGTCGGGCCCAGTATTATAGTTTCAGCCACGGGATCCGGTTTTCTCTGTAAAGAGCTCAGAAGTCTCGCGAGGAAAGAGGCGGCGTATGATGAAGACGCAAGTTAGAGAGGGACCATAGCTCTGTAGATGAGGTGGCTCGGTATCTTATGCGTAATCTCCAAGTCGTTGACTTTGGCCAGGGAGCGCGTGCTCGGACGAAAGTGCATGTAGCAACAGGCAACCACCATATGTAACAAGCACCACCTCTCAGGGGCGCCCTCGCGTGCCAAAGCTAAAGGCGCCCCATGGCGAGGTGGCAACCCACCCGGCATCGTCGACGGCGTTCTGACGCTCGTCTCTGTCGGCCAGCGCCTCGTCAACGGGCATGTCCCCGAACGACTGCGTCTCGGCCCTGTCGACACGCAGCCAGCCCTTCCAGTCGGCCGTGACAGCCATCTGGGCAGAGGCGGCGGCGGCGGCGGTGCTGGCTGGGTTCAGCCCACCACCAATGACTACCGTGCCCCACCACTCACGGGCGCGACTTCGGTGTGGCCGGTAAAGCATGTACTGCTCCATTGACGCGAGGCAGTTGGCGATATGTGCGACGCCTCCGCGAGTAGCACGCAGGATGTGGACATGATCCAGGTCACCGGGTTCGACTGCCGGCCTCACATGCGGAAATTCGCCAGCTGGGGCAGTGGCGAGGAGACGCTCAGGGTCAAACCGGCCGTCAAAGTCGACGATAGCAACTGCCTTGTCATGGGGTGAGGTGATCAGAGTCGCAACCAGGACGTAGAGGAGCTCGCGGTAGCGGCCCGTGATGGCCAGCGGCGCAGACTGCGTGGCGCGGAAATGGCGCTGGACGAGGTCATTGAGTCCGGGAATTGGGAAATGCTTGAGCCGATTGCTGCTTGAGCGAGTCGGCACAGCATTGTTTGTGTGACTATCTTCGCCAGCGTAGTTGCGGCCGGGGGTTGTTGTCGCAAAGCCTGTGCGGAGAGAGGCGAGGATCTTTGTAGAGAACAAAAAAGGTTGGTTAGCAGCGAACTTCAACTCGCTTCCTCCGGCACCCCAACACAACCGCACTCGTCGGACTGGACGGCAGGCACGGCTGAACGACGGACGCGCACTTTGAGCAAGCCGACTTGTGCTGCAAAACTTTGTCGCACCAGGCCCAGCTTACCTCGTCCAGACTCGCCTCATCGATCTCGGCGAGCAGGCGAGCGCCAACCGACGCGACCGCGGCCTGCATCTTCCGTCATCGCTTGCTCGCTCACCCTGCGCAGCGCGACGGCACCCTCGCTCGCAGGCCCCAATGTCACCACCGTCGCACGGCTTTCCGGCCGGGCAGCTGCCTTTGCAGGTGCAGATCGGTCCGGATGGGAAGGTGCGCAAGACGGCGGACGGGCGGAGGATCGATCTGGCCAACGACTGCGAGCTGCTCGGCCTGGTGCAGTACGACTGCCACGTGCCCCGCCCCGAGATGGACCACAGCCCAGTCAAGTGCTGGCCCGTCCAGCGCTGGTTTCGCAGGTGAGGAACGCGACAGTCTTTTGTTCGGGATGGTCGCCAGATTGATTTGTGGGTTTGTCTTGCTGACTAGAGCTGGTCGTGGTCCGCACAGGTGCCAGAGCAAAAACGGCAAATTTATGGTTGAGACAACCGCCTGGGAAGGAACAGAAGCCGCCGCTGCCGCGGGAGCAGCTTCCACCGTAGCGTCGCCACCTACCACGGAAGCTCCGCTGGGAGTTCATTGGATGCATGATCCAAAAGATAACCCCCCATGAAAAGAACAATAAGGCTCCTGTCACGATGTCTTTGTCTTCTATCACATATCGCCCATTTAAAAAGCATCGTGGACCCCAGCATTTTGAATGGCCGTCGCTCGTGGCAGAGTTACAGTAGACACTTGGTGATATAGCCGTTCTGGGTTTCTTCAATTGACAAACAGGAGAGAAAAGAGGTCGGAGATTCTTGGTTCCAACTCAATTGCCCGGTTTCCTGTCTATCCGGTCCATATGCATACACACGGCGAGCCGTCTCTCCTCTCTCCTCTCTCCTCTCTTTACGAAGCCTTCCCCCAATATCTGCTTCTTATGTACGTTTGGCTCGACCACCGCCCAACATGCCCAGTATGACCACTACGTCGTCTCAAACGCCCGCCCTCTCGGCACGCTTCTCCTCCAGCGCCTTGTAGTAGTTGTCGCGGGCCACAGTCCGCGGCAGGTGGTAGCCGCGCCTGTCAGCATTGCATGTTAGAACTCCCCGGGACAAATCCCATGACACAATTTTCGGGGATACGAGTTCTCAGGGAGTGCCGTACCAGAAGAGTTCGCCAAAGACGACTCCAACGCCTGTGTAGCCGAGGTTAGCGTGCTGTTTGTTCGCGAGCTGGTGGCTAGCAGTAGCCGAGTTTGGGTACCCAGGCGACGCCTCCCACAGCCTAGTTGTGCAAATTTTTATATTGAAGCATATCGCGTGGAAACTCACCAAGGGCAACGCTCAGGTTGACGATGAGGCGGTTGCGAAGCATCTAGGGCCAGGTCAGCTCTGGGTCATGCGTGTTTTGGCAGGCGGGCGGGCGGGCGGGGGCCGCAATTGGGCAGCCCATTGGCGCTGCAGCACAAAGCGACAGCACGTACGCCGGTGATGGGCTTGATCGCCATTTTGAGAGAGGTGTCCGAGACGGCTCGAATCGAATGGTGGAGCGGAGAGCGTCGTGCAGCAATCGGGGAGTGCGCGGTTTGATGATGTTCAAATTAGAGCTTCCAACATTGAATGGCCTGATGCGTTGCGGGTCTGGGAGCTGCACGTGACTTACGGCTTTCTTGGCACTGTGGTGGGCAGTCTGCAGTCTGCCGCAGGGTTAGGTGATTGCCAGGTCCGCCCAGGCCCCCAACTTTGCCTCGGACGACTCCCACAACAGCAACAACCTAGGAGTACCAATTCTTCGTAAGCTCTTTTTGTTACGTTGGTATAGTAGTAAATAAACATGCACTCCGTGCCTCAGACCAGATCCATTTCCTATTCCTTTCTTCGAGCTGCCAGTGACGCTCTCCTCTTCCTCTGAACAGCCCATTTAAGTACCCAATGAGTCCGTGTTCACGGTTTATGGGATTTCTCGAGGAATCGAAGTATAAAATGCCCATGCTAGCTTACCCACCCAAGCACGCGGCTTCTGACGTCCATTTACTCAACTGGGCGACAGAGACCCAAAATGTGCACGTCGTATTACATCAAGTACACTTGCCAATGCAAGGAGATGGAGTTCGTGCAGTGTGAGGAACGCCAGGGGACCAACGTCAGGTGCACGCCGGTCACGAAGAGACACCGCAAGGATGCTCAAAACTTCTGTGAGAGCCACCTCGTGTATTCAAATACCCCGCGGACGTATATCACCGAACCTAAGCCCCAGGATGCCGAACAGTAGGAGAGGCAACAAAAGTCCGTGAATAATAGGGATGTATGTTGTTAGCTTTTGCTGGTGTCAGAACAACTATGGAGAGGCGTGCTTGCGGTTATATTTAGTACCTAGGTAGGAACTCGGGGCCTCTCTAACTTGCACCTCGTCCCACCACACACTCATCCGGCTCTTTAGCGGGAGGTTCTCCCAAGGACACTGTAGGCAAGAGGCTATTGGATAGCCATCACTCACTTTTTATCTACTCCCAGTTCACCTGCCGCCCTTCAGACCAAGGATGGGACGTAAATTCCCATTCAAGAGGCCGAGTCCCTCCTTGAGTCGTTTTCCACATGATTTGGGCCTGGTCGCACCACTTGAAGCGCTGACGGCCTACTAGCACAGACGTAGTGAGGGCAAGAACGGTGTCCCTCATCATCAGAACGCATAAGGCGCTTAGGCCAACTAATCTATAACATGAATACATCCAACCTCTACCTCAGTCTCACCTAAAAATGCCAGTTCTACAGTGTAAACCAGGTTTTCACCAAAGAATATGAAACATTTGTTCTTGACAATTCCTTCTTAACTAGCTAAGTAAGGTATCTATTACCTACCTAGGTAACTCTATCACATCGAGTTCTGCTCCTAATTTCTGTTGTAACTAGCTGTGTTACCGGTATCTTCACCGAGGGTAATCATATAATTTTCTCCCAACACAATAAATGCTTACCGTTCATCGAAAGAGAGTAACTACGGCATATGTCTTCATGATCTAGATTTCGCGGTAAGCTTCGTCTAAACCGCCTGCGATGGATCGGAACTTACAGGTTGTGCCAATTGGGCCGCGTCAAGTATATGATTGTAGTTGATTTGATGGATTTGGTTGATGTGGTGGATTTGGGTGAGGACTGGAAGGTTGTGTGCAAGGAAGACCCTTTGACACCACGGCACGGCGTGAGTCTTCTCGGTGTACGTGTCATCGGTAAATCTATGGTTGTGCCGAACCTTGACGGCTCCGCGCCGTTCAAAGTTCGGGTGTGTGGAGCGGAGCGGCCGGCATGTGATGCGCCAGTTCTAGCCGAATCCGAGAACCTTTCGTGTTGGACTTGTGCTTCGTGCTTCCGCCGGGTATTGGCTTTTTTTTCTGACCAACTTTAATCTATAATCGCAAAAGAGAGCAACTGCCCAATGTTCTCAAACGACCCTAGCCGATACAAGCTGCAAAAAAAAACGCAAAACAAGCTTCCATGACCACCACCACTCTCTTCATTAGCGGCATAAACGTACTTCAAAAAGAAAAAGAAAGCAAATGCCCTTGGCTGGAATCGAACCAGCGTACTTAGATCGCTCTCGTAGTTGCTTAACTGATGCTCTACCCCTAAGCTACAAGAGCTTTTTCTGTTGTGGAACAGTTGTTGAATCAAGCGAGACGGAATTATACTCTTCACTCTACGCTCCTGGTTTTGAAAAGATCGTGTGTGGTGGGTTGTGCGGCTGCGGAGCCACCTTGCCTGGCCCCCTTCCAGAGTCTTCCGGCTCCGTAGTTCTACTTATTTCTTTCCTTGGCGGATTTCCAAAGAAAAATTACAACACCAAGACCCGCCGGCCGACGTGTATCCGCAACGGAGCGGACCCGCGAGCCGGCTTTCGGAAGGCGTTGAATTACTCGGCCCAGGCGGCGATAGATTGCTTCGGTACGGAGGTAAATTACTTCACGGTTCGCCCTAGGAGTTCATGCCAAGTGGAGGTGGTCCGTTTTTGGAGTCCCTAATTCTATGTAGAATCCCAGAGGTCTACCTCCCTGATTCGAATGCCTCGCAAGGCTCTTCCCGGCCAATTTATTCTCATTGAATTGTACGAAGATTCGTCGCAAACACTCCAAGTTTCATTATGATAGTTGGATTGCCATCTCCATTGTACCACTGCTTGATTTGGTAGATCTTCGTATTCAAGGGTCGATCCATTCGTCTTTGATTCAAAATACAGTCACCCCTCAGATGTGATGAGAGGGGACAGTTGCTGGTAACGGGTCTCACTTTGGACTTTGCAAACATGAATAGTATCATGTGTTAAACTTAAATATTGGATGTGCTCTCTCTTGCCACCCTATCTTGGACACTTCCCAGAGATGAACGACTTTCTAAGTCTAGGTACCTATCGATTGCCATAAAAGGCGATATTAATCATTAAATTTCGCTCGGGGTTGCCTCTGGCAGTATGATCGAGATTCATGCATTAGAACGGTCGAAACAAATCGTTCGGGGGACTCACTACATAGGTAGATAAAGTGCCATTTTAATAGTCAATTTCAATCACAGACGTAGGTAGTATGCGGCCTTGCTCCGCGACCACACCCAGACCGCATGTGACGGGCCTCCTACTAAGGCCGTCGCATACAGAGCCATGGGCGGCACACCGGAGAAAGGGGCCCAGGCCGACGGCCGGCCAAGCTGGCCTGGGAGGGCTGCCGCCAAATTGCCTTCACGTGCCGGCATGACCGTCGCATGATGGTCATGTATCTCTGCGGCGTGTGCTCTGAGCGGCTTTGCTTGGATTCGGGAAACAGCAGATACTCAACATGGCCGTCTGGCCGGGTCTCATCTCGGTGAAGCTGTATTCGTATATTGGTCAACAGTATGAGAAGGCCATAAGGATGATCCCCTGAGAGCTATTCTTGGAAGTTCAGACGTGGGTAGCATTCCACGAGCCACACGTCGACAGATACGACTTCAGCTCTTAATTTGTTACGTAGGTAGGTAAGCACGTACTTACATGTGTGCAGCCGAGTCCATAAGTAAGCATACACACATGTTACTTTGTGGCGGCGGATACGCTACCAAGGGATGCATGCGGCGAAAGGGGTTAAAAGCCCGGATATAATACGCAAGTTAGTCACTTGAGCCGCAACTCGACATGAACATCTTATTCATCTCGTAAGGTTCTCCTGTGGTGTTGGACCTGCAGCAGCGAAGAGTACAATGTTTGCCGCCAGCCACTCGCGGTTCCTGTGAAGGCTCTTGAGCTGCCGAGCGTCCGCGTCCCCGAAGCGTCTGTGTGCTCTCACCAGCCACTTTGCAACGGGCATTAAAATGGATGGCAGGAGCGTGCGTGTTGGCGACAAAGAGAATGCGATTTGCTGCATCCTCGTCATTCGTCGCATACCTATGCAAGGATTCACGAATACATCTGATCTTCTAGGTCGATCATGCCGTGACCTGGGACGACGAAGCGGGGAGACCCGAGCAGCATTGAAGTAATTTCGTAGCCGCCCCAGACCGTGGCGCAGGCACCAAGCCAGCTCCACGACCCCGGCTCCGGCCAACCCCGCAGCACCCCCAAGCACACCCATTGGCAATCTATCACAGGTACCGGATGGGTGCGGGGGCTTATTTGGACAAAACGAGCAAATATCTGGGAGGAGAGTGAAGTGCCCAGAGGATGGATCTTCTGTTGGCTTGTTGGTGATGGCAGAGCTTATGTTCTGGGCTGTCCCATACGCTAAATGTGGGGTTTGGATTTGCTGTGGACGGGCGTGCCCCTGAGTCCTGAAACAACGATCTTGTTAGTTGACAGCGATTGGCTCCTCTCCGATAAGAAAACCGCGGCGATGAGATGGGTGAGCACTCCTGCTCACCCCAGTACGAGGATTGCGGTGGAAGATCAATTGACCGCCGGTGTTGGGAGAATGTGGAAATGCAGACGCCTCTCGGGTTCCTGCGCCTCCATACTCAGGGGGACGATGGCTTGGTGGGGCCGGCGGGGGCAGTTGTGTTGGCTGCTGGCGGTTTTTCTTAAGGGAGACTGACTTCCGTGCCTCTGCTGCGTGAGGTGCTCTCTGTCTCTCTGGTTGCGAAAAGAAGGGCTGCGTGCGGGATTGAACCTAAAATAAAATGCACCGACAAACACGCTCGCCCAGCTGCAGGAGACCTGTTAGGCTGCGTGTGCTGTGCGTGAAACAATGACCTAGCCTCTAGAGCACGTCGTTTCTCGGATTTCCCTGACCGTTGCTCGCGTTAGTATGGTGAGTCGGTCGGATACCGGCAACTTCGAGACTCTAAATAGGTACTTGTGTCTGTCATTGGGGGCCGCGAGCGTGAAGGGACCAAAATGCGGCCAAGACCGACGTGGAATGGAGACGATTACCCCGGTCTAGTGCTGCTGCTAATTGAGCTTCTAGCATGCGGCTGCCGAAAAGGCGGGAGTTATCCGCTCAAGTCGGGGTTTTCTGAAACAGACCTAACAACGGCGGGTAGCGCTGAGGTGGGCTCTCCTTTTCACAGCGCTGCCATCCACGGCTGGTTGTTGGGCGTGAGAAGTGGACATACAGACATCCGACGGAATGTCTCAATCCGCGACGCTCGTTCTCGGACCGTCCTGGTCCTGTGCCCTTGAGAGTTGAGACTCGGAGACTGGCGGTGATCAAGACCTCTCTCCGCTGTCTCTTTTGGAGCCGATTTGCATCCGTGTCCAGAAGAAAATCCATTGCGGAAGGCACAGAAGGGTCCAAAATCCGCCCCTGTTTCCTTCCCCTCAGTACCGCTGGGGCCCCCTGTCGGGAAAAGCCAAAATGGCAGCCTCTAATTCGTAGGAACCTCAAGGCGTGGCTGAGATCGTTGACCCCTGTGCAGATCTCCGTGAAGTGGGATGGCAATCACAAACTCCGAAATCGTGAAGTCACGACCCAAACTTGCGCAGAAAATGGAGAGCCTGGCACTTTTCGGGATCAAAGACGACGCCATGCTCCGGCTATGGATGGGAGGAGCTCGTTGGCGTGTCGGAATTCTCAAATCTAATCCGAGTCGGCCAAGATGCCCTAGTCTTACCCCCAAACACTACGTCGCGGTTGCCCCAAGAATGTGCTGCGCCAACAACAACGGAACACGATGTAAGCGACGTCTGAGAAGGCAACCTATCCCTCGCAGCACCGCGGCTTCATATCGAGGTAGGCCAGGTCGCCTGGATAGCCAGGTTTCGCAGCACGCCGAGCCCGGAAAATCGGCGTAGCAGCTCAGTATACCTAGCACGTTTCTATTAACGGTGGCCGAATGTATGAGACATGGAATCGGGTGACGAGGCCTCGGCAAATAGACCAGGGCTGTCTTCAGCATGTCGATGGCGACACTGGCGCTGGCGCCCGGGATATAATGATGTCTCGGTACTACAAGTGCTACCACACCGAGGTTGCAACTTGAAATAATCTAGCTTTCCGATACCCTAAATCGGAGCATCGACGACACGACATCGACATGGCTTGCTGCCTACAACTGTGGGCGCAAGGCCCATTGGATTGCGTGCTCTCAAGTGCAAGTCTTTGGTGGGCCTGCTTGGCATTCAGATTGTGGGTGGCTTACAGGTCTTGGCAGGGGTAGACGCAGGTGCAAGGGTGTTTCCCCTTCATTGGAAGGGGGGTACCTTACTGTCCAGTGTCAACCAGGTTGCATGCCGCACAATTGAAATCAACCAAGCCGTGACGAATGAAGAATGGAGCTATCCATTAGGGTGTCGTCCTGGGCGCCCGCCGCATGTGCTCCCCAGATTGGGCAGGCACGGGCGTGGCATCGTGGGCCACCCACCCACCTGCCTTGGGAGGTGAAGGGAGGTACGAATACACCTACCTCCCAGGGTCGGGTCCCTGACTCCCGTCCCTTTCCATTTGGGTCCCTCGGCCCATTTGCTTTAACCTCGCTCAACGCCCTCCCATGTTAAAAGCTTTGGTCTTCTTACCTTCTTCTTTTCGGCTCCTCTCTTGCGACGCCACCTTCGCTTCGTTACGTCCTTCTCTTCTTCGGTCCGTTCAACTGCCTGCCTGCCCTCTTGGTTGGGGTAGCAGCTTTCTGTCCGCTTCTTGTGTGTCCCGTGCTGGCGACGCTCCACGCTCACTTCTTCTCAGCTGGCTTGTACATACCCTTATATTCGTATCCTACCTATCTTACCTTGTCTTGTTTCGCCTGTTCTACCTCATTGGCTGCTTTGCTCGGTCCAAAGCACAGAGTTACCGTCACCTTAGACTGCCTGTCTGCCCGGAGCCGTCGACACGGGCACATGCTCATCCATCCGACCTGAAAAGCTGAACGACAATAGGCTTGGTTGTGCAACAATAGGAGATTTGGTCCTACACACACACCCCTGAGAATTGGCGTGGAACTTTGCCGTCTTTTCTGTGCCCTGCGCCCTCCTCCGCCTCTGGAGCCGAGCGGCCAACTCGACCTCTTCTGCCTTCTCCCGGTCTTCAGAGCCGGGAGTTGCGGTGCATCTCAGCTTTTACTTCTCGACATCTCAACGACAGGAGCCCTTTTTCGACCATGCTGGCCCTTCGGTTCATGACGCTGTTTGCAACAGCGGCCATCGTTCATGGCCAAACCATCGACAGCCTGGACCCTTGCGCGGTATGTTTTCCCTCTAATCAGTCACTTGGCAACTTGCTTTGTTTCCATTTTGGGCTTTTGCCCCTTCTCCCTCGTCTCGGATGCACGCTCTTCGCGGGCGTCGACATTGTATCCAAGACGTCGGCCGCTGCGGGAGGCAAGGAGGCTGCGCTCAAACCCCTGAGCCGAATTGGCTAATCATCACCACCTGCAAACCCCGCACCTTCACACCTTCACAACTTGGAAACAGACAACTGACAGTCTGATAGAAAACGTGCTACAACAGCGTGCTTGCCAAAGGTTTGCCGGGCTGTGCAGCGGACGACCTGGCATGTCTGTGTCGCAATCCCGACTTCGGCTTTGGCATCCATGACTGTGCTGTTGGGAACTGCCCAGCAAGCTACGTCGCAACAGTCGTACAGGCGGCTTCTGCCTTGTGTGCCAGTGAGTGACACCAGTAGTAGTTCGGCGCCAGCGCGGATCGAGTGTCGGCGCTCGTTGGAGCCTGGGAAATGGTACGCTAACATCTCACCTGCAGCCGCCACGCTACCCCCTGCGGCCCCTGCAACGACCGCAGCGCCAACCAAGCCGACGCCGGCCCCGCCAGCCCCGACCACTCCGGTCTCAAGCGCGGCCGCCCTAACCTCAAGCAGCCCCACACCGGCTGCCGAAACCAGCAGGGCTTCCCAGTCAACCGTCTCTTCGGTCACCTCAACAGTAAGTGCCGCCCATGCCTTTCGATAAACAAACAGTTCGTTTGAAATGGCCTAACCATGCTTGCAGTCGTCCACATCAAGCACAACCGAGACTGGATTAGCCGGCGCAACGTCGGGGGAAACCTCGACGTCTACAACAAGCTCGACCTCGTCGGCATCGGCCACGCCACTAAGTGGCGAGGCTTCATCTTCCTCGTCATCGTCCACCCTCAATCAGCTAACCACGCCAGCCAAGATCGGCATCGGAGTCGGCGCCGTGCTCGGCGTGGCGGCTCTGAGCGTGCTCGCTGTCTACGCGATTCTGCGGCGCCGTCAGAAGAGGCGGCAGCAGCAGCTGCCGCAGCTACAGCAGCGGAAGCCCGGCAACGCATCGCTACACAGCCAGATCAAGATCTCGGACCCGCTGCCGGGGTCGGGGCGGAGCTACGCACACGACCCCCACTACCAGCACCACGAAAACGGGGCCGGCGAGCTGGAGATGAAGAGCCACCGCTACGAGGACATGCTCCCGCGCCAAAAGCCGAGGCACATGGTCTAAGGCGTGCTTGTTGTACGTGTGTGTATGTGCAGCTAGTGAAACGGAGACGTACGGAACCAAAAAGAAGACGAAAATACAAAGAAATAGTAGATGGGATTTTGGCAGCAAAATACAGGCGGGCCTCGAGTCCCTTCCCGATGATATTTTCCACAAGCAGTCCCTAGGGTCCGTCCTGTAGCACGCACAGAGATTTTTGGCCCACGTCATATCTTGGCTGCAGCTGGGTCATGCTGAGGCGACTTGTCATGGGGGGACAAGCAAGGTGCGACGGCAGCCACCTGCCATCTTTTGATGATATTACGAATCACGAGGGGCTATCATAGATACCGGGGCGGGTGTGGCGGGCGAAGAAGGGAGGGGCGTGATTTACTTGGAGCAACTCTGGGGTCGGACGAGAGCTGTCGGGCAACATTGGGGGGGAAGGAACTATTATTTATCGGGCGTCCACATGGATGCGCATAGCATATTATTTTTTTGTTTTAGTCTCGGGTTATTTCCTTTCCCTGTTCAGACGAGGGCTATTTCTACAAGGTCACATACAGTCCGTGCCATATCGAACAAAAAGCATCGCATTTACACGGGCCGAGTTTTGCGATTTGCGCCCCAGCAAGTTATACTCGTACATGTACATACATAGACGGCAAGGGGGGATAACAGCAAATCATGTTCCTGTCGCCCTTGTCACGCCCCCGTAAAGTAAAGCAGCCTCGTCCGTCTACCAGGAGTAGTACGGCCTCTGCGCCGTGATGGGTCTGTCGGGAAGATGGACCCAGACCCGCTGGCGCTGCTTCTTAGCCACGCGTTCCTGGTGCTCGCGTATCCTGGTCTTTTCTTCCTTGAGAACGATGGAGATGCCTGCAGGAGGGGTCAGTTTCGGAAGCTTTCAAAGTCGCAGAAAAGAGAAAAGGAGGGGGGACTCACTCGTCGAAGGCTTCATGAGCATGTGGATGTTACCTCGGGCGCGGTACGAGGGGACCTTTGCTCGCCATGGGCCACGGTTGACCCACGACTCGGCCACGTACATGCGGGTGGGGTCGGTGATCTCGACGTGCTTGCCTTTCTTGGTCTGGATCTTGATGGCCTGGCTGGGGTGCAGGACCTCGCCGTTGATCTCACCGAGGCCCATGCCGCGCTCGGCGATGGCCAGGTCGCGGGCCAGCTCGAGCTGGACCTTGACCTCGCGCGCCATCTTCTTGTTGCTGTACCGCATCTGCACCAGCGCCTCGTCGAGCGGCTTGCCGGCGATCTGCCGCGACAGGTGCACCAGCTTCTTGACGCTCGTCGCCAGCCACGGCGACTTGCTCGACACCTCGCGCTCCGTCCGCGCGATGCGCAGCTTCCGCGGCTCCTTGCTGAACGGGTTCGTGCCGTTGCGCACCGCCCGCATCACCATCTTGCGCTCCCACCGCACCCTGCTGCGCGGGTCCGGATCGACGGCCCGCGACAGGTGCTCCTTGACCAGTGACGCGCCGGCCTTGGTGTAGGCGCCGGGCGCCCTACGCTGTCGCTTCGCGTCGGCTTTTTCGGGCCCCTCGAGGTGTGCGTCGGCGGCCTCGCTGGCAGCGTCGCCGGTGGCCTTGGCCTCGTCCTCGAAGATGGACGGGCCCTCGAGCCGCGTCGACAGGCGCTCCATCAGCTTCTTGCGCACGTCGCGGGTGCCGCCGATCTGCTTCTCGATCGACGACTCGGGGCTGGCGTTGGCGTCCTTCTTGTTGCGGTTCCAGAACCACTGGTTGGACCGGGTCGTGTGCATGTGTCGACGCGACGACGGGGCTGGCGTTGTGGCTGCTGCTGTGGCAGAGGCATTGGAGCCGAGCGAAAGGCACTGCAGCGCTGGGAGGAGAGAGGACGGCGACGACGATGTTGAAGACAGCGTCGAGGCTGGAGAACAGGGGGGCAGCGAGCGGGAAGGTCAGCTTTTTGGGGACGGTGGTAGTAAATGTGATGGTGGTGGTTGTGGCATATTTGTACAGGCTTCAATTTCAATTTCAATTGAGGCGTTTGGTAGGGGAGATGTGACCCACCGCTCTTGAGGAGCCGCCTCGACGGCAGGTTGAGACTCATGGGGTTGTCGTCGTCGATGACGGCGATGGCATTGACGGCGCGATATGTGCAGTCGTCGTGTGCCTGTGTGTGTAGATGTGCATGTCGGAACTCGGGAGGCTCCAAGGCCAAGCTCGAGATTGGGAAAATCTAGGCCGACGCGGCAAGCTCCGCAAGCTCCGCGCGAGCGCGCTAAGCTAAATTGGGGCAGCTTGCATCGCCCGTCGCATCTCGGCTCTAAAGTCTCGGCTCTAAGATCTCAACTGTGCCCCTCTGAAGCAGCAATCAACACCCAGCCCCATCCCCTCTTACCGCCTTCACTTAATGCTCCACCTGACCACCTTTACATGAACCGTTTTGCCGCTTCCTCAGTGTACTGGACCGTAGGGCACAGTTCCCTATAGTCTAGAATCAGTTAGCCTACCCTGCACTTGGTCAACCTGCACTTGGCTCCCGCCTGCGCTACCGCTTCCGCTCCGCCAGCTACAGTACCGAGCCCACTGTAGCACCCTGCACAGGTGCCCTCTTACAGGCCTGTCAGGCACGCAGTTTAACAAAGGTTATCATAGTTCTTAATAACCATAAATGTACGGCGGTTAGATCCGTAAATACTGTAGGGGAGAAATGCACGATGGTGGCACACCCTGTTGGGTCAACCAATCAGGGGGGTCTCAGGATCCCGTGCACAGCTGTACGCCGAGTCCCGAAACGAGGGCGAACGACCGAGAGCCCGGGCCCGGGACCTCGGGACCAGGGGACATTACTGTGGTTCACCTACATGGATATATACGACGACCGTAGCCACGGTCTTAGAGTTTGCTTGGTTCCTCAAGCAAGCAATACACATTCTTTATACTCAGTACTCATACACTTGAAGTAGCAATCCAGTTTGACTGTATTACCCGTGCGATAGGAGCTCCCCCTCTATTCGGTCTTCATTACACCAACCCAGCGACCCCTTTGTGGTGCCCATGCACCCTTACAGACAGACGACCTAAACAGTCGAGTGGTTTGTAATAGGGCTATAGTAGAGATGTAGCGAAGACTCGTTACGAAAGCCGACGAGCTCAGTGCTCTATTACTTTGCCAAGAGAGTATAAGAGTTTTCTCTTGCTGGAATTAGCCTCCCTGTCCTCTCGAATATTCACAACGATATCTCGTGGGGCGGATTCAAAATTAAAGGCTACCGTTGACCCCCAAAGGATTATCACATTAAATTCGTATAGCCAGTCTGGTGGCTGTGGGTAACAACGGAAAAACGACAAACGAAATGACAAGTCGGCTCCGCCAGCTCACCCCCCGCTGGATCCGCCTGTGAGTTCTCTTAAAGGCTGAAGCGAGCTGCATTGACAAGAAATTGAGTAGGTCCAACCCGGGATTCCAAGGAGAATGGAGCCCGAGATGATCTGGACAAAGCAATGGGCGAGGCCGGTGTGAAGGAAAAGAGAGGATATGGGTTTTCCGTAAAATTGTAAAAAGAAAATGCCTGCAAAACCAAAGAATAAAACCTCGATTTCCTAGCTTCCACGCCCCTAGATTGGGTCATATCTCGTAAACTCCATTAGGTAGTTATAGCTTGGTCGCTTGTGAGTTACTTGCAGACGAGCACTCGGTGAGAACCATCCTGTCAATAACACAGGGGATGCTGTTGACAGTGTTGGTTGACAGGGAGCGTTTCCCTTTATGATCTTGCGCAAATTGAGATCCCCGGGGTGCCCTTTCCTACTTCTCGCGTTCATAATATATGTTAGTAGGCCGGCTCACCATAAGCGGCTGACTCTTTGTGAATAGTAACCGCTGAGAGGTAAGAGATAAGTGATTCTCTAGAGAGTCTCGCACGACTGAGAATCTTCCCATAGATTGGAAGAACTTAGCTGTAGTGAGGAGTCTGCGGTTGGTATCGGCCTCGAGATGTGAAGTTGGATACAATGGCTCCCAGTTATAGATGAGAGCGGTGATGTCACGGTCGTGGCACTGAATCATGTTTTCGGCTAGGGAGAGATGGAGGCGTCCCATAAGGGCATGGTCTCGTGGCGTCGCCGACCGCTGTATCTTCGAATGATGTATAATGCTTTGGAAAAGCGCTACTGAAACGCGTAGGTGGTTTGGGGCCGCCAAGTGCAGTATTTTGCTCGCTCGCTCAGCCTACAAGCCCTTTGCGGGGAGCTCTTTAGACCCTATATAGTAAGTGCTCTTACCATTATAACAAATCCCTACTACCTGTCTAGCACCCTTCCTCAACCTCTCCCGGACATCGCCTTTTCGGACGAATAGCTCTCTGAAATAACTCTTCTCCTATACCACGTCAGGGCCAGTCGCGATGGACAGTGACAAAGAGGATTGAGAATTATTATTATTTTCCATTCGCTGATTAAAGCAGCAAGCACTCCATTCCAAGTCCCATACTTAGGATTCATTTAGGATCTTTGGGTTGACGTACATCGCCGCTTCTTGCGCGGCCGACCGCGTTGGGCCTCTTCGCCGCCATATAACTCTCCATCTCGGTCCAACCCCAAATCTTCGTTCACTAGATCTTCACCACTGATTGAAGCATTGATCGCACGCTTCTCCGTCCTCCTGCCACACGAATCCGCCTCGTTCTCACTAAGCGGGGGTGTCTGGGCCTGGGCATCTGCGAACCCTGTCGAGTCGCTACCTCCGAGGGGAGCCACGCCTTAGGCCAGCCGTTTCTCGGGGTCCCTGCTCCCCGGATCGTCGGGCCTGCCGGTGCCCGTTGCTTGGCTGTCCCTGAATTGCTGGGCAGGTGGCGAGATGACCTGGCTAGACGCGAGGACACGCGTCGCCATAATCCTAGTGACGGCAGCCATGTTTTCGATACAGCACATATCCCAGTGATTCTGCAAGGCGTTTCAATCGGGCAGGTTTTTCTTGTCGAGCACGGCGATGCGATCATGGTACGGCATTACGAGATCGTAAGACACAAACGCCCGGATACGCAGTGTTTTAGGGTGTATGGACACTAAGCCAGCATCGAATAGCTGGTAGATATGGCTGGCCAGGAGGATGCCGTTGGAAATGGACCATGTCGACAGCCAAGCCGCTCTTAGCTAGGAGACGTTTTCGGGATCTGGTCTCGTCCGGCCGGGGCCTGGCGGGTACAAGTGGTAGTGGATCTGGGGGACGATGTGGGCTGCTTGGATGGCGGGTCCAATCGCCGGGCTGCTGAACCATGACTTCCCCAGGCCAGAGATGGCGCACGAGACGCCGCCCGTCATGCATCTCTGACGTAATTTTGTGATTCCCTGGCGGGCCTCGTCAATGGGGATTGCGGACTCGGGGATCACAATGCCCCCCAGCGCATCGTCGTCTTCTTCCTTATTAGGAGAGAGCGATCGAGACCGTACCGAGGAGCCCGAGGCATTTCGCTTCGAGGGAGAGATAGCCTTGGCTCTTCGGCGGATGGGGTACACGGCGACCCGGGGGTCGTTGGGGGGCTTGTCGGGAGGAAGGTATCTCGCATCGTATCGTCGGGTTGGGGTCGGAACTCGCCAAATACACGGGGCTGTTAGAGAGCACAGGGCAAATTAGCATGTGCATCAGGACAAGACTGGTGAGGAGTGGATCGGATGGAAAGGAATGGATCGGAAACTTGCCGTGGAGGTGGCCTGGCCCCGCGGAATTGGTGCAACTCGCCGAGGCGTGGTAAACAAAGTGATACGAGTCCACCTCGTCGTTTGTGGGTAAGGGTAGAAGCCTCGAGTTGTGAATGGCTGCGGGCTGCTCCAGGTTAAATCAACCCCAATTCAGGACCGACGGAAGACGCGGGTCGTCGGGGCAATCCAATAGTAAAGCGGGCTCCCAAGAGCCGTCGTCGTCAGGTGGGCGCGAGAAGTCGAAGCACAATCTCAGCTTGCCCTAAACGTCGTCAACGGTGAGCTCGCCGCAGTGATGGATGCCACCAAAGCGCTGGCCACTCAAGTCGAGAAAATGGACATTCCAGCCCATCTGTCGCATTTCGGGCGTTACGGTGGAGCTCATTGTATATTGTGCTTCGTGTTTCTTAGGCCGGCATCCCTTTCTATCAGTATTATCGTTGCAACTGTCAAAGGCCTGTATTGGCCCCACTTGCGGTTGATCCTGCTCTCACGTTATCACGTGCGCTCGCGCAGCCAAGCCAACTCACGCCCAAGCAGTCCCTGTATTGTGTATACACTTGACCGTTCCCCAGTTCTCCCTTCGGCCGCATTGCAAGCCGCTAACAGAAAGCCAATTACAGCTACTCTACTACGAGACTTGCGACGGCCGCCGCACGCCCTTCGTCTTCGTCTGCATTAGTCGAGTTCGCCCTAAACCCCGGTGCACGTTGACCCGTCTCTGCTGCTTCTAGGCTTGCTGGCACGTGCGCAGGCTGACTGTTGGAAGTCCCGCCGTGATATGTTGGCCCCAGCCAAGGCCTCTTTTCTTCAATTCTCTTTTCGACATCCTACCTCTCGAGCGCCAACCACCCCGAACTAACTCAACCATGAGCCATTTGCAGCTTAATCCATCGTCCCTAAGCCGACAGAGGACGGGCCGAGGATCATTCATGGCTTCGGCAGAATATCGGCAGAATATCGGCAGAATATCGGCAGATTGCGGCAGATCTTCCCAAAGCCGCTCCTCAATTTGCGGTGGCCTTAACACAGTAACGACGCCCCTCGACATCGGCCTTGAACTCAGAGTCGATCCGCAAAAAGCTGGCGGCAGCCAGCGCTAGCTCGTTAACCGGAACATGCACGATCCAGTCCGCCTTACCGAACGACAATTCCGCACTACCTACGAGGAAGGATTTAGCGCGTGGGCCGAACTACATGTCTCCGCCATTAAGAACCCCGGATTCCCATTCCTCGACCTTCGGAATACGTTCCCTAACTAGCCATACTTCCCATAATGCTTGAGCTTAAAGTCTAGGAAGACTATAAACGAGTATCGAATTATCGCTAGTAGTCATTTAAACTTGGGGGTCTTCACTAGTTCGTCACCAGCATAGACTAGCATAGAATACCGTCCTTCCGTCAGCCCGTACAGGTTGAAGTAGCGGTAAAAAAAAATCATCACCTTAACGACCGAGATATCGAGTACCGACTTTAGTAATGAGTTGTTTCGCGGCAACCACAGCTATATCGCTGTCCTTGCCCTGGCCCGAGCGTATATTCTTTCCGCCCGGTGGGCCGAGATGTTTCCCGGCATGTGCCCCCTTGCCTACGGCGAAGAGCGTGCAGTCTACGAGAACCTGAGCGAGCAGGACGCCATCGTCGTGGATATTGGAGATGCGGGTGCAGATGAGGCCCAATGGTGGGCCTTCATTCTGACGCAAGGGCAGGGCTGATGCGCTACTATGGCTGTTGGCGACGAGACAGGGCCTCCGGCGATCGGCGGTGTGATAGGGCTGTCGCTATCTTACGCTCGACTCCGTCCGCTGGTGTAAACTGTAGGCGCGCAGGAAATCCAAACGGATCATTTATATGGGAAGAACAAAGAGTGTTGTCTTAGGGAGATTTTCCGCAGTGATTTTTGCCCAAGCCCCAAAAGAAAAAGAATTACCTAAATAGCTGGTTTGGGATTTGCTAACGCTATCACTGACTCTATAGGCATGAAGCTCAACAAACTTGGGGCTCCAGCGAGGTACATAACGACAAAGAGCAACCTTTCACTCCGCCCAGCGGGTGGCTTGGCTATTTTTTTTTCTCCCTCTGTCCAGCAGATGGTTCCCCGTCCAGCGGGGAAACAGCATAGTCACCAAGAGGCGCAAGACACAAACGTGGAAAACAAGACAAACACAAACTTGACCCCCCCGACACCCACCTCCCTACCCGGCGCTGACGGTAGAGGCTTGTGTCTGCATGTGTGTGATGGCGCAAGTTGGCGCAACACGTCTCCTCTCTCTAAGGCCACTGGATACTGCAGCAGTTATCGTTGACATTGCCGCAATACATGTGGGTGCATACACGGCACGCTGTGGGAGTAATGTCGTCGTCGGCGGTCCACTGGATGGCATTTGTGGTCGTGACTCCGTTGCCCTCGCAAACGCCACACTCCCACCACGCACCGGCCTCCCTCGCGCTCGACTTTGAAGACCCCGAGGCCGAGGACGGGCGGCTGCCGCCGCCGCCGCTCGAAGACGCGGAGCTCGACCCTGCCTGGTCGAGGAGGGCGTTGTAGTCGGCTTCTATCGTAGCATAGGCCGTCCGGTACGACTCCAGCTTGTCAAAGGCGCGGGTGAGCTTGTCGTAGGTGGACTTGATGAAGACGTGTTTGGCGGGATCGTTCTGAACATTTTGGTATTCCTCAGTCAGGCCTTCAACAGTTTCGGACTGCTTCTGGATCTTGGCGGCTTGCGATGTCAAAGTCGTGTATAGTGTCCTAAGAGTGTCTGTCCTGCTCTCCTTCTTCTTGCCGCCCTTAGACTTGGAGGACATGGTTGCGATTTGGAAATTACTGGTAGTGTGTGTAAGAACAGCGGTCTACGAGTGTGGTGATGAGGATGTGAATGGAGATATTGATGATGATAATGATAATGACGATGCGGAAGGGATGAGACCGTCATTCTTATAGCTTTATTTCTTCTCCAGCTGGGGATGGCAGCAGTTGAGTCGGGTTCTGGCCGCATTATTCGTGGCCGTTGCTCGGCTCTGGAGGCGACGCATGTCTCAACGCCCATAACCCGGCGTAAAACTGGCACGACAGGTTGGCCGGGCTAGACCTGCCCACTCTTCCTCTTCTGTTGGGTACGTATTCCCCTATCTCGGCCGGGGGGGGGGGGGGTGGTTGCTGTTTGTGGACTGCGCGGAGTATCTCGAGTTTTTTTTTTTGAGTTTTTTTTTTACCCCTGGGCGCCTTGAAAAGCCGGGAGTTTACCACCCCTGGTCGGCCGGCCGTTTCGGCAGGGCTATTTCTGCGCGTCAGGGGAGCTGGGACGTCCTGCGGGCTGTGATTGCGGCTCAGAGACCTAAGCAACGCCGCGTCCTTCTCTGGGCGGCACAGCAACTAGGCTAACCTAAGTATTTAGCAACTTAACCCTGGGTCTATATGATTTGCAAACATTAACCTCTAATGATACCCCCCGCCCTTCTTTCCAATGTCAACGCCTCAAGCTCCCACAGATCCAGGGTCGTCTCGAAGGGGCACTGGCTCGAGGCCCGGTTCTCTCCGCAAGGGTCTAAGAGGATTTTGAAGTCTTGATTCGAGGGACTTCTCGTGGTCGTGTCCCAACCGGCGGCACTTGCTACACGGCGGACACACTTGGATTGGTGTTGTTGGGCTCGGGTTGTTTGACACCCACGTGTGCGAATTTGGCTGGCTAGCAGGCTAGCCCAAAATCGAAGCTAACCAACATCTTTCTGGTCAGTTCAGATAGTATCGTGTATTGTGGGACTTGGCGGTACTGCCACGGCAGTTGACAGGGACGGACTGGACTCTTGATTCAGCCTCGTTGGAACCTCCCGACCATGCTCAACTCTTCCCCACTACAGTGATGTCTGTCTCTACCAGTATTTACTTGCTTGCCGGAAACTCAGGGTTACCTACAACTCTACAAAGCACTCGATCAAGATGCCGTACGGCTGAAGACTCAGTGGTATATCGACGACTTCTCTGTTATTACACAGCTGGAAACCTATGTCATGGCATAGAAGACTCGACACATGTCATTTCCCACCCGAAGACAAATGTGTGGCTCGCCTCTCGGGTTACGAAAAACTAAAAGCGAGGAATGCTTTCTTCTTTCCTATCAATTTGGTCTACCCAATCTGCAACCCCCGCTAAAGCCCTCAACGCAGAGCATCTAGAAACTTGTCATTCCACACAAAAACAACGGCCCACCAGGGACAAAGACCAGCATGACCAGCATGACCAGCATGACCTGCATGACCAGCATGCCTACACAACCTGTGCGTACAAAACTACAACAAACGGCGCCAAGCATGACTGGCATGCTTTTACAGCTAAGCTAAAACACCTCCAGAACAAGGACCACTCCAGCACGGCCAGCATGCATCCACCAGGGCTCTATGCACCTGTAGGCAAAAAAAAAAGCGAGGTCCTCTCGGGGGGTGCCACGTATCCCCTATTTCACCACCTTGTGGTGCTGTTGGTTGTCTCCAGAAGCGCCGCCCGCCTTCACTATTGAGGGATTAGACTCTGTTTCCTGAGCCTTGAGAGCCTTGTACTCTCGTTCGCGCCTACGAGCTTCCTTGCCCCAGTGCTTTCGCGAAGTGGCATCCGGTGCGGCGTTTAACATGGCTTTGGCCGTGGAGAATTGGTGTTTTGCCTCTTGCAAGGTCGTCGACATGGTATCGGGTTGGGATGGGGATAAGATATATTGGAGTTGGTTGACTTGTTGTCTCGAGGACAAAGGAGACTGAGAGACACAAAAACGAGAAGCGAGCAAGCTGAATGCAAGAAGGGCTGGGACGAGTCGTTGATCGGGGGAACAGGAAAGTTTAGAAAGCTATGAAGATCGTGAAGGAGGCTTTTAAAGTATTTTCCTCCAGAGCCGAGACCCACTTGTTTGAGTGCAATGTCATACATCCCGGAGCACGTGGAAGTTGGGGGAGGGGGGTTGGGGGGTGGGGAGGAGGGGTTAACATACTAGTGCGGCACAAACCTAACGCCCTCGCCCGGCCCTTAGGTGGGCCATCCCCCGCCTCCAGACCTGCGGGGGCACAATAGCGTGGGAGACAACTAGGACTGAGGTACGGCGTAATAAAAAGATGACCTCAAGGCTTCCCCGTTTGTGTCTAGCCGGGTATGATAAAGCCCGACCCCCGTCTCTTGTGGCGCCGCTGCACTTAATTTCAGAGCCTTACGGAGGCGTCGGAAGAGAAGCCTTTTGTCAGCGTGGGACCTTGGACAGGCTGGTGGGTGGCATCTCGTTGAAGGTTCCCATCTGTTCGCCATGAGATTGCTTCATTTTCTTTTCCCTTGTACAAACAAGAACGGGCTAGTCAAGCGGGTTTGCTCTTACTTGGCGCAAAATACCCTATTTTTCCCTTCGAGTTAGGAAGCGAAGCATTGTCGAACCATTGGCTTAGTGATGAAGGTAGGTGCCCAACGGTACTTCGTACCACGCTAACGAACAAAGCAGTTGGGGAGGGGGCCGAGGGGCCGCAACCACTACCCCGGGCTTTCTGTGATAGCTGTCTGTCATCTGCGGCCCCATCATGCAGCCCTATTTGGGTATGTAATCTTGACACCCTGGCTCCGCCTCCTTCAACGTCAAAGTTAGCCATCGTCACATCAACCCGTCGTCTCACCGTCATATCGTCTCACCGTCATATCGTCCCATATTAATTTGTTCTCTAGGATCTTACACCACGCCCCGATCCATCTTCTCAATCAAGAAACGCTTATTTGATTGGTTCAGGTTAGTCCAAGAGGATGAGCGGAGTTAGCCACCGATGCTATTGATTGCAGCGGCAAAGTCGGTCGAGATAGGCCTAGTTCGCTGACCTTCGCCACATGTGCGGCCAAGACTTTAAGTCGCAAAATAAGATTTCTTCCAGGATACCCGTCATACTACGAAACATGGGTATCTCGATAAGATGAAACGACTGTCAGGTTAATATCGTCCGTATCTAACGACGACGAAAGACTTATGTGATCAGGACAAAACTACAGGGGGGGGTGCGGCCCTTGACTTGTAAGTTTTGGAATGCCTTCTCTTGTCTTCGTGTTGGCCCGCGCCGCCTACCAACAAGCCTAGCAGCGAGCCTTGCCCCTTCATAGTCAACAGCAACCCTCCTAAGCCTCTGCGGCACACTCGACACAGTGAGTCTCAACACCAAGTAACGGCAGGCTTTGAGACCATTTTTAGCAACGTCATAGGTCCCCGAGCTGGCAATCCGGCACACGCGCTACTACACCCACCCTGATGCTGCTACCACAAGATACCTCCCATGAGCATACCCTTAGTCTGCTGAGAGCCCCCCCCCTTCCCCCCCTCCCAAGTATCTGGTCCGTGGCGACGCAATCACCTGGGCCACAACCACCGCCGACCGCAGACCGCATCAGGATCGAACAGAGTGGACTCGATTGGCACAGCTGAAACCGGTTCTCAACACGCCAGCTTTCTCCCGTGACGCGGACACGCCGAATGGTGCCGAATGGTGCCAAAAATAACTACCTTGTTGCGGCGGGAACCCCCGTAGTTGTCGAAGGGGTTAGAACACAGGGTGGAGATACGGCCTCGACTTGGACGGCGACAATGGGAGAGAAAGACGCACCACGCACGCCCTTCACGCCAGCCGACCTCGCCTCTCCTCCACCACGCCGCCGCCTGGTTCTATTTTGGGAAGCTCGTTTCGGTTTTCTTGAAGATTGAGCGGCAGTAACTGGATTTCACTTGCCTGGCGCTGTCGCACGCGGCACTGGGCCTCGTGTTCGGCGGCAAGTCCGCCCCTATCTGAAGCAGTCATCGAACGGCGAGGGCGGCCACGGAACTACCGTTCCTTCGACGTGTGTTGGGTGACGAGGGAAGGATTTGGGCCGTTCCATCTCCGAGTCTTTCTCCTCTCGGTCGATTCACCCTCTGGCTTGTTGGCCTGACTCGGGTACCCGTCTCTGCTATCGGTCAGTGACTGTCGGTTCAAGTTCTTGTGACGGGCCGCTCTTAACCCAACCTGCATAATCGGCTAGCTCGGACAGCGGCTCCCTACAAGATCGCTCGTCGTATTGGCCGCTTCCTTCGCGAGAAAGATCTAGAAGGACACCGGCGGGCCTAGGTCTTTTTAGAACTACTTCTTACGTATCTTGAGACCCGGGCCACCGAGGTAGAGACCATAATAAACGCGTTGGAAGATAATAAGACGCAGGACGCCGCCAAATAGACTAAGAAGGAATTAGCAATGCCTGTCATGTCCGGAAGCTTAGACCTTCCGCAGCGGCTTGATAAGGTATAACTGGAACCGTCATTCGTCATTATAGTACAGCTCACTTCGACAGTCCCCTTCGTTATAACGAGTACGGCCGTTGAGGAAAGATGTACGTCGTGGAATTCGGAAGTAATCTGACGGCCTCTAGTGGGTGGGGCGCAGCCCTACCTATTCCCGTCTACGTTGCCATGTCGCTTACCGTTTTTTTATGGCGGTCAATTCTGCCCATAGGTCCGTGCGTCTTTCACCACTTTAGCTTTACTCAGGAGAGGCAGGTTTCGGCGTCTTACTCCTACCAGTTCCGGCTCCCTCTAAGCGAAGCACACATGATTCAAGGGCAAACTGGACACGTCCAACACGGCAATTGACTACGACCTTGCCTGCCACTGCTGATTGGATACGGTATTGTCGGGTTTCTTTGCCTTGTATCGCTCAACTCGTTCTTTTGGTCTTTCTATTCCATGTTTCTTCCATTTCTCGCTCGTACCCACACGGCTAGTGGTCCTTCCCCAAGTCCGATGCAGACCTGAACTAGGAAGGGCTAGACTCTTTGTTGCAGCCTTCGTTTTGACATTCTTTCTGTCCTTCAAACCATGACAACTTGGAATATTCGATACTTGCAGGAAACTTCAAAGGGATTGCCGCCCTCATGTCAATAAATTTAGCCTTTTGACACACTCTAGGAACGGTCTCGAGTTTTGAGCAGGGCTTCTATTTTAGTAACATAACGTGCGCAGAGAGTCTTTTAACCCTGGGGTGGGGGTGACTGGAGGCCTTTGTCCTAGGCTGGGACGGCGGCGTAGACAGACATGTGAATTGCTGCCCGCGCTTCTAATCAACAGCACCACCATTGGCAAACGCCCGTTCAAGAGAGAGGAGAGGGGTATCAGTCTATATAACAAGAGCCCGCATGACAGGGTCGAATAGGAAAAAAAGATGGCCGGTGCCAAGCGTATAAAGATCAACTGCAAAGTTTCTTGCCTCCTCATTTATCTTCAGTGTCCTTCTCCATTGCCCCTTCGATGTCGGTAACGGCAGCCGAGTCGAGGTGCTGATCGTCCGAGTTCTTCCTGACAGCACCCGAGTAGTGGCCAGGGGCGGAGCTGCCGTTGGGGATGTGGAAGCGTTGGTCGAAGCGGGATATGGCATAGGTGTAGACGACGATCAACTCGATGACAAAATTGACAGTGTAGAAAGCAGCCTTGTGGTGGTACCACGCAGGGTCCGAAGCCGGGCGGGGAGCAAAGTTGACGCCGATGCGGAAGCCGGCGCCGAAGCTCAGCAGAGTCGCGGTGAAGAGCAGGAGCATGAGCTTGTGGCGGAAGGGGCCGCGGCCGAACTTCTCGATGGCATTTTGGCGGGGGAAAAGGATGGCTAGAATCACGACGGGGATTGGCAGGAAGGCCATTACGGCCAGGTAGGTGCCGGCGAAGAGCTGCACGTCCCGGTCCTTCTGGCGGGCGTCTAGGTCAAGGGTGAAGAAGGAATGTACCGTGCTCGTGATGACCATAATGAGGGAGGCAATGATGGAAAAATAGAGGGCGAGAAAGGTCCAGTGTGTGGCGCGGTGCCAGCCAAAGGTCGGATGGTACGCCCGTACGATACGCTGGGTAAATACTATGTTGATGACGAATAGGAGAAGCACGCCGGCAGCGGTGAAGATGTTGGCGGCGATGGCGACGTTGATATTGGTTGGGTGGCTGGCCCAGGCCATGCGCATGGATAAGGCCACTATGCGGGCCATGCAGAAGCCAAAGAGCAGCGCAGAGGGGATGAACTTGTGGTCGCGGCGCCGGTTCAGTTGGAATATTGTCATGTTCGTTACGGCGCCGCCGACGAAGAAGAGCAGTAACACGGCGATTATAGGGTCGTCGGGAATGGGAGTCGGCAGGCCGCCCGACTGGGCAGTCTGGGGAAGGTAAGGCGGGCCCGAAGGCGGCTGCGAGAAATGTCAGTCGATCGGCCCGCATTTCAACTCCAGCAAACGAGGAACCATACCGCCTGTGCTCCCTTGGGCGCGTCAGAAGCCATCTGTCGGCCTTGATGTGTTATTGGGATGTGCCGAGGTCGCAGTGCCGAAAACAGACCGCCCCAGGACGAGGGGAGAAGTCAAGGTGTTGTGCAGAGAAAGAACAGATCCGAGCTCTGCAGAGTGGGGAGGCTAGGATATGGGGTGATATCATAAAGGTCGGATAGTGGCCGCAGACGGGGCTCTTGGGCTTGGGCTTGGACTTGGAATCTGGAAGGTGGTACGTGTTTGGGATCGACTCAGACGAACAGATGCAGATAGATGGATGCAGATAGTTGGATGCAGATAGTTGGATGCAGACAGTTGGATGCAGATAGGTAGATGCTGGGTGTGTAACTGCCACCAAGATACTCGTACCTACGGTAGTTATACATGAGACGAGCTATCCGTATTCTAGGCTGGTCCACTCCATCCCATCATCCATGGCCAATACGAAATAGGTCGAGCCTCTTTCTGTTGGTGGGCTGTTGGAAATCATTTTGGCCGCGGCCCGACATGCGGAATTGGTCGGCATCGCGTCACTTGACACATCCGGAATCCCAGTGGTGAGCTGCGAGGGAGGCGGACTTAAGAAAGGAGAGCCCCATGCGTGGGCTGCCTGATTCGGAAGGGAGCTAGCCTTGGTGGCGTAACGCTAGCGTGGACTGCTAGTCGGTTGGGGCCGAGACTTGGCTGTCTGCGCCGGCGTTCAGTGAAGCGCGATGCCCGACCTCTCGACGCCAAGACGCGAGGGCCCAATGGTAGGTTAGCAGCAAAGTCGCAGCGAGCCGACCCCGACCACTGGGAGCGAGGGAAGAAAGGCTAGTGACGTCCCGAATGACGGAACTTTACATAACTGGCCGCCGGTCAGTTCAAAGAAAGAAACCCCCCATCGGAAACAATATTCCCGTGCATTCCAGGTTGCAGTTCACACCGTTCCGTGAGGATACACCACCACGGAGCATCCATGTCGCGTGGAATTGTTTGCGGCGAACCGCGAGCTGCTGTCGCACAGTCGCCAGTCGCACAGTCGCAAAATCGCACAGCCGCAGCCGCAGCCTTGCTTCCATTTGCTGCGGTAGTGTGAGCGAGTGCGGTGAGCGAGTCTCATCGTCAAACGCTAGTTAGTGCACAGTTTCACTGCAGCGCCGTGCACCGATGCCCAACGGCTTGTCCCACTCCATCTCGCGTCCGTTGCTACGACCTTGGGATTCGACGGGACAGTAGCTGCAAACTGGTCCGCGTGCAGGGTGCACGTCGGGTGCCACGGGTGCCACGGGCTCGGCCACCTGCCGCACCCGAAGCTCCGCTTGGGCTCGGAAGGTTCTGTCCAGCAACAGTAACACGAGCGGCTCTGCATGCTCTGCATGCTCTGGATCGTACGCCCTGCTTGCTCTGGATCGTATGCCCTGCTTGCTCTGGATCGTATGCCCTGAGGTGGCTCTTTTTGGTTGTTATACGCGTATAGCTTCGTCGTTCGGTTACCATCGTTGTCCGGCCTCTTGCGGATGCTAATGATGGCTATTGAGGCCGATGGAGTTCGGAAACAAGCATTTACCGGGCCGCTATGCCAGCAGCAGCGCAAGCAAGGCAAGCAACGAAGGACATTCCACATCGCAGTAAATGTCAACGGCACGCGTCTCAAGAGGGACAAGGAGACAGGACAGGGTAGCATCCTGTCAAACTAAAACCCCAGGGCAGAGGCAGAGAGATACCAAGCAGTAGATATACCGGACAAAGCCGTTGTCTCTCTCCGACCTTACCAAGCTTCCTTCAATTCTATTGTGGTCGGGCCTGATAAATACGCCGCAGGCTGCTGCTCTCCCAGCCGTACAGCCATCGAGCAGTTCACTCTCAAGACGCGAGTTTGCAGTTCACTCTCAAGACGCGAGTTTGTTGCCTTTCGTACATCTCGGGGTGAGTTTTCGTTCGTTGGCTGCTAACACTTGGCATCGCCATCACCCGCAGAGAGAAGGATCCCGGCGGTCTCGCGGCCTTCCCGGCCGAGCTGTCCCAGGCGGACAAGGAATACCTGTTCCTCGCCAAGCTCCTCCGCCTCTCGCCCGTGTGCGTCCCCTGCCAGACATGCATCCTCACCACCTTCCACGCCCTGTCCTAGGACGAAAACACGGGCCTGCAGCTGACGCCCTCGCACGTGCTCAACCTCAAACACTACCCTAAGCTCGTCCGCAGGGAGGCCCGCCTCGTCTGTCTCGAGGCCACCATCGCTGCCCTCGAGAACCCAGACCTCTTCGAGCTGAACCTCGTGCGCGGCCGCTGGGTCGCCATGTTCGAGCGCGCCAGGCGCACCGGAATCTTTAGGCCCACCACCACCACCACCACCGCCATCGGCGCAACCCAGGCCGAGGAGTAGCTAGCGAAGCTGTGGTTCGCGAGCCTCGGCACGTACACGGCGCTCGACGCCGCCGCAGGCCGCCAGTTCCTGTGCGGGCCGTTCTCGTTCACCGCCATGCACGAGCTGCGGCTGCGGGTTTCCGAGCGCCCGCACCACGGCGCGCTGTGCGCCTGCCCCGACGCCCGCTGGCAGCAGCAGGACGATGATAGACACGCGCGCCTCGGCCGTCGTCCGCGACCGCTACACGGACCCGCCAATCTGCGACGTCTACGACACCCTGCGGCGCGCCGCCGCCGCCGGATACCCCCCGCCCCTGCCCCTCGCCAACATCTTCGACCTCCCGCAGTTCCGCGCCGTGCTCGAACCCTTCCTGCGCGCCGGCACCGCCGAGCTGCCGCTCATGTTGGCCAGGATGCGGGACAAGGCTGTCGCGCTCCGCCGAACGATTAATATGTTGCGCCTCTCGCTCGGCCCGCCAGAAGCGCCGCTGGACGATCCAACTGGCGGCCCTCCAGGAGTACCGCCGGATGACCCAGAGGCCGCTGGCCCTGTTGCTGCTGTTGAGTGGCGAAGGGATTGCTTACGTAGGTTGGTACGTGGATTTGTGCTACTGACGTGACACGATATGGGCACGGCGTCCCGGCTGGGTAGTCATGGCGAGCGACGAGAGGCTTAGTCAAGCTATCATCGAGGCTCGTTCGTCGACGCTCGTAGCAGTGTGGTAAGTTGATTGCAAGGTAAGTTGCATTTATTTTTTATTCGTTTTTCTTTTTTCATGTTTCGAGGTTCTTTGTTTTGTTTTTCTCGTCTTCCTGCAAACTGTTCGTAAATAATGCACCACCAAATTTGGGGGCCAAAACCAAAAAGGAGGTTAAAGCGTAAGGAAATAACACCGATGCCAAGAAAAACAAAGAACAAAACTCAATGAGAGAACGAAAAAAGACAATACCACTTTGGACAGAACCGGCCTCTTTTATAAGACTGAAAAATATTGTCCTCGAATATCCCAGTCTTCTTACTCAAATAGACGTCATCTTGCGTGACGCGCTTCAAAGACTAGAATGTACCCCTTTTTTTTCCATCCCCGTTCTCCCCCTACGGCGCCTGGTATTACAGAGTCCCAAGATCCATCAGCTACAAAGTGACACTCATCCCGGTTGCGCAGAGATTCGGCACGTCGAAACTGGCAGAGACAGAGGAAGATGAAAAGGTGTGACTGCCCAAAGTCTGGCCCTCGACTCGATTTCGCACAACTGTTTGCTCTCGAGTTTGCTACTGCCGAGTCTATCACCGCCCGGCTCCTGCTGGCGAGGGATGCCGGACGTAGCACTGGCGGGGGCAGCGGCAGCCACGTCAATGGTGTGACTGTTTGCTCCCATCATGTGTCTCCCCGGCTCTTGTTCCTGTCCCCCTTCCCTTCCCCTTTTGAGAAAGATGATTATGGCCTTAGGATAATAAATACGCTGACGCGTTCATGCCTCGACTCCCACTTCTCTCTTCTCGAAGATTATGAAGAAGAAAATGAATAATATCCCGGACCTCCAAAGCCAGCTATGGCCTGCTGGTGTGTTTGGGGACTAGGAATGACAACTTATTTTGTTTGTGCCGAGAAAAGACCCGCCAGTTCAACAGCTGTTTGTAGCCCCCGCTTGTTTTTTCAATCGATAATAAATCGTCAATATTGAACTTCCCAGCTAACAAGATTAAACGAGGGCCAGGTAAAGATATAAAAAAAACAAGAGCCCAATTCTCTACCAAAGAAAAAAGAGAAACACGAACACGCGAATGAGAATAGTTATCAACGCAATGGCACCACCACCATCACCACCACCACCACCACCCACATCCAGCACCAGCATCAGCACCAGTACCAGCACCAGCACCAGCACCAGCGTCCCCGCGTCCGAGCCGAGCACGGGGTCCGGCGCGGGTTCGCTCTGGGCAGCCGAATACGCCTCGGGTGACGGCATCAAAGCAGCGGCGGCCATAGACCTGGGGCTGGCGGGGCTTCTGGCGGTGTTCCTCGGCGTGGTGGTGTGGCAGTGGCGGCGCGGCAGGCGGCGGCGGCGGCGTGCCGAAGCGGGGAGGGCGGCGAGCCCCCGAGACGGGGATGTCGGTGGTAGTAGCAGCGGGAGCGAGAGTAACGGCGGTAGCCATACGACAAGTAGCTATAGCATGACGGGTAATTCTAGCGCTGGGGGCAGCGGGTCGCCGAGAGGTCGTGGTGTTGATGCTCGATCCGTGAATGCGGCGCTTTCAGGGGCTGAGGCTGCGGCTGCGCAGACGGGAGATGGTGGCGGTGGGGGGAGGCAGGAGGATAAGGGGAAGGAGAGCGAGAGAGGGAGGGAGAAGGAGAAGGAACAAGAAAAGGAGAAACAGGAAAATGGGGAGATAAGTAAAAAGGGAGAGAAGGAAAGCAGAGCTGAGAAAGCTGAGGAAGACAAAAAAGGAGAAACGCGTCAAGGCGGAAGTGTGAACACTCAAGAGATTCCTAAGTAATGTCGTTCAGCTGGGTGGATGAATTACAGCTTTTACACAGGCTCTAGAGACAACGCACAATGCGGTTAAGATGATTCCTGTTTCCAGTCGTGTTTCTCAAAACACCCGCCTCTCTCGCGTTGCCGAATTCGACAGGCGGAATTAGAAGAGGAAAAAGAAAACCTACCACCCGCCCCATCCGTATTTTCAGAGTTTGCCATCGTCAAACTTGCTATGAAAATCCGCCACCGTTCTCCCTATCCAAAGCATATATGTAGCCGCCCACCACCGTTCCCAGCACCTCCCCCTTTCCAACGACAAAAGTCACCCGGACATAAAATCCCAGATAAACGCTAAGCACCAGAGGAACCACCGCATTGCGTTATCTGAACCTGAAGTCACCAGCGGCATTGAACAAGCCTGGAAAATACATCACAGCAGACCCGGAGGGAGGGAGGGAGCCAATTCTGGCCTCCAAACCCCAAAACACATACACTGAGTACTCTAAGAGAGCCCAACCACACATGTATTTAGGCATATTGCCAACCGAGGTTGTAGCAAACGGTAGGTGCGATATCAAGTCCCAGGACTGTCTCGCGAATTATTACTAGATTATTCCCAAGACAGCCGTCCATCTTCTAAAAGCATTTAGAGCTAGTGATTAGAGCATCGACATTGTGACAGACTCGTTTCCCGTCGTAGGGAAGAGCTAAATCGTGGTATGACACATGCAGAGTTGTGCTCCTCCTGATGGCAGTTGAATACCACTTCTGAATAAGTAGAGAGCCTCGACTAGTTAGTTCCACACCCGGACGAACAAATTAAACCGCATCCCGCAAGAGCCAGAGACAACACATCACAAACAAGGAGGCAGTCACTGGGCGCCAGTGTTAGCAATTATTCTCGGTTTTGTTTCATTTTCATCGGGGTGCTGTATGCGTATCGCTGCCACAAGCAACGGACCAAACCCGCCGCAGAGACCAGGACTGCATGATGCATTATACCAGCTCCCCTTTCTTCGTTCCCTGCTATGAAAGAGACCAAAAGCGAGACAAGCATTCCAAAGTACGCCCCCACCATGGAATCCGTCAAAAGTGCAAGAGAGCACACGCCCTCTCTCAGCTCCCTATGCAGGGATGTAAACCTCCCGAACACGCCCCCGACCCCGTCACCAACCGCGCGGCATGATTTATGCCCGCGACATGACGCCCCACGCACGGATGATGTTGTCGGTGTAGCCGGCAAACAGCGTCTGGCCATCGGCGCTCCACGCCAAGCTGACGCACTCGGGCTCGCGGCTCTTCTTGCCAATGTTCTGGAAGTCGGGCTTCAGCTCATCAACCTTGGACTTCTTCTCGAGATCGAAGATGATGATGCTGCTGGCGGTGGCAGCGCACAGCCAGTAACGGTTGGGGGAGAAGACGAGAGCATGGATCTCGTCGTTGGCGTTCAGGGAGTACAGGTGCTTGCTCTCGTTAAGATCCCAGAGCATCGTGGTACCGTCCTTGCCACCAGATGCGCAGAGGGAACCGTCGGGGGAGATGGTGACGGTGTTGATGTAGCCGGTGTGGCCAATGTGGTCGGTCTGGAGCTTGCAGCTCGAGAGCTCCCAAACCTGTCGCGCAATCGCGAGGTCAGCGTCACGTTCCAGACCATCAAGAATCGAGTGCAAAAGCGTGAGGAAAACCCGGGAAAGTATCAGTGCTTGTGTGTTGGTCTCATTGCCACTTGAGGCTCTGAAGTAGCAAATACTTGAGATAAGTTGCTAGCATCATGGTGGGCGGGGGGGTGTCGCGAAAGGGTGCAGAGAATTGTGCAGTAAAATATCGGCATACCTTGACCAGCTTGTCCCAGCCGGACGAGACGATAACCGGGTTTTGCGGGTTGGGCGAGAATCGCACGCACGAAACCCACTCGCTGTGGCCCTTCTCCGAGATGGTGAACTTGCAGTCGCCGAGGGTGTTCCACAGCTTGATGGTCCGGTCGCGCGATCCGGAGACGATCTGGCGGTTGTCGGCGGAGAAGGAAACGGAGAGGACGTCGTTGGTGTGGCCGACGAAACGGCGGGTGGTGGTGCCGGTCGACAGCTCCCACAGGCGGAGAGTCTTGTCCCACGAGGCCGACAGGGCGTAGGCGCCGTCCGACGAGATCACCTGCCACGCCAATCAGCAAACCGCAACTTCCCTCACCATGTCAGAGCTCGCCCGCAGACGTACGCAGTCGGAGACGATGTGAGAGTGGCCGTGGAGCGACCGCTTGGGGTATCCGTACTGGGTCTCATCGCGAGTGAGGTTCCAGATGATCAGGGTCTTGTCTCGGCTGGCGGAGAGGAGCATGTTGGGGCTGTTTCTATGGTGAGCAAGCGCTCTTGACGGGGCAATTGACAACGACCGTACTTCTCCATCGACGTGGCCAAGCTGGTGACCCAGCCATTCTGCAGAAATCGCCATCAGTACTCCTGCTCAGCGGCTAGGACCCGCGAGAGTCTCTGTTCTTGTTTGTGCAGCCTAGCTTCCATTCGGAGCAGTGGCCAAAGAGGTTCGAGCGGCGAAAGAACTTACGTGGCCCTCAAGCGTGCCCTTGAGAATGAGTTGCTCAGCCATCTTGACAGTCCTGTCTGCGTATTCAGAGGATAGGAAGGAGGGAATGGAGGGCTGGAGAGGTGCCTCTTTAGGTCCGGTTCAGATTTCGTCGAGCACAATGCGGAGCTCCTAGGAAAATCCGAAATTTTTGTGCGGCGGAAAATAGGGTCGGCGAGCACTGCGCAACAAGGAACGGTGGGGTTCCAGCCAATAGCTAAAAGCGAGGACCCGCAGATGACCCACTACTGACGGCCCGCCAAGCTCCAGGCCAGGTGTACATACCGCCGTGCACGTCTCGGTGAGCTGCCTCATCATACCCCCGCTGTATTTGGGTGGATTCCTTTCAGATTTTTGGACTTTCCAAATCAAATGCCCCACTACTGTGTTTTGACCTTGCGTAGGCTGCGTAGCTTGGTCCCTGACATGTGCAGAGATGTCCGAAGCCAAAACTGTATGGAGGGTGTTCTCGATCATTCTTGGACTTGCCGACCTTTGGGGTCTGTATGTCATTTGCGCAAGCATCACGGATATCAAATTGTCACGAGACTGCTTTTGGCTCGCTCTATGTCCTGAACCAGACGTCCAACGCTGCATGCCACTACGACAGCGAGATGGAGAGCTAGAGGAAAGACTTGTATTTGACCTACGGTGATTCGCCGAGGTCGAAACAAATAGGGTATCTTATGCTGAATCTAAATGAACACACCGAAAATGAATATGGGGCATAGCCCCCAAAACAAAACTCCTACCAGACCCTCCATAAGACATGGCTCGTCCGAGTGGTGCAGCGCCAACCTAAGCTCTTGCGAGTCCGTTAGCTCTTCCCGGACACGCCCTGGGCAGCAGCCTTCCTGGCTCCCGTCCGAAGCACCTCTTTTCGGTAGTATCTCTTCTCCGCGTTCACGATCATGCTATGGTCCGCAATCTCGAACCGACCCTTGTCGCCGTGCAGCGCTGCCGGAGCCACCTCCTTGCCTTGGGCCTTCGTGTCATCCTCAATCAGCTCGCGCATGGCAGACTCCCAGAGGTCATAGCGCTCCCGGCGCGTCGGCTCCCGCTGTGCCGACGAATACACCTCCTTCTGCTTGGCAATCTTGCTGGCGCGCATCAGCCTCCTAAGCGCGTACTCGCCAGCCTTGGCCTCCTTCGCTGCAGCCTCGCGGAGCTTCTTCGGGTCGCCGCGTGGGATCTCGTCTGCCGCCAGAGGGCGCTGGGTTTGTGATTGTGATTGAGGTCCGTTAGTGCCCTGGGATGGCGCCTCGGGACCAAAAGAAGCCGCGTCATCCACCACCGTGACCGCGTCTATGTTCTCGGGAGTGCACTTGTATGTATGCACGCTCGGGAATGCGGGAAAGGAGCTGGGTATGTAGTTTTTGGCTGCCTTGTCAGGCGCGCCGTCGAGATCGTCGCCGAGAATCGGGAGATCTTTCTCGATCAAGTCTGCGGTGGAAATAGGCTCAAATTTGGGCACCCGCTTCGACTTGGGAATTGGTGGTTTTTTGTGAGGCTTCAGCGCGGATGTGGTAAGGTTGAAGCGCTTGAGCGTCTGCTCAAAGTCTCGAGGTAGAGGATGGGACCGCCTTGCAGAGTTGGCAAACATCTTGACATCTTCAGCTAGCGACGAAAGATCTGCACATCTTCAAGTCAGTACAGCAGCGCTAAATACAGGCCGAGTTATGCCCCCGAGCAGCGATGGGGTCTCACAAGTCTCTGCCATCGAGACCAAGCTCTCCATCGCCTCGGGCAGGGAGCTATCGAAGCCGACCTTCTGGAGGGTCATTGCGATGCTCCGCCTCAGGCCTTGCCTTGCCATGTCTTCGGCGGTCATGACGGTTGAAGCGTGCGACGGGAAGATATTCTCGATGGCTATGAATGGGCGCATAGGCTGTGATGTTCTTTGTCGCTTGGACCAAGACTGGTCGTCGTCTGCCTCGGCGGGCCTCTTTCGCGAATTTCGATCCGCGGGCTCGGGCGCATCCACGCGTGCTGGAGACATGGTTGCGACGACTGATTCTGGTACTGAGAAGCAGCTTGCTCTTTCCATAAATTATGGCGGAATGGAAGGACGATAGGGGTCGCGGTCTGTAGATGTCGGAGACGAATGATGCTTTGCGAATGAAGCTGGCGGAGTTGGGTGAGGTTGACGCGATTGCGGATAAGTTAGCGCACGGGTCGCTCTGCGATGACCGCCTAAAACTTTGGTTCGCCTGCCCCTGCCATCGGATGGAAGAGCCTCAATGGAGCGCGCTGCAGGCCTGCTGCGTCCTGCAGGCCCTCCAATCCGGGCCGCTTTAGAGTTGGTCACTAGACCCTGAATAAAGGAACACTTTGCAGACCTCAGGCAAGGTTCTATACGTATTGTGGGTGGTAAAACACCCCGAATGTTTATTTAGGTATCATTCAGGTATTATTTAGGTACTACCCAATCCTCACCTGGTGGTTCTATCAACCCAATCTCACTTCCGATGGCTGCGGCCCTGTGGAGACGCCACGCCGTGTTGCGTCTCAGGCAAACCCGCCTTCCCAGAACCTGGAAGGACTCGGGTTGCACTCTTCTTTCAGCCTGACATTTTATCTTAAGCTAAAAGCCCCCACGATAAGTTCATCTTATCGCGTCTTTCAAACCCACCACGCCCTCCAGTCGGGTTCCTTTTCGAGACGCAGCCTCACCCGCATCCGCTCCCGCACCCGCTTCCGTAAAGATGCACGACCTCAAGACTCTCCAAGAAGGGGGCTACAGGGAAGCCGGGTTGACCAAGTTGAAGTTGACTTGTCCCCTGGCTGCATTCCCCGATGAGATTCTTGAGCTGGGGGACTCGCTCGAGCATCTCGACCTCTCGGGGACGGGGCTGTCGTCGCTGCCTGCCGCCATTGGCTCAGCCCTGCCCCGTCTCAAGATCGCCTTCTTCTCGAACTGCAAGTTCGCCGTGTTCCCGAAAGAGCTGGCAAAATGCCCCAACCTGGAGATGGTGGCCTTCCGCAGCAACGGCATGGAGGAGATCCCCGAGGATGCCCTGCCGCCGCAGCTCCGCTGGCTCATCCTCACCGACAACCGCATTGCCTCCCTCCCTGCGAGCATAGGCCGCTGCGCCCGCCTGCAAAAGTGCATGCTCGCCGGCAACCAGCTGCGGGTCCTGCCGGCCGCCATGGTCCACTGCACCAAGCTGGGCCTGCTCCGTCTGAGCGCCAACCGCCTCGAAGCCCTGCCCACGTGGCTGTTTGGCCTCCCCGAGCTGGCCTTCCTCTCCTTTGCCGGGAACCCGTGCGCGGCCCCGACCGTCAACGGCGCCACCAAGACGCCCTTCGGCCTGGCGGATATCGACTGGGCCGACCTCGAGGTCCAGCACACGCTGGGACAGGGGGCGTCGGGCGTCATCTCGCAGGGCGTCTGGAAACAGCAGCACTTTGACGAGGAAGTGGCCATCAAGCTCTTCCACGGCGCCCTGACGAGCGACGGCACGCCGCACGACGAGCTGGCCGCATGCATTGCCGCCGGCGCCCACGAGAGCCTGATCTCGGTGCTGGGGCGCATCTACGGACACCCAGACGAGCTGCGCTCTCCCGGCGCCGATGCCGATGCCGATGCCGCCGGGTTCCAGGGCGGCATCGTCATGCAGCTGATCCCGCCATACTACACAGCGCTCGGGCAGCCCCCGTCCCTGTCTACGTGCACGCGCGACTGCTTTCCCGACGACGCCTCGATCGACGCCGCGGGAGCCCTGTCCATGCTGACGGGCATCGCGGGGGCGGCAGCCCATTTACACGCGCGCGGGATAGCCCACGGGGACTTGTACGCGCACAACATCCTAGCCAGCCGCGAAGACGCGCACGCCCTGCTAGGCGACTTCGGGGCTGCCACCATCTACGGACGTGGCCCTGCGGCCGCCGAGTGCGGCATCGAGAAGCTCGAGGTGCTGGCCTTTGCGCACCTGCTGGAGGACATGGTGCGGCTGATCAAGGACGACGACGACGACGAGGCAGCACCAGTTGCCGAGCTGCGCCGCGGGCTGCAGGAGCTCCACGCCCGGTGCTCAGCCGCGTCGGTCGAGGCGCGCCCGACGTTTGACGAGGTGGTGGAGGAGCTGGAAACCATGATGGGCTGGAGGGGCATGATGCGGATCCCGAACCTGAACTGAAGACGCACGCTGCAGATTGGACTGCCCAGGATCCCCAAGTGGCCTGCAAGTACGTCATTGCTCGGTACGTGGTGTCCTGGCACTACCTTGAAGGCCTCCTCGGCGACCTCTCTCTTGATGCGTGCTGGTGGCCTCTGACGAAAGTTTTGTGGCATTGCGCTATTGTTGCTCTACCCTCTAGTTGTTTCAGGGGCCCCGGGGGAGGGCTCTCAGAAGCCTTGCCCGCCGCCGGCAAGATTGCCAAAGCACTGCTAGGATGGTATTATTCTCCGTGGAAGGGTGTACATGTCCGCTCCGGGGTAGGTGGCCTTCTCGATCGATTAGTCGCGCGGACGAGTAACCGAGACAAGAAACGGTCGAGCTGCGATATCTCCGGTGGACACAGGCGCGTCGAGACATCACTGAGCCAACAACCTTTGGCACACAATCTGGCGCATGACAGGCAATGAATGGTGTCTCGGGATGCCCGAGGCCGATGCTCTACGGCGAGATGATTTCCAGAACAGCCGCATTTGCAATGGCGTATTATCTTTAGACTGCAGGGGGACTGGGATACTACGTAGACAGATGGAGATGGAGCGAGATAGACTAGACGCCGACCTGTAAGACAGTCAGAGGGGCAAAAGACGAATTGTCTAAAGCATTAACGACAGCAGCCGCAGCTGATGATATGTAGTCGTCGGGCAGTGGCAGACGATACATGCTGACCAACGGGTTCCTTCACGATCGGCCGGCTGGTCACTTTTTTTTTTAAACTGTCCGACGGCCTGCAGAGAAAGGACATGGTGTATACGTACATGTACGTACATTTATGTATGCACGACCCCGTGTTCCGTGTTCCGTGCACAGAGAGAGATTCCGCAGTCGAGGCAACTACCTTAGTTGTCTCGGCCCGCCGCCCGTCCAGCCCTTCTCATCGGACGGATTCAGTAAACCGACCAATACCCTCGTCCCGATCCAGCAACATTTTCCGCCCGGGTGCCACAGCATAGGTAATAAGTACATACATACATACCTACCTATGTACAAGACAGACCGGACAGACACTGTACATAGAACAGCAAGCAAGGGTAGTTGGTTACCTATATTGGGTTTCGTCCGTCCCCGGAAATTATTACCAATTGTCCGCGTCTGCTGCATCATACTACATACATCACATGCGCGGATACTTAGGTATGCTGCTGTCTACGGACCTTGCTCGCCATCGAGGTAGGTACGTAGCCAGGCAGGCAGGTACGTATGCACGGACATCCTGTAAACCTCATGCCCTTGTTCTTATATGTATACATGTACGGACGTACAGTCCAATCCCTACTATGTAAAGGTTTGTTAGCGGGAATGTCTGTTGGCGGGAGACTTTCCAAGACAAGACAGGAAAGCCTTCGGACCTTACGGTTCACCTAAAAGGGGTCTCCTAAAGGGATGCGGTAGCTGTCGTAGGCACTGGTATACACCAGAATCCTCGACACCTGGCAATGCCCTAGAAATACCTGCCTAGGAAAGGGTCTGCTAGCTAGTTTATTTGCCACCGTTTTATTCCTTCCCAAGTACCGCGCCAACAAACAATCAGGGGCTGGGCTGTATTGCTGTCCGCTGCCCTCGCCTGGCATGATGTCGTGTGGAATGGCGTCTGTGCGGAAGCCCGCCATCGCCGTTGAGACTGTAGAACGATGCCCTGATGCCCTGATGCCCCTGTGTGTGTTCTCGCCGAACCCATAGCATCGACTAGTGCCACTGGATAGACGAGATAGAATGGACACGAACAGAAAAAGCGAGTGTGAGCCCGGAAATCCCAGGATCTGCCATCGCGTGGCCTACACGCAGCCTCGTCTTCATTTCCTCCGTGAATAGTATGCTTCCATCTAGATAGGTAGGCGTTTAATCCCGGTCAAAGGATCTCTAGAACCCTTTTCTCTTCAAATTTTTTTTCATGCACCTTGTTGTCCTGTTCAAGCTTCTCCCTCCCAGAGTCCCGACGTCTGAGCGTACGTCTGTCTGTGTCTGTGTCTGTCTGGCGCGCTAGGTAGGTATATCCTCTTTCGGGCTGTGTCTTGGGAATGATGCAACCCGATCGTTCGATCAAATTTGCGTTTGGACACCAAAAAAGGCCCAAGAGTCCAAGTTCCCTTGTCCTGTCTGCTGCTAGCCCCTTGCCTTTTACCAATCTGTCTTTCTGTCTCTTGTCCCTGGAGGTCTCAACCTTGCCGTCCGTCGCATTCCCCGCTGCTACATATCCGTACATATAATTACCACTTACCCCCAGCTACCAGCTTCGTGTGCACTGTCGTCATGTGAGCCCTCACGGACAAGCCTTCTTTGGCCGTTTCTCTGTCTGGCTCTCTATCCCTTGTTCTTCCTTTTAGCTGGGTCGGACATCTGCATGTGGGGTTGTTCATTTCTACACGTGTACATGTTATCCCTACAGAGTACGCAGCCGTAATTGCCCACCCTCGAGCCGTTGAGACTCCCCGAGCGATCCTAGCTATATTTTCGGCTGTTGGCAATGTCTCGTATTTTCCTCCTAGCAGTCTCTCCAGCTCCCTCTTTACTCCTACTCGCCATCCAGTCGCCCGCCAATCCATTCTGCACTAAACACGAACTTCCTTCTCTTATCTACGGACGGATCCGTCCGCCGACGGCGTCCGTCGTGCCACTCAAAATAGTAGGTCTTGTACCTGGTGAAAGATTTGTAACGCAATATACCGCCATCATGATATAGGGGAGGGGGGTTCGCCTTGGGTTGGGCCCTCTATTGGGCCTCCCAGTCTTTGAAGTCGGCGACCGTGCTCGGCGCTTAACCATTCAATCCTTTCAGGCGGGCAAGCGGCGGGGGCCAAAAAAGCGCACAGCCCGAGTCTAGGATTAGTTAAAAATGTTGAAAACTGAAAACCCCCCAAAAAGAAAAGAAAGAGAGACATCTAGAAGTCTAGATCGCAAAAAGAAACCCTCGGGTTCTGGAAGAAGAAAAAGAGACGAAATGGCGTTACGAGTTGCCCAATGACAGCGACTCCGCGGCTCTCTCTCTCACTTAGAGCAAGCTGGAAGAACACGCTACAGCCCGCTAGCTTCAATATCGCAGCACGCCTGTTCGGGCCAACCTAGGTGAGCGGGTGCTGATGTCGGGTGGTGGTTGTTTTCATTCCATGTTCGGATGACGGGCGGCGATGTCTGCGGCAAGGCGCGCGACCTCCCTAGGGTGTGGTGCAGGGAGGTGGTGTCGCTCCTGCGCTCTGACGGCGCGGGGGGTGCCCTAAAAGCTGCCCTCTTCAGGAGCTGGCTCCGGCGGCCTGTGGTTGGCTGGCCGCCAGCATTCAGCGGCGATCCCCTGCCCCCCCCCCGTCGGGTTTGTGGGGTGCGGACAACGCTCCGGCTGCGACCTATCACATCGCGAGAATGGGGTTGTGGCATTGGATTGCCCAGAACCAGAACATGGAAAATTTTCCATCCCACATCAAGTAAATGGTTATGGAGGACCTCGGAAAAAAAAATCCACCGCGAAAGATACCACCAGGAGTAGCAATTGCTGATTCTTACGGCACATCTGAGGTAGAGGGTAGGTATCTTAGCTACCATATAACTGAGGGTACTGGGGTTTGGCGCTACTGGCGAGCGAGCGAGGTAAAATCGCGGAAGGTGGTGGAAAGGGTAAGCGGCAGGAACCGTTGACCGACGTGTCATCGCTCCATCGCTGAAACCAGCCTGGAAAGCACCATGTCGCCTTCCATTATTTTATGTGGCAGACTTCGGGGAGCTTCGGGGTGGCCTACAGGCATACCACGCTATAACATGGCTGGTTTCCATTTTGCTGGCTCTGAAAAAAATGGAGTAACAGGCCGCACCGGGCGATCGGCGTGTCTGGGTCTGACCCCTTCCATAACTCAAAAAGTCGTACGATCTTGTTGGCTCTGTCGATGGTCTCTCCCGCTTGGTTCCTTGTTTGTTTGCAGATCGGTTGTTTGGGAAGCTCGGCGAGAAGGGTTGAACTTTGCCTAGTCGTCGGCAAGTGCTGTATGGCACTTATTCCGCGGGTGCCTGTCTTCGATTGCCTACCTTAGGATTCGGAGATGCAATATCCCACCCTACCTATATGGGTTGACATATCGGCGACAGACATGCAAATACCTTGCTGCTTGTCCTACGTAATACTGCCAATGACACTATTACGGCTGACCGGGGCAAAGCACGCCGCCGAGCCCTTGCCCTTGCAGCGGCTTCCCGTGCACGTCATGTGCGGGCTGGTGACAAGTGAGTTTCCAGGTCGGACAGCGTTAGGTTTTTAGGTTCTTGCCGTTCCGTCGCGACGCAGCACAGAAACCAGGTAGCACGACTGCGTGTACTATGTAAGCATGTCTCTACTGTACTGCACATACTCCATGCCTAGGTAGGTAGGTACGCTGACAGTATTATTATTAGCAGCATCCAGAGTTCAGGCCGCCTGCCCGGGCAGGATGACGTTCCATGGTCATGGCCGGGACGTGCCCAGCGGTTTGCCGGACCCCTGGAGGGCTGGGAGCAGAGGTTCCTGGGAGTTCTGTGAATGGAAGCGGTCTAGAACGCCAGCCTGAAGTCTAGGGAAGCCCAATTCCATCTGCGGTTCAATTTGTGTTATCGACTCCAGCCCGTGCTAAATCCGATTGATCCCGTAGGGTTAGCGGTCGTCGGCTGTCATTGGGGGCTACCCGCTCGCTACCTTAGCTAGCTAACTTTACCCCACCCTCCGCCCGCAACCCTCCAGTTTCTACTTTACAGCACCTTAGCTTCAGGCACAGGCAGGCATTCGTCGCTACGAAGTGATAAAGAGCCGGCTTGCTGCCGTCTGATGACAGGGCAGGCCCTTCCACGGACTTGCTTACAGAAGGCTACCTCAAGCACCCCTCCATCCACCCTTGGCCACCATCCCGCCAACTGATCATCGGCGCTCCCAACCCAACCTGGGCTGTCTGACTGTCTGACTATATATCCGAGGCCGTAAGACGCCGGGACATAAACTGGAATTGGCCAGGGCCAGTACCAGGTTCAGGGCCAAGATCAGGACCAGGATTGTCACTATCAGTGTCGGTGTCTGATGGAACTCCAAGAGAAGCCACCGCAGACAGCGTCTCCACGAGAGCCAACAAGCACAAGCGTTTCCGCGTTTCCTGTCGATGGCTTGTTGCTGATCTCAATTGGAATCGATCGACCCTGACCCCCGCGTTCAACGTTGTGGCCTGCCAACTGGAACTCTGGTCTTGGAAGAGGTGACCGGGGCAGTCCGAGCCCTAACCGCCTTGCCTATCCGGGCACTTCGTACATACACACACATACGCATAGTACATACGTACATACATACATACATACAGACACAGTACGGCAAGCGCATACATATCCAGGGTACCTGGCCAAGACGTCAGACGAGAGACAGACAAAGAGACAAACAGACGCAGACGCAGACGCAGAGACGACATTCCCCTATATCGCTGGCTATTATTGCCCACACATCCGTGTCTAACTTACCTACGGACACGTCCCAACAAAGCCGTGCTTGGCTGACGGGCTTCCTTTTGAGCCAAAAGAGCTGCACACCCCCGCCGCTCTCCATCTTGTTACTCTATCCCTCAACCCGACAGCCTGACAAACCAGTCTAGACCGGCCTGTCAGACTCTCACCAGACTCTCACCTTCTCGCCGATACCTAATCGTCTGTTTGTTCCCTCCTGTGGGTCCACTGCATCACTGGCATCACTGGTGCTGCATTTCCGGACAGGCTCGCTCACACCGTCACTCGCCTATTGCCGCTGTCTTTGTGCTGATACGTCGTTATCCTCCGCCCCATCCGAGACCCAACGTCGGGCTTTTTGCCGTCTCACTGTTCTACTATGAGTAAGGCGCCTCGTTTCTAGGTGACCACCAACCTATCTTACCTTTAAGGGGGCAGGCAGTCAAGGCATCCCAAGGAAAGGAATCCACCGAGCTTGTCTCATCTCGCCACCACCACCACCACCAGCACCACCACTACCACCTTCAAACTACACTTTCGAGACGGGCAATGTAGTGGCCATAAATTAACCAATCACATATCCCACCGAATCACGGGCCGGACTTCCCCGGAGCCCAGGCGCCACCAGGTGGATCTGACGCCGTTGCCACTCAGCGTCCGCAACCTGACTCTTTGGATACCTGCTCGCCCTAATAAGAGCCGTCTCCTATCCGGACTATCGATTCCAGACTTCCAACTCGACACATAGCTTCCACGATGCTGTTTGTTGCCTTCTTGGTCTTGCTGGAATGAGTGTAGGTGACGCCTCATTTCAAAAAGGTGCCTCGTCCCATGCAGTGCTGAGCCCGGTACTGCACGACTGAGTTGCCCCTTCTCTGACGAACCTTCCCCCGGTATCCCCGCCGACAAACCTTCCCCCAGTATCCCCGCCGACAAGTCATGGGGGCGCCTGCTGACTGACTGTGACAAATTAGACACATCAGCCTTGACTGCTGTTACCTGCCACTCGCAGGCTTCCTGTACAACCACCCGATACTATATTTACTGTTTTCTTTCACTATGCCTACCCCTTTCCCCATCAGTCCGTCGGTACTTCCCACCCTGCGGACCCGCAAAGCTCTTCTCGTCTTTGACGTCCAGAATGACTTCGTTTCCCCCGACGGAGCACTACCCGTGAGCGGCCCCGAGGGGTTGCTTTCTCGCATCCTTGCCTTTTCCAAAGCCTTTCGAGAGTCTGGCGCCGGCGACGTCATCTGGGTGCGAAGCGAGTTTGAGGAGCATCGTCCGCTATCCGTCGAGAGCGACCGGATCATTACGTCCCACGTCCCGGTGGTGCAGCGGCCGAGTCGGGGACGTCAGCAAGTATCGATGGAGCAGGATAGCGAGGCCGCCGAGGCCGACCACGAGGCATTTCTTAGTCTCGCCGCTGACGGGGGCGAGAAGCCGGCGTGCGTCCGGGCAGGCACCCGTGGCGCTGAGCTGGCCCCCAGCATCCAAGCAGCGGCCGAGGCGGGCGGCGATGTCATCTTCACCAAGACGTATTATAGCGCTTTTGCCTCGGGCCAGCAGCAGCTCGTCCAGCTGCTTCGAGGTCGGTTTGTGACCGAGATTTACGTGTGCGGGGTCCTGACCAACATCAGCATCTACGCCACGGCATTTGATGTGGGGAGACACGGCTACGGCATGACGGTCGTCGAGGACTGCTGCGGCTTCCGAGACGAGATGCGGCACATGAACGCGTTGCGGCAGCTCATGCAGCTGACGGGCAGCGAGGTGATACCGGCCGAGGCGGCCTTGGAGCAGCTGGCGCCACCGCTGCCGCCCAAGAAGAAGAAGTCAGACACATCACGGTCATCGGCTGTTGGAAGACGAGAGAGGGGCAACGCGGGAGCGACTGGAGCGGCAGACGGGAGTGGTGCCAGCCAGGAATCACCCGTACGTCCCCGCCCTCCATCATCCAGCCCGCAAGACCGGCCTGGGACAGGTCTATCCCCATCTATATCTACCATGACGCTGAGTCTAGAGGGTGATGGCCTCCCTTCAGATACACCCGCAGCGCCTGCCGAAGTACCGAAGTCAGAGTCCGCGATTGAGCCCGCCGAGCCCGCCGCTGCACGGCAGTCGCAACGTCGGCGTCAGCATGACAAAGGAGAGAGCGCGACAGCTTCACCGCCGATTCAACCCGTGGTAGCCGCGGATGATAAGACAGACAGTAGACCGGCCACCAGCAGCAGCACCAGCACCAGCACCAGCAGCAGCAGCAGCAGCAGCGGCGGCGGCGTAACAAAGAAGGGCACAGCTGCGAGTCTCAAATGCGACACGCAGTCTAGAACCAGTTCTACTACGTCAAGGCGCGCCCTGCTCGTTGACGACAGCTCACCCTTGGAAGTCGATCCCCAATACCTAGCTCGGCCGTTGTCTCCCAAGGGCGAGGAGGACGAGAGTGAGTTACATGTGACTGACTCGCTGGCGGCTGCGACCAACCAGAGCAGCCGAGAAAAAGAAGGCTCCCATAAAGGTCCGCCCCGCGTCTCCAACCTGCCTCACCGGCCACTTGCATCGGCTGCCGCAAGCTCTAGCTCGAGCGCTAAACCTGAGCCTACCAGAATCCGAGTAAGAGCCAAACGGCGGCTGAGATCGCAGGGCTCGAACCAGAATTCTCAGACAATGTCACCCGGGACACAAACTCCCAAAGAAGTCGACAAGAAATTGGCATCAGACGCAGACACACCCGAGAGCATACAGCCCCGAAACCCCGAAAATACCGTAATCGCCGACAGCCTCGACTCGAAAGTGACCTCATCGACCACGACCACTAAAGTCACTATTACAACCACAACCACTACCTCCACCACGTCCACCACCATGGTTGACAAGGTTGATGACGGGGATAGGGACGAAAATGCGCCCAAGAATATTACACAAACTTCGGGTGCACACACTGCCGACCGACTAGCCCCGGCCCCCACCGTGTCGGAGCCCTTGTGTGAAGGCGATACTACCATCATCAGCCATGTGCTGCCACCTGCTCTTGCCGACCATGCCTTTGAAAGCCTGCTGGACGAAGTGAGCTGGGCCGGCATGTCGCGGCTGGGCGGCGAGGTCCCGCGTCGTATCGCTGTGCAAGGGGAGGTGGGCGATGAGGGGAGCATCCCCGTCTACCGCCACCCCGCTGACGAGTCGCCGCCGCTGTTGCCCTTCTCTCCGACCGTGCTGCAGATCAAGGAGGCGGTCGAGAAGCACCTTGGCCATCCGCTGAACCATGTGCTGATACAGCATTACCGTACCGGCGGCGACTACATCAGTGAGCACAGTGACAAGACGCTGGACGTGGTTCGCGACAGCTTCATCGCCAACGTGAGCCTGGGAGCAGAGCGCACTATGGTATTCCGCACCAAGCGACCCGACAAAGACGTCTCCAAGAAGGACGAGTCGAATGCACGAGACACGGAGGCGGTGCCAGACAAAGCCAAGCGCCCTGTCGAGCGCCACGTCGAGCGTGTGGCTCTCCCCCACAACAGCCTCTGCCGAATGGGCCTGGCAACTAACATGCGCTGGCTGCACGCCATCCGCCAGGACAAGCGATCGGATCGCGATAAGAGCCCTGCAGAGTTGGCGTACGGCGGCGCTCGCATCAGTCTGACATTTCGGCGCATTGGCACGTTTCTGGACAGCTCCCAGTCGCGCATCTGGGGCCAGGGCGCAACGAGCAAGACGAAAGCCGGCGCGGCAGCCGTAGTTAACGGCCAGACGCCCGAAGCCGTGCGGCTGCTGCAGGCCTTTGGCACCGAAAACCACAGCAGCGAGTTCGACTGGGGTGCACAGTATGGCGATGGCTTCAACGTGCTTCACCTCGGCTCTCCCAAGCGCTTCCTTGCTGGCTCCGCCGACGCGATTGCCAACATGCGTGTCTCTCTGGCGCTCGCTGAGCTCGGCATCGGCGCTGCTAAGGGCAGCGTCGAGGGCGACGCGCGCTTTGAGGACAACGACCCGGCCCGTGCTGTCGTCGAGGGTCATGACACGGTCCTCCGCTACCTCGACGCTGTTTATGGCGCCGGCCGCCGCTACGACCAGCTCCCCGCCGCCGACGTGGCCAAGCGTTTCCGCCGCCTGCAGCAGGCCCTGGACCTGCTTCCCCGCTGGCGCGTGGTGCAGGCACAAGCTGCTGCTGCTGCTGCTGCGGCGGCGGCGGCCGACGATGGCGGCGAGGACGCAGCGGTGGCCAAAGCCGATGCGAAGAAGTCGAGCAGGCGCGAACTGCCTTCGCTCTCTGCGCTCCTCAAGAAGGATCTAGCGGAGTGGGAGAAGTACGCCGCCGAGGCAGCCCCTGCCACCAGCGGCGACGGAACCACAGCAGCAGCAACAGCAGGGGCGACGGTGCTCTACATCGCCGGGGGCTCTCAGGCGTCGCCCGCCGACTTTGCGCTCTGGCCCGTGCTGCACGACATCGTGCGCGTTGCAGGCCGCGGCGACGTTGCCGTGCTGCGCGTCGCCGACGGCCACCTGGCGCGGTACTACACGGCGTTCAAGCCGCGCAGTGCCGTCGCCAAGGTGCTCGGCCCCGCTAGGTCGGCGACATGAGAGGCTGTTGGTTTGGCATTCATGTCCATGTACATATCTATCCTGATTGCATTTTGTTTTGCGGGCCTGGGTCGGTAGAGCAAGCGGGCAAGGAGCACACGATATGATGTATGTATGGCCGTTCCATTTTTTTTATTTTTTTATTTTTTATTTTCTTTTGGTGTATCGGAGAGCCTGCGAAGGCGAAATCTTGTTCTTAGTTGTTTCATGACGGCCATGGCGACGGCAACGATGATAACGATGGAGATGAAGACGAAGACGGAGATGGCGTATATGTGTGGCGTTTGACGTGCCGTTCTTGTTCTTTAAGAAGAGACTAGGTGAAAAGGGAAGTAGAAGTGGAAGTGGAAGAAGAGGGGAGGCTTAGGTGGTGTTGGTGTCTTGGAAAGTCTAGAGAGAGAGAGAAAGCATGCAAATCATTGTGTTTGTGTTTGTTTGTCTTACCAGGTGCTCGGCCGGCATGGGAATGGTTGAGATCTGTCCATTTGCAATGGGAAGCTTTTTTACGCCGGGCATCTAGTTCTGAATAGGCCTGTCGTAATATACAGGCATTTTATTTACCTGCATTAGGCTAGTATGCACAGTACCAACCTGGAAGATACCTTGGGTACCTGGCTGTCGAGGTTCTGTGGCTTTGTAGTGAGCTGTACTCTATCCATCAGCATCAGCAGCCACCAGCCACCAGCCAGATCTGACATGCGCAGGGGGAGGACACAACCTCCCAAACCACTCATTGCCCGGACTACCGAAGCATTGGCTCTGAATACGTGCTGTACCTAGGTTAGTTTAGGATAAGGCCCTTACCTTGGATTGACGAGCGGAACGGATCCGGGCGGAAATACATGTATGGGAAGAGCACCTGAGTGAGTGAGGCCGCAACACACTCAGCACACCACAGGGCAACACAACATATAATAGCACATCACAGCACATCACGACACAGCAAATCTCAATCTCAAATAAAACATATCCATCTCCAAAAAGAAAACCGCATTTTCAACGCCTCATAATGTTAAATAAGATAAGCGGAGTTTGTCCGTCCCCCCCGAGATAGAGATAGAGATAGAGAAGGAACGTGTAAAAAAAAAAGAAAAAGAAAAGAGAAAAACAAATAATTACTAGCCCGAAATCCCGCTAAAGTCCTCCCTACCCTACCTGAAGAGTGACTGTTAAACTCATCCCTTCCCAGCCGCCCTCCTTCCCACACCTCCAAATACACTCTTCCCACTCAACCCCGTAACCCTAGCAGTCCTACGGCTTGGCCTCCCACGGAACGGGGTAGGTGCCGACCCAGTCGGCGACCTCGCTGCGCAGCTGGACAATCTCGGGGACCGTCTCGCCGTTGCCGAGGTACTCGAGGAACGTCTTGACGCGGCCGGCCGTCTTGGCCTCGCCCTTGTCCTCGGCCGCCTTGCGCGCCGCCTTGTCGATGCGCACGGCGATTGCCACGGCGCGGTCGACAATGTCGGCCACGCGTGTGAAGTCGTCCTCGCTGAACCCGCGCGTTGTCATGGCCGGCGTGCCCATGCGCAGCCCGCCCGGCACGAGAGCCGACCGGTCGCCCGGCACCGTGTTCTTGTTGGCCGCCACGCCCACCAGCTCCAGTACGCGCTCGACGCGGCTGCCGTCGACGCCCTGCGGCTTTAGGTCTGCCAGCACCAGGTGGTTGTCCGTGCCGCCGCTGACGAGCGTGTACCCGAGGCCGCCCTTCTCCTTGGGCTCGCCGAGGCGCCGCGCCAGCGCCTTGGCGTTGGACAGCACGTGCGACTGATACAGGCGGAACTCGGGCGACTGCGCCTGCTTGAGCGCCACGGCCAGCGCCGCGATGGTGTGGTTGTGGGGTCCGCCCTGGTGGCCTGGGAAGATGGACGCGTTGATGGGGTTCTCGAGGTTGTAGAGCTCCTCGACGCCGGTGCGGGGGTGGGTGCGTCGCACGCCGCGCCGGAAGAAGATGAGGGCGCCGCGGGGGCCGCGCAGCGACTTGTGGCTCGTAGTCGTCACCACGTCGGCGAACCCGAACGGCCCTGGCATCACCTTGGCGGCGACCAGGCCTGAGATGTGCGCCATGTCGGCTAGCAGGTAGGCGTTGACCTTGTCGCAAATCTCGCGCATGCGTCCGTAGTCGATCAGCCGGCTGTAGGCTGAGGCGCCCGCGACGATGATCTTGGGCCGGAACGCAATCGCCAGCTCCTCCAGCTTGTTGTAGTCGATGTGGCCAGTAGCCTCATCGAGGCGGTACGGGACCGTCTCAAAGTACTTGGACACGAACGAGATCTTCTTGGTCGGTATCTGGTACCCGTGCGAGAGGTGGCCGCCGTGCGGCAGGTCGAGTCCCATCAGGCGGTCGTGAGTCTCCATAAGAGCCGAGTATACGTAGAGGTTCGCAGGAGCACCCGACAGCGCTGCAGGCCGTGTCAGCTCCCCTGCTTTCAGAGTCAAGAAGTACGGCATGCTCACCCTGAACGTTGACACCCCACTCTTTGGGGTCTAGCCCAAACGTCTCCAATGCTCGCTGTTGACACAGCCGCTCGGAGGCGTCGATAAACTCGTTGCCGCCATAGTACCGAGCACCGGGGTAGCCTTCCGAGTATTTATCTGTGACCGAGCCCGTTAGCTCCGAGCTCTCTCGCGAATAGCACCTCTTTCCATGGGTGCTGCCAAATACGGGAAGCTCCGGATACGCACTTTGCATGGGACTCCCTAAGGCGTCGAGGACGGCCTGCGAGGTGAAGTTCTCCGACGGAATCAGGTTGATGAATTGCTTTTGCCTGACTTTCTCCTAGAGATCCGCAACAATGCGCCGGTCAGCGGTGAGGTTCTCTTCTCTCGAACTTGCGGAAATCACATCTCCGAATCAGAGGGGCGGACGAGGAACCAACCTTTTCGACGATGTCGTACATGATGGGATCGGCCTGCTGCAAGTGGGCAGCGAGTATCTGCAAGCACCCCAAAAGCAAAGTCCCAGTCAGCCAAGTGTGCAAGAGGTAAGACGAGGTCGTGAAGTCTGCCAGTCGGCCGGCCCCGTCTCGGGGTCGGAGTGGGCCAGACTGGAGAACGCACCCGTTGCTGGCTGTCATTGCTCAGTGACGAGACCGACCTCCTCGAGATCGGGGCATTGCAAGTCCGCCTCTGCCTCTGCCTGTGGATGTGGATGGCCGTGGACAGGAAAGTTGACGTCGCTGGTGCTGCCGCTGGCGTCGCCGCGGATGCTGCACCTCGGAGGGCACTGGTTCGGACAGCTGCCGAGGTTCGGAACGCTGGGATCGTGACAGACATGGCTGGCGAAAAAAAAAAAAAAAAGAGGGGAAACTGGGCAAGCTACGTCAGTGACTTGACAAGACGAAAAAAACGGTGAAAAGCGGAAGACGGCAGAGCGGCCAAACTTACCAATTGCCTAGAAATCGTTGGTGCTCGTGGCTCTCTTGCTGTCCGGTCGAGCTTGGAGTCGGTCGAACACGGAAGAGATCCGAAGGCCGAGCGACAGGAGACCTGAGAGGGCGAGAGGCTGGAGGTTCGAGGCCTGCTGATTGGCGAGGGGCGTTGTGCTATCGCGGGTCGGTATCGGTCCCTACCAGGGCGGACAGTTATAGTGGAGCTACAGAGGCCGACTTGTAGGGAAGCTTTGACGGTTCGGCAGGGGCGAGCTAGTGTGTGCACGGGCCAGGACAGGGAAGCCGGTATTAAAGTCGGCCACAGACCCCGTAGCAAAGTCCACTTCTCCTTCTTTTTTTCCCCAATCAACTACAATTGGGGGTGATGAGCCCGCTTCCAAACGACTGATCCAATGCCTTCCGCCTTCACAGGCTGGGAGGCGTGACGACATGTCCTGGCACAACTTCACCACTCTTCGAGGGGCAATTTGAAGCAATCTGACCCAAGCCTTTGGTTGATGCACGGCTGCGCATGCAGTCGCCTTCTTGCCTCGTCTTTGCACCTAGATAGCTGCTTCGTGGGGATGAGAGCTGGTCCGCCGGGAGCTTCCCTGCGTGACGCTTTGTAGTAGTGGGAGGTGTCTCACTAGATTTTGTGTGGGGTCTGCTGTGTTTGGACGAGGGATGTGCGTTTAGTTATGGCTCCGTGATGTTTCCTCAAATGTTCTGTACGCACCAGCTTGGACTCGGACCTGGAGCATCAACATTGTTGGACGCAGTTGCATGGACGTGGCCAGAACCTAATTATCAGAGCAAGTCACGAGAAACCACCTCATGCTTGGTTCATCACCTCTTGAATTCTCTCAAGGATATATCACTGCCCTGGCAAACCCATAGATTCCGTTTTCAATGCCGTACATGCAAGCCCCGATCCTGTCCACACGTGTGATATGCCACACGCTGCAAAGAGGACTAGACCATCTGGAGCGGCGTCCACGTGCAGCTTGTAACAGGTAGAGAATGCGACCAGAAAAGACCCCAACCGATTACTCCGAATGCAAGGCCGCCGAGAAGTCCGTCTGCCATTCAAATCACCAGCGAAATCTACTTGGATTCCTCCTCGCCCTCGCCCATGATAGCACTCCGCTTCGCCGCCTGTCTCTCCTGCTTGCGCTCGCGCGCAGCCTTGGTGCGGGCACGCTTGGCGTCCATCTCCTCCTTGATCTGCCTGTCGCGGGCCTTCTCGGCCTTGGCCTTGTGGATCTGTCATGGCCGCGTTAGCATTCGGCATAGCCTGGCCGACCGAGGATGGGTAACGTACGTGCTCAACCAGACCGCGCTTGTGCTTGAAGGTGTTACCCTTGGCAAGGTGGTACAGCTCGTGGTAGAGGTGCTTGTCGATCTTGCCGCTGGCGCGGTACTTGACCAACAAACGGCGGAGGACGCGTTGACGGCGCATCCACAGAACCTGCCTGTGTGAGGTGAAAAAGACTTTAGTCAGCGCCTGAAATCTCACTCCTAGAAGCTGTGTGAAGGCCTTGATCCCTTCCACAATATCCTCCAATCCAACGCGCTGATAGGGGTATAACGTACTCGGGCATACGGGCATCGGCAGTACCCTTCCGCTTTCCGAAGCCACGGTGGCGACCGATTCGGCGGGCGAGGTTCAGCTCACGGGCGCGCGACCGCGAGTGCATGGTGACGGGTTTGCGGATGATGAGGCCATCGGCAACGAGCTTGCGGATTGTCTGGCGAGAGTTGGCATTGCTGATCTCGCTGACCTCATTGGGGTCAAGCCAGATCTTGCGCTCGCCGCAGCCCAACACGGACGAGGCGAGCCTCTTCTGGGTCGTCAGATTAACCCTGCGCAGAGGGAAAAAGTTAGCATTCTGCGGTGTGAAGTCGTCGCTCGCGCGTTGCAAATGTCGGAGATGGTGACTAGAGGAGCGTCATGACGATAGGGTTTGAGGGTTTGCCCGTCTACTCAATCTCCGGGGAGATTCTGGACGCGAATCCAACAGAAAACCCCTTTCTCCGCAGTCTCCAATCGCTCATGAATCGGTAGGACGGTGTTTGAGGTCACTCACATCTTGAAGGACTGCTGTGGTGATGGTTAGTCAGGTCGTTGTTGTCGAGAGATTGAAATTTCCGCTGAGGGGAAGTTCGTAACCTCGAATTTCTCGCTCACCAGTTTGTGGGTTTCGGTGGTGGGGCGGGCTGCCGGCTGCAATTGGCGAGGGCTAACGAGCAGTCACGTGCTCGGTCCTCCATTGTGCCAGAAGCGGTGGGGCAAGGCAGGATCGATGAGCGCAAAGGAGCTAGGGACGCACGCAACCATTGAATAATTGCACAGTGCACAAAGCTTTGACGCTGGGCTTTCAATTCATCAACGTTGAAAGATCAGTCTCAGGACTTCTTGGTCTGGCTTTCGCAACAATTTTAGCATAACATTTGGGCCAGACGGTAGCCACGTGTATACGGATATCCGAGCAGGGAAAAGAGAGTATCTGTGTTTGCCCTATTTGAGCTCTCTCCATCATATATCTTTTTGATGGGATGTTCTCGGGATGCAGAATAGCGCAATGCCAGCAGCCACATATGCGTAGGCATTGGAGACTGGCCACGACAAGCAACGGCATTCTTGACATGCAACAAGATTTTATTCACACACAGCCTTTTTATACTAGCCATACTCTGGAACCTTGGCACGTTTGTTCCCTCACTCGTCCTCAAACAGAGACCCGACATCTACCTTGCCCACAGACATGATTTCCTTTTCGTCCTCGGCCTCGTCGTTGGACAAGCCCAGACCGCCCGCGCCGCCCTCTGCTTCCCTCCGCTCGCGAACCTGGGACCCGAGCCTCAGCGCCACGCGCTTGAAGTAGTCCTGCATGCTGCGCTTTGTGTTGGGCGGCAGGTCCGTCGCGCCAATCCACTTGTCAAACACCTTGCTCTCTTCGTCTGCCACTGCGAACAGTTGCACGAAAGCTGCCTCGGCCGCCAGTTTGACCGGAATTACCATGTCTCGTACAGATGCAAACACAGGAGGGGCAAGTAGTCCCAAATGCGGACGCGCCATTTCCGTGTGGGTGCGAGCCAGCGTGCGCACCAACACAAGCGCCAGCCGGCGCGAGTCGGTAGGACTGCCAGGAGGGATGATGGCCGACAGCGTTGAAAAGATGGCCTTGGTCGTTTCAAACCCCTTCTGTGCTTCGCTGAGCAAGTACTTGCCTGCTGCGAGGATGAAGTTGTCGGCAATAAACGGCTTGTTAGAGGAGCGCCATGTTAGCTTATGTGTTGGCTTTGCAGGTAGCCCGGTAGAGGAACTTACGGTCTTGCTTCCCATTCCTTGGCAGAGCAGCTCGGGCAAGTCGTCAAGCAGCGGGGAATCCAAAATGGTCCCAGGGCTCTCAAGAAGCACGGCGTTCAACGAAAGCACGCTTGTGCTGCTGAAGTCTCTTGTCATGACCCTGTTCTTTATCAGACCAGTAGCCACGTCCTCCGAGACATTCTTGACCAGAGCCCCAAAGAGCTTCGCATATGTAATGGTCAGAGTCAAGTCGCGCTCATCAGTCTCCACATCGATAAGGCTTAGTACTGCAGCACGAGATGCCTCGCCCATGTTGGCTCCTGCCTTGCTGATGACCTCGTAGAGAGCCTTGAGCATGGCTGTCCTGACACCTTGATCGGTTGTCTTAGAACCAGTCACCAGTTCGGCAATGAGAGGATCGACACGCGGAGTGAACTTGATAAGCGTGCCAAGAGCTTTGGCTGCGCGGCTGCGCAGAACATCGCTCGATGTATCAGCCAACGACTTGGCAAACGTTCGCTGCAGCTGAGGCAAGAAGGGCTTGAGGGCCGTCGGCATCTTCTCAAGGAGGTTGTTGAGTGTGATCAAGATAGCCGACTTGACGTCCGTAGAGCGTTCCGAGACGACACGGATGAGTGGGCCAGTAATCTGGGTGACAAACGGCTTCAGGGAGGCTTCGCTGGTCCTGTCGACAATGTCTGATATCGCTAGAGCGGCAGAGACCCTCTGGTCCGCTGTACCGTTCATAAGACCCTGCAGGAAGATCGGAAGAATGCAGCTGATGCCCTTGGGTAGCTCGAAGCCAGCCAAGTTGTGGCCAGCAACGCCCACAAGAAGCAATGTTTGTCGGGTAGACTGGACGAGCGACTCCATCTCCTCCTTCTTGAGCCTCTTTGTGAATTCGCTGAGCGCACTCCACGCTGCCTTGACTACCTCTATATCTCTATCATCGAACGATATCAGCAGAGAGCGAACAATGTCCTGATTGTACCGGGAGTAGTCGGAATCAGATTTGGCGAAGAAGGTAGCGAGATGGTTCCCAGTTGCGGTTCTCTTGCGATGATCTTCGTGCTTCATGAGCTGCAACATGACGTTCATGACCACATTAAGACCATCGTACTCGTCGATGGACAGGACAACGGTGTCAAAGGAAGCATCAAGATCATCACGCAGATCGTCTTCTGTGCAGTTGACGATGTTGTCCATGAGCGAATTGATGATACTAGGTAGCCGGCGGTTCATAGCCGCACCAGCCACCTTGGAAAGCGAAGCCAGGGCCTTGGCATTGAAGGCAGAGATGGGCGGCGCAATGAGGGTGGGAATGAGATTAGGAAGGATGATGTTGGACCGCGTTGTGTCCGTAAGTAGAGTCAGGAGAGCCGCGAGAGCATTGTCGGCCTGGTCCTCACCACGAAGCAGGCTGAGCAGGAACGGAAGCACTTGATCCACAGCACGCTTGCCGAGAATCTGCTGCAGCGAATCGAAAGCTTCCGCCGCGGCTTCACGTACGTCCTCGTCCGAATCCGTGAGAGCAGTCCGTACGACGGAGATGAGTGTCTTCTCGTGGTCCTCGAGAGCTTCAGGCGAAGCAGACGAGATAAGCTCCTTCAGAGCGAGGCAGATACCCTGCTTGGCATCCGCATCCGTGGAAGTTTGGAGACCTTCCTCGAGCGTGGGGAGTAGAGTGGACAGCACACCATCTCCTGCCTTTCTGATCAGCTCTCCCAAAGCATTGCTCGCAATAACCTTGTGCTCCATGCTCGTGCTGCCAAGACGGCGAATAAGAAGCTGGGTGAGGGTTGGAACAAGCTCTTTGAGAATGCGTGGGCTGTGGACAAGGGCTTTCCACACATTAACGGCAGCGGCTCGGACAGCGCTGGAAGTGTCGCAGCGGCAGACATAGAGGGCTGAGAGAATCTTGTTGCGCTTCTCCTCGCCAAGGATTTCGCGAAGCGAAATGCCAGCCTCCTTGCTGTTGTCTTCCTCCTCTTCCTCGTCATCGGTCGCCTTGATGCCTGTAAGATTGAAGAGTAGGTCGCCAACCAACTCGACAGAGCTAAGACGGATGCGGTAGCTGTCATCAGCCAAGCCACGCTCGAGTTCTGGGAGCAGAAGATCGACCGCTCGGACGGCAAAATTCTTGACCAAGAGCCGACCGGCGCGCAACGCTGTCTCTCTGATAGATTCGACGTCATCCGCAAGGCCCGATAGAATGGGAGGAATAATCTTGGCAAGGTAGTTGGCAAAGCTGTTGCCAAAGCAGACGGGCAAGAAAATGAAGAGCGACATAAAGCCCTCGCGGACCGAGGGTTTCGACGACTCGACATTCTGGAGGATGGTGGGAAGAGTCTCCTCCAGTCTGGAAGTTCCCAAGCCAGCAAGGACCTCGCTGAGTGCCTGGGCCGAACCAAGTCTGTCGCCAGCACCGGTTTCGGACTTGAGGGTCTGCATGAGGCCTGGGATCAGGTCTGGCAGCGCATCCTCGCCCAGCTTCTCGACAAGCGAGCCGAGTGCCCGTGACGCGGTCGCGCGAGTTGTTGGTACCGGATCAACAATAGCAACCTTGAGTCCTGCAACAAGTACAGGCAGATGCGACACCAGATCCTTGCGCTCCGTGAGATGAGCCAGACTGCCAATGACCTGTGCAGCCTTGCGCTTCGTGTTCGACCGGTCGCTCAAGCCACGCTGTAGAATGCGGCTGACAAGAGCCAAAGAAGGCGCGTCCAGATAATGCACAAACTGGACCTTGATGAGGGCATCCAAAGCCGTGTCGGTGTATTTGGTTGGATCACTGAGGGCCTTGAGGAGAACATCGACGAGACTGTGAATCTCAGGGTTGTTGATGACTTCACCAAATCTCTTCAAGCTCTTGTTGGCTGCCGACCGAACCTCCTTGTGACTGTCGTTCAAGACTGCGGTTAGGGGCGGGATAATCTCTGGCAGGCTTTGCGCTAGCTGCTCGGGGTCTAGATAGGCCATGGCGCCGAGAAGATCACATGCTCCTTTCTTGCTTCTCCACTGGTCTTCGTCGAGACCGTCAAGAAGAGTCGGCAAGATCTGCTTGACACCGAACGAGCTCAGCTTGGCGAAGCATGCCTTGGCCGCCGCCAGTGCGGCGTCGCGCACGTTCGCGTTGCTGTCGCCGAACCCGGCAAGCAATTGCGGCACGATCTGGATCACATAAGGCTCGAAGATTCTGCCAAGAATTGTCGAGAGAAGCTCAAACGCAATCATAGCTGCTTCTCGCTGGTTAGTCTCTTTCCTGTCGAGTGCTCCCTTCAGAGTGGTCGTAATGCGGTACTCCCTCAACACACTAATGCCTCGTCCGAGAATAAGCCCAGCCAGACCGTATGCGGCTCCTCGCTGAACGGCATAGGCCTTGGATGACAGAAGTGTGTCTAGGATCTGATCAAAGTACTTGGACGACTTGTCTCCGCAAGTCCGAACTAACGGAGGCAAACATTCTGCAATTGCATACTGGACGGATTCAGAAGGGGTGCTGAGTGTCGCCAGCAGTCTTTCGATGACAACCGGTATCTTGGCATCGCCGGGCTTGAGATGCCGGGCCAGTGCACCATACATAATAATGACGGCCTCGTTTACGCGATCAGCAGCCTCGGAGGCCTTATCGGGGGCCTCGAGAGTCCGCTCAAAGGTCTTCATCAGCTTGTCCAGCATAGCTTTCCCATGGATCTCAATGGCCGTGTTTGCGGCGTCCAGCATCTGTGCCCGCACTGTGGCATTCTTGTCGCCCAGCGGCCCTTGTTCAACAAGCAGGTTGAAGAAAGCATCCAGTTGAGGTTTTGTGAGCTGCTCAGAGAGCTCCTTAAAGGCCAGGGCGATTCCATGTCGTGCCTCCCACGGATCAGACAAGTCCATCTTCTTCGGCATTCCGAATTCGTCGAGCTGGGGAAGACGCGGCTTCGCAAACTCGATATACGACAGCCTCAGTTTCTCGAGAACGAGATCAACCGTCGAAGGATGCTGGCTCGAAGCTGCGGCGAGGGACCGCGCAGCGGCCCGGCGAAGTTGCCCATCTTTGCTCTCTAGGTATGGTAACATCTTGAATGGGAGCTCTTTGGTGATTTTAAACTCGCTCTCCTCCCATATTTCTTGACCAAGCTCCACGTTCTCTTCGACATCCTCATGAGCAGCAAGCCAAATCTCCTCTGCATTTTCAGAGTCACTCATATCAACCTCTGCGCTTATCGCCTGCAGCACCGCGGTTCGGACCCCTGTCTGAGGAACGATAGTGCCCCGAGCAAGAACGCCTATTTCGGCAGAAGAGATGTTAGGGGCGATGCAGCGGACCATATCGGCGAGGCAGTCCTTGAGAATCTTGTAGTGTTGGCTGTAGAGCTGCATCGATGACACCAGAGTCGAAAGGACCTCTGCACGAGGAACGGCTTCATCCGCGGCGACTTCTGTGTGGAAGGAGAGAAACTCAATCGCAAGCACCAGCTGAGCATCGCGATCATCGGCAGTCGCGGCAAAGCCGCCTTTTTGGAGGACTAGGAGGATGAGAGGGAGCGCGTAAATAAGCGACACCGTGTCGAATGGTCGCTGCTCGCCGGAAAAGCGGAGGCGGAAGAGTACCCTGGTAACGAGATCCTCAAACGGCTCTTGAGTCAAGTTCTCGGGGAGTGCGGAAACCTCGTGAGCACGCAGAGCAGCCGCGCCAATGAAAGGCCGAAGGGAGCCGAGGCGAGGAGCAGTTCGTTCTGAGCACGATACATATGCCATCGGCCCAGTCTCTCCGGTGATCAGACAGGCTCCAGCATCAATAGCATCCAAGGTTGCCTTGACCGCGTGGCCCATCCATCGAGTGGTATCCGTTGGGGGCCCAGTCGCAAGCCCTTTGACGACACCAAAGCCGCGTAGTAGTCTCGCCGCAATGTGGCGGACATTGTCGCGGATCGCGGCCTCCTTTTTGAGTTGAGCGTTGACTTTGGCTGTCTCTTCCGCTGTGAGTTTCTTTTGCGTGCCCTTCTTTTGCGCCAGCTGTTCTCTCAGCTCCTCCTCCCATTTCAATGTGTGGTAGTCTTTGGTGTTCTTGTTTGGAACAACGTTCTGCTTCTTAGCCAAGACGTCGACGAATGCCGTTCCTTCTGGGGTGCGGAAGATTGCAGCTTCCAGAGGGCCAATTTTGTGAACGTCGGAAACATCTAGATCTTCTTGAATGAGGGTGACAATACGGGGAGTCATGGTTTCAGGGGCCACGAAAACAAGTTCGGCGGCTGCGCTGCAAGCAGCTGTCTTGACCGCAGAAGACTAAAAATTGTTAGCGAGGCCTCCTCTATTTTATCGAGTGACAAGACTTACCTTTTGATCGAACCCAGTGCGGTTCAGTATTTCGTCGACCAGCTCCTGCTCATATTTCTTACCCAAGCTTCCAGGGTCAAGCTCGACCTTCAAGCACAAGTCAATCCAGCTTGCTCGCGGGATGAGCTCCGGCCGAGCAAGGACAACCAAGGAACGCATTTGAGATTCAAGATGGGACTCGTTGGCATCGGCACCCGCACGACTAGCATACTCTTTGCGAGACAGGCATATGGACTTAAGCACTAAATGCAAGTTAGAATTACCCGATTTGGCCAATGCAGCAATGCTCTCCCTGTCGGCCGCCTCCGTGGCCTGAACCCATTGCCACATGCCGTCAATAATTGCGTCGGTTAGAATGGATGAAGAGCCCTCCGAGTTGGACGCCGACTCGGCATAAACGTCAGAAAGCGCATCCATGGCCTCCCGACGCACAGCCGGGACGGTGGTGCTAGCGCAGATAATGAAAATAAACGCCTGGGCCCAGGCAATTCTGACGGGCGCGCTGCTGGAAACGACAGCAGGCGCAATGGCAGACAAGGCCTTAGTGAGCCATTTCAGGTCTTCGTCTAAGAACTTGCTGTATATCCGCGGGTTGAGCAAGAATGACGGCTTTGGCTCAAGCAACAAGCTGTTCTTTTGTATTGCTGCCTTCTTGGAAAGCGCATGGAGGCTAGAGGTCTCGGGCCGTTGGAGGAGAGACCCTACGGCGCAAATAACCAAACCGGCTGTAACGATCCCATTCTGCGAGGATATGGCCGGGTTGGCGACAGCCTCGTTGAATGCGGTCAGCAGGGGCGGGATGATAGCCTCGGCGAATCGCACAACATTCGGCGGGAGGCTTGCCCGGTCCTGGCTGAAGGTGTACAGAATCTCGCCAGCTCGGATGACCCAGATTCGCCTTACTTGGGGTTTCTTGTCAGCCAGGCCTTTGACGTAGGCATCAACTAATGCCTTTGGAACATCGGATTCGGTGGGTAGTAGTGCAATTGTGCTCGAATTGAGAGCAAGGGTCTCGGCATTTAGGGCCGCCTCGTTTCCCTCCTTCCCTGCCAAGGCAGAAAGGCCTACGGCAATCTTTGTTGCTATTCCTGTTGACGAGGGCAGAGCAACAAGAAGATCAGAGTGCAGAATCCTCTGCTCGGGAGATGGGAGCTTCCCTGACTTTAGAGGGCCGAGAACCTCGTCAGCAACAATCTCGAGAGCTGTGAAATCCCGGCAACTGGCGACTATCTCCTTAAAGGCTGCTATTGCCCCACTTCGAATGGCGGCATTGGATGATTTGAGGCTGGATAAAAGAGGCTTTACAAGCCTAGCGCTCAGCGCCTGGGAGAGGTCGAGCTCCTCGGGGAGAGAGTGGACCAGGGTGGGGATGATATCAGCGAGTACCACTTCAGGGGCTCTCAGGAGGGCCTTCTCGAGCGCAGGGAAGACATCCTTGTCCAGATCCTCGAGAGATACAAAGGCTGCGAAAAGGTCTCCCAGACCGCCAGCGAGGTGTTTTGGAATGGGCGTCCGAGAACCGACTATTTCACGGGTGTAGAAGGCGAGGTATTCAGTCTTGAGGTTCGCGACGACCGGTTTCGCGTCCGGTTTTCTTGAGCAGACACCGGCGATCACGCCAAGAAGCACGGCATTTTTGGCGGTTGGCTGAGCTCCTTTGGCAGTAAGGGCCTGAATTGCGGCTGTGATGATCTTCTCCTTGCCCTCTGTCTGCACTAGCTTCCTGAACCCCCTCCGTGTCACTACTAGGGCCGAGTGCCCGAGTGTGTTCCTCGCCGTGGGTTGGAGGCATTTTTCTATGGCGTCTGCGTCAGCCAGGACGATGTCGTTTGCGAGCTTGTCCCACAAAGGCGTGCCGACAATTTCCTGCATCAACAGACTGCACCACTCGACCAGCACAAAAGCGCTCCCGGGCGCAATCCCCGGCTTCTGTGTTTCCCTGCGAATCACGTTGACGAGGGGCGCAAGCACATCAGCATCGCCAATCTTGCAGACGGAGACGAGGCATTTCTGGACGGCCTGGCGGGAGGGGCGGTCGCTGTAGAAGGCATGTGTCCAAAAGAGGACCTTGAGGAGGCCGAGGGTCGCAGCGCGGTCGAGGGCTGGCACAGGAGCAACGCTCATTAGCTCAGGTTCAAAATGCGATACGGGCCCGGTCTCACATTCTTGCGTCAGCTTGTCGTCAATTGCGCGTAGCTGGGCGATTCTCGTCGAAGTGGACGACGAGGTGATGGCGGCAGCTGCTTCCCTCAGGTTGAAGCCGTCTAGGGCGTCGTTGGCAGTTCCTTCAGTCATGGTGCAGCGGTTCTCGTGTCTAGTCGTGTATTGACATGGTCATTCGCTGGGGACTCGGGGCGGAACTGGTGTATCGCTCGTGCTCTGTGCCAAGTCGCTGGGTAGGTACGGTAGTTAGATATTTGAGATTACCGTCGTCAACATCTGCAGCTGAATTTCGGCGACGACTCAGAATTCACAAAGTGGGTAGGCGCGGTTGCAGCTGCAGACGCTTAAGCGGACTGTGCTGCCTGCTAATTGACTTTTACAGTTCCCCACTACAACCCCGCCTTCTGTAACCTGAGAACCCCGCTTATTAAACTGCTCCCAATAGAATAGAGCTCGAATGTCTGTCCTTTGCTAGGCTTAGGTTATAACATCGATTTAAAATGTAAATTTATAGAAGTGCTTTCAGGCGTTTGGCACTCAGGACTTACATCTATTCGGCTTGCTATCGTTTTGATGTTGCCCTGTACACTTATATTTGATATTTAACGGGACAGGGAAGGCAGAACACTGTTAGAATAGCGCTCTAGGAGGCAGTTGGTGAGGTTGAAGAAAAGGATTACGACACGTGTGCAGCTAGCCCCCGGACCCACAGTCTTCTTCGATTTGACATCGAGCCTCAACGACGTCGTAACGACACCTCGAGACATTAGCTGGTGTTTCTATCACGTAGGCCAGCTTTGAGATTCTTAGCTGGACTAAGCAAAAGCCTTTTCTCCGAGTAAAATTCACTCAGGAATGGCTTCTTCGTTATTCACGCCTTCTACATGGTGAGTTAATTATTATTTATTTTGGTACGAGTATATATATCCTAAATAAACCTCAACCGCATTCGAAAGAGGCAAGTTTTTTTTCTACATAAATCTTTCCCCTTCCTAGAATTCAACTCTTGACGTCTTTGTTTGGTCCTATTTGTATTTGAGCTAGAATATTTACCGCCGAAAAAACAAGTTGTACACAGTAGTCCGGAATTAATATCCACCTCCCCATTTCCCAACACGTTGAATCTTCAATATACAAACGGTTCGTGGGATTGGTTTCCTTATTCGAATTTGTCTTCATAGCCTGTCCGAATGTATGCTCGGATCTTGATTCCGGGTAATTTCTCATCTGATCTTCAAGATGTATCTGATTTTTCTAGGCCATGCGAAAGGTGCTCGTATGCCTACCTTTAGCTGGCTGGGAACTGTGATTTCTAGAATTGTACTGCAAAAGGCAAAGACTCTTGCCTCCAGCTTTCACCGGTAACGGAAGAGAGCAGATACACTCCTGTGCTGTCGCTCATCCTGACTTCTCCCCAACCGTTGACTTGGTTGTCTGTGTGATTATTCGTCAGGATGACGAAAACTAGAATTTCGAGGGTGTTACTTAGCCTCGTGGCCAGCGCAACAGTATGAGGACAAAAGTACCACGTAATCAGTAGCTCCAGTGCGATTTTAATGTGAACTGTAACGGACCATGGACAATGCATCGCCAGATTCCCTGACAGAAAACTTCTCACCTGCGTGTAAAAAGGATACGGTGTTATGATCTTATACTGTGGTTGGACATCACCTATTTCCTTCCTTCAACATCTCTACGCTGGTAATGTCAATACATCATATACAACGCTCTTGACCGCTTCTCGGAGGTTTGTTATCTCGTGAATTGCATGTTTGGCATTTCGTCGACTTGTAATTCTACCGAGGTAGCAATCGCAAAACAAACTGGGCCGACGTGGTAAAGGAATTCATATGGAAAACCTGATGATGTCATATGGAGCTGGTGAGAGACTGGAGAGAGTTGTGAGTTGGAGTGACCGCCAAATCCGGAAGCGTAACCCTAGAGCGGCTGGAATTGTCTTCCATGAAAGTTTATGTCACTTAATTTCATGGAAATATTTCTGTAGTCAATGCGCCCGTATTCGCTAGAATGGTAAAAACAAGCAATTAATCGCCGCTTCAGGGGTGAGAGAGGCGCACAAATGTGAACGGGAGAGACGGTGTTTGAAGGGTAAAAACGTAACCGTGGACCTGATTGGAGGGCGTTAGTGGGCCCTGCACGAGCCAAACGGGGCAATCAGAAACCGCCTAAGCAACCCGGCACAGGCGAGGCAGACATTTTCACAAGGTGCAGCCCGCCGAAGCTTAGGTCTCTATACCTTTCCCCTTCGGCTATTCCGCCCTCCTCGTACGCACCTCCCCGACTTCCTGCCCGCCTGTCAAGAGAGAAAATGGCCGGCAAGAAGAGATCGAAAAAGCCAGCCGCAAATCCTGCAAGAGGTTTCGCGACCACCTCGATCGCATCGTCGAAGCCACGAGATGTCGCGGACGCCAATGACGATGCCCTAGCCAAACCTGGCGATGTTGCTGCCCCGCCGAAAGATGCCCCACCATTGCCTGCTAACGGCAACAGCCTTTCCTCCAACGCCGTCGCGCAAACCGAGAATATCAGTGCCGAAGAGTTTGAACGCCAGCTTGAGGAGTCGGAGCTACAGTATATGGTGGAGAAATTTGGACAGAAGGTTAAACGGGATGCACAGCGCCAGAAGTCTCGCCTCGAGACGGATAGACGCATTCTCCGCGGGCAGGCTGAAACGGTCAACGCTAGGAAATGGCTTCCCCAGGAGCTCATGGACCACGTCCTTGACCTGATTAAAGCAGAGGGCCGCTTTGCAGCTTCAAGCGTCTTGCCCGAGGGAGCAACTAGTAGACTGCCCCCGGAGGAAGACTTGGCTATCAAGCTCTGGGCACTGCAGCTGACCCTGACGGGCTCCGACTTCCCCCAGGGTAGGATTCAAGCGGCGTTACAATTCGTTCTGGACATTGCGCCCAACATCTCGCCAAGCCCAAAGGGCGATTCAGTCTGGGGATTGGAGGAAGCGTTTGACTGGTTGGCGAGGGAATGCCCCTCGAGCGAACTTCCTGGCTACAGCGGGCGGAGCAAGGCGACGCTGAAGCCCCAAGGTGAGCCACACATCTCTCCCGGTTTACCTAGACGCTCTGCTAACAGTACATTTCTAGATACTCCGTCTGACACCCCTAGCGCATCTGGGACGACCACCCCTCAACTGCTCGATCTAGACCCTAGACAAAGATCGAAGCTAAAGAACGGCGGCCTCAACTCTCGACCTCCACGAGGTCTCTCTCCAAAGAAACTCACCGCAACGTACGATGAAGATATTGAGCCCGACCAACTTCTGCCTTTCTATCTCGAGGCCAAAGAAAAGCTCTTTGAGATACAGCGTCCAAGACAGGACTTGCCCAAGGACAAAGGACGGAAAGGCAATTCTGCCCCTGGTGATGAGCAGGCGCTTCTCCTGGCTAAGATCGACCGCGTTGAGAAAGATGTTCTTTTCGACAAATACGTAGCTGAGCAGCAATGGAGAACGCGGAGGATAATCTTGGAGAAGGAATACTCTGCCAGCAAGAAGAAATCGGTAGAGGAAAAGGAGGCAACGCAGGCTGACGGCGAAGACATCCCGACCAACGGTCTTGATGATGTCAACGAAAAAGCCGAACGCATTGGAGCCGAAGTTCTGGCCGAGAGCAGCGATGACGGAGGGCTCTCGAACCTTTTTGACGGCCTCCCCACCAACGAAGTCGACCCCGTTACCGGTAAAACGAACACGGTAATGAACGGTGCTGATGGGAGGAGAACGGTGATCAGGGATTTTGGAAAATGGACTGGAGTGAGCCCCATGAGGGCTCTTGAGGAGGCTTGCCGCTCAAGAGACTCGTCTGTGAAGATATCCTATCATCTCCTTTCTGACATCGCTTTTGCCAACCGCCACGCCGTTAACATCGTCTGGTCTAAGCCGCAGGAACTCCCTGCCACGCCTGAGGTTGCCGAACTGGAAGTCTTCACGACGCCCCTCCAATTCGTGTTTAAGATGGCGTCCATTGCCACCCCTGACCCGAAGCAATCGGAGGCTTACATAGCCACTACCGGGTTATTCTTCATCTTTGCTTCGTCCGGAAAGGACGAAAAGGTGTCAATGAGACTCCCAAACACATGGAAGGACCTATGGTCAGAGTTTGCGGACGCGAAGAAAAACAAGGCTGACGGAGAGGATAGAGATGTCTTGCGAGGCATCCGAGACCTTGTGCGGAAGAGGATGGAACAGGAACTCGAAGATGGCGTCCTCATCCGGGGCGCGTTCAAGGGACGGGGCCAGGCCAAGAATCTGACCGACTCTGAGCAATCCGACCACGAGCGGGCAAAACGCCAACCATTCGGGCCAGAGTACTACCAACACATTTGGCTGCAAAAGGCGAATACCCCCAGGTTCCAGCAAATGTTGGTGTCACGGATGCAACTTCCCATGTGGCAATTCAGACAGCAGGTCGTTGAAACGGTCGAGAGAGAGCAGATAGTCATCATCTGTGGCGAAACGGGATGCGGCAAGAGCACGCAGGTGCCTTCATTCCTTCTTGAGCACCAGCTCTTGCTGGGCAGGCCGTGCAAGATCTACTGCACAGAGCCCCGACGTATTTCGGCCATATCGCTGGCCCGTCGGGTTAGTGAAGAGCTCGGAGAAGGACGAGGAGATATCGGGACGAACAGGTCTTTGGTGGGATATTCTATACGACTCGAAGCGAACACTTCGAGGGAGACCCGTCTTGTGTTTGCCACAACTGGTATTGTCATGCGCATGCTAGAAGGGTCCAACGATCTTCGAGAGATCACCCATCTAGTGCTCGATGAAGTCCATGAGCGTTCCATCGACAGTGATTTTCTGCTTATTGTGCTGAAGAAGCTGCTCGCTAGGAGGAAGGACCTCAAGGTCGTGCTCATGTCGGCCACTGTCGACGCCGAGAGATTTTCACAATATCTAAACGGAGCACCAGTTCTACAGGTTCCTGGGCGAACGTTCCCAGTTCGAGTCAATTACCTCGAAGATGCCGTCGAGCTGACTGGATATTCGCTCGACCAGCGGAGCCAAGAGAAGGTTACGGAGCTAGACGACGATTTAGAGACGGAAGCAGACAACTCGTCCAAACCGGAGCTCATCAAAGAACTCAAGAATTACTCGTCACGAACGAGAAACACGCTAGCACAAATGGACGAATACAGGATCGACTTTGATCTTGTCGTCCAGCTCATCTCTAGGATTGGGCAAGACCCAACATATGCCCCCTTTAGCAAAGCGATTCTCGTCTTCTTACCCGGTATCGCGGAGATCCGGACGATTAACGACATGCTACTCGGTGACAGGTCATTTGCCGATAGCTGGCTTGTCTATCCCCTGCACTCTACAATTGCCACCGAAGACCAGGAAGCAGCCTTCCTGGTCCCCCCTTCTGGAATGCGGAAGATTGTCTTGGCCACCAATATTGCCGAGACGGGCATTACCATTCCCGACGTGACTTGCGTCATCGACACCGGAAAGCACCGCGAGATGAGATTTGACGAGCGTCGACAGCTATCTCGCCTCATCGATACGTTTATCTCTCGAGCCAATGCCAAGCAGCGCCGGGGTCGTGCCGGGCGTGTCCAGGAGGGACTCTGTTTCCACCTGTTTACCAAGCTTCGTCACGACAAATACATGAGCGAGCAACAGACGCCCGAGATGCTCCGGCTTTCACTTCAGGACCTTGCCATCCGCGTCAAGATTTGCAAGATTGGCGGTATTGAAGAGACACTGGGAGAGGCTCTGGATCCTCCGTCGGCGAAAAACATCCGCCGCGCCATCGACGCGCTCATCGACGTTCGTGCGTTAACTGCGGCTACGGAAGAGCTGACACCTCTGGGGCTACAGCTCGCGCGTTTGCCGCTCGATGTCTTCTTGGGCAAGCTTATTCTTCTCGGGGCCATCTTCAAGTGTCTCGACATGGCTATCACTGTGGCCGCCATCCTGTCGTCCAAGTCTCCGTTTGTGGCTCCTTTTGGACAGCGCAGCCAAGCCGACGCGGCCCGGAAAGGCTTCCGGAGAGGCGACTCGGATCTTTTGACCGTGTATAATGCGTACTTGGTGTGGAAGCGGGCATGCCAGACGGCAACTGGCGGCGGTTCTGAGTACCAGTTCTGCAGAAAGAACTTTCTCTCATCACAAACGCTTGCGAATATCGAGGACTTGAAAGGCCAGCTGACGATCTCGGTTGTTGACTCTGGCTTCCTGCAGCTTACAACAGAGGAACGCCAGACGCTTAACCGACTGCGCTCGAGCGGCAAACGGAGGAACCAGGTTTTCTTCGAGATGCCGCAACGCGCCAACATTAATAGTGAAAATGACACGATCTCGCAGTCCGTCATCGCGTGGGGTTTCTACCCGAAACTCCTCGTCCGCGATGTCCCGGGCGGCAAGGGCCTGCGCAACGTGGGCAACAACCAGAACATTAGCCTGCACCCCAACAGCGTCAACAAGGGCCATAACGAACTGCGGTGGTTAAGCTACTACCACATAATGCAGTCGAAGGCGTGAGTGCCACTGTTTCTTCTCGGCCCCAGATGAAAATTTCCCCTTGGCAAGAGCTAACATTCTTTCTAGCTTTTACAATGCGCACGAAACGACGGCCGTGGACCCGTTTGCCATCGCGCTGCTCTGCGGCGACGTGCGCATCGACATGTACGCGGGCGTGATGGTCCTTGATGGCAACCGCGCCCGCTTCACGGCGCCCGACTGGAAGACGATGCTCGTCGTAAAGGTGCTCCGAGCCCGCCTGCGCGAGATGCTCACGCGCAACTTCAAGAGCCCTAGCAAACTGGCCACGCAGCAGCAGGAGCGCTGGCTCGAGGTCTGGCAGCGCATATTTACCCTGGCTCAGGAGAACAAGGACAAGGCTGCGCAGGCTGCTGCTTGAGCGTGGCGCGAACGGTTGGGATATGCGTCGTTGGTTGTCTTTCGGTCATTTGACAGCTATGGATAGGTACGCGCTAGGACTAATATCTATGCATAGCCACCTGCCCGTTGGTTCTGGTTTTGGTAGGGGTGATGCTTGTGGCCAGGGGTTCAGGGGTAGTTGTGGCTGCGCATTAACAAATGAGATGCAGATTTCGTGAGTGGCCTCTGTATTAGGCATGAGTCTAGTTGGGCAATGGCTGTGATGCTCGGTTGTCTTTGGTCATCTCTCGTAAGGAAGAAGATACCAGGCAATTTCAGCGAGAAGATCAAACGAGATAAGTGGGTCACCAAAATAGATGTGAAGCTGGCGACGATAGCCCTGCCCCGCCAACCGCCAACGCAGCTTGGAGTCGCGAGTGACCCCATCGCCAAGTGGAGCCGTGACACAATACCAAGCCTGCCAAGATGTCTTGTCTCAGGCCACGAGCCAATCGCTACTCGTGAATCTTCTGGCTTCCCGTTCAAATCTCGTCCCCGTGGTCAGTCAGTGGCCGACCTTTTTTTTTCCCCCAACTCGATTTCAACTTCCTCACCGCCTGACCGACAACGACACCGACACCGACCCGCTCACTCACCTTGCGCCGCTGGACTTTTCATTTTCAGACTTTTTGGAAAAGAAAAAAGAAAAGGTTTCACGTCACGTCGCGTCAAAATGCCTACGGTCCAGCCGCCCTCGCAACAGGCGCCCATGGAGGCCTCCGTCGACGCCGCGAGACCCGGAGCGCCCGCCGTCATCATCACGCAGCAGCTGGTGAGTTCGGCGGTGTCCTGCCCTGCAATACGTTCTATGAGAGGAGGGGAGAGGAGAGGAGAGGAGAGGCTGACGCCACGTGAATAATTAAAGCGCGCTGAGCCGGCCCCTGACGTCGAGAAGGAGGTCGCGCTGCGTGGAGGCCGCCTCACGCTCGGCTTCAGCTGCTGCCATGGGCACTGCTCGTTCCACAAGGGGTGCTGCTGAGGTTTGCTGGGGTGGGTGATGAGATGAGATTTGGTTAGATGAGATGAGATGAGATGGACGATTAATCAAGGTCTGATTGGGCGCGTGATGACTAGGGCGGGCGGGGTAAGCGAACTTAAACTTATCTTTCTGTATCTGTTTGCTTGCCATGCCATGGCGTGATCTCAGTGTTGACGTCGCTCTCCACCGCTTGGTTGACATGGGAATTGAGATGTGTTTCGCTTTTTCAGCTTGGCTACGTCGCTTGGGCTCCAGTTATTTGGGGTAACAGTTAAATCCCTGGTATTTGTTTCTGAATTGGTTGGTCTTGCTAGAAAGCAGCTTTTCATATTTTCTTCTATCCCTCATCCAAGCTCTTCTGCTGTTTCCGCCGCCTATGTTTCGTGAATGGAAAGGTCAGAATTACAGGGGCCCAGCGGGTGAATAGGTCTCGAGGCCGAGAAAACCCGGTCAGATGGCGAAAAGGGTGATGGATCTGAATTTTAGGGACAGATACGAGAGCGACTAGTCTAGATGGAAACAGATGATGCCCTGCCAGGGCAAAAGCCGATGACCCAAGTATCTGGCCTTTTAACCTGCTTATCTAACGCGCCGCGCATCGCTCGAGCCCCACAGTGGCAGCTTATTGGTATCATCTAAATTCGTACCTCGGGCGCCAAACGACAGCAATGCAACATGCTAATTAGAATGAACTCTAAACGGCGCCCTCCACCAAGACTCGTCGCCTTGAACCCGACAAGCGCAGCTGCACCTCTTAATCATACTTGCCTCCAATATGGCGCCCGATCAGAGCAATGAAAAGCGAAGCTTTTTCTCACTAAAACAAATCAACAGACTTTGCACGAAGCTATTCACGAAGCTATTCACGAAACTCAAGGCGCCATTTTCTCGCATCGAGCAGGAAGACACAGACACAGACACAGACAGTGGAAGTATCGAGCGAAACTTTGTATCTGATCCTACAGATACAAAGCACCCAGTCGGGTCTCTGCTTTATTTCAAGAGGAGAAAGTAAAAGGAGCAAGATGTATTGCCTGTGTAAGTACAACAATATTACTGTCAAGAAAATGATATTTCCGTGTCACATGGGGCCTCTTGCTTTGAAGACATGGCCAGGGCAACTTTAGACGTTATTAAGGATCTGATTTGACGGCAAAAAAGGTGTTATTGCCATCTCTCATGATCGATGACTCAGGCATTTCCTCGAGTAAAACCCAGCTGATGACACGGCGTCAGTGAAACAAACATTGTACGGTGAACACGGCACGAGCGCAACCAGAGTTTCCGTGGAGTTTGGGCGAGCCCCTGACTGTCTGTGTCAAAGTCGTGGCCGGTTCTTTTAGAGACGTGGAATTAACAGTATGAACTTCACTAAATCACGCTGATATAAACTGCCTAGGTAGCGTACCGAATCCTGCTTGGTGGATCGCTCGAGAAACAGTGGCACGAATTAGGACCGGATATCTCAGGATTACAGTGATGGCAGGATAGGACTAGAATTGCGTGACCAGGCCTCATATGTCAGAAGACATCGTCAGAGCAGCTTTCGGCGTTGGTGGCCACGGCAGAGAGACGTTTCACTTTCTAATTACTTCTCGTTCTCAATGACTCAGTAAACACGTACCAATGACATGGCGCGAGTCAAACAAACACTGTACCAATATGGTATGAATATGGGCAAAGTTTATACGCCGCTGGAATAATGTCTTCGCGGGCTGCGTTAAATTTCTCGATAGGCCCTCCGATTGCCAGCCCAAGCCAGCGATTATTTGGATATTTAAAGCTACTATTCCTCTCCCCACCACCACTTTCCGAAACCATCACTTTTATCACACTCAACGAGACTCGGAATTAGCCACACATATCAACATTTCCCTAATTACATTATGGAGAGCGTCCACAATACCAAGGTAGACATCAAGGAAGACACTGAGGCAGAAACCAAAGAAGAAACCAAAGAAGACACCAAAGAATACACCGAGGAACCCAAGCAGCCAAAGGCGCCAGGAAATCAGAACAAGACGGAATCGTCAGGTAATCTAGTCACTCCGGCCGAAGCGCCAGGTGATTTGGTCATCGAAAGCAACGGTAGCGAGAATCGCAATGCCTCCCCACCTGGCTTGGGAAACCCAGAACCAGTTGTCCCAGTGTCCTCTCAACTAGCCGCGGTCACATTTTCTGCTGGGATAGCTTATAGCCTACAGTTACAGCTACAGCTACAGCCTACAGGCAGTACGATTACTGTTGCCCAGACCCCCAGTAAACATGCGTCAGCCGATACAATTACTGTTGCCCAGACCCCCAGGCAACATGCGTCAGCCAATACAATTACTGTTGCCCAGAACTCTAGGCCACAGGCGTCTGTTTTACAGCCTCAGCCTACAGCCAATGCAATTACCGTCGCGCAGACCCCGAGGCAACAGGCGCCTGTTTTACCTGCTGTTGCAGCGGTACCAGCCGATGCATCTACTGTTGTGCAGACCTCCAGGCAACAGGTGCCTGCCTTGCCTGATGTTCCAGCGGTAGCTCCCAACAGAATTTTGCCCCCGGCTATCCGGCGGCGGAGGGGCATCCGGAGACTGGCTATCAGCCAGGACAGAGAAATGGCAGACCCCGAAAAGTACCGCATGATGGTTACCAACGTCACGTTTGTAGCCGTCCAGACCATGCTGGAGATTCTGAAAAAGTACAAGGGGATGAAGGAATACGAGGACATGGACTTCGTGTTCTCAGAGGACTATGCCTCGTATCTGGTCGACCAAGCCCTGTACACTGTACTTAATTGTAAGCAAGAGCGACCTTCCTTAATACGCAAAGAGCCAACCCACAGCTGCTGAGGCACAAACCATCTCGATTAGTGGCACCTGCGAACGGTAAGTTCACCGATTTGTTTTCTGGGCAAGAGAAGGTTGATACTTTCGAAAATCCTGCAGCTAGACTGCTTGCGCCGGATGGCGGGCCACAATACGGCGGAATTTTGAAAGATGTCGTGGGCGAGTACATGAAGTCTGTCTTGGATGACTAGGTAGGTGCGCCTGAAGCTTGAAGAGGATACCAGTTACTAGGTGAGCGGACGGATACAGTGACGGCTAGAATAAATCCAAGGGAGGGAGGGGAAGGATAAAGACTTACTATTTTGGAAGAGACAGCCGAAAAGTCCAACGATAGGATCCATTTTGAGAGACAGAACGTGATACGTTGCTCTGTCGGGCCATTCGGAAACTCGAAACACGCAGTTGGCAATTATTAGAAGATCTAGAAGACAGCCAGGATGCATGAAGTTGGTGCTTGACCGTCTGGGGGGTTGTCTTGATTGGTGCTATCAATCGCTATCTTAAGACCTCTAAGATGGCATTTGATGCTCGTGACTTCTTTTTCACCCCAAATGTCACACGGAACACCATTTTAAACCCGTTCCATGTACCCACTTCAGACATTCACTGGGCGCAATTCGGCCACGCGTCAGTCCTCAGGCCCGTATGTTTCCTCGGAGACGTGTTCCATCCAGTTCCAGAACTTGCGTATGGCAGGTTGCGTATCCTCAGCCTGGACATATACTGCTGCTTCGGGGGGGGGGCGAGCCGTGATCTGAAAAGTCGACTGAAACGTGTAGAGAGGCAGCCCGCCCCGGCACAGGCGCCAACGGGCAACGCGCTCGGTGCCCCAGACACTGAAAGACGGGCGACGACCTCGAACGACGTGTCCGCGCCGTACATCTCAACCATTGACCGAATGAAATGATATTGAAATTCTGTGCTGCCGCGGATGACGATCTCGGTGCCCTCTGGCAGCGGCATGCTGACCCTCTGGCAGCGGCATGCTGACCCTCTGGCAGCGGCATGCTGACCCTCTGGCAGCGGCATGCTGGCCCTCTTAATGCTGCGTTCGTCCGCTTGACCGAGGTACCTGCATTTTCCGTCCGCAATGTCGATCCGCTTTGGATTGGTTTTACCGCTCTGGCTCTGGTGGAGCATGTATATTAGCAAATCAATCAAAGAGCACTATGGGACGGGTGTCCGTACTTGTGGCGCCTGGAAGGCGCGGGGAGGCGAGCTTGGGGCCGACATGGCAGCGGACCAGCAATCGCGGCAGACCTGGAGGCTTCAGTCGAGTTGATTAGGATGCTTCAGAAGCGGGTGGGCGAAGGCAAACGAGGGCACCTACTGTCAGAAGGCCAAACGCGAGACGAAGGGATCGTTCAAATGCTCGCCTAGGGAAATTTCACGAGTAGTGGCAGGGCCGAAACCCGAAAGGTAAGAGGGGTGTGCGAAGGGTTGTAGAGCTCCAAGTTGGCGGAGTGCAGGCAGGAAAATGATAGGATGACTGAAAAAAACGAGCGGACGTAACGTGCGCAGAAACGGCTTGTATGTCCATTTGGCGTAATAGCTAGCAGCTTGAAACAGACTTTGATTTTATCCTTGCGGAACGTGCTTCTTTCAAGGTGCTTTCAGGTCAAGACTGAGCCGATCTTGGAGTACTTAAAGCCTCTTCACCACCTCACGTCCAAACTGTTCACCCCAAACACGATTCCAGCACGGCCAGCACGGCCAGCACGGCCAGCACGGCCAGCACGGCAACAGTCTAAATCCAGCAGCTTCTTTGGCTCTTTCGACACAGCTCATCAAATTTTGACACTCTTCGTACAGCATCAGTCAAGACCCAGCAAAAGAGAGCGCCCCCAGCCATCCTACGTGCCCAAGACCATAGCGACGGCGACATGGCTTTCAGTGCAAACCAGGGTATCCGCGAAAGGGCGATGTATGGCATCGATCCAAGGCTTGCCGACGATTGCAACTACGAAAAAGAAGTGAAATTGGCCATTGAAGGTCATATTTCCCAAATAGCAGAGAACAAGGAGGAGGAGCACAAGGGCATTTCCAAGGCCTATGTCATGCATCTTGTCGACATGGAGCTCTACAAGCACTTTGGCTGTAAGAAAACCCCAACTTACCGCGCAACATTCGGCCCAAGGTTGCTTACACACAAGCTCGTAGTCAACGTGTGGCGCGATTACGACGAGGCTTATCCGGGGCGTACGTCCTCAGCTTGGGATCTAGAGAAGAGCAAACCAAGCTCACCGATACCCGGAACTCCTCCCGGCTCGAAGCTGGATAAACGTGCCAAGGAACCTTTGTCCGAGTACATAGCTTCGCTGAAAGGCGCCGAAGCATCCAGCAGTCCAACAGTGGGGAACCAAAGAAGGCAGAGAGCGGGGGTGCGGCCGTGTATAGAGCGGCGGCTATGGCATGGGACACCAGGAAGGCCAGGAAGGGGCGGGGCTTCATATAGATATCGAGAAGGTCGCGTGAGCAGTAACGAAAACCGAAACTTACAAATGCAAGAGGGGAATAGCAGAAGTTTTAGGTACTTGGGTGAATGGTTTCATCGGACCGCTGAAGAACGAAATGGAAAGAGCGAGCGTGACATGTGCGGAAACAGTTCCCGTGGACTTATTGTATGAGGACGACCAGCCTGAAACAACTCTGACTTGAAGAGCTTCTGACTTGAAGAGCTTCTGATCCGAGCACCTGGTCCTCTTTATGTCAGCCAGAGAGAGATATATTGCCACTCCTTGAATGCTTAAAGCTGCTTCACCACCACTTTACTTCCCCAGCCATCCGCCTCGAAAGCACTCGCCTCGGACACGGCATCAACTATATATTCGGCACTTGCACCGCCTCCAGGCGCTCTCATTACGCCATGAGCCGAAACCGCTGCGAACCACGGCCGTATGCGGGGTCCAACTATAGCGCCTCGGATTCTGACGCCACGGCCTCCGACAGCTGGGCCTTGGTAATGGCTCATCCGGGAGACCACGTCGGCGGCTCCACGGCTTCTTATGCCAGGGCCTCCGACAATAGGGCCATGGTGGTGGCTCGTCAGAAAGGCCAGGTCAACGGCTCCGCGGCTTCTAACGGCAGGGCCTCCAGCACCAGGGCCATGGCGGTGGCTCATCGGGGTGGCCACGTCAACGGCTCTACGGCTTTTCACGCCAGGGCCCCCTACAACAGAGATATGATGTTGCTTGGTCAGGGAGACTACAGCAATGGCTCTACAGCTTCTTACACTAGTGCCTACAGCACCAGTGCTAACAACACTAGTGCCTACAATACCAGGGACACGATGTCAACTCGTCGAGAAAACCGCGTTGACGGTTACACGAATCCCATCTCTCCACCCAACCAGCACTAAGAACCGGCCCCGGCGTCTTCCTCGACACCAACGACCAGCAGCAACGATGTAAACGATGCGCTCTATCGCGCCACCATTAGCCGCCGCCTGGCAATGCGCCAGTTGATTGTCAACGCAGATGCTACCATGAAAGGTGATCTAGAATACGAAGCCAAGGTATACAGTGCGCTGGTAGATCGGGCCACAGCTTGGAGGGTGAGTACAAGGAGAAATACTTGGAGGGACTGTGTGAACTTGAAAGACGGAATATCCGAGGACAAGTTCTATCGTGATGTCGACAATCTTATATGGGCCACTTGCCGCCGTGAGTCAACCAGCCTTACCTACTTACCCCCCAACACAGCAACGGCCAGCGCTGCTTTAGCCAGTCTCCCTACATAGTCAGGCAGGGCTGAAATTTTGAGGTTGCTAACAACGGATATTCTAGCCGGCTACGAGTTCTGGTACGAAAACGATTTGGTTCCGTAATACGGCAAAGGACTGCCCAAAATTATTACGGCTGAGAAAGGCGAAGACTTCAATAGGGCTATTAACAAGGCCGTGGAAATTTATATGAAAGACGCCAAACTGGAGGACTCGTAGTAGTCCGTGCGGGTCGGGAAAATGCGAGGAAGGTAGTGAGAGGGAACACGGCCACAGAAGCAATGACGGGCAGCACACGGAAGCCAGGAAGGTGGTTTGGGGGTATGTAGTTTTTTGGAAGAGACAGCGAGGCGTCTTGACATCGGTAACTAATTAGAGAAGCGAAGCGACGGCAATAATAACGATTCGGGGCCCCAGCCATTCCAGCGAGCGATCAAGTGCAAAGCCCCAGTGAAATTAAACACCTAAGCTAATTAGGTAGCGTATCCGAAGCTATGCCTGACTTGAGTCGTGGCTAGACGAGCAAACGTCCCGAGGATACAGCAAGGCAGGCAGTCCCAGCAACTTCCTGGGTCCCTCCAAAGGCGAAGGCAACCTCCTTGTTGTCAACGCACCGCCTGCCTGCCTGATTCCCCCAAAGAGACCCAGAGTGAACAAACGCACTCCCCATATCGTCAATGAACTGACCTAATCCCTTTGAAGGCACAGGTGTGTAACCTCCACGTCTCTCTATGTTCTTCCGTGTCATCCCATGTCCTTGGCGAAGTGGCCCAATATATGCAACCCAACAAATAGCTAGACACGCGGGTCAAGATCCCCCAGCACACCCGATGATTGTCCCAGAGTCCTGTGTGTAGACCGAGACTTGATGAGTGTGTTAGCAATCTTGTCCTGGGATAACAATTCGACTCGTGCGTCCTTGCGAAGCTTCCAAAAGCCCAAAGGGTAACCAGGACAAGGCGGTCTGTATCCAACTGCGCCGAAAGTAAAGGACCAAAAAAAGTCGTCTAGAATAGTGGCGTCAAGCCATGAAATACCATGATGCAAGGCAGAGAAAAAGCCCGGCCGACTGGTGTATCCCTGTACTAACCCTATAAAAAGAGATCCTAGCACCTCAAAATGCATCACGACCTGCCCTTCGGGATCAGCAAACTTCTATGACCATGCACAGCGCACAATACCCACCCCTGACCGTGCACTGACCGACGCCGGATTACTGACAACATCAAGGGGTATTCATGGTAAATCGCCAGGCGTAGTTCCTGGCGGTGGTATCATAGTCTTACACAATGCCATACAATGCCCGCCGCTCTCGATCCAGTTCCATCCGTTCAATCAACCGAGAAACATCTTCTTGAAATCGGCATTGGACTTTGAGGCCTGGCCCGTGGGAGCCGTACCGCTACCGCTGGATCCGCCATTAGTGGTAGCGCTTCCGTTGGGCTCCTTCTTGGCCAGTGAAACAAAGCCCAGCCCACGCCTCGCTCCGCCGCGGCCTAGCACAGGCGGCCGTCGGATAGCCGGCGGCGGCATGAGTTCGGCCGCACTCTTCGTCTTCTTGGGCGGCTCTTGGTCGATGCGGTCGACGCGCACCTCGCCCTTCTGGCGGAATAGCTCTGCGACGGTATCGACGTGTAGCTTCTTACCACCGTCGACTACCATACCTTCAATTGCAAGTCCCGCCTTGCGTGCTGTCTGGGCGTCGACGTACTCAACAATCACTCCCCCATATTTCGCGTGTAGAGTCAGCTTCGCGATGGTCCCGGTGGGTGCCAGCATGGACTGGACTCGGGCAGGGTTCATAGTATCGGGAATGTTGAGCACGGCAATGGTGCGGGCAGCGATGTCGGCTGGCGTGGGCCCGCCAGACGTGGCTCCTGGGGACTGCGAGCGTGCAGCAGGATCAGCAGGCGAGCCTGCTTCGGGCGACCCCTCGCTGCCGTGGCGTATGGTGATGGAGGTTTTCTGCGAGACCGGCTTCGAAAGCTCGACTTTGATGGCGCGATGCCCAAAAAGAAGTTGGTCCAAGAGCTTGATGGCTTCTTGGGCTTCCTCCTTTGTCGACATGACGATAAACGCGGCTCCTTGACTCACACCGACCCTGTTCCTGAGCAGTCGAACACTAACAACCGTACCAGCTTTGGAAAAGAGGCCGTGGAGCTCATCCTCGGTGGTGGAGCGCGGCAGGTTCAACACGTGGAGTTCGCGCTCTTCAATTTGGGCCCCATTTCGCTGCTGCTTTGCAGCTGGGTCCGAGAGCTTGGCCAGCAGTTTGTACTTGCCGCCTTCGAGCGACTTTCTATCGAGCTTGGTTGCCAGTGCTGCAGCACCGCGGTCGCGGAAGGTCAGATAACAGAACCGACGCCTGGCATTGTACTTCAGACTGGGGAAGCGGATGCTATGGATGGCTCCACAGTCTTTGAAGAGATCGCGGATGAACTGCTCGTCGGCCTCGGGAGGGTAATTGGTGACATAGAGAGTGCAGTCGGTGGCAGGCGTCACTTGCACAACCTGACTGCCGAAGTACTTGCCGTCCCGTAGCATTGCTGACTGGGCATCGTCTGGCGAACGAAACTCAATAAGAGCAACTGGCGGCGCCCCTTCTTGTTTCTGGAGGTCAATATTGTTGACGTGGCCGTATCCGCGAAAGAACTGCTTGACCTTCGTCACAGTGACGTCGGAGGGTAGGTTGGCCATGAAGACCGATGTGTTCTCCCGATCTCGCTTCACTTCGTCTCCCTCGCCGTACAGAATACTGTTCTTGAGCCGTTTGTTTCCGGCATCGTCGTCAACAGGGGTAGGCTCTCGCTTGCGCTTGGGTCCAGACGATGTGTCGGCCTCGGGTGAATCCTCCATATTCTGGTCGTGGGAGGCGGCCTCCGTCAGAGCCTGAGCTTCGAACGCGGCCCGCGCTTCCTCAGCCTGCTGGGCCGCCTCTCTCTCCCGGCGCTTGGCAATTCTCTTCCTGTTTTTGTAGATTGTGTCCTGCGCCTCACGCAACGTCTCCGCCAACTCGTAGTCATTGCAGTGTTGTAAGTAGACGTCCATGATGCGCTCCGGCCAGTCGAGAGAGGAAACCTTCAGCGCCTTCTCGAACACGCGAGTGGCGTACGATGGTATTCTCAAGCCCTGGGAATTTGTTGTGGGCGTAGGGCTCCTCATCTTGCTCTTGGCAGCAGCAAAGACCACCATCTCCCAAAGAAACCAGGAAAGCCAAAAGTCGTAGCTCTTAGCGTGGAGCTCTATCGTCGACAGCTGCTCCCAAACGGCGCGGGCGCCGCTGACATCGTCCTTCTTCTCGGTCAAGAACTGGATGAGGATCTTCTCCAGTCGGAAATTGGGGTCGCCTTGGTATGCGTCGCCGTATCTTCTCTTCCCCCAATGCTTGACGTCTTCGAGTGCTGACGGCAGGCCCACCTCGGCGAGATCGGTCGCCTCCTCAGTCGCGTTCGGGTCCATAGCAGTGCGCTTTAGATAGCCGCACCAGGCCGAGTACATGTCTAAGACGCCAGTCATGCCGTCTCGGTCGAGTTGGGCGCTGTTCGTCGCGGCGTGCTTGATCCGTTCTATGTCGGCGAATGGCAGGCCCGATTCCTCGGCGGCCAGAATGTAGCGCGCCCAGGTGGGCCCGGACCAAGGAAGGTGACGCACGGCGCCCTGAAGGACATCAAGGGTGTTGGGCAGCACACTCAAAGGGATCTTGGATCTTCCGGACTTGACGTCTGAGTGCGAGGTGGAGGTGAAAACGATGTAGTTCTGCCAGGTGGCTTCGTGGGATACCAAAATGCCCGTCAGGGCGCGCGAGAACAGACCGAGACAAATGCGAAAGTTGGTGAGTGCGTCCTTTCTCGCTTTGGTCTGCCTGATTTCCCAGTCCAGATATTCAATGAGAATGTTTCTGGAGGGCTCAGCGTCCCCCGACTTGGCGGCAGACTGCAGGCGCATCTCGAATGGGTCGCGCAGCTCATACAGGCGCTTCGCGTCCCTCGAGTCCTTGGTGACCTGTTGCATCTCGAACTCGTATGCCGGTTTCTTATACTCGGTAAGGAAGCTCGAAAACATTTGCGACGTCGTGTCCCATGTCGCATGCGGCGTCGCGAGGCGGGTTTTGAAGATTTGCGAGACTCTGCGGATGGCGGCTTCGGTGTGGTGCTGGCGGAGTAGGCTCAGCTCGAGTGAGGCCCAGCGGTCCCATAGCTCGTGGCTGTCGCCGATGCGATACTGTACGGCCTCGTAGCCCTCCTGCCAAAGGTTGAGCGCGGCGTTGATGGTGAACGTGTCCTGGCCGACCAGCTGCTCCTCGAGCGGCCAGCCTGCATCGCTATTGGCCTGGCAGTCTATGTGCAGCGACCAAAAGTATTCGCAATATGCCATCCAGACCTTGATGCTGCCGGGCTCGGCCGAGACCGCGCGACGGAAGCTCTCGACGACATTCACGCGCTTCTCGAAATCGGTCGCTTCGCGAGACTGGTGGTCGACAAAGTCGACCCAGTTGTCCTCCCCCACCGGGCTCGCCATTTTGTTCGCTTGTTCAAGAATATCGTATCATCGGCAAAGAGCAGGTCGGGCGAGTTTGGTGAGACGCGGTGTGGGGTGGCGGGTTAGGTCGACGACGAGAGAAACAAAAAGACAAGCAGTGGAGGAGGTCGCGAGGGACACCTGAAATTTGTGGGCGGGTCTGACGGGACCGCGCTAAGACCCCGCGGGCGGATGACCCGAACCTGCGCGCGGCACTGTGAGGCACGTTAGCAGCTGCCACCGCTGCGACCCTGGGTCCTCTTTCAGTCCGTACCGCGGATTACCTTACGTAACCTACGGTTGTGACACACGAGGCACTGTAGTAAGGAGCTCTGGGTCTGGACCGACCGCCGGGGAAGAAGGGCCACCTTACACAGTACCGGCCGCGTACGTCTGCAATTTCGGTATGGAGTGCAGGCGATTTGTGCTTATCTAAGTGTAGCCGTCGCGTTGCCGGGTTTCGGAAAAAAAAATTAAATATCGCGGAAACTGCCTACATAACCACACTCCCGCCAGGTCGCTTGATACTGCCCAGGGCAATGGTGTGCGCACCGAGCCAAATTTATTGCACTGTGCAGAGAGGCTGCAGTTTTAGCCTCTGCGGCTGGTCTCACGCTGGTGATGGCACCTCAGCTTTCCTTCACTTTGACCAAGGGTCTCGGATTCCTCGCCGGCTCTTGCCTCGATAAGTTTGCGAGGAATTACCGGAGAGTTTGTCACAAACCGGGCCGTACTGTGTAGGGTAAAATTGTGGGGCATCATTTGGGGTGACCGGAAGTCTGATTCACCGAGGAAGGCATCTTCGTGCTTTGCGGCGTCCAAGATGTTCAGGTCTAGACTAATCGAAATGCAAGCCTCCACACCCAGTCCACGCCGACTAGCTCGAGGGCCGATCCGAGGTCTCAGCAGGCAGCTCTCCCTACAGTGCAGCGTCGCAGCAGAGGTGCGCATCGCCCTAACCTGCTTGGGGAAAATGGGACGGTATGCGCAGTAGGAACAACAAAATGCCGTAGTGTACGGAGTGTGTGCTGTAAGAATGTGCATGTTGGACCCCTCGCACGCGAGCGAGGCAACGCAACCACCCACAATGCTCCGCAGATTGCTTCGCTATCGCCAAGGTCCTCCAGTTTTCTACGAGTCTCCCGCGGGCTGGAAGCACCTTCGTGAGGTCGCCGAGCCCTGGCCCACTGCCGATCCTGCCGATCACCCACCGGCGACCAATGAGGAACGATGCCTGCCTCCCTCCAACAGGACCCTTTTTCCACCCTACCAGATGGGGTTCGCCGAGAGAAGCAGATTCCTTCTCATCTCGCTCCTTCCGTCTGGTCTTGCTATCTTGCGGACCAGGCAAGAAAAGGGGTCGATTCCTCCCAAATTCACATGCGCTACAGGAGCAAAAAACGGGGCTAGGCCTATTTATCCCAAGGCGCAACTGCTTGGCACGGGACAGATGACGTCGAGGTGCAGACGCAGGGTGCCGTCATAGCCGATGGGCTCCTGGTCCAGGCCTTTCCGCGTGGGGAAGGCGTATTTAGCAAAATCTCGCGTCATTACCTGGGCTCCCGAGACGTCGGGGCAGTCCCAGGGCCCTCGGGAGTGGACGACGAAAAGGGCATCAAACCGCTCGGGCTCAAGTTCCGCCCGATCAGCAAATGCGACCTGGCATACCAGACGCGCGGTCCTCAATCTCGAGGCACTCAATCACGTAAATAAATGTCTTGTCACCGCCGTCACAAGGTTTGCGCGTCCTCTCCCACTAAGACCTGGGGGGTGGGGGATCTTGACTAGGCCCAATAGACTGTAGCGCGTGAACCCTGAAACTCTAGACCTTGTTGGTCACTGCGCCCTGCAGTCCAGGGTCCTCTCCACCTTTGTTCGCGCCAACTCCCGAGCTCCCGTCGGTCCATGTTCATCGCGTCGCAGAGCCTGAGAGGCACTCGGGTCGTACTAATTCGATCCCGCACTGACAAGCTTCAAGATATATTAACATCAGATGCTAAGCATGACTTTGTGTGCCTTTCGGAGCTTTACCCGCGCTTCACCACTTCTGGCTTACGTATGCATTGGATGTGCAGCCCTTTCCGGCTTCCGGGCTCGGGCGCCCGGGTGCTGACTTCTAACCCTATGACTTCTGGGCGCTGACTCTGGCCCTGCTGCCGATGACAGAAAGAGTCACGGCCAGCACCTTGGCAATTTTGAGCGTCGCAGCGACAGCAGGGGGCAATGTGTCACAGTTTAGGCAAATAATCCCGAGTGGTAATGTCGGAACGCACTATACTGTAGGTCAGCGAGTCAACATCCCAAATTACGAAAATTGAGGTCCAGTGTTGTTTTGAAGACGGCTAGTAACCCGGCGAGCCCGGTTCGAGAGCTGTCAGGTTCTTGGCGCGAGAGCGACAAAAATGACTCGGGTCTTTCCGTTGTCTTCTCAAACGCACCATGCTACCAATTCATGAGAGGTCTTGTAATACAATCCAATCTCTGAATGTTTGTCAGCGTGGGGGCTTTCAAACATCTCGAAGGCCTCAATCCTTACAGTTCGGCCTAAACGTTTTATCGAAAAGTGTCCAGTTATCCAGGCAGAGCTCGAGGGAGCGACAATCCTTGAGGCCTGGGCCAGTCACTCTCTCGCTGGTCACATGGAGAACTTGGCAAATATCACAGGGAGAGACGTTGGCCCCCAGCGAGACGTTGGCCCCCAGCACATGTCCACGTTGATAGAGTTTGTACGGGACGGCTCCATGGGTCAGTCAACCGAAATCAAACTGTCCCGGAAGTATGATACCTCCCTGTCTCATAGACAGGTGTTAGCCCGCTACGCTGTTTTCTGCGGCCTACCTGCAAAGACGAAGTTCTACAGCCGGTTCCTACCGGGGCTGCCACGACCAACTCGAGGTTAGAGGGGTCCTGGACTTGCGGCAACTACTAGCACTTTGGGGTGGTGCTTTTTCAGTTCCAGCCTGATTTTTCGTCAGCACAAGGACAAGCGAGCTGCGTTATACCTCGTGGTCGAGAGCAAGAATGGAATGACATACGCCAACGCCTTAGAGGAGGCACGGCCGACGTATGGTGGGATTTTCGTCAACTCACGGCGGCATCCATCAGGCGTGGCCAGAGGCCATCCACTGCGGCGCTCAGCAGATTATGCTATCATCATACCTTGAGCGGTTATGGAAGACGGTATGGTTTGGAGATGGCATCGTGGCCCTCCAGGAATCGCGTAAGGCCACATACTCAATTTCATATAGGGTCGCAAGACCAGAGGAACCGGCGCCCATATAATGCGGATTTAACGAGCAATACCAGGCCTAGAGAATTCTAGAGGCCTTTAGGTTTCTCTATTAGGACTCCGAACTTCTCCATGAGGCTTTAACTGGAATATCAGACGTATCTTTATCTAGTCCTAATACTGTCCTAATACTGTCCTAATACTGTCCTAATACTGTCCTAATACTGTCCTAATACTGTCCTAATACTGTCCTAATACTGTCCTAATACTGTCCTAATACTGTCCTAATACTGTCCTAATACTGTCCTAATAGCTCGCTCCTAAATAAATACCTAGGTAAGGTGATTCTTCATCGAAGCCGCTTCAGCACTTCCCTCACTCTCCCGTCAATGTCCGGCAGGCATTTCTCAGCATACTCCAGCAGATTGCCTTTGGCCCTCGCCGCATGGATCTCCAGCGCGTCTCCCCGGTTTAGCAACTTCCTGTAGAACTGCAACAGCTCAATCTTGGTCCGCGCATCCACGGCCGGCGTGAAGCCGTACTCTCGCGCTGCCGCCTCAATCTCGGGGAAGCCGCCCAGCGGGGTGTTGTCGTCGAGGGCAAGCATGTGCCGCAGCCGCCACACCGACGGCCGCGGCTTGCCGGCCGGGAACGAGAGGAAGTGCCGCAGATGTGGGCCCCCCCCACCCAAGCCGTACCTGTCAAAGAGCCGCGGGAGGCTGCGCGCCTCCCACGCACGCCAGAAGTCGGAGAATGGGCAGGGCTGCTGGCTGGGCATCCTGCGGTCCGGCGCGATGCCCAGGCTGCGGTTGTAGTCTTCAAAGTACTTGTTGCCCCCGAGCAGCCGGTTGTAGAGCGAGCCCAGGCCGCCCTCGTCGTACTCGTCGGCGCACGTCGCGAAGCCAAAGTCGTACCACATGTCGAGCTCCTCCCAGCCCGGGTTGGGCCGCGACGTCTCGAGCGCCATGGCGAAGAAGACGAAGCAGTATCGCTTCGCCGGCGGCTCGAGCTCGCGGAAGTCCTTGTCCCGGTCGGCCGCGTCGAGATAGGGCTTCGCCAGCTCGATGGCGCGGAGCAGCGGGTTGTCCTTGCCGGCGGTGTCGATGGGCGGGACGGCCGGGTCGAGCAGGTGCTTGTTGCGCGCGAACCACGGGTAGTAGGACCCGCGGTAGCGCTCGGGGATTTTGAGGTAGAACTCGTCAATCTTGTCGGCGAGGATGCCCTCGACTCGCCACTCGTGAACTTGGTTGGCGTGCACGTCGTCGGACAACGCCACCATCCCCCGGTACATGCCCAGCAGGTGCGACTCCTCGTGCCGCGTGCGGCACCGCGAGAAGCCAAAGTCGTCGCGCGTCTGCGGGTCCGAGGGCATCTCGTCGGCGATGGCGTCGCGGCAGAGGATGTCGGCTGTCGTCAGCGATCGCGCCGAGCACTTGACGAGGTGGTACATGGACATCTTTTCCTGGCACTTGGCGCTGCAGAACCAGTCTCGGCTGCAGAAGGAGCAGCGGCGGGTCGTTTCGGTTTCGCAGATATCACATTCTCCAGCCGTCAACGCCTGATTTGGATCTGGGACTGCACCTTCGTCTCGGGGCCCAAGGTCAGACTCTGGCGGTTCCTCTCTGATATCGTCGAGATGGGTCTCTCCGTTGTCGGTGGTTGTGCTCCGCGCCATGGCAGCTTCACGCTGGGATTCGAGGTGCCGGGAGACGAGGTCCATCAAGTGCTGGTCGCCAAACTGCCGGACTCCAGTTGCGACCGAGGAGCCGCCAACGGTGGATTCAGCGGCGTGGGCCAGATGGTCTTTCTTCTTGTTCAGGATGAGGTTCCGCATTGCTTTCTCGGCGGCGCCGACAGCGGCAGCCAGCTGCGCAGCTTCCGCGTCTGAAATGACCGACACCTCGGGCACAGACCAGAGGTTGTAAAGCTTGCCATGGGATCCCCGAGTTGTGAACGATCCGTAGCCATGGACAAACTTGGAGCACAGAAAACAACTCCGCTTGCTGCACCCAATGTAGCGCAACACGGCGCCGCCGACGTGGCTGTGCTGGGCGAGGCCCAGAACGAGCTGGACTTCGGCGTGCACCTCCGAGACTGATGACTTGAACTTGTCGAATTTCTGCAGAAGCTTCCCCTTTGTCCATGTGTCCTTGCTCTTCGTGTTCCCGGATCCGATGACCTTTTCCACCGATTGGTCGTCAAGTCTGAGGTTCAGAGAGGCGAATGTCTCGACAGCTGACCACCTGGCGTCGGGAGCTTTGCTCTGTGGCTTGTTGGGCTGAATCGTAACTGGGACAATGCGGAGGCCCTCGAAGTTGGAGAGCCTTTCCGTGGCGTTGATCAAGGTGTTGAAGCAAGACTGAAAACGGCCTAGAAACCCGAGCGCATTCCTGGCCGATCTGATTCCTGACTTGTCTTTTGTTATTCGCTCAAACTCGCTCTCGGGGTAGAGGTAGCAAATATGATACGCGACGAGTATCACTTCTTCGAGCCCAGTCTTTGTCGACAGCCGGGGCGTGTTGTTCAGAGCATCGTAGAGTTCCTTGAGCTTGGATGGAAGAAGAGAGGCCTGGACTTGAGGGCCCGTGATTTGCGATGTCGAGGAGTCGCCGGTGAGACCATCGAGGTTGCACTTCTTCAAAGCGAGCTTGGCCTGCACAATGTAGTCCATCAACCGGGGTTTATACCACTCCACTAGAGAAGTCCACAGATTTTCGGCTACGGTGGAAGCTTCAGAATCTATTTCATGTCGCAAATCAGCTTAGCTTGTCATTCTGGTGGAGCGAATCTCATTCTGGTGGAGTGAATCTCTCTAGCTGACCTGCAAGACCTATTCTCGAGATTTCCCTCAGTCCTGATGACAGCTTCTCCAGCATCCGGACGCTCGGATCGTCGGGCTTGAAGCCGCTATTCCTCGCAACAAGAACGTCGACGCGATCGGGCCACTCGACCATCAAGGCCGCCGAGACGTGGTGGCCGCCTTTGGAATTCGCCACGAGCTCAGACAGTCTTTCCAGGAAAGTCCTCTTCAGCCTGCTGTTTTCCACGTGCGAAAGGTTGCGCACTCTGACAGATTCGGCGCCGTCGCTCGGATCTGCGAGCTCGATGTCATCGTCGGGCCGCTCGGAGAAGTCGGACGATTCCTCGACCTGGCCGCCATTTCGCAGTCTCAGGAGCTTTGTGTACGCTTCAAACCTGGACTTGTTGAGTCCGCTCTGGGCCCAGCTGAATGAGATGCTCATGGTGCCTAATTGGGAGTCTTTAATTAGTGTCGGTGCGGTTGCTCAATGGGAAACTCTAAGAACCGCACAAAAGGTTGCAGCGCCTGATAAATGTCCGGGGAACTGCTCCAACTTTGAGTGTTCCCCGCACAAGGCAGCCGTCGTCTGAGGGTACCTCCGGCCAATAATCTGCCAAACGGTCCACGATGGCCTCCTCATTAGTCATGCCCTCTCATGCTCACGCAGCGAGGCCTACAGTACTTATCTCAGTCTCTCGGGGGCTGGTTTATGCTTAGAACAGAATGAAACCGGCAGTTCCAAGATTTTCTGGGAAAGGTTTATTACGAGGCGAAAAATCAAACGCTGTTTAAACACCCGAGCTACAGTTAAATCGATCTGCATGTCAAGGCAGACACTACCATGCAAGAGAAGAGATGGAGGAGGATGAAAAGTTTGAAGTAGGTTGCTCCTTGAGATGCCCGCTCTGAGCCCAGTCCGCTCAGCGGAACCTATACTAACTTGTCACGCACGCCAAAAATTAGAGCGAATCAGTCCTGGCTAATTATGAGTGTCCGTGTCCGGCACGCAGACAGGTCATGAGTGCCCGCTCAACAGGCACGATTATAGAACACCAGGAACGAAAGGCAGCCTGGGATTTTGCCACCGCTTTCCTCAGACCACACGGGCACACACTCTGTGCGTTTCCAATGACTGCCATGTATGGTCAACACGCACGCTTCTCGTCCATGTCTGTCTCCAGCCTGCCCAGCCGACTAGGGCTGGTTCGTCTCTTTCCGATTGCGTCGACAGAACTAGGAGTAGGAAGGTTTTCCTTGCCCTTGGAAGCAACAGCCGCGGCCGCGGCCTTGGTCTTGTCAGCGACGGCAGGAGAAAAGACTGGGACGAGCGGCGCAGTAATTCGGTCCAAACGAAAAAACAACTGGTGGCAACTCACCGAGCCAGATCGGCTGGGGAAGCAAACAGGCCTCGTCAGCTATCAATTGGCGCCGGGGTCCGTGGTTCGAGCCGTTTTCAAGTACTATATCAACGACGGAAACGCCGAGGCCGTCTGGGACGAGATTCACTGTCTCATGGGAATCCCGAGCCACCGCCCCAGACTGGCCGCCGGTTCATGCTTGACGACTTGAGAAACCTGCTTGCGGTTCGTTTCTTCCTCCACTAATCCGCTCCAAAACAGCACAGCAGCCACTGGTTCTCAGACAGACCCGCGCTGACATTATCATCCTAGACCATCGACCTGCTAAACCGCACCTACGGCATCATCCACAACCACTTTAATGCAGGTAGTGTGGGGTAGACCCGGAGACGAGAAAGTTCAAAATGTTAGACTTCAACCTAGCCGAGCGGCTCGATATGAAACCACGAGACGACGGCGCGACCACGAGTTCGACCCGTTCGACCGCGACACGACGTGCGCGGCCATCTGCGCGTACCAGATCATCACGCACGACTTGGAGACGCATGCTGACGGCAACATGGTCGCCAGCGTCAGAGTCGAGCACGTGCTGGATCTGGACTCGAGGAATCACCGCGGCGTGACTCTCGACAGCTGCAAAGACGTGGACGACTACAAGAGTGTGCTCAGGACGTGAGCCAGAGGCCGCGCAAGCGCCGTCGACACCGTCAAGAAAGCGCCCCCGGCAGATCAAGTGGGACTTGTTCAAGGAAGACGACGAGCTCGTGCGCACCCGCTGCGCGCTGGCCAGCCGAGGCAAGATATACATCGACTGGCAGCGCCCGTCAAGCTCGGCCGCGCGGCCGCTCGCCCCGGGGAGCGCCTGCTTGCCACCGGCGAGATCCTGCTTCCTGATGGCTGGCGGCGCCTGGTGAGCGGCAGGATTCTTCCGGCCCGCGGACGCTCGGGCGGGCGGTAATTAGACCGGAGAGAGGGAGGGGGGGGGGGGGGTAGGAAGGGGGAACATCTGTTAACTCTGAGCTGAGATTTTGGGACTGGGATGGATTCATTGTCTTGATTAATTGATACTAGAACTCGCTGCCTGGCGCAGCCATTCCGTTAACAACACACCTGCCTGGCCCAGACAATTTTGGCAGCTGCCTGGCGCAGTTTACAAAAGAACCGGCTGGTTTAGAGTTGTAGGAATAACGACAATTAGATTTTGAACGAGTGGTAGGTGGAATGAAGGGATGTCGGTGTGTTCATTGATATTGCTCAACGAACCCCGATCCGAGGCAGAATTGCATACCTACATTACCATATCTAATTAGCTATCATTGATTTCACCCTGAAGGTTGAACTGTGGGATGACCATGTCTAATTACATGGCACTGTAATACATCCAGCCTTCAAAGTGTCGGGCCGTGTTGCACGTAGTCGAAGTTGACAGCGCATTGAATTATCTGGTTAAACCAGGTCAGTTATACACGAATGAAAGCCTTCTTATTCGGCTGAACGGAGCCACCGTAGGCGAGCTTGCGAGCCAGAGATGGCGTAGAGAGGCTGTATTCTATATTACCGTGAAAGTTTCTCGGACAGCGATTGGCTAGTTTTCGTCCGTGTCGAAATGGACTCGAGGGACTGGTCGATCGGATGAACCTCGGACAGGTTAGACCGTGAAATGCCGCTTTGCTGTGTCGTGGTTGTGTCAGGAAGGAGCAATTTCCCAATTAGTAGATATAACGCGTAAGCTGTATGAAGGAAAGTGCCGTAGGCTCCAAGCGCCGCAGGCCAAGAGCGTCGCAGGCACTAGGGGTCCTAGGGGGCTTGCCCCCCTAGAAATCCAACAATTAGACCATGAACATCGAAACACCGAATTATCACGAGAATTTGTTTTGGTGTTGAGGGGCTAGAATAGCTGTAAATCCGTATCCCGAAGTTCAGCCGGGCAGAGTCCTTGCGAGACTTCCAGAGCGGTAATGCGGCCTGCTCTCCGTCAGCTCCCCGTTGCTATTACGTACGCCATCACGCTTCACAAGTTACAGGGAGCTACGCTTGATAGGGCTGTGCTTGATATCTCTGAGTGGGATTTCTCTTTAGGGCTTACATGGCTGTCTCACGCGTTACTAGTCTACAGGGCTTAGTATTTGACATTCCTTTTGCCCTGGACCAAATCTAGGTCAAGAATGACGTTACAAGTGCCTCGAGTGCGGCGGATTACCAGCACCGTGTTGACGCCGGCGAGGTGCTGGTTCCGGGTGTAGCCTAGATAGCAGAATCGACTTTTTCTGCCTCAACACCATGCTGTTTACGTTGTGATGACTCTCCTGTGTTTTTTACTTTTAATACAGTTGACACAGTTGAGTCTACCTTTGGCTACGAGTTATAGCACAAAGCGGGGTTGTCCTTACTAATTTCTTAGTAAAATGGCCCAGCCACCCATTCCCTCGAGCGAAGCGAGGACAGCCCGCGGCAGGCGCCGCTGGAGGCATCCGTTCAGCTGACCCCTTCCTGACTGGTCAGGTAGCTTATTTTACTTCAGAAAGGACAAAAGAAAACACCGTTCAGCAGGTTGATCAGCCGTACCAAGTAAGGGACTCGGACGCACGAAGTAAGGGACTCAGCCGCACGAAGCAAGAGAGAAAAGAGGGCATTCGGAAGTCCGGGAGCCCAAAAAAAGGGCTGAAAGTAAGGAATGGAGGGATATGCATTGTCTGGCCCGTGATCAAAGTTGACAGTGGCTTGAAGGGTCTTCAATTATCTGTCTCCCCCCAATCTAATAATACAGGAAAGAAGGCCTTTTATGCTTCCAAGAAAAGGACAAGAAAACGGTTCAACAGTCTGTTCAGTCGTACTACGTAAGGGACTCAGCCGTAGCAAGGGAGAAAAAGAGGGCATTCGGAAGTCCGGGAGCCCGGAAAAAGGGATCAGGGCTGAAAGTAACGAATGAAGGGATATGCAGGGATATGCAGGTATGTGACTTGACAATGTGGTTCAAAAGTGGCTCAAAAGTGGGCGACACATTGTTTGAAGGTATGTGTTGCACGCGATCGAGGTTGACAGCGCATTGAATTGTCTGCTCAATAGGTCTAAAAGTACAGAAAAGAACGCTTCCTTATACTCGTGGAGAGAAGGCAAGGGAGGCGTTGTAATCAGCCCGAAAGAGGGCATTCCGAATGAAATGAGGACATTCCGAGTCAAGATTGAAGGAAATAACAAAGAATGAAGGAAGCTCAGAGGCATGTCAACCAGGGCCTGTCCAATTCCATGAAAAGTGGGTCAATTCCAGACGACAGTATGCGTTGAATGACGAACATGCCGACTTGGCTTGAAAAGGGCTCAGAGTGGCTAAAATCCAGGCGATAGGCCGCATCTCGAGACCCAGCTGGCGAAGCGATGATGCGGCGCGTGCAAGCAGTGCGCGATAGTTACCGATAGAACCTGCAACGAGGCTTCAGAGATCGCAACAACACCTCAAACCACAAGCGGAAGAAGAGAAGTCGTGGAAAACGTGGCAAACCAAGCCGCCGGCGTTGATCGACCGTGGAGTTGATCGAATCTTCACCAATAAGCAACAGGCCTGCTGGCGCAATGGTAGCGCGTTCGACTCCAGATCGAAAGGTTATCCGTTCAAATCGGGTGTGGGTCAGATCGTTAAATTTTTTATTTTTGCCTCACTTGCATCCCTAACGAAGTCGAGAGTAAACGTTCTTACGTGGAAATCAAATGCAGGTGACTGCCGGCTCGGTAGTAGGTAGGGCTTTGAAACGAAAATTGGAGTTTGTGTTGGAATAGCGATATTGGTGACCGCCCTTTAGGTAGAAAGGGAGGTGGTGGGAGTCACGTGTAGGCTCACGTGCTAATCACGGGAGCCGCACGGGCCTCGCGCCCATGTCCCCAAAACCAGATCTGTGCGGCCACTTCCTTTTCAGCTGAACGGAGCCGCCGTAGGCGAGCTTGCGAGCCAGAGGTGGCGTAGAGAGGCTGTCTCTTCTACTTTAGCGTGAAGGTGCCGAAAGTTTCTCGCACGGGGATTGGCCGGTTTTCGTCTGTGTTGAAATGGGCTCTAAGGACTGGTCGATCGGATAATCCTCGGATTCTTTGTGCTAGGCCCAGGCCTAGCCCGGGGCACTGGTTGGCCCCTGCAGATCCAGCCTATCCCCCGCACATAGATTCTCCGCCCACGCGTAGATAGCTTAGCTTCCATAGAAAGCAATACACGCACATGCATTCCCTCCGTGCCCTCGCATATTCTTTAAGTCGTGGAATACCGAGCGCAGCGAGCAGCCCGCCTCCGGCGCCCCCGGGGGGCCGCCGGAGGCACCGTTCAGCGACCCCTTCCTGATTTGCCAGGTAGCTTATTTTGTAGATTCACAGAGGCAATAAGAAGAACCATTAACCCTCCAACAAGTAGTACTATTACGCACCCTCTAGGCAAGCTAGAAGTGGTATTAGCCTAAATACCACGAACAGTATAATTAATTTTTCTTTTGCACACTAGCGATGCCGAAACGGTCTCGCGACCCGCCAACTGAGGCAGGGAAAAGCAACAAAAACAAGCATGACAAACTGCTCGATTACAGTTACTGCAGGGCAATTAAGCAGAGACAGCCGGGTAGTTAATTATTATAAAAAAACTGCACTACTGCGTGCACTGGTCTGAGGATCTTCATTGATCCTCGATAAGACCATTCGGCGGCTACAGATGCCCACGTCTATGACACACTAGAATTGTATTTATTCAGAAGTATACTTGTCTAACGCTTGAGACTTTATCCTAGACGTGAATAACAGATGTGAGGGGCGAGGGGCGGACTGGCTAGGCAGGTTTCTTTCTACCTTTCAACATTTTTCACTTTGATCGAGTTCCAATATTAGTATGGGGGGGGGTCTAAGAAATTTAACAAGGGCCAAGAATGCCTTAAACAACAAGGAAAGAGCGCATGAATGCCAGTCAAGGATTTAGCACGCCTGCAAACCCCTTTCAAACGAAAGACTTTTCACAGCGCCACGCAATGCCGAAGAATACTCGTTTCTAGACACTCTCTGGTGACTGCCCGGTTGTCTTCTCATATGACGCGAGCTCCTTTATGGCCGTGCCAAGCACGGCTACATGGCACGCCCACTCCTTCAACCATACCTCGCAAAACAATCCCACCAATCAAATCAGTCCTCAAGAACACCCCTGACCTCGGATATCATTATGCTAGTCAGCCTGCTGATGCATAGATAAAAATAAATACGACTTGCACACAGCCTGGATCGTTCCCGAAAGCAATGTGAAGGGAAGCTGCGCCTCTTAATGCAAGCCGGGTAAGACAAAGAGGGCCGAAAGGCAGAATTTTCGCTGGCGAGTATGACAGGTCCGACGTCGAATTGCCGGCGGCCCAATCGGAATGCGCATCGGCGTTGGGGGCGGGCCGCTGTAAGATCGGATCGACGAAAGACGGCTCGGTACTACCCAGTTACCTGCCACTCGGGAAAAGGACCAAGCGTGGGATTTAGGCAGGCGATGATTCCCGGCAGATTCCTAGGTAGAGAAGGCCAATATAAATGGCTGAGTCACGGTGGCCGTCCATCACCAGACGCCATAACAGAGACTAGACCGAGAGCAGCTATGATCGCGCCTGCAGCACAAAAGGCCGCGATAGCGGACTCGGCTTCGAGTTCCAAGCGCACATGTGCCCCCTGAATCAGAAGCTGCAGCACCACTCAGACGTGCGAGATGAACACGGGCACACTCTAGACGTACCGCCTGTAGATAGACGACACCATCCGCCAATGAGACCGTCTCGTCCACCTCTGCTCCTCGCCCTCGGGCTTGGCGCAGCACTCCTGCCGGGGCTGGCACTCGCCGGCCACAACTCGTCCCTGGCCCAGCTCAACACGACACTCAGCGGCAGGCTGCAGACGAGCATCCCGCTGGCGCACTCGTGCTTCTCGCAGCCCAACGGGGCGGCGTGCGCAGCGCTCAAGAAGCAGCTGCCGTCGGCCTACTTCCGCATCGGCAGCTACGAGGGCTTCCAGAACCTGCAGGGCGAGGCCTGCGTGGCCGACCCGGCCGACCAGTGCCTGCTGACCGAGGGCAGCCTGGCCAAGCCGTCGCCCTCGGCGCGGTGCAACCAGGGCGTGCTGTCGCGCAACTTCGTCGAGGTCACCGGCCCCGCCGACGTGCAGGCCGTCTTGGCCTACTCCCGCGCCACCGGCACCCCCCTCTCCATCAAGGGCAGCGGCCACGACTACAACATGCGCAGCAGCCGCCGCGGGTCGCTAGCCATCTGGACCCGCGGCCTGCGTGACACGGCCTTCCACCCGTCGTTCGTCGCCGACGGCTGCCCGCCGGCCACGCACCCGCGACAGGCCGTGACCTTCGGCGCCGGCGTCACCATGACCGAGGCCATGACGTTCGCCCACGCCCACAACGCCACCTTCCCGGCCGGCAGCTCGGCGACGGTCGGCGCGTCGGGCGGCTGGGCGCTGAACGGCGGGCACAGCGTACTGTCCCCCGGCTTCGGCCTCGCCGCGGACCGCGTGCTGCAGTTCGCCATCGTGACGCCCGACGGCCAGCACCGCATCGCCAACGCCTGCACCAACCCGTCGCTCTTCTGGGCGCTGCGCGGCGGCGGCGGCGGCGCCTTCGGCGTCGTCCTCAGCTCGACTCACGCCGCCGAGCCCGACGGCCCCGTCACCAGCGCCATCATCTCCTTCCCCGGCACGCCGGCCACACTGAACCCGTGGATCTCCCTCTTGGCCGAGCACGCGCCTGCGTGGACCCGCGCCGGCTGGGGCGGGCCCTCCGCGGCCAACCTGTCGTTCCTCGTCAACCCGTTCGCCGCCGCGGCCGCCGAATCCGACCTCGCGCCCGCCATCGCCTTCGCGCGCGCCCACGGCGGCGCCGCAGCCGTCCAGACCTACCCGTCCTTCTTCGACTACTGGGCCGCGACCATCAACGCGTCCTCGGCCACGCCCGAGCCCGTCAGCACGGCACTCTTCGCGACGAGCCGCATCGTGCCGGAGTCGGTCTTCCTCAACACCTCTGCACGCGCAGCACTCGTCGGCGCGCTCGTTGCGACGGCGACGGACCTCGGGCTGGCGACCTACTTCATGGCCGACCTGCCGCTGCGCTGGGCGCAGAGCCATCCTGCCGCCGAAGCAGATACCGCGCTGCCGGCCGCGTGGTACAGCTCCGTGTGGCACGTGGTCGCGTACGCGCAGTGGGACGGCGGCGCGCCGCTCGCGCAGCGCAGGGGCGCGGTGCAGCTGCTGAGGAACGCGACGCGGATTCTAGGCCGTGCTGCGGGGCCGGACGCGTGCACGTATGCGAACGAGGCCGATCCGTGGCTCGACGACTGGGCGGCGCAGTTCTGGGGGGACAAGTATGAGAGGCTGGTGCAGGTCAAGAGGAGTGTGGATCCCGACGGGCTGCTGAGTTGTTGGCATTGTGTTGGGTGGGACGCGTCGCTGCCGGGGTACGAGTGTGTCGAGGGGCTGGCTGTGTGAGGAGTGTCTCTTCTTTTCGTATCCATTTTGATTTGGCTTCTGTTTTTTTCCCTTTTATACTCGGTCCCTTTTAAACTCGGTCCCTTTTATCCTCGGTCCCTTTTATACTCGGTCCCTTTTATCCTCGGTCCCTTTTATACTCGGTCCCTTTTATACTCGGTCCCTTTTATCCTTGGTCCCTTTTATCCTCGGCAGAGAGCGATGGCGTGTTGGATTTTGAAAATAGTGGCGAATAGGGGCTGGAACTGGAAATGGAAAAGGAGGCCGCGTGGGAGTTCACTTTGTACTGTGCCTACTACTGTTCCTAGTACGGTTTACCCGTGTTTGGACTATTAGCGCAAGCGCTACTGTTGTATTATGATAGACTACGTTGTTGATCAACTGGGCGAGGAGAAACATGTCAACTGGGCGAACAGTGTTTTCTTTAGTTAGAGTCTTGATTGTCCATTCAGCTATATCCATCCCATTTGCCCCTCAGTCTTTGATACGTCACAATCAACCCCTGATCGCAAAACAGGTCACCAGCTCAGCTGCCACCACCGCGCTTCCGGAGCATGATGCGCGCGTTCATGTCGGGCGCCATGGTGCCGTTGGGCATCGAGTTGCGCTTGGGCTTGCCGTCGCCCGGCGGTAGCGCAACGTCGTAGTGCACCAGCAGGTGGGCGAGGACCGTCTTGATGGTGTTGGCGGCGAAGACGCGGCCGGGACAGGCCTGGGCGCCGCCGCCCCAGCCGGGCGCGTCAGACCCCAGGCTCGTGAACTGGTGCAGCGCCTCGTGGCCCGGCTGCTGGCGGAGCCGGAAGAAGCGCAGCCCGTCGAACTGCTCGGGCTGCTCCCCCCACAGCGCCGCCGACGTCGTGATGTGCTGCGCGTCGACGCAGATCAGCGACCCCCGCGGCAGCGTCGGGCCCAGCGACAGCTGCACCGGCTGCTGCAGCCGGCGGAAGAGCGTTACTGGAAAATGTCAGCTTCTTTCTGGTTTGTGATTTATGATTTATGATTTCACGAGGGACAAGACCCACGGTAGTTGAAAATGTTGACTCGCGACGACTCGCGCATGACGCTGTCGAGCTTGCGCAGCTCGTCGAGGTCCGCGGCCTGGGCGATCTCGTCTCGCAGCTCCTGCACCAGCTCGGGCCGGCTGACGAGCTCGGCCAGGATGAAGTAGACGGTGGCGGCCGTCGACGCCGTCGACTCGAAGGCGATGACGACGTAGTCGTGCAGGATCTGGCTCATCAGCAGCGCGCCGTCGCCCTGCTCTTTCCCTCCCCGCTCGCCTTGGTACCGCGCCGTCAGCCATGATGTAACGGGGAACTTGCTTTCTGGCGGTTTCTGGTTAGGGCCTGTGTTGCCCTCCGCCTCTCCACGCTGCGCGCGCAGGTCCCGCTCGACCGTGGGCCGCAGCAACATGCGCATGTACCAGTACAGGCCCCACGCCGGCACAAACGCCAGCAGCGACACCACGGGGCGCAGCAGGCGCGGCACGGCGTGGCACACGAACACGGCCACCATGACGGCCATGGGGAAGCGCTGCGACGCGTCGAGCCAGCGACGATCCGCCGCAAGCTCCGGCCCCAGCAAGCTGGCCGCGTTGGTCCTGGCCACAACCTCCTGCACGGTCGAGTACAGCGGGAACGCATGCCAGCCGGTTCCGGTTCCGAGAGACCCCAACACGGCGGCGAACGCGGCCTCGGCGTGGGCGCGGCGCGCGGCGGCCAGCGACGGCACGGCGCGCGTTAGGTCCAGGCCGATGGTCTTGTGCACGGCGCTCTTGTCGGTGCCCAGAAAGCGCCAGCCCTGGAAGAAGACGTGCGTGTACCACTCGACCATGGACGCCGCCACCACCGGCAGCCGCTTGACCTCGTCGAAGCAGCTGGACGGGAACACGGTGTACTCGTACCCCGAGTACGTGATGACGTATGGCGTCCCGGGGTGCTGCCGCGCGCCCTCCCGCAGCAGCCGCTGGTAGTCCCACCTGTGCATGCCTTTGGGGACTTTGAGGACGGGGAGGCCCAGTTGCCGGGGAGACGGCGGTGCGGGTTTGGGTCTGGCGGCGACGATGCCCAAGACGAGCACGGCGCCCAGGAGGAGCGTAACGAGAGGCACAGACCGCCAGCCGCCGTCCCTCAGGTCCGAGAGAAGCAGCGCAAAGTCGTGCCATGTCTTGCGCAGAACAAGGCCCAAGAGCTCTGTCTTGCTCAGGCGCAGGGGGCCGATGGCGCTCCGCATCGCCGCATACTGCTCGACTGCTGTCCGGTAAAAGTCCCGGATGGGATGGTATTGATGCATGGCTGCCGCTGGCTGCCGCTGGTTGCCGCTGGCTGCCGCTAGCTGCCTCTGGTTGCCGCTGGCTGCCGCTGTCGATGTCCGGCTGTTTGGTTTGTTTGGGTAAAAGAAGGTCAGCAAAGGTTGAAGAAACAAGGGGTTGTCGACACGTGATGCGTGATGTGCGACGAAGGTGTTTTGCAAAGAAGCGCCAGGAAATCAAACTAACAACCATAAGCTGGTTGATCGTAATGGGGGAGGATTTTGGTTGCTGGCCCCCCTCCTCTCTTTTCACAATAATTCCCCGGGCCAGGGGTTCCGGTGGCGGTGCCTCCAACCAATGCCGCATGGCCAATGAACAAACTGATGCGGGCCGGGAGGAGCGCCGAGCCGTCGACGAATCGGGCGCCTCCTTTTCTCGCCGCAGCCCCCGACTTCGACAGATGCAGGGGTGCACAACACATGCATGCCGTGGGACATGCGCATCTGGGTAGCATGCTCCGAGCACGTCTCCGGTCCGCATCTTTTGTAGCCGTCAGTCGAACGGTAGCTCAGGCGGTAGGTGGGTAGTCGTCCTCCTGTCCTCTGGTTTCGAGACCAGTCGGTCAGTCTCGCAGGCACCCAGCACACGCCAACTCGACCTTTTGCTTCATTTGTCTCGGTGTCGAATATCAGGACGCCGGCCAGAGTTTGAAAAGGTAAAAAGGAATTTGGAGATTTTACCTCTCTCTCTCTATCTCTCTCTCTCTCTCTCTGTGCGCTTCCATCCAATTCTGGGCAAACATGTGGACCACGGGCGTCGCTGGCGCCATCTGTCTGGCCGTCAACCTGCCACTGGCACTATCGTCCAGCTCAGGGCAGCAGACGAAATTCAGCCAACACCAACACCAGCACCAACACCAGCCGTGGCCGGCGCTGGGCCCGCCATCGCCGCCGCCCTGCAGCGCGACGCCCACATCGCACACCAGCCGCGCGACGCGGTACACCATGGCGCGGGGCGCCGCAGGGCGGGCCGTGTCGTTCTCAACCAGCCCGGCAGCCGACCTGTCGGCGCCGCGGGTGGAGCCGATGAACGCGACGAGCAGCGAGCAGTGGGAGTTCGACGGCGTGTCGGCCGACGGCACGCAGGCCTTCATCTTCGGCTTCTACCGCGACCCCAACTACTCGTTCCTGGGGACGGGCCACCTGCGCGCCTACGCCGAGCTGGCGTCGCTAGCCCCAAACGGCTCCGCTACCCACCGCTACGCCGTCGTCGACTACGCCGAGGAGTCCACCGTCGACACCGTCACGTGTCCCGACGCCGGCGGCGCCACCGTCACGCGCGGCCTGTGGCGCGGCAGCGACTTTGCGTACGAGTTCGAGGTCGCCATGGTGCCTGCCGACAGCAACGACGGCAACAAGATGCAGGCCACGGCGCGCATCGCCATGACCAGTCCCGACGCCAACATTTCAGTGGCCATGACCGCGGTCGCGCCGCCGCGGCTCGCTGACAACGCCCTGTGGCCTACGGCTCGCGGGCCCAAAGACAGCGCCAACGCGACGCTTCTGGCCGTGCCGCACTTCTACTGGGCGGAGCCGATCCCCGTGGGCGACGTCGTGGTCGACGCGGTGGTGCAGCCGTGGCCGCCGGCGGCGCGGCGCGTGCGCTGGGCCGGCATGGGCGGCTACGAGCGCCTGTGGGGCGCCTTCAACTGGTACACGTGCCTGGCGGGCATGGTGGCGGTGCGGGTCCGCGCCGGGCCGTTCGCGCTGTCGTATGTCGAGTTTGCGTCGGGGCGGCGGCCGGGCCTGGATGTCGCGTCGGTGCTGCTGGCCGAGGACGGCGAGAAGGTGTTTGGCACACGCCGCACTGCGGCGTCAGGCGAGGCGGACTTTGTGACCATGCGCAAGCTGTACGGCGGGCCGGGCGCCACGACGGAGGCGCTGGCTGACAAGGTCACGGGGGTGGAGCTCGTGCTGGTGTCGCCCGGCCGCGGGAGGGAGTGGCGGTTTGTTGTGGAGCATAAGAATGTCGGGTTCGAGTATGTCTTGGGCGAGGGCGTCGGCGGCACGGGGTACTCGGGCCTGGCCGAGGGCGGCTTGGTTGGCTCGCCGGCGCAGTGGACGGGGCCTGCGTTTTCAGAGGTCATGCGGTTTCCCAAGAAGTCGTGGCTCCTGGCTAAGAACTATGTTGAATGGTAGGGGATGAGCCGACTAATTAGACAAGGTGTTTTGAAATCATTGCCAGTGGTGATTACGTGAATCACGAATGCTCCATGAAGTGCTTAAATCACGGTAGCCAGTACATACTACCACATGATGTCATAGTAGCCGCTTCTGTGATTTCCGCCACGCTCACTGCTCCTTGGCAATGCGATATACAAGCTTCTCCCCTGACACAGCCTTCTGCCGCAGCAGCTCGATGCCCTCCAGCACGGGTTCGAGGCCGACCTCGCGCCCGACTCTCGCAGGATGCGGCTTTATGTCCCCGCAGTCTAGCAGGCGCTGAGCGCACAGAACCCAGTCGCGGCCGAACTGGCGCAGCTCGGGGTCGGCCTCGACGCGATACGGCTCCTTCCAGCCGATCTCTCTGCCCAGCAGCGCCGCGCCGAGCAGCCAGTCGGGCTTGACTCGCTTGCGCGTGTGCATGTTCTGCGGGAACGGCTCGAGAGTCGTGTAGCGGCCGCCGGCCCGGCCGATGGCGGCGTAGCAGAACTTCATGCTGGACCCCTGGCACACGCAGTCGAGCGCAAAGTCGAGCGCGTTACCCGTATACGCCTTGATGCTGTCGACGCTACTGGGGTCGCGGTAGTCGAACGCCTCGGCCGCGCCGTACGACTTGACGAGGGCGAAGTTGTGCGGTGAGCAAGTTGCAATGGGAATGCACCCTGATCTTGACACGGGATTAGGTGGGCGTCCATATTCTTACAGATTGCGAGACAGACGTGCTCACCTGCGAATCAACTGGATTGCCATGGTGCCCGTGGCCGAGCTGCCTCCATACACGAGCACGACAGCCGGCTTCGTGGACAGCCGGTCGGGGTGGCCGGGAATAGAGAGGGACCGGAACAGGGCGCACCCGATTGTGGTCAGACTGGTCCCCAGCCCGGCTGCCGACTCAAGCGGCATGTCGCCGGGAACTTTGAGCGCGAGGTCGGCGGCGACGGCGGCGTAGTTGGCAAAGGCGCCGCTCCGGGGCGCCAGCGGGTCCATGGGTGCCAGGGGGGCGCAGACACGGTCCCCGATGGAGAAGCGGCCGGCAGACTTGACAGCAGACCCGATGCCCACCACGATGCCGGCGCAGTCACTACCTGCCGTGGCCCCTTCGGCAGCCATCGCGCCCGTGAACTTGGCATCAGAGGGGTTGAGGGCCACGGCCACCGTCTTCACCAGGAGCATGTCGGGTTCGAGGGCAGGAAGGGGCACGTGCTGGGAGACTATGAGATTCCCGGACCCGTCAGCCACGATGGCTGTCTGCGTTTCGGGCAGCTGGGGGGCTGTCTTTGTGAGAGCCATTGCAGCAGGTGGCGATTTGTTGCTCTGCCCCTTAATCTCGTGGTGGCCAGTTTTGACGAGACTAAGATGGCGTCAGGGGTTGGGATCAAAACAACTGCCAACTGCAACCAAACTGCCGCACGTACCTACCAGTCCTAGCAGGTATAGCAGAGTACAGCAAATGCATTTTAGGCGTGCAGACGTATTTGGTGATTTGTCACAGGCCAGTCCATCGCCCTTCACTCTCCGTCTCAGAGTGAGACGCCACAAAGAAACCCCCTTGCGCGACTAATTAGAGCTCATACCGGACAAGTTGAAGCTTCCGGCAGCCGTCACTCGTCGCTCAGCCGTCACTCGCCGCTCGGCCGTCACTCGTCGCTCGGCCGGTAGCTGACAAGTCGGAGCAGACCGGAGTGCTGCCTGGCCTGAAATCCGACGGCCTCGATTAGCAATTAACTGGCGCTTCGTCATAGGTGGTGTGGTGTGCACGACAGGCCGGCCAGCCAACAGGAGGCAGGCCCTTAATTAAGTCCAGAGAAAGCCAGGTGAAAAGTGACTGATTGGAAGTGACTGTTTGGAAGTGACTGGTCGGAAGTGACTGGTCGGAAGTGACTGATCGGAGCCGGAAAGGTTGAAACGGCTCCTGTTGGATCGATTGCGGCAGCCAATCGGAGACTTGTCGCACCGAGCCAGTCACGTCGCAGCGGTCCGCCTGACGAGGCACAGGCACCGTACACGGCAGAAACACAGGCATATGAGGGTGCTGTGTACTGTGCCTACCTTCTGTACTTGGTAATAGGCGGGGAAACTGATCTGCCCTTTGGCTTTGGCTTGGAGTAACCGCGTTTCGACACGGGCGGGACGAAGGGAAGGCGAGGCGCACGCACGTTGACGGTTTGCTTGCCACGGAAGGCGCGGTGGCTGGCACAGAGGTTCTAGGTTACAACCTGCAGCTTCCCGCGAAAGCGACCCGAGCAGCTGCCCCAGGCTTTCTTTGTCCGCCCGTGACTGCCCCGAGAGCCAACTTGTTTGCTCGTAGGCCCAGGCTAAACTGCACCGGTGTGCACGTTTACTCGGTATCTACAGGAAGTAGTGCGCACTAATCCTCCTCGCCAGACGGGACCTGCCCAGTAAACTACCTGCCCAGTAAACTACCTGCCCAGTAAACTACCCGCCCAGTAAACTACCTGCTCAGTAAACTACCTGCAACACACCACCACACAAACACGACACCATTCCGCACCTACACCCCCACCGACCACACACCCGCGCGTCGCCATGTCGTCGACCAAAGACCTCTGGTGGGCGAAACAGCACCCGCCCGCCGACCCAACGCACCTGTCGTTCAAGGACAGGGCGGTGCTGGTGACGGGCGCCAACTCGGGGCTCGGCCACGAAGCCGCCGTCAAGTACGCCGCCCAGGGCGCGTCGCCGCTGATCCTCGCCGTGCGCTCCCAGGACAAGGGCGAGCAGGCCAAGGCCGCCATCATCGCGCGCACCGGCTGCAAGCCGGACGTCTTCATAATCCTAACCGTCGACATGTCGACGTTCGCGTCGGTGCGCGCCTTCGCCGACCAGCTCGACGCTGCCGTCCCCGCCCTGCACGTCGCCCAGCTCGCCGCCGGCGTGGCCACCTTCGCCTTCGCCAAGAGCCCCGAGGGCTACGAGTCCGCCCTGCAGGTCAACGTGCTGTCGACGGCGCTGCTGGCGCTGCTGCTGCTGCCCAAGCTGCGCGCCACGGCCGCCGCCGAGGCCGCAAAGCCCGAAGCCGAGCAGTTCGTCCCGCACCTGTCGTTCGTGCACAGCATTGCGTCGATGGAGGTGACGGACGCCGACATCACGGCCGACCAGTCGCTGGTGCAACGCATAGACGACCAGGCGCGCTTCGACAACCAGCGCCAGTACTTTTTGGTCAAGCTGGCCGCGTGGTTCGTCCTTCAGGGCCTCGTGGTGCGGTGCCGCGACGACGACGCCGACCACCGCATCGTCATCAACGCCTCGGACCCCGGCCTGTGCAAGACGGGCATGCTACGCGGCTTCCCCCTGATCGTCCGCGCCATCATGGCCGTCAAGTTCTTCCTGCTCGGCCGCTCCGTCGAGGAGGGCAGCCGGTCGCTCGTCAGCGCCACGGGCCTCGGCGTCGAGAGCCACGGCAAGTTCTGGCGGAACGATAGCTATGCTCCGTGAGTCTGCCGTTTTCTTGAGGCTTTTTGTTGAACAGCCGTAGTCGCTGCATGGGAGAGAGAGGACAGATGCTAACGAGACAACTTGTCGGTCCAGGCTCAGCGAACTTGTCGAGAGCGAGCGGGGCACCGAGCTGTTCCGCCAGACGTGGGAGGAGGTTCTGGGGATCCTGCGTAAGCACGTCGATTCCGACTTGATTTGAAGGGGACGGGTGAGATGCTGCCACATTCGCTGGAAGATGGAATTGGAGGTTGAGCTTGATGCTAAAAGGGTGGGTGGGTATGCCACGGCCATCTTGAGCGGTAATTTGGTGCTCGGGGCAGTACGAAGCCGCTATAGCTCCCAGATTGCGCATGTATATACGAATGGTTGAGAGGGATTCGGGGATGGGTAAACTGCGCCTCTTTCAGCGTGCAGGCAGTCGGACTATCAAAGTCATCACATCCGAGGTCTAATTTTCCTAGTGGACACTAGACCTAGACAGTCATTTCACAGTTGATTTCTGCAATATTGCAATAATCCAGTTCATTCGTCTCCTGAATCTGCTACCTGGTTACAATTACAGCCTGTCCAGCATCCTCGCCAGCTTAGGCGCCCTTCTCGCGGAACAGCAGCGGCGCCATGACATTGGGCACGATGTTGAAGTTGCGCGGCATATCGGGCGGCCGCTGCTGGCCGTCGGCGGGGTGCTTGAAGTCGTAGGCCGTGAGCAAGCGCACAAAGATGAGCCGCAGCGCCTCCTCGGCGAAGAAGCGCCCGGGACACGCGTGCGCGCCGCTGCCCCACACCAGCGTGTCCTCGGTCGACGCAAAGTGCAGCCGGTGCTGGCTGCTCGGGTCCGCCGCCGCCGTCCGTCGCAGGAACCGCCCCGCGTCGAACGTCGCCGCGTCCGCGTGCGTGTCCGCGTCCAGGTTGTGCTCGTTGCTCGCAAACGACAGCTGCGTGCCCACCGGCAGCGACAGCCCGTCTTTGAATGTCCACGGCGACGCCACGACGCGCTGCACCGTCACTATATTTCGCACCGATCGGGTTAGTGCGACGTGCAAGGGTTGGAGCTTACTAGCGCTCCAACGTGCGAATGTGAAAAGGGGGTAGTAGAGCAGAGAAACTGGGCATGGTGCGTACGCTGAGTGAAGGAGTGCACGCGCTGGCTCTCGCGCATAAATGCGTCAAGGGTGTGCAGCTCGCTCAGCGCGTGGCGTGTCCAGCCCGCCGAGTTCTGGCTGCGCACCCGGGCGATCTCGCGGCGGATGTCGGCTAGCGGCTGGGGGTGGTCCATCAGGTCGAACAGGATGGACAGCGCTGTCGACGAGGTGCTGTGGATCGACGCTGTCATTAGTACGAACAGGTCCTGCGCGATGTCGTCGGCCGTCGGCGTGCGGCCCTTGGCCCGGTGCCCGTCCAGCAGCCACTGGAGGGCGTCCTCGTGGGGCTCGACGCCAGGTGAGGCGAGGCGGGCTTTGATTGTGGGCTGCAGCAGCTGGCCGGCCTGCCGTCGGAACTTGAGCACCTCCTTCACGTCCGGGTTCAGGTACTTGGCCAGCCAGTACAGCGAGGGGTGGTATTTGGCCCGCACGGTCGAGGGCGCTTTCAGAACCGCGCTCACGTAGGCCAGCGACAGCTTCTGCCACTCGTCGCGCAGCTCGGGGCCGACTAGCACGCGAGCCGACATGCGCGAGAATACTTGCAGAATGAGCGGATAGATGTAGACGGTTGTCCATTCTGACGAAGACAAGCAAGTGTTAGCAACTGAAGGATTCTCTAGAAGGGGTCTTCTTACCCTGGCACGGAGGAAAGTCCTTCTTGAATGCAGCCAGACACTCCTCTTGCATGGGCTCAACCAGCCTGTCTGGAGCTTGCAGTTAGTACAGAAGTCCAAGCCCATCAGCTTTTTGTCTTGCGGCGAAACTTACTAAGGGCGCGGTTGAGATCGAGCTTGGCGGCGTGGACGACCTCGTCCGTCATCTGCGGGCCGCCTACATAGCTGAGGAGAGCATTCTATGGCATCATGTTAGCAATCAGCTCCGGCAGACTGTCTCCGGCAGACTGTCTTCACTTTTTTTCTTCGTTTTATTCTTCTCCTTTTTTTTGGGGGGGGGGGGGGGGGGGGGTTGGGGTTTGCGAGAGGGGGAAATGCGAGAGGGGAAAAAAAAGGAAATCAAAGCGCAAGCATCATACCTTGTCAAGCTGTAGCGGCAGACTCAGTTTATTCTGCGGCGCACTGCGCACTTCGTCAAGATATTTGAAGGGCAGGATGACAAGCGGGCGCTTGCTGTCAATGGGGTTCCGCATGCAGAACGGCTGGCCGCGCTTGAGATACTAAAAGACAGGTAAAACAGCCCGCTTGGTTAGACAGACATGTGATTGGACAAGAACAGGGACCTGGGAGTAATCACACCTCTTGATAACCCCTGGAAATGATGGTGCGCGACTCGGCCGTGTACCTAGCCTCAGAATCGTCGCCGTCGAACTTGAGATACGGGATGTTGCCGAGCTTGGACGCCGAAAAGGCCGCCCGCCTCCACCACAGGATCCATCCCGCTGCGGCGACGGCGGCCACCAGCGAGCTGAGCGCTACGAGGGCCATCTTGGCACTCTCGGGTGTGAGGGCGGAGTGAACACGGAACGAGAAAGAGCGGCGATGGGGTCGGGAAATGGGTGGCACGGTGTGAACGAATCGGGGGAGGGGAGGGAGAGGGAGGCGCCTTCTAGAAGCTGGCTAGAAGTTGGCCAAGGTAGCTAGAACGCAGCCCAAGTCAAAAGCCCGATGATTAGAGCCGATTAAGTGATAAGGTTATCGGAAACCGACCCCAGTCAGTGCCTTCTTCTGGGCGAGGAGATGTGCCAATATTCTGTGCTTGTGATGCGGAGGGGGGGGAGAGGGTAATATTTCGGGGTGCGTGCATGTTTGTGCAGGTACCAAGTGCGTCGTGGTGGTGGTTGTGGTAGAGGTGTGGAAAGAATCAAAGGAGGGAGGGACAGAGAAGCCGGCCGTATCGTATGGACGTATCGGACCACGCAAGTGCAAGTGCAAGTCAAACTCTGGATCGGACGAACAAGGATGCGCGGGTTCAGCCTGGGCCAATTAAAGAGAAACGACGCCCCAAATTGACAAATGCGCGTATATAGTATGGCATATGCATGTGCCTCCCTGCACAGGCAGCAGCAGCAGCTGATTAATTACCTACCTGTCCAACTGTCTAAACAGCAGATCTGAGTACTGTGCTCCGGGCGGTCGTGTGGCATTCCGCTGCCGTGTTTTCCCGCAAGCATGCACGCACTTTGGGGAATTTTCGGGGACCACCTTTGCAGCTGCTGGGCTTGGGCTGGTCTTGATTCGTCTCCACTAGGTTAGGTGCTTTGTCATGGCTTGAATGAAGCCGCCATCTAATGTTCCTTCTCGACATGGCCTAAGTATTTGTAAGCACGTTGACCTACCAAACTTACAAGCCACACTGTGCAAAGTGCATCTCCTTCTCAACCAAGGCCAATATTAATTGCTGTTGTGCACCGCTCCTCAGCTGCCATCCATTTGCTACCGTTGGTGGGAATCCGAGTCGGCCTTTTCGTGGCCATTTCTCCCCGTTTTCGTCTCCGAGTTCAGCTCCGAGATCGTATTATCGCAGATCTGCGCCACCCAACGACTCCATCAATCATTGTACTAAATTTTTTTTTTTTTTTCAAAGAAACCCCCCCCCCAAAAAAAAAAAAAACCATCCCTTTATACAGAAGGTTGCAGTTGCTGGTCCTGTCGTCCGCCGTCGTCTCCTTCCCCGTGGCGTCTAAAATCCGCGGCAAGGTGAGACTTCGGCTAATTATGAGGATATTCAGATTACACTGCGTCAAGTAACACGCAACACTGAACCAGTGTGGGCAAGATGTGTAGGTAAGGCACTTGACACCATGGGGGAACAGAAAGGACGGGTATTCAACAGAATCTGAATAAAACTGGAACTAAACACAGGTAAAGTAAATTCGTTATTCGGCTGGCCCAAGGGTCGTGGACGTAACCATCGCTGCCCCTGCTGCCCTGCTGCCCTGCTTTGGTCGTGATTGTCTTGATATACATAAAAATAAAAATAAAAATGAAAATAAAACCCGAAATAAAAAACCACCGTCGCTCGCTGAAACCAAAAAAAAGAGAACCCCCCCCCCCCCCCCCCACGTCTTCGACCACACCACGACTGGCATTCACTTTGTGGGGACTTCGTCCTCGGTGTGGCCGTAATACGTGATGGCCGAGGTGACAGTCCTCTGCAGGCTCTTGCTGCTGCCCTTGGCGGAGCCGGGGCCAGATCCAGAACCGGCCTCCCAGGCGGGCTTCTGGGCACGGGCCGAGGCCTCGTCCGAGATGCGCAGCTTGCCGCCCATCTCGACGTCCTCGCCGCCGGGGTAGACGGAGCCGGTGGCGCTGCCGCGCGGGCTGCGGCGGCGCGTGGTCAGCAGGCTGATGATGGAGTCGCCGACGGCGCTGAAGAAGGCGGTGTACTGCAGCTTGGACAGCGGGCCCAGCGTCGGGATGCACCCCATGATGATGACCAGCGACTGCTCGATGCTGGACGTGAGGAACACGGTCCCGCCGAAATCCGGCGAGAACGAGTCGGGCAGCGTGCCCATCAGCCCCATGATGATGATGACGATCTTGGTGATGGACGCCCCCGCCGTGACGATGGACAGGCTGAGCAGGATTATGAGCCCGATCTTGCGGTTGCGCTTCATCTGCACCCTCCACACGAACCACACGGGCATGACGACGTAGAGGAGGTCCGAGATGGCGAACAGGACTGTTTTGTTGACGGCCGTCAGGGGCTGCTGTCAAGGCACGAGAGGGACTAGAAGCTTACACTGCAAGGCCAGCGACGTGTACTGGTTTATTCTCTCGTCCATCTGGCTGGTGGGCACGATCATGGGGTTCCAGTGCGTCTCGATGGGGAACTTGGAGACCCAGCTGAAGACGAGGCCGAGCACGCCGACGACGACCTGCAGGGCCATGAAGCCGAAGAGGAACCACTTGAACCAGACGCGCGTGGTGCCGAAGATGCGGGCCAGCAGGATGACGATGGAGATGCGGGCGACGAGCGACACGAGCTGGGCGGGCGTGATGGCGAAGAACTCCCACTTCTGGCTCTGCATGAACTCCTCGAGCGTCATGTTGATGAAGTCCTTGCCCATCCCCCAGTTGCACGCCAAGGTGATGAAGGCCTGGTACGTGATCTGCAGCGCCAGCGCCGCCAGCATGATCCACTCGTCGCTGTTCCACCGGTGGTACTTCTTGCGCACCCAGCACCGCACGGCCACCGTGATGATGGCCAGGCACGTGAAGACCCACGTCACCGCGATGGTCGTGTGGCTGATGCCCGGCGCGTCCGGGTCGACCGGCGGCTGTGTGAAGAGGCCGCTCATGGCGGACGGGAGCTGCGAGGCAGCAGGAGTCTGAGCGGTGGAGATTGGAAAGGCCGACAGCGAGACAAGACGTCGCGATGGGTCTTTGACTGGGCGATGGGAGTCTTGTCGACCCTCGGCGGACGACGTTGCGCCTTATGTGATGTCGACAACGTAGGACCGGAGACAATCTGAAGCTGCAGGGGCACGTTTCGTGGAGGATCTGGGAAACTCGATGGCGGACCCCGACAAGAACCAAGATTTCATCTTTTGGAAATGGCCGACAGCGCTCTCTCGAGTCCTTCTAGAACAATGCAACATTCGACGGGACGCGAGTTTCAAGCAAAGGAGCAGCCCGCAGAGGCAATCAGGTTAGTTTGCCGGCCTCGACCACCTCTTCTGGCAGATGATGGGGTGTGATTTCTCGGCGTGGCTGATATTTGCTGCGGGTGAGATGACTATGGCGTTGTGACTGGCCAGTTTGTCGCTGGTCACGGTGGTACAGCAGCCATCTGTCTCTCGTCCTGGCGCGGGCTGAGGCGGCTCGCCCAACCAGGGTGCCGTGGCATCGATATTGGCCGTGCAACCCGCCCTCTGGAGCGTCGACCAACTGGGAATGTAGGACCCGTTCCCGTGTTGGTGGGTAATACGGCGAAGATTTCCAGGTCGACTGCGCCGCACGGGTTGTGCATTCATCTGCAAAGGGGGAAGCCGGCAATTGTCCAATTCGCTGCCAGCTCCGACTCGCCCTGCCGGGCTGCGGCGCAGAGTCCCTAATAAGGGCGTCGGTTTTTCGCTGATGGTGCCAGCTGCGACGATCAATGCGCAGCTCGAGCCGGTCAGCAGTGGTGAATCACGTTACACACACGGTCTGTCTGCAGGCTCGACGTGCACTCGACTGGCTCGCCGTGCACCCGACTGGCTCGCCGTGCACTCGACTAGCTCGCCGGCCCGATATCAAGAGCGAGGTGCAAATGCAACTCTGTCACTGTGACTGTGTTGGATTCGAGGACCGAGAGGATCAGGAGCTGCCGTCCCTTTGAAATCAGGGAGCGGGGGCAGGATAAGGACTGGTCAAGGCTCACCCGTCTCTCTCACTCTCGGGAAGGGATGCCGTCCGTGGAGAGATTCCGTGGAGAGATTCCGTGGAGATAGGCACCAAGGTAGCAGCGGAAAAGGGGGACTGGCCGACTACCCCACACCCTCGACGCTGCCCCAGAAAATAGACACTAAACACACAGACGGCTAGAGATCACCCGAGCGTAGGCGGCATTACTTCCCCGGAGCTAACGCAGAGCCCAAGGCTGGAGGACGCCAAGATCCGCGCCTGGCCGAAGCTTGTTTCCCCGGCATGCAGGCTGGATGGTGTTATAGTCAGTCGGGTAAGCGTGAGGCCGACGTCGCCTCTTTTTTGGAAGAAAAAAAGAGAACAGAAATGAAAGAAAAGAACAAAATCAACCCAGGTTCAATTTAGGCCTTTTTGTTGAGCCTGCACCGCACTGTGGAATTAACGGAGAGATTTGAAGGAAAGGGAGAGACACAAAAAAAAGAATGACAAGATACATGGCAGGAAACAACGACAGGAAACAATTGCAGGAAACAATAGCAGGAAACAATAACAGGAAACAATGACGGGAAATAATGACAGGAAACAATGACGAGAAATAATGACAGGAAACAATGACAGGAAACAGTGACAGGAAACAGGGACAGGAAACAGTGACAGGAAACAGGGACAGGAAACAGGGACAGGAAATAGTGACAACACAATTGGCCTGCAGAACTGGGCATTCACTAGTCTAATCTCATGCAGAAATTACGCCCCTTGTCGAATCGAGGCCATGCCAATGCTCCTCACATGAACACCACGTACATACCTACCTACCTCATACAAAGGCCAGTTGCACAGTGCATGTCATGTCATGTCATGTTGCCGGAATGCATCACTAGCTCGCGAGTCTATCTAACCTGCACACGCAGCATAGCATAGCGTAGCCAAAGTTCCTGCACACGCAGCATAGCAAAAGTTCCTACACACGCAGCACAGCCTAGCGTAGCAAAAGTTCCGGTAACAGCGGCAGCCAGCACTCAGCACAATACAAAGCCCACAGATTTTCATTTCCCAAGGCGGACGGAGAGAAACCTCCTTTCCCAGTCTGTCTACCGATCCCGGTCCCGGTCCAGCCGCTTCTTGACCTCGTCCATCATCTCGGCCAGGGTCAGCTCGCCGAAGCCGCCGTCCTCGGCCGCGGCGCGCAGCATCTCCTGCGACAGCAACATCTCGCGGACCGACACTGATGCCGGGTCCATGGCTAGGACGGCACGACCACTGCCGCCGCCAGACTGGGGCCCAGATTGGGGGCCGCCGCCGCCGCCGCCACCAGCACCATTAGTAGCTGAACCGTCCCAGTGCTGCTGCTGCTGTTGATGGAGATGGCCACTCCTCCCATAGCCCACAACACACCGCGCCGCCCCGCCGCCGCCGCCAAAGCCGCCACCAAAGCCGTTGCCAAAGCCGCCGCCAAAGCCGCCGCCAAAGCCGCCGCCAAAGCCGCCGCCAATGCCCAGACACGCGTCGATGGCCGTCAGCAGCCCGGCACCCGTCTCGAGCAGCACCGCCAGCTGCATGTCGGGGCTGCTGCGCACGTGCAGGCCGCCGAGCTGCAGCGCCGGCAGCGCCAGCAGCGCGACCATGTCGCTTGTTGCTTGTGACGATGACGAGAGCAGGTCCGCTAGGTTCGCGAATAGCTGTCGCCAGCTGCGCACGACCAGCACGTAGGTTGTGACCAGCGTGGTTGTCAGCACCATGTCGCGGCTCTTGGTGGTGCGGCGGCCGGGGAGTGTGGTTGGGGACGCGGAGTTGGACGTGGACGTGGAGCTGCTGGTGGAGCCGTTGGTGGAGCCGTTGGTGGAGCCGTTGGTGGTGTTTGAGAGCGGCATCAGTTCTGGCGCCATGTTGTTGCTGTTGCAGTTGCAGTTGCAGTTGCTGTGGCTGTGGCTGTTGCTGTTGCTGTTGCTGTTGCTGTTGCTGTTGCTGTTGCTGTTGCTGTTGCTGTTGCTGTTGCTGTTGCAGTTGTTGTTGCTGTTGCAGTTGCGGTTGCAGTTGCTGTTGCAGTTGCTGTTGTTGTTATTGCTATTGCTATTGCTAGCGGCCTGCGACACGCTGCCGCGGTTGAGGTTCATGTGCTGCTGGTGGTCTGCGCCAGAGCCGCCGCCGCCGCCGCCGCCGCCGTGAAAATCGGACGAGGCCTGCAGGGAGGAGCGCTTCGTTCCGATCCCGCTTGGCCGCCGCTGCTGGTTCTGGCTCTGCTGCTGCTGTTGAGCGGCCGCTGCCTCAGCCAGCGCCATGGTGCGCAGCAGGTCCGAGAACTGTGCCGTGCTGTCGAGCAGGCTCTGGAACGGCATCTCGACTAGGTCTGGGAAGCTGCCGCTGCCGCTGCCGCTGCCCGGGTAGTAGGGCGAGCCGGCGTGGAAGGCCCTGAGCGTGTCGTAGTCGTCGACCAGCCGAGCGCACAGGTCCAGCAGTGCCTGTATGGGATTTGCCTGTATGGGATTTGCCTGCATGGGATTTGCCTGGGCATGATTGTTCTGGTGCGGCTGTAGGTCCATGCTGTCACCGCCGACCAGGCTCTCGGGAGATGCGGGCGACGGCGGCGTCAGGATGACGGCCGAGTCGCTGAAGGACATGAGCTCGTCGACGGGCGGCGGCGGCGGCGGCGGCGGCGGCGATGCCAGGTGCTGGTGGTTGTCGGCGTTGCCCCGGTGCCGGTGCGCATTGTCTGCGTTGATGCCGCACGGTGCTGTCCCAGGGTCGTCGGTGGGAAAAGCGAAGCTGGCAAAGGCAAAGTCGATGGACGACTGGCGCATCTGCTCCCTCCCGTGCGTGTGAGCATCGTGCACCTTGTTTCAAACGTGGCCTGCGCTCAAACTCACCGGACTGCAGAGCCCCAGGTCGAGGGCCTGGCTGCTCAAGTCTTGGCCGCGGCTCTGCTCCTGCATCGCGTCGAGGCCGTGTTGCTGGTCGATGGACGGGGCGCGCATGACGATGGGTCTGAGGTGAGCTGGGCTCTTGACGCTCTGGCTGGCGAATGGACGCATGAGGGAGCTGGCAGGAGAGCTGTGGTGGACTCTGAAGGCCTGGCTCGACGGCACTGGTGGCATCTCGGTGGCCGTGGTAGTGCAGGCAGCCCCCGTCCGGACACACCGCTCACACGCGGCAGCTCCCGAGCGAGAGGACCGCTCGCAGCGCAGCTTGTAGGTGCGGCACCGGTCACAGGCGGACCGGCGCGACTGCTTGGCGCGCTGCACGCTCCTGCTGGTCGCGTACATGGTCGCCGGCGACATGCTCGCCCCGGCCAGGAGACGGCTGCGACTCTGGGGCCCTCAGGGGGGGCGTGCACGGGTCAGTTGGGGACTCGAGCACCAGACTAGATCGATCTGATCTGATCTGATCTGGAAGGCGACCCGTCGGCGTGGAGACAGAGACGGAGACGGAGACGCCGTGATGTCGTTGTTATGAAGAAAACTAGGGAGCTGGCCAGCGGTGCCGGCACCACCACCACCACGACCGCCGCCACCACCACTACCACCACTACCACCACTACCACCGCCACCACCAGAGTGTCCAGAACTCTGACGGCCTGGCAGAGCGGCACTGGAGCCGCACTGGAGCCGCAGTGACGACAGTCGGGAATTAGACAAAGAACCTGACATGCTTGGGCAAATTGTGACACCATCCAAGGAACAAGGGACGACGCGGTACCGAACGCACACACTCGGATTCTGGCTCAGACAGAGGACGGATTGCTTATGGAGGGGGGAGGGCGACTCGGGGCGCGGGTATAGTATGCAGCATGCCCGTGTGCCCGTATGCCTGGCTTACGGTGATGTACCCATTGCATCCAGATCCGTGATTCGCCGTATCTGCCGCCCGTAGACCAATGTCCAGCCTAGCACCTCAGGTAATCCAGTCTAGCACCTCAGGTAGTCGTAGCAAAAGTTCAGAGTCTGCCTGCCTGCCTGCCCGCCCGCCCGCCTGCCTGCCTGTCTGCCGGTGGGTGAGATGGCTGTGACTTGTGACAATCTTGCAGACAAACGAGCTGCTGTTTACGGCCAACGCACGTCGACGCCCGTCGCACACTGGGAAAGGGAAAAAGGGGCCGACGAAAAAAGGGAACCGCCGTCAGTCGGCCGCTGACTGGTTCTGGCCAGCCGCATTCCGCAGCGGCGATGCAGGTTGGGCCACCGCGTCACACGTCGGGGAGTGTAGGGCCGACGCGGGACGAGGCGGGAGCCATACAAAACGCATCATCAACCCGCCGTCGCCTAGATTACCAGACCACACGAGCACAGAGATGGCCCGTCCAGGCAGCCAACGCCGCAACGGCAGACGCCACGCCGCTGCGGCGCAGCACACAAGATAATAAAAAAATACGCCCAGGCTCTCCCGTGCAGCATTCATCCGGCCAGTGGTGCAGCATCCATCCGGCCAACTAAACTGCCGGTCCAGGAGCTCGGCGAGGTGGTCGGTTCTTGGTTACCGCGGCGCAGCGCAAAGAAACCAGGCCGGTTGTCATGTCGCAGCGTCGTGTAGTGTCGTGTATGTGATAAGAGTGCGGGCGAGAAGGGAAGTCGGGAAGACGGGAAAGGCGTACGTGCTTGGTCCTTGCGGCGCAGCGCCACTACAGATCAGGCCAGCGGCAAGCCGAACCACCAACCAAGGCGAGGAGCAGCGCAGCACCTTTGTTCTTTTTAGGGCAGGGACGACTCGGGTTGCAGGGGAGGGCTGCTGCACGCTACTGCAGCGAACTGCCGGAGACTGTTGGGGGAGGTGAGGGGGGGGTGGGGGAGGGGAGGGGGCATGTGCCGTAGAGGGGAGAGACTGCAAATCTGCAGCTTAGAGAGCGCCGCCGCGTCATGTGCTTGCTTGCTTGGATTCGTTATTCTCGGCACACACACACACACAGACACACACACACAAACACGCACACACACGCACACACACCACGCACACACACACACACACACCACGCACACACACACGCACACACACACACCGTCGGCGACGCAGCTCCAACGGCCCAACGGTCCAACAAAACCAGGAATAGGAATTCAGCCAACGGTCCAACAAAACCAGGAAAGGAATTCAGCCAACGGTCCAACAAGACCAGGAAAGGAATTCAGCCCAGCGCCTCCCTCTGCACGCCCAAGTGCCGGTCGAGAAAGGCAAAGACGCGCTGGTTGCAGAGCCCCAGGGCCCCCATTTTAGCCTGGAGGCTGCCCTGGCCCGGCGAGGCCCCGACCCACAGCTCCTTGTCGGCCGCGCCCAGCCGGTCAAACACGGCCGCCGTGTGCTCGTCGACGTCAAAGTACAGCGAGTCGGCCGCGCCCGTAACCAGCGTCGGACACACGACATCCTCCAGGTAGCTGCCGGCCTTCTTCTCCCCCTCCCCCTCCCGCTCTCCCTGCCCCTCCCCCTGCCCCTTTCCCTCTCCCTCCCGCTCTCCCTCCCGCTCTCCCTCCCGCTCTCCCTCCCTCTCCCCCTGCCCCTGCCACTGCCCCTGCCCCTGCCCCTGCCCCTCCCCCTGAGCGCCAGCGTCCCTCCGGAGGGTAAACTGCTTCATGGCGCGCAGGATGCCGACGGGCGACTCTGCGCCGAGGAAGCGGGCCGACGTGAAGATCTCCCAGCGCGACTGGAACGAGACGCGCGCGCTCTGCAGCACGGCCGCGTTGACGGCCCAGTCGGGGATCCAGCCGCGGTCCCACAGCCCGAAGAGGGTCGGGGCCACGTGGCGCGACGCGAACTCCCACAGGTCGTACACGGGGTCGATGGCGACGCAGGCCGCGAGCCGTGCGTCGGCCGCCGCGGACCGCAGCGCAAAGTAGGCGCCGAGCGACGCGCCGGCGACGGCCACGCGGCCCATGTCGAGGTCGAGGCCGGGGTGTGCGCGCCCGTGTTCGGCCAGCGCGTCCAGCGCGGCGCCCGTCACGGCGCCCCAGTCGGCCCGCATCGCCACGCCGTGCTCGTGCAGCGTCAGTCCCTGCCCGGGACCCTCGAGGGTCAGCACGGCGTAGCCCAGCTCGGGCCCGGCCGCCGGCAGCATGTGGTAGATCTCTTCCTGTGTTGAGTCGGCGCCGATGAGGCTGATGACGACGGGCGTGGTGGTGGTGGTAGTGGGCGTGGTGGCGGTGGTGGTGGTGGCGGTCTGGCCCCGGGCTTTTCCTTCTCCGGTGGATTCTGTCTGTTGGGTCTTTGGTGCTGGCAGGTACAGATATGCCGGCAGCGACAGGGACACGCCGTCCTCCTTGTAGGGGATGTGCAGCGTGTGCACGGGGGTGTCGAAGAGGGCCAGGGCGCGGGCGAACAGGGCGGCCGACGTGCGCAGGATGGCTGCGGCGCGCGGGTCCGAGGAGCCGAGCGTGCTGCCCGTCATCATGTACGACGACGCGCGGGCGTAGTTGGCGGCGCGCAGGAAGCCCGAGCGGGCGGCGGCGCGGTGGCCGTCGTGCTGGGCCTGCTCGGCGAGTGCCTCGGCCCGCTCCGCCTGCCGAGCCCACGCCGCGTGCCAGCTGCCCGCGTCGTTCTCGCGGATCTCGCCCACCGCCTCGAGGAACTCGGCCACGTCGGCGCCCCCGTACCGCGCCGTGCCGAGGATGCGCACCGCCTCGAAGTTAAAGAACGCGCCCGAGTAGAACTTGTGCATGGCTGTGGTATGTTGTGTGTTGTGTGCCGTATGTTGTATGTTGTATGTTGTGTGTCGTATGTTGTATGTTTTATGTTGTATGTTGTGTCGTATGTATGTACTTGAATAGTGCGGTAGATTTGTGCTTGTGCAATATGATGCAATGTAAGAATGATATGCTGTTGACGTGGACGTTCTCGACATGCACAAGCGTGGCCGTGGCTTGGGGCGCCTGGCTTTATGTCACGTTGTGACGAATTAAGAAGAGCCGAGGACTAGATGAAGGTATTCTGTGTCGGTGATCGTATCTCCAATAGCACCGGGCCCTTTCCTCTTTGATATCCACGGACTTTGATATCCACGGACAAAGTAGCAACTGCTGCAGCCCCAAACCAGGTGTGCATGCGCAATGCACGCCCGGACCTTGTGTTCTAGATGCCGGGCAGGTCGAATGCCGATTGGTGCTTGGCAACACGACTCCGATGCAATCCGGGGAGGGCTCGGCTACGCACTCCGGCCGCTCGACGGCGGTCCGAGCCGCAACATATCCTATCGGGGACAAGCGCCAATAGAGTAACCACAAGGACGCTCACTGCATGTACCTGCCCACTGCACTATGCGCCGCGTGCAGTAGAACAGGCTGCCTTGTCTGGACTGCTAGCAGCCCTATGCCCCTGATGACGTGACCAGGTGCTGCTGATAGGACTGTCCGTTGTGACCGGTCCTGGTATATTACTGTCTGCCCGGTGGTCTGCAGTAGCAGCTGGTGTCTCCTTACCCGTGATTGAAATGCGTGACCGGAAGGGCTGACAGCGGACCGCTGCGTGCTTCATCGACACCAGTATACCCTCCTCACATGCACCATCAACACTAGCAAGCACATCCACACACACACACACACACACACACACACACACACACACACACACACACACACACACACACATCAGCACGTAGACACTGAGCAAACTCACATGCCCGCCGCCATGGCACCACCACAGTATCGGCGCGAGCCCATCGCGCTCGTCGGGTCGGCGTGCAGATTCCCTGGCGAGTGCTCGTCGCCGTCCAAGCTGTGGGAGCTGCTGCGGCAGCCGCGCGACGTGCTCAGCGAGATCCCCACGGACCGCTTCAACGCGGCCAAGTTCTACCACCCGGACCCGCTGCACCAGGGAACAAGCAACGGTGCGTGCGCCTGCCGAGAACCAGAGCCTAACCACGCAGGAACTAACCCGCCGGCAGTGCGGCACTCGTACGTGCTCGCCGAGGACCACCGCGTGTTCGACGCCCACTTCTTCGGCGTCAAGCGCGCCGAGGCCGACGCCATGGACCCGCAGCAGCGCATCCTGCTCGAAGTCGCCTACGAAGCGCTCGAATCCGCCGGCATCCCGCTGGAGCGCGCGCGGGCCAGCAGCACGGGCGTGTTCGTGGGGCTGATGAACGCTGACTACGCTGACTCGCTGGCGCGCGACGTGCGCTCCGTGCCGACCTACTTCGCGCCGGGCACCGCGCGCAGCACGCTGTCGAACCGCCTGTCGCACCTGTTCGACCTGCGCGGCCCGTCCATGACCATCGACACGGCGTGCTCGTCGAGCCTGGTCGCGCTGCACCAGGCCGTGCTGAGCCTGCGGGCGGGCGAGACGAGCGCCGCCATTGTCGCCGGCACGAATCTGTTGCTGGGCCCCGAGCCGTACGTCGCGTCGACCAAGATGGCCATGCTCAGCCCCGCCGGCCGCAGCCGCATGTGGGACGCGGCTGCCGACGGCTATGCGCGTGGCGATGGGTTTGGTGTCCTGGTGCTCAAGACGCTGGCGCGCGCGCTCGCCGATGGTGATGCTATCGAGTGTCTTGTTAGGGAGACGGGCGTCAACCAGGACGGCCACACCAAGGGCATCACAATGCCCAGCCCGCAGGCCCAGGCCCGCCTAATCAGAGCTACGTATGCCCGCGCCGGCCTCGACCTGGCTAAGCCGTCTGACCGGCCGCAGTACTTTGAGGCGCACGGCACTGGTTTGTCTCCCTTTTACATCGTTCTTTGTTTTCGTCCGTCATTCTTTTCTCCTTCCCCTTTCTTTCTGATTTCCCCTTTCTCTCTGGTTTCCCCTTTCTGATTTCCCCTTTCTTTCTGATTTTCCCTTCATGTTTATGTATGCCTACACGCCGTGTACAAATTCTAAAAAAAAAAAAACAGGAACGGCTGCGGGCGACCCCGTCGAGGCCGAGGCCATCAGCAGTGTCTTCTTCGGCGCCGAGACAAACTTCCAGCGGACAGACGGAGACGCGCCGCTGTTTGTAGGGTCGGGCAAGACAGTTCTGGGACACGCCGAGGGCGCGGCGGGCGTGGCGGGCGTGCTCAAGGCCGCGCTGGCGCTGCAGCACGCCACCATCCCGCCCAACGCGCTGCTCACCGAGATCAGCCCGGCCGTAAAGCCCTTCTACGACGCCGGGCTGCACATTGCGCAGCAGGCGCGAGCATGGCCGGGCGTTGCCGTGCTGGGCTGCCCGCGCCGCGCCAGCGTCAACAGCTTCGGCTTCGGCGGCACCAACGCCCACGCCATCCTCGAGAGCTTTGACGACCACAGCAGCCCTGCGCCGGCCGATAATCGGGCGATGTTGCCCTTTGTCTTCTCCGCCGCGTCTGGGAAGGCGCTCCGCGGCAACCTGGCAGCGTACGCGGCGCATCTGCGGGCAAACCCGGCCCTCGACCTGCGCGCCCTGGCCTGGACGCTCGGCGTGCGCCGCTCGGTGTTGGCCGCGCGCATATCCATCCCCGCCACTGCAGACATTACCACAGACGAGTTGGCTGCCCGGCTAGACGATGCTGCCGGCGAGCCTGCGCCGCCCAGCCTTGACCTCGGAAGCAATAACAACAGCAACAAACACAACAACAGCAACAACAAACAAAGCAACAACAAACACAACAGCCGCATCGTCGACGCACCCCTCAGAGACACCACGCACCCCCCCCGACTTCTAGCCATCTTCACGGGCCAGGGCGCGCAGTGGGCCACCATGGGCGCCTCCCTCATCGCGTCCAGCCCGCTCGCTGAGTCGCGGCTGGCCGCTCTCGAGTCGTCCCTCGCGACACTACCCGCAGGCGACGCGCCGAGCTGGTCGCTGGCAGCCGAGCTGCGCCGGTCAGCGGCCGGCGGGTCGCGCATGGCCGAGGGCGAGCTCGCGCAGCCGCTGTGCACGGCCGTGCAGCTCGTGCTGGTCGACGTGCTGCGCGCGGCGCGCGTCGGCGTGGCGGCGGCCGTCGGCCACTCGTCGGGCGAGATCGCCGCCGCGTATGCCGCTGGCTATCTGTCTGCTGGCGATGCCATCCGCATTGCCTACTATCGCGGGCGGTCGCTGCGTGTTACTGCCGCTGCTGCTGCTGGTGGTGGTGGTGGTGGTGATGGTGCTGGTGCTGGTGATGGTGGTGGTGGTGGCGGTGGTGGTGCTGGTGATGGTGATGGTGATGGTGATGGTGATGGTGATGGTGATGGTGATGGTGATGGTGTTGGTGGGGCGACTGCTCCCGTGGCAAAAGGGGCGATGCTGGCGGCAGGCACCACGCCCGCGGACGCGGCCGAGCTGTGCGGACTGCCGGCGCTGCGGGGCCGCGTGTGCGTGGCGGCGCACAACTCGCCGTCCAGCGTGACGCTGTCGGGCGACGCCGACGCCGTGGCCGAGGCGCGCGAGATCCTCGAGGACGAGGCCAAGTTTGCGCGCCTGCTGAGGGTGGACACGGCGTACCACTCGCCGCACATGATGCCGTGCGCCGCCGCGTACGTGGCCGACCTGGCGCGCGTCGGCATCGCGGTGCGCGGCCCTGCGGCGGATAGCGGGACAGCATATCCGGCGTGGATCTCCAGCGTGACGGGGGAGAGCGCCGCGGCGTCGGTTGGCTCGGCCTCGCTCGCGGGGGCGTACTGGGGCGACAACATGGCGCAACCGGTGCTGTTCACCGACGCGGTGCAGCATGCGGTGCGCACGTGCGGGCCTTTCGACGCCGTGCTCGAGGTCGGCCCGCACCCGGCGCTCAAGCAGCCGACCCTCGACAGCATCCTCGCGGCGGCGCCCGACAGCGGTGGCTTGCCGTACGTGGCAACGCTCACCCGCGGCCGCGACGACCTCGAGGCGTTTACCGACACGCTCGGCTCGCTGTGGATGCTGTTTGGCCGCGCGGCCGTCGACTTTGACGCCTTTGACCGCGCGGCATGTGGTCTCGGCGACCGGCAGCCGCGCCCGCTCAAGGGCCTGCCGGGGTACGCGTGGATGCACGACTGCATCTATTGGCACGCGTCGCGGCACGGGCGGGCGAGCCTGTCGGCGGGCGACGCGCCGCACGCGCTGCTGGGCACGGCGTCGCCCGATGCGACAGCCAGCGAGCTGCGGTTCCGCAACCACCTCAGCCCACGCCACGTGCCGTGGCTAGCCCACCACCGCGTGCAGGGCCAGATCGTGTTCCCGGCTGCCGGCTACGTGGCCGCCGTGCTCGAGGCCGTGGCCAAGTGGTTCGAGGCCGGCACGGTGCAGCTGGTCGAGTTTGCGGACCTGGTCATCAAGAAGGCGCTGCTGTTTCCGGCCGACGGCGGCGACGACGCGGCCATCGAGACCATGCTCTCGCTGAGGATTGTCGACCAGACCAGCGCCGAGAGCACTGCGCTGTTCACCTTTTACTCTGACACCGATAGCAGCAGCAGCAGCAGCAACAACAACAACAACAACAACAACAACACCAACAACACCAAAAACACCAACAACACCAACAACACCAACAACACCAACAACACCAACAACACCAACAACACCAACAACACCAACAACACCAACAACAACAACAACACTGCCCCCGCGGCCATGACAGAAAACGCGTCAGGCAGGGTGCGCGTCGTGCGCGGCCCCTTGGCGCACGACGCCCTGCCACCGCCACCACCACCGCAGCAGCTGGCGGCCGACGGGCGGTTCCTGGACCTCGAGCCCGACGACTTCTACGCGTGGGCGCGCGGGCTGGGGTACGGGTACGAGGGGGCGTTCCGGGGGCTGGGGATGACGCAGCGGCGTCTAGACGAGGCAGCAGGGGTGGTGCTTGTGCCAGCACCTAGCAGCGAGAGTAGCCGGCATGCCTACGCGGCGCCGCTGCTCGTGCACCCGGCCGTGCTCGACTGCGCCATCCAGGCCATGCTGCTGGCCTACTGCTACCCGGGCGACGGGCGCATGCGCGGCCTGTGCATGCCGACGCGCATCGACGGGCTGCGCGTCAACCTGGCCGCGTATCGCGAGGCCACCACTTCCGAACCAGACGCTGCGAAACTGCCCTTCCACGCATCCGTGGCGTCCTCGTCCTCGTCGTCGTTGTCGCCTGGGAGCGACATTGTCGGCGACGTCGATGTGTACTCGCCGGGCCGCGGGTGCACGCTGGTGCAGCTGCAGGGGCTGCACATCACGCCTCTAGTGCCGCCCTCGCCCGACAACGACGTCAAGCTGTTCTTCGATATGGCGTGGGGCCCTGCGTCGCCAGCGGGCGGGACGGTGCCGCTGCTCCAGGGGTGCGCGGGCGCCGACTCGCTGGCGGCGGCCACGGAGCGCGTCGCCTTCTTCTACCTGCGCCGGCTCGCCGACGCGTTCCCACCCGAAAGGAGGCGCGAAATGGGCGACGCCCTCCTGTGGCACCATGGCCGCCTGTTGGGCTATGTCGACCACTGCGTCGCCTGGGTCGCTGGTGACACCCACCCCTACGTGCCAAGTGAGTGTGTGGCTGATACCGAGGAGGATATTGCGCGGATTGTCGAGCGGTGGGTTTTTTCCTCCAATGTGTTGCTCTGAAGGTTACGCTATCATTCCCCTTTTAAAGTTTTGCGGTTCTGGAACATGTATGCTCTGCAGAAGTTGCAGGGTGATTTCGGTTGGCGCGTTGGATTGCGGGCCCACAGCGAGTTCATTGTGCCCCTTACCCCTTTCCGCCCCTATTCTTTGTTTGTTTACACCCCTGAAAGAGGCGCTCCACAATCTCAATGTGGCCATACTCTGCCGCCAATTACCACTTTCGTCACATTTCTTAAAACTCTCCACCATTCCCTTTCCCCCACATTTAACCAGAGCCCAAGTAGACCAGCTAAACAATGACCACACCAGCCACCCATCGAGCATCGACCTGCAGGTGATCACGGCAACCGGGCTGGGCCTGGCGCCGGCCGTCCGCGGCGAGAGCAACATCCTCGAGGTGATGCGGCGCGACGGGCTCATGGACGACTTCTACGCGCGCTCGCTGGGCATGGCCGAGTATGTGGCCGACGTGGCGCGCGTGGTCGGCGAGCTGGCCCACCGCTTCCCGCACATGCATATTCTCGAGATTGGTAGGCCCCATCATCTGCACCAATTACCCCTAGAGATCATTTGCTTACGTAGTTCAACCAGGAGCCGGCAGCGGCGCGACCACATCCGCCATGCTCGACACCCTGGGCGGCTCGTTCGCGTCGTACACGTTCAGCGACGTGTCGAGCGGCTTCTTCGCGAAAGCGCAAGCCAAGCTCGCCGACACCACCCGCGCACACAACAAGCTGCAGTTCCGCGTGCTCGACATTGAGAAGCCGCCCGCCGCCCAAGGCTTCGCCGAGGGCGCGTACGACGTGGTAATCGCGTCGCTGGTGCTGCACGCGACGCGCAGCCTGCGCTCGACGCTCGCGCACGCGCGCAGCCTGCTGCGGCCCGGCGGCCGCCTGGTGCTGCTCGAGGTCACGCACAACGACTCGCTGCGCGTCGGGCTCGTGTCGGGCGGCCTGCCGGGCTGGTGGCTGGGCAGTGATGACGAAGACAGCGATGACGGGGCGCGCGCGCTGTCGCCGTGTGTGCCGGCCAGCGCGTGGGAGGAGCTGGCGCTCGCGACGGGCTTCTCGGCCATCGAGGCGCTGACGCCCCACGACCATGCCGTGCCGGTGCCGCTGTCGGTTATCGTGTTCCAGGCCGTCGACAAGAGGGTGGATTTCTTGCGCGACCCGCTAGCGAGCGCTCGGCGCCTGCAGCGCGGCGACTTGACTATCTTGGGCGGCTCGGTCGACGCGGCTGCACGGCTCCGCGGCCTGCTCGGCGCGCACTACGCCGGCGTATCGCACGTGCAGGCTTCGGGGGGCGTGGTATCGCTGCCCAGCGACGGCACCGTGGTTAGTCTGGCTGGGCTGCTCGACGGCGGCGAATCACTCTTCGGCGACGTGGCGGCGGCGCTGGCAACGCTGCAGACGGCCTTCAAGCACAGCCGATGCCTGCTGTGGGCGACGACGGGCGCGCGGCGCGGCGGCAACCCGCTCAACAACATGTTCCGCGGGCTACAGCGGTCCGTCGCGCTCGAGATGGTCGACGTGCGGTCGGCCGTGCTCGACTTTGACACGCCCGGCGATGTCGGTCTCGACGTCGTGGCGCACCGGCTGCTGCAGCTCGAGTTCGAGGCGCTGCTGCTGCAGGACAGAGACAAGGATAGCGGCCAGCGGCAGGACGGAGACAATGATAGCGGCCAGCGGCAGGACAGAGACAATGATAGCGGCCAGCGGCAGGACCTCCTGTGGTGCAGCGAGCCCGAGCAGTCGGTGCAGGGAGGGCGGGTGCTAGTGCCGCGGCTGCGGCCGACCGCCGCCAGGAACGAGCGGTACAACGCCACGCGGCGCCCGCTGGCCCGCAACGCGCCCGTCGATAACGCAATGTTGTCGATCCGTCAGCGCGGAAACCGGCTGTGTCTCGAAGTGCAGAAGACGGACCCTGAGGTGGACGTCACGGCTGCTGGACACGTTAGACTGATGTACTCGCTATTGCAGCCCGTCCGTATTACCGACACTAGTACCGCGTTCCTGTCGCTAGGCCACGCCGAGCAAGGAAACGGTGACACCGCCAGACAGCCTGCCGTGGTGGTCCTGTCGCACGCTCTGGATTCGCACGTCGTGGCCCTGCCCGGCTGGACTCTCCCGGCTGACGGTCTACCTGGCCACGGCCCGCAGGCGCTGCTGGCGCTGTACGCGCAGCTCGTGGCTCACGGCATCCTGGCGCGGGCGGCACCCGTCGGAATGCTGGCCGTGCTCGATCCAGGGCCTCGGCTCGGCGACGCGCTGTGCAGGTTGGCGGCGCGGAAAGGCGTGCCGCTGCTGCTTCTCACGACCACCGCTTCTCCCAAAGGCTTTGTCCAGCTGCCGTGGGTCTCGCTGCACCCGCGGTCGACGCGGGCGTCAGTCGACAAGGCGCTGCCGGTAGGCGTGACCACCTTTGTGGACATGGGTGCACCCGGTAGCCACATGGCTGCCTTGGTAGCCACGTGCCTGTCCCCGGGCTGTCAACGGCTCGGCCGGGCTGGTTTTGTCGCTGCCGACGTGGCTGCTGCACGTGTGGATTCCAGCCCTTCTGGCATTCGCGAGGTGTCGGACTCTCTGCAGGCTGCCTGGCTGGGCTACGTGGAGCTCAGGACTGCCAACAAGCACAACCACAACCACAACTACAATGCACCCCCTGACGCGGACAGCAACCCACACCTGCCCGAGCTCTGCCTCGACGACATTACCAACCACGGCGCCTCGTCGGCCGTAGTGAGACAAACACGGATAGAAACCGGACAGGCCGTCGTACGCTGGGCGGCACGCGGCGACACGGCCAGCGTGCCCATGCAGCCGGCGAGCAGGCTGGTGCGCTTCGCGCCGGACAAGACGTACTGGCTGGCGGGGCTGTCGGGCGACCTGGGGCTGTCGCTGTGCCGGTGGATGGCGGCGCGGGGGGCGCGGCACATTGCGCTCTCGAGCCGGCAGCCGGCGGTCGACGCAGCGTGGGTGGCCGACATGGCTGCGCGCCTCGGGTGCGCGGTGCGCGTGCTGGCATGCGACGCCACAGACCGGGCCTCGGTGCGCGCGCTGCGCCGCCGCCTCGCCGCCTCCATGCCGCCCGTGGCCGGCGTCGCGCAGGGCGCCATGGTGCTGCACGACACCGTGTTCCCGGACCTCGACGTCGAGCGGCTCGACAAGGTGTTACGGCCCAAGGTGCAGGGCAGCGTGTTCCTCGACGAGCTGTTTGGAGAGAGCGAAGCGCCGCTCGACTTCTTCGTCTTCTTCTCGTCGCTCGCCTACGTGGTCGGCAACCGTGGGCAGAGCGCCTACACGGCGGCCAACGCTTTCATGGCCAGCCTAGCGGCGGGCCGGCGCGCGCGCGGGCTGGCGGCGTCCGTCATCAACATCGGCGCCATCGTCGGGCCGGGCTACGTGTCGCGCCAGCTGACGCCCGACAAGCAGGCCGCGCTGCACCGCGCCGGCTTCTCGTTTCTGTCCGAGCAGGACTTTCACGAGATCTTTGCCGAGGGCGTGCTGGCGAGCAGGCTGCCGGGAGAGAGTGATGCCGACGGCTTCGGCTTTGAGATCTCGGCCGGACTGCGCGTCGACGACGGCGACGACGACGGCAAGGCGTTTGCGGCCAACCCTGTGTTCCAGCATCTGCTGTCGTCGACGGTGCAGGACGGCGCGGTGGCGGCCGGCGGCGGCACCGGCAGGGTGCGTGTCTCGGTGAGGGCGAAGCTGCTGGAAGCTAGGCGCGAGGAGGAGGTGCTCGACGCTTTGACAGGTAAGAAGTCCCGAGACCGCAACACACAACAAACAAAACATTGCTAACCAATAATGTAGACTCGTTCCTGGAGAAGCTCGAGGCGACGCTGCAGACAGGTGCCGATGACGGCAGGGCCATGGCGGGCAAGAGCCCCGACGAGCTGGGCATCGACTCGCTCGTGGCCGTCGACGTGCAGTCGTGGTTCCGCAAGGAGCTAGGGGTTGATCTGCCCGTCATGAAGATCCTGAACGCGCCCACCATCCACCATCTCTTGCTCGCGGCCCGCGAACTGCTCGACCCTAAAATGGTGCCCCGTCTCGGCTTCGAGCAGGGCCAAGTGGTGGTTTCTCGGTCGGTTTCTCAGCCGGTTCCTCAGCCGGTTTCTCAGCCGGTTCCTCAGCCGGTTCCTCAGCCGGTTTCTCAGCCCAGTTCTCAGCCCAGTTCTCAGCCCGGTTCTCAGCCGGCAGTTTCTCGGCTAGCAGTTCATCCAGCAACAGATATAGAGCCAGCAACTCCCGATATAAGAGAGATGATCCCCCCTCAGACCAAACCCCCGACCCAGCAAGCGGTCATCACTCAAGCAGCCGGATCTCGACCAAAGAAGACCGTGCCCGATATAAACCAGCCGCAGCCCCCCCTTGTGCTTGTGCCCCAGCCAGCACTAGCACCGAGACATTCTCCCCTAACAACCGCGCCCAACTCGCCGGCCTCGTCGTCGAGCTCACTAAGCAACTTTGCCTCGACGCCGGCCCCCATATCCGACTCCGAGTCTGAGCCCGAAGCCCTCAAGCTAGCCGAGCTGCCCCCAGCAACCTCCATAGCTACAAGGCCAACCATTGCCACTATTGCCGCCCCCACCAACACACCCTCCGACACGTCCTTGGCTAGGCGGGCTCCCTTGTCGTTCGCGCAGTCGCGGTTCTGGTTCCTGCGATCACTCGTGGCTAACGGCGCGGCCTTTAACGTGACGACGGCGATCCGGCTTCACGGGCGTGTCGACGCGGGCAAGCTGGCGCGGGCATTCGCGGCCGTCGGCGCGCGGCACGACGCGCTGCGCACTACTTTCTACACCGAAGGCGCCACGCGCCAGCCCATGCAGGGCGTGTCACCAAAGTTCGGCGGGCAGCTCGAGCACGCCGTCGTGTCGTCCGAAGGCCATATCCAGAGGGAGATCGACGAGGTGTGCGCACACATCTTCCGGCTCGAAGCCGGCGAGTGCGTGCGGCTGAAGCTCGTCAGCGTCGGCCACGCAGGAGGCGACGCACACTGCCTCGTGCTCGGCTACCACCACATCGCGCTCGACGGCATCTCGAACCAGGTGTTCCTGGCAGACCTGGCGCGCGCGTACGGCGGCGTCCCGTTCCCTGACAGTGTCGACGACAAGCCGCTGCAGTACCCCGACTTTGCGCTGCGGCAGCGCCGCGAGCACGCCCAGGGCGCCTGGGCCGCCGACATCGCCTTCTGGCGCGCGCAGCTAGCCGACGCACCGCCGCCGCTGCCGCTGCTAGCATCGGTGGCGCGCAGCAGAACAGCCCGCCCGGGGTCTGGCCCCGTCTTCGCGGCGCACCTGGCCAAGGCGCCCGTCGACGCTGCGCTCAAGGCGCGCATCGAGCAGTGCTGCCGGCGGGCGCGCGTCGCGCCGTTCCACTTCTACCTGGCGGCCTTGCGCGTGTTCCTAGCCAGACACACTGCCAGCGTCAACGATGCGGAGGATGGTGATATCGACAGCGACATGTGCATCGGCGTGGGCGACGCCGGGCGCAAGGACGCCGACGTGCTGCGCAGCATCGGCCTGTTCCTCAACTTGCTGCCCCTGCGCTTCCGCCGCGGAGGAGCAGCAAACACCAGTTCAAGCACAAACTTTACCGACATACTGCACGGCACCAAACGCACCGCCGACGCCGCGTTCGCGCACTCGCGCGTGCCGTTCGACGTCATCCTACAAGAGACACACGCGCACGCCACCAGCAACAGCAGCAACAACAACAACAGCAACAACAACAACAACAACAACAACAGCAACAGCAACAACAGCAAAAACAACAAACAGGCCAACCCGCTGTTCCAGGCCTTCCTCAACTACCGGCCGCATGTGCACGACGCAGCGGTATCGTTCCTCGGCTGCGCGGCACGCGGCGAGGTGGTGTCCGCAGGCGCGCAGGCGTACGACATCAGCGTCGACGTGCTGGACAGCAGCGGTCCCAACACGGCCAACACCGTCTCGCTGGCGCTCAACAAAGGGGTGTACGCTGCGCACGACGCCCAAGTGATGCTAAACAGCTACCTGGCACTCCTCTTCAGCCTGGCGCAGCAGGGCCCCGACGACGCCGTCGCCATCGCGCCGCTGTATGCGCGCGCCGATGCCGATGCGGCGGTGCGGCTGGGGCGCGGGCCGGAGGAGTGCGCTGCGCTGTGGCCGGCTGACGCTACCGTCGTTGACCGCATCGATGATATGGCGGCGCGGTTCGGCGGGCGCGTCGCCCTGGTTGCTCCCGGCAGCCTCGACATTGGAGCTGGCACGCCCGGCGGCGGGGAACGGCTGACGTTCACGTACGCGCAGATGGCGCGGCGCGTGAACCGGCTGGCTCTACGGCTCGTGCGAGACCATGGAATCAGCAGCGGCAGCAGTGTCGGCATCCTGCAGGCGCCCGGGCCGGGGTGGGTGGTGTCGCTGCTGGCGGTGCTGCGAGCAGGGGCGGCGGCGGTGCCGCTCGATCCGCGCGTCGGCCCGCACCGCCTGCGCGGCATCCTCGAGACGCAGGACGCAGCGGCCGGTGCGCTGCGGGCCATCTTGCTTGACGGTGTCACGGCGCGGGATACAGAGTTGCTAGACGCGGGCGGCATCTCGGCAAGGCACGCCGTTGACGTGTCTCGGGCGGCTGAGACGGAGAAGGATGTAGACGAGGACGTGTTCGTGTCGTCGCGCGCACGCCCGGCGGCCACGGCGGTGGTGACGTACACCAGCGGGTCGACGGGGGCGCCCAAGGGGGTGGCGCTGGGGCACGGGGCGGTGGCCGGGTTCTGCGCGCTGGCGGCGGCGCGGTGGCGGCTGGCCGAGGGCGGCGAGACGGTCCTGCAGCAGTCCGCGCCGGCGTTCGACATGGCCGTGGCGCAGGTGCTGGTGTGTCTGGGCCATGGCGGCACGCTGGTGGTGCCCGACGCGGCGGCGCGCCACGACCCGGCCGCCGTGTGCGCGCTGCTCGTGCGCGAGGCCGTCACCTTCACCCTGGCCACGCCGACCGAGTACCTCGCGTGGCTGCGCAGTGGTGGTGGCGGCCGTGGCGAGGCGCTGCGGGGCTCGTGCTGGCGCGGCGCCATGAGCGGCGGCGAGCCCCTGACGCCGGCGCTGGTGCAGGCGTTTGCCGCGCTGCGTAAGCCCGGCTTTGCCCTCGTCAACAGCTACGGGCCGTGCGAGACGACGTTTGCGTGCGCCGAGGCCGTCGTGCCACTGCCGCTGCCGCTTGACGCTGGCGACGAGCAGCACCGAGACAAAAGCGACGAGGCGCGGTTCGCTATGGCGCCCATCGCCAACTGCTCGGTGCGCATCGTCGACGAGCAGCTTCGGCCGGTGCCTGCGGGCGTGCTAGGCCAGGTGGTTATCGGCGGAGCTGGCGTGGCGGCGGGATATGTGGGCGGCGACGCGCAACAACAACAGAGTGTCGCCGCCTTCCGTGTTGCCGAGCACGCCAGCGCCTTCTTTGAGCGGCGCGGCTGGACCACGGAGCATCTGTCGGGCGACTGCGGGCGGCTGCTGGCCGACGGGCGGCTCGCGCTGCACGGGCGCATCCGCGGCAGCACCCAGGTCAAGCTGGGCGGCATTCGCATGGACCTGGCTGAGATCGAGCATGCCGTGCTCGAGGCAACGCGCGGCGATGTGCTCGAGGTCGCCGTGTCGCTTCGGCGCCGAGGTTCTAGGTCTGGCTCTAGTTCTGACCGCAACGCAGCTCCGCCGTTTCCGGTTGCCTCGTCGTTTCTGGTTGCCTTTGTCGTGCTGTCAGAGCGGCACACCCAAGCGCCGGCGCTGGCGGGCAGGGACTCGTTTCTGCTCTCGCTGCCGCACATGCTGCCGCTGCCGCCATACATGCGGCCGTCGGTGGTGCTGGCCGTCGACGCGCTCCCGCGCACCCTGTCCAACAAGCTCGACCGCAGGCGCGTCAATGGCCTGCCGCTGCAGCAGCGCGGCACTGACGCGGCCGATACCATGACAACCCCGACAGCGCCCCTGAGCCCACTCGAGCACACGCTCCTGGGGCTGTGGCAAGAGTCGCTGCCGCACGGAGGGGCAGCAACCACGCCAGGGAAGCCCGTCACCAGCAGCTCCGACTTCTTCCACGTCGGCGGCAGCTCGCTGGCGCTGCTGGGCCTGCAGGCGCTGATCCGCGAGCGGCTGGGCGTGCACGCCGCCGTCACGGACCTGTTTGCCGCCACGGCGCTGGGGCCCATGGCGGCGCTGCTGCGCGGCAAGCTGGACAGCGAGCCCAACACAGGCAGCGGCGCTTTATCTGCGCCTGCTCCAGCCGAGGCAGCCAGCACCTGGGACTGGGGCGCCGAGACCGATGTCGACCACGACCTCGGCCAGCTGCTCTCCCAACCCCCCTTTAACCGCCTGACGACAGATCCAACAACCGCAGCCGCACCTCGCCCGCTCGTCGTAGCCCTGACCGGCGCCACGGGCTTCCTCGGCAGAGAGATCCTACAGCAGCTCATCGCCCACCCGCGCACAACCAAGATCTACTGCCTCGCCGTCCGGAACGCGTTCTCCAAATCAAAGTCCCAGCTTCTCGCCCATCCTAAAATCACCGTCTATGCGGGCGACCTGGCCCTGCCACAGCTGGGCCTCTCAGACGCAGACGCACGCTCCATCTTCTCTCCCGAAAACAACAGCACAGACGTAGCCATCATCCACGCAGCCGCCGACGTGTCCTTCCTCAAAACGTACCGCAGCCTGCGCCCGGCCAACGTCGGCTCGACGCGCGCACTCATCCGCCTGGCCCTGCCGCGCCGTGTGCCCGTGCACTTCGTCTCGACGGCGGCGGTGGCGCGGCTGACGGCGGCGCGGGGGATCGCCAGTCTAGGCCCCGTGTCGGTGGCAGCGTTCCCGCCGCTGTTTAGCCCGGAGGCCAACGGCGACGGCAGCGACGGCGGCTATGTCGCGAGCAAGTGGGTCGGCGAGGTGCTGCTCGAGCGCGCCAGCCGCGAGCTGGGGCTGCCGGTCGTCGTGCACCGCCCCAGCGCGGTCACGGGGCACGGTGGAGAGGGTGAAGGAGGACAGGGCGAGCCGTCGGCGGACCTGACGGACAACATGGTCCGCTATGCGCGGCTGACGCGGACCGCGCCCGACGTGAGCGCGTGGACCGGGTATTTCGACTCGGTGTCGGTGCAGGGCGCTGCGCGGACCATCGTCGACGAGGTCGTGCGGGGGGTGGGTCGAGGAGAAGGCATTCGCTACGTGTACGAGTCGGGCGAGTCCGTGGTCGCCGTGCACGACCTGGCGGCGAGCATGATGAGAGGAGGCGAGGAGGGCTTTGCCGTTCTGCCCATGGACCAGTGGGTCGAGCGCGTCGCGCTGGCCGGCATGAATCCGCTTCTGGTCGCTTTTCTGCGCCAGAGTGTTGTGGGCAGGCAGCTTTCCTTCCCACGGCTGGTCAAGGGATGAAGAGGGGCAAGGGGCCGTGTGTTGAAGGCGAGTTTTGTTGCCAGTTGTGTTTTCTTTTGGTTTTTGTTACGCGGTGTTCCTTTGTCATCAGCATTCACGTTCGGATGTCGCATCACTTTCCTTTGTCAAATTCGCGCCTTCCTTCTTAGTTAAGGTATCATTGAATTGATCTTGCCAGAATTTTGGCCATTTACCTTCACCGCCTTTTTGCTCCCGTGCCACGATTTCATCCCGTGTTTTGCACTGATGTCTGACCAAAACCCACTTCGTCCCAGGATGTCTGACCAAAATCCACTTCGTCCCAGGCTTGCGTCTAATTACCAAGTACGTGCCTGGTAGTTTGGTGGCCGGCGGAAACCAAGATGGCCGTTTCTCCTTTGGGTGTAACTTGGCCTTTTAACCTTTCTACCTATTTTTGTGAAAAAGTTGATAATCAAGAAACATTATCTTAGCCATAGCCACTCACACGCCTCACCTCTTGACTTTTGTAATATTGCAGGTAGGGGCTAGTGATGGCGCCATCCCAGCTTTGTAATGTTGCTGCCTTGTCCGACTGTATGCCAGACTATGCGGACTCGCGTCCCAGCAGGCATTGCAGTTGCGTTCATGTCGTGCCTGCCTTGGATATTGTTAAAAGTTTGCCTGCCGCAGTCAACTTCTCTTGTCTTTCCCTTATCTTTCCCTTATCTTTCCCTAGATAACCGCCCCTGCCCTCTTGTCTAAATGGCCCACCATTTCGACCTCACTACCAACGTGGTCGATCTACAGAACCTCTTATAGACAAACAAAATACCAGCCTACAAATCGTCGACGCATACCTCGCGCAAATCTCCCGCCACGAACCTCAACTTCACGCCTTTATATCGCTCGCTCCCCTCGATGCCCTGCATGCCACGGCCATTTTCCTCGACCAGAAATACAGTACACTTATTCCATCTCGAAGTCCCGTTCGGGGAGTGGGCGTGATTCAGACCTGGTGCTGTTTGTAGATTTGTAGATACCGATAGATGTAAACTGCAAGCTGCCGCGCAAAAGAGGAACAAGAAGACCATGCAATGTAATAGCTAGTAAGGACTAGCCCCTTGGTCGGCGGGTTGCACGAGCTGAGTCGAGGGTGGATTGCTTGCACTTTTGAAATTCGACCAGCAATCAATCTTCTAACTTCATCTGAACCCATGAATAGATTGAAATACCACAAAACCAGAACCAGAGGAGCGGTGAGCTCAAGTGGTCAGGGCCCCGCACCTGATCGTAAATAACTTCAGCTCAGTGACTGGTTTTGTGTCATTACGAATTAATAAATGTCGCCCAGATTTGAGCCACTTTGAGCCACTTTGAGCCACTTTGAGCCACTCTTCAAGCCACAGTCCGCTTGTTCCGTCGTCGGCTTATTCCATCATCTTATTCCGTCATCTTACGTTTAACCTTTGTTTGAAGATGTGTGTTGGTTGAACCAACAAGACAATAAGCGGCGGAGGCGGCGGTAGGAGGCACAGGGCTACAGAAGCTTACGGCTTCGTCCTTTGAACCGTTCTTCCAGCCTAGTCAGACAATTCAATGCGCTGTCAACTTCGATCATGTGTAACAATAAACCTATACCCAATAACAGGTCTGTCAACTTCGATCATATGTAACAATAAACCTATACCCAGTAACAGGTCTCGTAAGTTTAGTAGCCGGAGAGCCGTAGATCGGCCAAAATATGTGAATCTCCTTGTCTCAGCTCTTATGGTAGACAATAAATTCTAGTACTAAGTGCACGGATAGGTAGGTAATTTTGTCGCCAAACCATTGTGGCATGTGTCATGGTTTGGTACCTCTGTTTTTTCTTCGAATGTTTGCACTCAAATCTCAGACACACTTGGATGTGACGCAGGTACATTAATTTCTAGTCAAGTCTCTCAGCCTTGAAATCAATCACCATCGGTGCTAATAAGTATCCCGCTGAATACATGAGATTTGTCGCAAAGGCAGTGCGTATTTTATCATTCTAGTTCGTGAGTCTTTTAACCAGGGCAACTGGCGAACAGCCTCGTCCTGGCTGCAGCAGTTCGCTGTACCTTAGCCGCTTACGGAGTGACAGGGGGTTTGAACGGCAGGGGCACCCCCCTGGCACATTCGGTCGAGTTGGTCTTGGCGCCCCGCCAAGTTTGTCCCAACCTGGTCGCATCTTTCCGTGCCGCCCCCGTCATCGTGCTTTCTGCCTCGTCGCCCTTTCAGAGTTCTTTCGGACTCGTTTGCAGGTTCGCCATTGCCAAATGACTGGCATCGCGTCCCTCTTCAACATGCAGCCATGGCGAAGGACGTTCCTCGTCCTCCCGTTCGGCTTCTTTGTTTTTGGGCTCAGTACAGTCTTTTACCATCTGGATAAAATGCGAGTACTCTTTCCTGATCCTCGCCGAGCTCCTTCCTTGCCCGTCGGCATGCACCGCCCGTCAAACCAATGATGTGTTGACTGACTCTCTCTAGACCCGATTCCGTCCTGCACCCCTTCACGCCGACAGCCTGCGCTTTCCACTCGGACCCCGCGACAAACACTTCGACGGCCGACTTCGACAACTTGTCCTCTCTCGTACGCGCCCTCTGGCGGCCCCTCATCCTCCCCATCACCGAACCCTCCTTCACCACCTACGACGGCGAGACTAAGCGCCTCCCCCCCGAGTCCGAATTGGCGCATCGCTCCTCCCTTGGCTCTCGCATCCTCATCCTCGATGTCGACACGCGCCCCCACGTCGGCGACGGCGAGGTGTTCAACCCGGCCACACCCCCCCACTGGTCCAACCTCGACATCCACTCGGCCGGCTTCCTCTCGCATTCCCTCTACGCCATGATCCACGGCTACAGCTACAAGTTCGTGCGGGCGCCGGCCTACGCCGACCGCGCGCCGCACTGGGTCAAGGTCATCTTCACGCAGGAGATGCTCAAGGAGTACGAGTACGTGGTCATGGTCGACTTTGACGCCATGTTCACCAACCCGGCCGTGCCCATCGAGTGGCTGATGAACTACTGGCGCATCGACGACCCGGTGATGGTGGCCATGGCCGAGGACCCGCATGGGGGCGGCAACGCCGACCGTAAGGGCAACATGAACCTCAACTCGGGCTTCATCATCGCCCACCAGAGCGACAACGCCCAGCGCCTATTCAAGGACTGGGCCGAGTGCCCCGAGGAGACGCGCTACCCGGGGTGCGCCCGCTACAAGAACGTCATGTTCCACGAGCAGTCGGCCTTCAGCAGCTTCGTGCGCTACGACTTCTTGGACGGCCTGACGGTCGAGAAGAGCCCGGGCAAGGAGATGATCCGGCACATCCCGTGCTCCGAGGCCAACGGCGGCCCGCTGCCCGACGGCAAAGGCTGGTTTGGCAACTGCAGGGGCCAGTTTGTGCGCCACCTCTGGGGGGGCAAGGGGCTCACGCCGCAGCAGCTGGCCGACGGCATCATGCAGGCGTTTGTGCCGCTGCTGGGCAATGTGTTCACAAAGGCGCAGACGGTGGTGGACTACAGGGGATCCAAGCTCGAGGGGGATCAGATCAAGGACAAGAGCGCGCCGTGACGGTCGTTTAGTTGACGATAAGTGTAGATTCATGTCGTTGGGATATACTTTTGGGTTTTGCTTTTGGCGTTTAAGGTGCGGTTGGATTACGGATGGAGATCGGATTGTGTCAAAATTCGGGATCAGGACACCCAGCAAGCGGGCAATTAGATCGTGATTTATGTGTAAACGTTGCTTAATTGTCTCGGAAAACCATCGCCATGGCTCTGAAGGAGGGTAGAAGCGAGATACAATACGACTTTGTCAACTGCGAGCGAGGGGATCGATTATTCGAGTCCCCCCTATCTGTAGTCGGAACTGGTTTGAAGTTCTCTTGTCAATACTCTACTTTCAGGCGCGAGAGTGCTTCGGGGTAACTACGAAGTATGCGCTACTTGTATGGCCCAGTGCTCCTTGTGGTGTACTGGGCAGAAAGCGTGTGGTACATTCCATGTTCAGAGTTCCAATGCCTAGGTAGCCTGTGGGTTCTGAAGCGTGACTTCATGGCGGACTGGAAAGATGCATTGCAGGCAAGGGCAGGCAAGATGCAACTCATGCTTCACCGAGGCCCTCTATATGATGCAGTGCTGTAAAAAGCTGTTATGGAAGCAATGTGTTTTGGCAGGGCTGCAGGCGGAACTACCAACGGGGTGTGAAGGCCAGGCGGCATGCGACCGGGAAATTTTGCAGGCGCTGCACTAATAGTTGTGAACCGCGAAATGCAGCCCTCCAGGCCTCACATAGCACGTGACGTATTTGGAGAGAATTTTGGCGACCTCTTTCCGGGCGGTGCATTCACGAGATCTTTGCGCAGCATCAAAATCATCGACCACGCAACCAAGAACATCTTATTTCATTTTAAAGCTAGATTGCTTGAATAGACGGACTGAAAGGAAGTTTCTACCATTCCATTTTTGCTTTATTCATATCCTGCTTTGCTTGACGATGTTCGCAATCCATTGAACACCAGTATGTCCAGCGCCATTGGCATAAATCTGCCTCGCGCCTTCTATTGGCGGAAGGCATTTCTTGAGCCTCAGGGGGGTCTTCCAAGGCGTTTTGGGGGACTTCAGCGCTGATCAAAATTGGAGGCTGCACACTTTTCCGGCGCGTGGGTGCCACAGGCCCTCCAACGCCGCCAACGCCGGAGCGCCGCCAACGCCGGAACGCCGCCAACGCCGGAGCGCCGCCAACGCCGGAGCGCCGCCAACGCCGCCAACGCCACAAAACTGCCGGGGCAACTGGCGCGCTCCTCCCAGTGGGACTTGCTGGGCAAGGCGGGCGTGAATTACACCTCCACCTTCACCGTAGCGTGGATACTCGGCAGGTCTAAAAACGGCTTTTGACCTCGCAAGCTCTTGCGAGACAGTCAGGCCTGTCGAGGCAACAGAGCGCAAAGCGCGGTGGTCTCTGATTGGGCTTGCTGCCTGGTCAGGACATCGATAGCCTTGGGCAACTAAATTCCATTTCTCTTTTTGCAGTGCTTTCACTCGCCACTCATGACATCTCCTGGGGCTGTCATCCCTTTAGTACTACTTCTTCGGATCAGCAGCAGATGCGGCGATAAGCGGCAGGCTGGGGTGGGAATGAGGGAAGCTGCAGAATGCTACAGAGGAGAAGAGCGTCGACAAGACCAGTTAAGTCCCCTTCCGTTTTGGATCCCACCCCACAAATGTCAACGCACGGACCAGTCGCTAATCAGTGCCTCTCAGTAGCACGTGACATGTTTGGCGAAGAATTTGGGCAACCTCTCCCAGGGCGGTGCACTCCCTGAAATCAGAGTGTAAGATGAATACCACCAGCCACGCAGCTAAAGATTGTGGTTTCGCTTAAAAAACTCGGAAGATGGAATAAAACGGCTGAAATATCATTTTAAAGGCTTTTGCCTCACACTTACCGCATTATTTGTCCCTCAATAGGTGCAGAGGTCTGCCGTCTGATATTGCACGACAGCGTGCACAGACCCTCTTTGCTGCCTAGTTCGAAGTTAACTGGAAATGGCCTTCAGTTAGACAGCCACAAATTTTGCCCGCAAAACCTTAACAGCACAGCCACCACCACTATTAGTGGATGGGGCGCGAATGATCTGTTCCGGCTCAGCCCGCACAAGGCTGAGGGCCTCCGGTTAGGCATGCAGCTCCCCGCAAATCGCAGCTGACGAACACTCATGCAGAGCCGCAACACGTCGGAAGGAGCCGCATCTGAGCCACAAGAAGGAGCCGCATCTGAGCCACAAGTGGGCGCAGGTGGCGCACATGCTAGACCACTTACAGCCTAGGCTGTGTCAGCCGAATGCCGCATAACTACGGTATCTAGGCTATGCCTACCTTTCTTTTCCTTCCGAATACAAGCACTTTTTTGCCCTTGATTAATGCGTGTTGTATGTGACACAACAAGTCTGGCTAACCCTGACCCTGAGTAGACACTCCTAAATGATTGCCAGCTTGAGGCCACGCTCATGCAATAAGTAATAAGTAGCTGAAAGGTTTCAAGGAAATATCAGTCTCTCTTTAACCATTTATACATCTGTCGAAAGGTACAGACTGCATTTGCTTAGATCCGCTTTTGGTTACATGTTGAAGTTGTGTCGCATTTGGAGAAATGTTGCCGAATCGCACCTTGACGTCGGTCCCCAGATAGCAATCATCTATTGTTGGGCGCTCATTTTTGGACCACTTTCTGGAGGGGAAGGGCTGGCATCGGCGATGCCCAGGCAGTAACTGTGGTCTCCCCCCTTCCTGTTGGCCACAGGCCGACAGAAAAAAAAACTTGTAGGTACCGGTCCAACCCAATGCAGGCGTGCATCTTTCCCACTAATTTTTATTACCTACCTACCTAAGGCACGATAAAGGTTCGAGCTAGTGTTTATCTTGAAGATCCTACCACCTTATTAATCACTTCTTGACCGGCTCAACCCTTTTCAGCGCCGCTATCTGTTGCTGCCGATGAACCCTCCGCTTCACCTTATCATTCGACCCTTCATCATATAACCCTCCGCCCATGGCCAGTTGCAACTTCGTGCCCTGTCGGTCTTCGATTTCCTGCGGTTTTGTGAGTCAGAGTCCCTCGCATCATGTAAAGTACACAACTTACTTCTTCGATGCTCTCATCTACAATGTAACGGAAGACAGTCACGGCTTTTTCCTGTCCAAGTCTTGATATTCGACCGATCGCTTGCCTCTCTATCGAGGGATTCCACTGGGGTTCGAGGATGTGTACCGAGTTCGCAACGTTTAAGTCGTTCAGCCTTTGCGAAAAAAACATCAGCATGACATTGATAGGTAGTAAATAGGTCCCTCACTGACCCTGTGGATCCGGTGCCAAGAGTGATGAGAAGCAGCGTTGTTCTGGGGCTGCTTCGAAATTCTTCAAGAGCTGCAACTCTTTGGCTCTTACTCAAGCTGCCGTTAACTTGGCAATACGAGATTCCGTTCTCGGTAAGCATTTTCCCCACCGTGTCGAGTGTCCTCTTCCAGAATGAGAATATGATACTGTGCGCAGTGGTCAGTCTCGTCCACGAATTCCCCCAACGCGATTGCAGCAAGGTACCTCTTCTCCTCAGTTGGCTTGTTTTGCACGTTCTCAAGTAGTACTTTGAGCTTTGACGAGTACGCTGACTGCACGAGCTTCTCTGCGCTATTTGCGTTATTCTCATCCGCCAAATCCAGGAGATTGTCATCCCGATGTTTGTTTTTACAAAAGGGGCAGACGGGGAAGCCATGATCGCCTCCGGCTCGAAGCGCATCCCGGAACCTCTGCGCGCAGTCCATATCACCGCAGACGAGCATATGGCAAGCCGTCAAGCGAGCCTTTTCGGCGGGCTCGGAACCTGTGACCATAGTAAGGTCGCACCCGCAATAGGCACAACAACTCGCTCCCTTTTGTTGCATGAGACTCAAAATCTCATCAGAGTCTGTTGGAAAACCCCCGGGATATTGACCGAGATTCAAGCCTTGATTGCAAAAGAGCCGCATGTTGAGGACTGCGCCCAGAATGCTTCCGCTATTTTGTCCTTTCGAGCCACTGCCCAAGGCGGCTCGGTGAACGGCTTGCCGGTAAGCAAAGTCGAGGGCATTGTATTCGTTTCGTTCGTCCTCGCTGAACACCAGATGGCGCGTACAAAACTCAACTCCCGGGAGGTTCAGCACGTCTGTGTTTCGCCGTAGGCATATTGCCCGGATAAGCCGCTTCAAATTAGTGTAGTCGTTGATTTGTAGGTTTGCCAGCTTGTTCTTGTTCTTGTTCTTGTTCTTGCCTGAGACATATTTGCGGAAACTGGAGACTTCGCCGATCATGGGTACGCGTAAGAATCGTACCAAGGCTCCGAGATCGTCGAGGCTATTTTGCACTGGAGTGCCGGTCATACACCATCTGATGTGCGACGATATGCTGCTCATGGCTTGAAATTGCTTTGTTGACCAATTTCGCACAACATGAGCTAGATAGGGGTTGTCAGTCAACTCCCACTTGCAGAGGTGGACGGACGCCAAACCTTCGTCCAGAACGATCCTGTACCAGTGGATCTGGCGAATGCTGCCATGGCTGCGACCAAGCTCCGCGCAAACTGTGCCATATGTGGATAGGACTACGTCGGGGAGAGGTTCGTTGATGTCAAGTCGCCTCTGCGGGCCGTGATGTTTGGAGTATGTTATTGACCCGGGCTGCGTATGTCTGACCAAGCTCTGATGTCAGCGGAATCTATCAGCGGCTAAGGGTGCATTACCTCTCAATTTCATTGACCCACCCATCAATGAGCACTGGAAGCAAGCAGTCAGCTCCGGGTTGTCTCTCACGTTTATTCGGCAGACCTACATGCAGAAGGGACGATGACGAGCGTCGAATATGACTTGAACAGAGCGCCAGGGTCGCCGGCTTCTTGCAAGGGCTTGGTTAGCTCTTTTGCTTTCCTCAACGTCGTTGTGATTGCCGAGATCATGGTTAAGGTCTTTCCCAGCCCCATTTCATCGGCTAGTATTCCACCGCGAATATCCTCTGGAGTAGGCCTTTTGGATCCTGTGATGGCGTGGCGATACACTAAGCCCCCATTATGGGGTCGGGTAGCTTCCCAGAGGCTAACATACTTGGTGTCGTCTCCGAACTCTCTGCCCAAAATAAAGTCCAAGGCGTGTTGCTGGTATCTGCCCTCACATCATCAGTGGAACTCTTCTCACTTCAGGGTCCATTATGCCCGCTTTCAAGTTTGACTTTCTTACTCCTTGAGCTGCGTCGTTATGCATGGGTCTGCAGTCGCTGGTCTAAGGTCTTTAATTCCGGAGAGAGCGTCAAATAGGGCCAACAAGTCTCTCGGATGCCGTGATGGGTTCTTCGAGTCTCTAGCATCCATATCGCCGGCAAGATCTTTAGCATGCCCATCACACGCCTCGTCTTCCAGCCAATCGGGCATATCAAGATATTGCGGGTTGGCATAGCGGCAGAAGTCAGATATGACATCAGGATGCTGTAGATAAAGCCGGTGCGTAGAAAGCACTCGGGCCACATTCTCGGAGATCTCAGCTGGACCCAGGATGGTGATATTCATCTCGAAGCAAGGCGATGGGGCTCCCTTCTCTAACTCCACTAGTCCAGCCTGAAGAATCGAGTGCTTGGAACTTCCGTGGAGGGTGAGAGGACCGAGAGCCAAGAGCTCGGTGAAAGCGTCGCTGGCCTTCTTGTTGAGCACTCCGATCGACTGTCCCAGTTCGGTGTTGATCATGCAGTAGCTTTCAGCACACGCAAGACTCAATGGTACAGGATCGTCATCGCAGTCCAGTACCTCACGAATTTCGTGGGCGACATTGTGGCCGCGGGATCGGTAAAATTTCGCAGGGATGTCACATAACTGTGCGGCATCGTCAGCATAACGATACCGAACAGTATAGTTAACAGTATTCGATATTTTTTTGGAGGTCACCTACCATTCCAAAACAAACAGATTCTTCAGAGTCACCCCCCGAGTCTGAGCTAGATGAGCAATCTTCCATCTCCAATGAGCGTTCTTGCACACTGCTGCTAGAAGACTCGGAGCTTGCAACCGAAGTTTCATCCTCGGCCCAGTTGTTTTTCCACGACGCCCTGTCGTCTGAGTTCGCGGTGCTGAGGTTATTTGTTGACTCAATCAGCGGCGGATACAGCGCATACTCCGAGCGGTATAGAAGTCCTGGGCCATCAGAAGCTCCGTGGTATTCCCCTTGTGGTGGGGAGCTGTGACCTCTTGGAAGGTCGGACAAGTGAGTAGCATTTTGATCAAGGTCGTTAGCGGGTAACTGTCCAGATCTCGGGCGCTTCGCCGGCCGATCGGGCCATCCGCTGTCCATTCTGGCGCTTGAGAAATCGATAGTAGGTAAAGTGCTAAAGTGAAGGTCCTAGGGCAGGGTCAGGCGCACGGTACGGGTGCGTGATGGGCCGACCCTTCAAGACCCCTACTTTGAGGAGGGAGGCGGTGTCGAAAAAGTGGGAAAACAGCCAAGGTGGGACAGGATTCAATAGGTTGGCTTGATCGGGCTGGTATGCGGCGTGTGGTACAGTACATACATGGCGACCTGCATGAGGCGCAGGTGCGAACCCTCCCCTGGATTGGATGGGTTGAGTGAGCATGGATTGGATGGTTGAGTAAGCATGGGGCGGTGCTCTTGGCATCGATTTCCGCCGAACCAGGAACTTGAGCGGATCTGCCTCGCAGCCTGGTGGTCAATTGGGCATTCTAGAAACGAACGAGGAGTTCCTGTTTTCCCACGACCAGCTAGACGGCGATTGACAGAAACCGATTTTGACAACGAATGCACTCGATCATCACCGTCCCACCGTCGCGCGCACCGTCGAGAGTGAAGAGCCTAAGCAGGCAATTACTAGATGTCCCATGCCAATCATGGCTTCCAAGTTTGCGGCTTGTGGTGCCGCGGGTACAGGATTCTGCAGCTGCGCTTTTCATCTCGCTCTCGAGGACTTCAAGAAGAACTCCAATCTCAGCGCCGAGGAATTGCAGTCTTTCGAGGGCACGCGTCTTCACCAGCTCAGATCAGCCATCGGGAGGATTCAAAAGGATCAAGAATCAAAACGGCGGCTCAGATACATGAAGCGACTTGAGCCATTCCTCCAAACCATGGAGCAGTACGGGAAGGTTGTTGAAGTCTTCGTCAACGCCTCGGACATTGTTGCTTACTTGTGGGTGAGTCAGAGTGACTCGGCATCTCTCGCCGCTTCATTCGGCGGAGAAACTGACAATGAAGTCTTAGGGGCCGATGAAATTCTTGCTGATCGTAAGTAGCTAACCTGCCTGAAGTCCGGCCTGTCGCTCGTACCTCATAGGGGTACCAGCTAACCAGTTTCGAAGACCGCATCCTCGTACACCGAGGCGTTGGACTCTCTCATGGACGCTTATCAGGCCATTTGGGAAGAATTACCGCTCCTGGAAGCTTACCAGCCACTCATCGAATCACGCCCAGATCTGAAGACCGTCCTAGTGTGGGTGTATCAGGACATCCTCGATTTCCATAGGGAAGCGCTCCGTTATTTCAGACATAGAGGTATGCCGGACTTTTACTCAGCTGACATGTTTGGTCCCGTAAACTCGTCAGGTTTGGCTACTTTGCTCACACCCGCCAGTGTGGAAACAGCTGTTTCAGTCCGCCTGGAGAGGATTCGGGTTCAAAATAAAAGCGATCAAGGAGAACATGGCGCGACACAAGCGTCTTCTGGCAGAAGGCGTAGGCGCAATGGAGATAGAAAATAGCGGCAAAATTCGGCAGGAGTTGCGGCTCGAATTTGAAGCAAGAAGGCGGGTGGAGACAGATCGTCGGCGTGACGAGGTCGTACGGTGGCTTTCTCCGTATCCCACACGGGAGATTCTAGGGCGACACCGAAAGGCAAGATCGATCTGCCCTGATTCCGGAGACTGGCTTCTAAAAACGCCAAAATTCGACGGCTGGATTAGTCCTCAATACTGCACCAACCCCCTCTTGTGGATCACGGGAATCCTTGGGGCCGGTAGGTGAAAAGATCTCAACAGTCCGATGGAGATGCTGACTCGTTGTCGTATCACTAGGAAAATCAGTTCTTGCCTCTTTGATCATTGAAGAGACGCAGAATTTGCTCTTGGGGGCAACGGATCCTTGCAGCTCGGACCCGTCAGTCGCTTATTTCTTCTGTCACCAGGGGGAAACCGAGTCGAACACGTTCCTCGCCGTGGCAAGAGGAATTTTAGCGCAGCTAATGACACAGAACACCCACCTTCTCCCCCATATATACGAACAAAGATCTCTGAGCGGGGAGGTGGTTCTTTCCTCGGGAGACTTGGCGAGGTCTTTGCTCGAGGCCGTCTTGGGATGCTGCAAGAACACATACATCGTGATCGACGGCCTCGACTCGTGCAGCAGACGGGATAGGAAGGAGATCGTACAGGTATTCCGAGGGATTATTGAGTCTTTGCCGCCGACCGAGACGGACGCAATCCGGTGCGTCTTTGTGAGCCAGGACGACGGGGTTGCGAGAAAGGATCTCTCCGATATCCCGACCATTAGGATAACCCCGGACGACAATCGACGGGACATAGAAAGATACTCGGTTGCGAAGAAGAAAACCCTCGAGGCAAGATTTGGATCCTTGGATTCGACAGGTGTAGATGTAGTAAAAGTTGTCACAGCAAAGGCCCAAGGCAAGTTTTCTGGGAACATTATTCTTCAACGGCCATGGCACTGACAGCGATGTCGGCAGGGATGTTCCTCTATGCCGAGCTAGCATTCGCCAATTTGCTCTCGTGTGCACTGGTGCCGGATCTGGTTCGGGAGCTCAAGTCCATTCCAAAGGGCCTCGACGAGGCGTAAGTTAGTCCGATACCTTTAGGGCTGATGATCACTAACCATACCAAGTTACGCGAGAATAGTAGACCGTCTCCTCTCGTCCACAGACGTACGGCCATCCGAGTGTCTGTCCATTCTTGGCTGGCTGGCGTGTGCAAAGCGGCCCCTGAAGTGGTACGAGCTTCGCGGTGCGGTGTCGATTGATATTGAGGGCCAGACTATCCGCCAGGAGAACCAAATGCTGCTCGGGGCGAGACTATGGGAACTTTGCGGACCGTTGGCCACGATCAGGCAGGATCAAACGTTGGAGTTCATTCACCCAACTGCGAAGGAGTAAGGAGATGACACCGCCCGCGACATCCAAAACACGTCGCTGACAAGCACTAGGTACCTTCTCAAGCACAAACTTGCCGAGACAGATATCCAGCTGGAGCTCTTTATTCTTTCTGTTTCGTATCTCAATCTGCCAGGGATACGACACGACGCATCTCCAGATCGTATGAAGGCCCTTCTCATTGCCGGGTATTATGGGTTTCTTGACTACTCCATGACAAGTTGGTCACTCCATCTTCAAGACACCTGTCGCCACAAGGACTGCGAGAACTCGGTCGAGAAATTAGCCGAAGAGCTGGACGTGTTTCTGGACTGCCATTGGACGCATTCTGAGGATTTATCAGACATCATCGTCACTAAAACAGTCCAGGAGACTCTCTCCCTATTCAAGAAGCATAAATTCTACGACAAACTGTGCTTGGCTTTCGCAGCTGCTAAGAAACAGCTCAGCATATACGGCCAGGGGCCTTTAGAACACGAGCCCCTTGACTTGTCCACACTCGGGAAGTTGATCCGGCAAACACTCGAGACCTTTGCAATAACGGCCCTTCCTAGTGAGCAACGGACAGCACTGCAAGACGCCTACGGGCCCAACTGGTTCAAATGCGAACGACCCAACTGCGTGTACTTCCACCAGGGGTTCCCGAACGCACAGCAACGCGACGACCACACGGCACGCCACGAGCGACCATTCATCTGCATCGAACCGACATGCTTCGCCGCTACGATGGGCTATCCAACAAAAAAAGCCCTGAAAAAGCATCTACTGGAGGACCATGGCGTCGACTTGACAGGCGATCTCGAATTCCCAGAGCCGCCAACCATCGCATCCAACGCCGCCAAAGCGCCCTCCAATTTCGCCTGCGAGCTCTGTTCAAAGACGTTCACCCGCAACCACAACCTCAAGATCCACGCGCAGACACATCAGCGTGAAAAGCCCTACTCGTGCGATGTTTGCGGCCAGGGGTTCGTCCGGGCGCACGACCGGAAGCGCCACCAGGGGCTGCATTCGGGAGAGAAGAAATACGTCTGCTCAGGCGAACTCAAGGATGGCAAGACCTGGGGCTGTGGCAGGAATTTCGCTCGGCAGGACAAGCTGACGGAGCATTATCGCAACAAGGCCGGAAAGAAATGTCTTCAGCCTTTGGCCGCGGAGGAGGCGAAGGCGGATGGCATGAGAGGTGCAGGTGGGAAGGAGCTGGATGTTGCGGAGTTGCTGAAGTGCCACTTCTTGCTTGATCCGGAGCGCTTTAGGCCGTTTCAGGGAGTTCCAGTTTCGTCCTTGTTTCCGAGTCCGGCTGTATTGGGGGTTGAAGGGCGAGAGGATGGAGAGGTGGAGGGAGCTTAACGTAAACTGGCTACAAAGGCACCACAACAGTAAGGCAAGCCGCTGGCGGGCCCTACCGAGTACAGGTACAGGATTCCGTAGCCGGGGGGGTCAAAACAACAAGAAAAAGGCACTACTGCGTGCACTAAGACTCGATGACAATAAAAAAACGAGCAGCAGTGAATATAGCGGCTCCTAACATTAAGCCAACACTCACCACTGTCACAGTAACCATATATTTATAGAGAATGTTCGTCTATGCAATCAAATCGCTACAAGGAATGAGTACACACCATAAGCATACGAAGGCCGTCATGATGACGTAGAATGATATGGCCCAAAGGTGCGCCTCGATGGAAGTTGGAAACTCGTATCGCAATGCAATCAGATGTATGCCGCCGTATAACGCAGGAAGTAAAACGCAGGGGAAGAAGTTCAATGTGTTCATCCACATATAATTGAAAGCGAATTCAAGAAGGCCAAAAAGAAAACCTTCGGTTTTCGAGAAGGAGCTCTTGTCGGCAGAGATATGAGAGGTCTCCTTAACCCCTCCGGTAATTCAAGCCAGGCAAGCGGTTGGCAAAATAACACGAACTGCAAAGATGGATTGGTCTGTGGGGGTGGCTTTACACTATCAGACACTACCAATTTTACAACATTCGATGGCATTCGACTTACACCACCACTGTTGGCACCACACCGCCAGTCCATCACCACCATCACTGCCATCATGGCACCGCATTACCCAACGCCAGTGAAGGCGCACCTCATTGGAACAGCTGCATTCCTCGACCCCCACCACAGCCAGTACTTCCACAGTGATCTTTTCAAAGAGTTTGGCATCCGCAGTAAAACCCAGGGCTGGGAGATCCTACGCAATAACAAGGGCCGGAGGCATCCAGATCACGAAATACGGGGCCGGAAGTATATCATCTTGGCCGAGGACCTATATCGAATGGAGGAAGTCATCTGGCAGTATGGCTTCCAGGCGCGCATCTTAACTTAGTAAGATCTAGGCCTAATAACCGGTATCCACGCATCCGTAAGGACGATTGAGCGAGCGATGGGGACCTTGAAATACCGAAAATATATCGCTTACGAAAAAGGATTTATATCTCATTAAGTACCAACTGCCGTATCCAAGCCGCTAAGCTCGCGCTTTAATATCGTCCTCGTCCAGAGTACTGGCACGATATCCGGTAGTTAGATAAATGCTATTTTGGACTCGTTTCCGAAGGAAAGATTCGGGTTATTAGGAAGCCAGGGAAGCGTTATTATCTAGATTATATTCACTACTATGAGCCTGAATCAGCGGTGGGAACCGAAATCCGAAGATATTACGTCTGGGCGGCCGTCGGACGGAATTTCAAGTCCGAGATATATTTTTACGAAGTCCTACTAAATACTAATAGAAAGATAAGCTTATAGGCCTATTATAATGATATTTTCGAGAAGGTTATTAGTCCTCGACTTCTCCGTGGCGATGCTTTCGTGCTGGAAGAAGACGGAGATTCAGGGTATGGAGGTGGAAATTCGAAGCGTGGGAATATCGTAAAGCAGTGGAAGCAAGACTACGGATTGAAGCATTACTTCAATACCCCTGGCTCTCCAGATTTATCGCCAATTGAGAGTTGCTGGAGGGCTGTAAAGCAGCATATCCGTGCCAATCTTCGAATTAATGCGAATATTATGGGCCTGGCAGTTGAAGGATGGAGGCGACTGAGTCAAGCGAAAATCAATGAGTACGTAGATTCCATGGTAAGGCAGATGCAAGATGTGTTAGAGGGCGAAGGTCGCATGACAGAGTGGCAACAGCCACTACATAGAGATACCTAGATTTATATGTAAATCTGGCCTCCAGGGATGTACCTTAAAGTAATGAGTTCTTTTTTTGTCAGCCGCTCGCCAGGGAATCTGAAATTTTTGTCGTAGTCGTAGGGCTTAGAAGTACGTGGTTGTGGCTCGGAGACGGGACCCGGATCAATTGTCTTGATAATCTCGGCGACTCTGGCCGCACAAGTTACGTCTTCTGGGGTCGAGGTGTTGGAGTGGATTTTAAGACCACTGTCACAGCAAGTGCCAAGGCAGCCTAGCTAGCAAGTGCCAGGACAACTGGCTGAGGGGTCCTGGTAAAGAATCCCAATTGGGGTGCGGGGTCGGGTACAAAACTGAGTGGCCTGTGCGGCGCCCCAACACGTGACCCACAGACCAACCCTACTTCTTCAAGCCCCGCACAGAATTTAGAGTTTCTATTCCTTTTTCTTTTCCTTACCTTTCGATTCGGAATACAGCGACCTTAATGCAGCCTTGCTTCATCTAGTTGAATGTGCGGTGACAACCACTCTGATATGTCCTGCTTATCTGTGAATCCCCATAATCCCATCCGCAAGCTAGGGCCGGGCCCCGTTTGATGGTGGTGATAGGCTTGCCTTGCTCAGCCCGACCAATGGCACTACCCGCCTGTCTGTGTCGAGCAATGTCTCAAGCTGGGCGCGAGACTCTCCGTTACCACGGACTTATTTCTTTGCCAGCGGCTCTCCACCCGGGCGGTTGTGGCTCTCGGCTGGAGCAGGAGGGTATATGACAGCGTTCGCGTTCTCGGCGCCGGCACAGAATTGTTCTTGGACCATTAGAGCCGTCTCGTTTTCGAACGCCTTCGTGTTAACGATCCTGAGGTCTCGGACATCCACGGGCTTCTAACCCAACGAGATCAGCTCGATCGAGTAAAAGCAAAACAAGGCACAGGTTAGTAATTAGGTGACTTGAACCAAAATGCGTACATGATAATGGCGCACACGGCATGAACTAGCGTGTGCAATTCAAGAAGGGAAATGGGAAGACCCCTAGCCTCCCGAACGGCGCACTGCACGGCCATCCAGCCTACTTGGGTAATGACGAGCACCTCTTGAAGAAGATTGGCCTTGCTTCTGTCCTCAATATCCTGCTTTGATATGGTGATAAAATGGCCCCGCTCGACAAGCAGGAGCATGCCGTGTGTAGAAAGCGCGACCCTCTTTGGAACCTCTAGATTCCACTCGATGGAATCCGGGCCAGGGTAGACGTCTTCAATGGACACCTAGAAGCCACCCATGACGGCGAAATAGCAAAGTTCGAGCGTGTATACGCCCTCGTCTGAATCGCCCTCGCGATTACCGCGCTCCCGGAGGATGGCCCTTATCTACTCCTATAAGTTGTGGGCCTCCAGGAACTGGGTAGAAGCGATATAGAGCACCGCCTCAGGCGGAAAGATTGTAACAGCAACCCACTTGGCCTTGGACAAGAAAATGGCTTGTGTTCTGGTGTCGAGCAATGTCTCAAGCTGGGTGGACGGCAGTGTAGGCGCAGGCGACGAGGGTTACTAGGCAGGACCACACACTGCTCAGGGTCCCGCGGATCTCGGGCGACGCGACCCACGCCGGGGCCTTGATGTCGTTTAGAGCGGTAGCGTTATCGCGGTTTGCTGCGACGGCGGCCTGCACCTCGGCGGTACTGCTGTCTTGGGCGGCCCTCGACGCGGCCAGGAGCAGCGCTGTCGCCACGAGAAGAATGAAGCGCATTGTGCCGACGATGGAGATGTGAGGAGATATGTCGAGTGCCCGAGGACTGGGCTGCATGCCGGAACTTGCGGGGTTTTTATCAAGCTGCCAAGGGCCAGCCTGATGGTGGCCGACCTTCAGCTGAGCTGAAATGGGTGTCTGGTGGCTTGACTGCGCCCACAAGGGAGAACGCGCCGCGTTTGATTCGCAGGACTTGTCGCACAGCCACCAACTTGGCCTTATTGATTCTGGGCGAATTGGGTTGTGTAGGTAAGCAATTATCTAGGTGCATATCGAAGTCCTGGACCTGAAGAGTTCGAGTCGGGCAACCTTTGGATACACCAGTGGGCGAAAGGAAATAAGCTCAAATGGTAATTAACAAAAAAAAAGAGAAACCACCAATACGGGATAATACAACCCGCTAATGACCAGCGGAGCTACCAAGTGTATTTACCGTTTATTTCCGCGCATCACTGCTCCATTTTTCATACTGTCCAGGATTTTCAAAGTGCCTCTCCACGCTTGCAAAAGAGAGCCACCACTGTTCCGCTTCTAATTAATAGTTACTCCGAAAATTGACTCCTGGGCTTGCTATGTCCCCGGCCCCGGGCACTCGCTTTTCAATTTCTCCTTTCTTCGTTTTTAAAAATTTAACCTCGTTTAGACAACGTCGAGAACAAAAGAATAATTACAACAATTACCCAATGATCACATCAAATATCAATCGTCCACGTCAAATATCAATCGTCCACATCAAATCAATCGTCCACATCAAATCAGTCGTCTAAATCAAATCAGTCGTCTAAATCAAATCAGTCGTCTACATCAAATCAGTCGTCTACATCAAATCAGTCGTCTACATCAAATCAGTCGTCTACATCAAATCAGTCGTCTACATCGAATCAGTCGTCTACATCAAATCAGTCGTCTACATCAAATCAGTCGTCTACATCAAATCAGTCGTCTACATCAAATCAGTCGTCTACATCAAATCAATCGTCCACATCAAATATCAACGTCCACATCAAACAGTAACACCCAAAAGAAAATGCATCCAGGTGAGTAGCCGAGGCCTAGGTCTAGAACTAGTTCAAAACTCATTTTTCTTCCGAAAACAAACGGTTATCTAAACTACGAGGTACCCAAGGTTCAATCTTCACAAAGGTCTGTCCACCGACGTGGAATAGACCGCCCCGCTAGTGGACGAATAACCCAGTGGCCTCGGCTCACTGGTTAATGTCATGATGGCCTAGATGAGTTTCTTATATTACCTTCAAGCATCGAAGCTCATATCGCCTTGAAGCATCGAAGCCCATTGATCCGACCAACTTACACACCTCAAGGGCCGAAACTTGATTGAAGACCCGAAGCTACTCTGTCTTGTCTTCTTGGCGACGGCAACGGGTGTCTTGCTCACAAGTCGACCCAGTTCACAACTTGTTCTGGAAGCAGCGAGCACAGTCAGCCTCGTCTCAAACAGACTTGCGGAAGGACAACATAATTACCCGACGCGACGGGGGCGCCGAAGGCATTGGCGCCGACGTCGATGCCGGCGGCCCTGAAGTTGGGGACGTCGATCAGGCCGCCGGCGAGGTTGAAGGGGCCGGGGGCGGCGACGGGCGGGCCGGTGAGGGTGGCGTGGCAGATGTCGACGACGCGCTTCACGTTGGTGTGGTCGTCGTAGACGGCGTAGCAGTGGCAGTCGAACGCGGTGCGGTTGGCGTCGTTCTGGGGCATGAGCGGCTGCGTGTCGTAGCCCGGCCCGCCTAGGCGCTCTTGCCAGAACGGGCTGTTGCAGTTGTGCGCGGCCGTGTTCGCCCACCCGAACAGCGGGCCCGGGAAGATGTAGCCCCACGGCCGGTCGACCTGCAGCGCGGCTCCGGCAATCATCTAGAAGAGCGAGGGTCAGTGGTGAGAAGGTGGGAGGGCTTTCCGTATGCAACTGACCGGTTCGCCGTTGGCGTTGCGGCCAAGCGATAGGAGCGTCAGCTTGGCGAGGGCGGCCAGGTCGAAGCAGTTGCACGTGGCCACGGACCGTGTCATGATGCTGCCCAGGTTGAAGTTGTTTTGGCGCAGGTGCTCCGTGACGCCGCCCTTGCGGAATCGCGAGTCGTAATGCAGGGCCGCGCCGCCGTGGTTCCAGAGGTTGACCACGGCGTTCCAGACGATGTTGGACTCGAGGGCGGCCCAGGCCTGGCCCGCGACTATGTCGTAGGTCGGCACGGACAGGCGGATCAGCTCCAGGAAGTGCGTCTGGGCATAGATGTAGGGGAGGCAGTGGTCGCCAAAGAAGAAGTAGAGCTCCAGCGGCGTGGCAGCGCTGGTGGCAACGACGGCGCCCGTGATGCCGTTCAGAATGCTCCACGTCCAGTTGCCGACCACCTTGAAGGGGGAGCCGGGAGCGCCGCCCGCGTTGGAGAAGACAGAGGCGTCGAAGTTGACGTCGGTTCCGGCAACTCCAGTGACGTTGAAGGGCTGCGTGGTGATGGTGAAGTTATTGGGCCCCGTGCCCCTCAGGCGGTAGGCGGCAGCGCCGGCAGGAAACACGTGGCTGCCAGAGACAACGAGGGGGATGCGGTTGGCAGCGTACATAAAGGCCGCAGGATGGCCGGGGTCTGCGGCGCTGTAGATGTGGTCGTTCCGCACCGTCATCCGCATGCCGCCGCCAGGGGCATTTGCATCACCAAAGCCCACTCTGATGTCGGTGTTCAGGTCGTCGTTGGTCACCCTGCTGATGCTGGTGATGGTGTAGGCGGCCATGGCGTCGACAAGTCTCGACGAGGTAAGAAGGGGGCTTATGGGGAGAACAAGCAGGACGACGGAAACAAAACCGAATTAAACAAGTTAGGTTGGAATTTGCGGGCGAGGGCCAAGGTGAGGGCAAAGCGAAGGTGAGGGCAAAGTGGGAGGAGTTAGCGAAGGCATATAGCGCCTTGTTATACTCCCTTTTATTTATCTCTTGCTTAATTGCCTTCGCAGTAGTTACGCAGACATTGCTCACGACGACTTGTCCGAGATACCCCCCATCTTCCAATTTTGCCTACGCCAACTTGACATTACCCACCCATCACCAGGCTATCAGCTGTGTCAAACCAGGCTATCAGCTGTGTCAGACCAGGCTATCAGCTGTGTCAGGCTTGGCCAATATTGTGACATGGTCGGCATCGCCATCACCGGCGCTGCGGCCGTCGGCATCGCCGCTGCGTTTCCCTCAGCTTGACCGTTCGACGCCACCGGCCATCCAAAGTGGAGTAAGCCGGTTAGTTTCCCGCATTTTGGAACACTACAACTAGAAACGGTCGTAGGGCTGAAGCAATGTGCATGACGATTGGCGCCACGACTGGCTGCGTGGCAAGGAAAAGGGCCGACCCGGAACCACGCCCGTTTTTGTGGCTGGCGGACTGACCTCAATCATACTAGCTTGTCTTATCAGCTACCTACTCCAAAGCCATATCGGAAATCCGGCATGCATTTTTCGATAGTTTCGCTCCGCCGTCAGGCCGGTTTCTGCCCTCCGCCGTCAGGCCGGTTTCTGCCTTGATGATGCTTCTCATCACTGCGCAACGACATCGGCCGCTGCCTCGCACCTGGTTAGCAATCGCGTCCGCCGCGCTCCTCCATGATGCCACGAGACTCGCTCCCTTTTCTTTGTTTTGAATAGCCGGCAAAGTATAAGTCCCGCAGTCTTGCATTTCCCGCCCTACCCTGTATCAGTATTCGTCTGCCCGTACACTCCATCTCTCTCCTCTACCTCATCTGCTACGGCCTTTCCTGACAGAACTTCTACGGCCTTTTCCTGACAAAACTTCTGCAGCCTTTTCCTGACAGAACTTCTACAGCCTTTTCCTGACAGAACTTCTACAACCTTTCCCTGACAGAACTTCTACAGCCTTCCCCTGACAGGACTTCCCATTCCCAATTCTCAAGTCCCAACATGGCTGGTCCCAAATCGACTTCGCCTGTCCCTGAGGCCTCCCCCAGCCTCGCCGGCCCTTCCTCTCCCGCTCCCTTTTCGTTGCCAAAGGCTGCGAGCGCAGCCTTCACGGCCGCCGTGACCGGAAATCTTGCCAGCACCACCAAGAGCAACGCACCGCTGGATCCTGCCTCGATTGCCACTCTGGCGACGGGCATTGTTGCCCCAAAGCCAGCCGTTACGACGGTCAGCGTGTCCGCGCGCTCCACCTACTTCGCCGTCAGGTATTCCATCGCCGGTGCCGCCTCGGGCCCCATCGATGTCGAGATTTCTCACCAGACCCAGGCCGCCGACGCCCAGGACGTGTTGAAATACTACCTCGCCATGTTCGACGGCGACGTCGCCGTCTTCACCAAAAAGACGGCCAAGCCCCTCGGCCAAGTGTCTCTCCAGACCGACGGCAGCGTCTTCTGGGTCCGCGACTGCCTCTTTGTCAAGGTCAATGCGACCGACCATTATGTGCCAAAGCGTAGGCTATCTTCTCACGCACCCGCCCACCCGATAAACAGTTATTTACTGACGCATTACTCGATCCAACAGCATCGGGAACACCGCTTCCGCCGATAAACGAGCCTGCCAAGCCGGCCTCGCCGCCCAAGCCACCAGTCACCCCGGGAACCCCAGGCACGAAGCCTGCGGGATCGACGCCAGCGCCGCCGGCCCCAGCACCCAACCCGATACTGGACAACATCCTGCTCCCGCTCGCAGCCGCCATCGACGCCCACCTGGCCAAGTTCGCGGTAGCGCCCGCGGCGCAGCTCAAGCCTAACACGGCGGTCAAGGCGGCGGCGTACAAGGGCCCGCGCGGCAAGGAGTTCACCGTCGCGCTGGCCGACCCCAACGGCGCCCACTCTTTCAAGCCCGTCGAGCCCGTCGTCACGTCGACCAGCAACGCCGCCGCCCGCATAGTCGTGCCCGCTACCAACGGCTCCTCCGCTGGCGCGTACACGTTCCTCGCCCGCAAGGTCGGCAAGGGCACCGTCAAGCTCATTGTGGCGAGGAGCGATACCCTGGCTGTCGGCGCGGCTGAGGTGAGTATTGAGATTGTATAGGCTGGGCGACGGGCGTGATTAATATGGCTGGGCTGGAGGGCGAGTGTGGTTTCCTGAAGATTGTTGGGTGCGAGTTGTCAAGCAGCTTTAATCTACTCCGGCACAGTATCATTGGTTGTCATGAATCTAGATACCAACCTTTTATTATTTAGATACCAACATTTTATCATTCGGTCAAGATAGGCTACCAGTTGGGGAAAACACGTGAAGTTGAGAGGCTGAGAATTTTATTTGTTTGTTTTTCACATTGTAATGAACATGGGCAAACACTGCAACAGGCAAACACTGCAACACGTCCCTGCCGCACTTCCAGCGACCCAATACCTGAGAGTTCCTCTTAACCCTGTTCCATTTTCCCATCGCAACCGGCTCCTCTTTTAGTCTCCAGCTTACTTCTTGCAAGTCTGCCACTGCAGGTAGTGGACCTGCGTGAATTTGAGATCGGTCGAGTCCACCTGTGACAAAAAAGCCGTTAATAGAAAATTCAAACAAGCCTCCCCAAAAAAGAAAAGAATTTACAAATGGCAAACTTGGGCAACGGGCGGCATCACGCCTCGTGCCCAGCAGAACAGGCCTGCCACATCAGCTCAAAGGACACGGGAGAATTTACCGTCAGCAGGGCCGGCTTGACGGCGTCCTGGGGCGTCAGCCGGACCTCGGAGTTGATGTTGATCAGGCCCTCGACGCCGCACGGCGACCACACGGTGCTCTCGATGCCGAACTGGTCCGTCTTGAGGTAGTTGTCGTCGTACGGGCCCTTGATGGTCAGCGTGCTGGAGACCTGGTTCGTCGCTCTCGAGTTAGCGAATTACACGCGCGCACACAGAGGGACGACAAGTGACGAGGAAGACGTGCCTGCTTGGAGTCGCCCGAGAAATAGTACGTGGCCTTGCAGGTCCCGGTGTCGCCCTTGGGGATCTGGGCGTAGCCGCGGTAGTCGGCCTTGAAGACGGAGAACTGCCAGCCGGACGGGTAGCGCAGCTTGACGTTGAGCTGGCAGTTCTTGCGGTAGTTGCTGGCGGGGATGTCCTTGCCGGCCTGCGCCACGAAGCTGGCGTACAGCAGCGTGATGGTCGTCAGGTCCGTCGACAGCTGGCCCGACACGGAACCCGCCGGGCACCCCGACCCCGCGAACGCCAGGCCCACGATCTCCACGTCGTGGCCCGACGGGCCGCCGGCCAGGTAGTTGGGGCCCAGGTCCTGCAGCGTCGGCAGCGCCACGGCGAGCCCGGCGGCGAGGGCGAGGGCGAGGGAGAGTGTGGGGAGGTACATTTTCTATTGTTTCTGTTGGTGAATGAAATGCTCTGAACGATATGGTGATGAGATGGCAGGTGAATAATGGCCTAGATTGACGGCAACACGGCTCTTTATACACTTTTGAATTCCCTCTTATTTGAAAGATCTCCTAGAAATCAGGAGACGCTTGAGTACGGCCAGGACAAAGCACGACACGACACGTTGCTATTTTTGTTTACTTTACTCTAACGGAGCAAGTCCGATATTGCCCACTCTACTCGTTCAATTGCAATGACACCTTTCAGCGGCCCTCGATCCCAGTATGCTGCGTGGTGCTACGTCACGAGGTGCAAAAGCCTGCTTCTCGCCTAGCGACAGGCCCAGTCCTGTGATAGTCCGGTGGGCGGCTCAAGAGCATGGCGTGCTTGAGGCGAATAGAGCTGACACGACTAGCTAGCGGCGGCTTCGCAGTTTGATGAAGCGCGATATTAAAGGTCCCGATTCGCCGGCGACACTGCGTCTGGGGCCTGGGGGCAATATATATATATATGCATGCTTACCTTAAATTGTGCTGAGGATCTATTTTGGGATCTGAGATTGCCTGGGTGCAGCCCCAGCTGCAGGATTTCGGGCCTCGGTCTGGACTAGCAGGGAAGCTCACACGTTGCAAGCATGCCAAGCGGCGGTTGGGGATGTCTTTACAGCATGCAAGGTTACCAGAGCAGGTAGGGAGCTCCTCCGCTCGATGTTGGGAACGTTTATAGTAAGTAGGTACGCCGCTTCTCTCCCGCTCTCGCCTCCGAAGCCTTAACCTCCTCCTCTCTACGGGATTCACAGGCGCAACGTCCCTGCCTCAGGGGCAAGTGCTTTCCAGCATGTCTCGTAGAACAAACACGTAGAACACGTGAGCGACCGACACGGCTTGCACAGTCTGGAGTCTGGGCCAAAACCCGGAAATGGAGAATAGGGGTCGGGGGGTTCTGGTGCAGGACGGCAGGAATCCGGGGACGCCAAGCATTTGCAGAAGTGGCGGCGATACAGGCTAAAGACAAAATAAACAAGGCGAAACATGTGACGCCCTTGCTGCGCCCAATCATCACGCCATGCTCAGCAAACAGGGTCCTCTTCGTTTATGGCCATGCCTCAATTCTCCGGAAGCCTGTTCCATGTGCTGTGTCTCCGTCGGCCTGGGCGACGACGTGTGACACTCCCAACGTACGTGCAATTTCGCCAGCCGCCGCCTACCAAGACTCGCCCTGCTGTTCTCGGCCATTCTTTTGACTGCTCGGGCTTTCAGGGCCCATCCATCCTCTGCTAATCACGCCTCCTGGGCCGGCGTCAGCCCGCTCTGTGTCTCCAGGTCGGCCACAAACTCCTGCAGGACGTTTTGCATGTCCTGGCACGCCGAGTGGTCGGCTGCCACGACGAGCACGTCAAAGGCCGAGTGGCCGTCCGCCGTTGTCACGGACGCCGGGACCAGCGTCCGCGTCCGCGGCCGGCCCTGCAGCTCGGCTGTGCCGGCGCCGGTGCTTTGTTGCGTCAGCGTCAGCTCCATCCTCCCATTGAGGTGGCCCAGCTTGGCATTTGGTTTGCACCTACCACTGCACTCCAAAGCCAGTCACGAACGGGATTGGGTCGGCAGTGATGGTGGCCACGCACATCAAAGCGATGTTTGTGGTTGTGGTTGTTGTTGTTGTCGTTGTTGTTGTGGTTGTTGTTGTTGTTGTTGTCGTTGTTGTTGTGGTTGTTGTTGTCGTTGTCGTTGTTTATTGTGGTCGGATTTGCTCAAGTGTGTCGGTAATCGGTGTTGAGCAATGGGCATGAATGAGACAGACAGCAGAGATGGAGTCTGCCGAATAAAGGGGGTTATCTACGCAAAGCCAGTTGCCACACCATGTGTTCCTGGCAGCATTCATCCTGCATCTGGATATCCTGGTGTCCAGTCTGGCGGGTTCGTTCGCTCAAGTGAAGGAGCAATCGCCTTGGTCAAAAGTTGGGTGATTGAGGTAGTCGGAGATCTGCTCCGAACTTACGCCCCACGGTGGCCTATGGTTTCGAACATCCAGATAAGGCAACCAACTTACCTTCCGTCATCGTTACTGCGCTTCATCGTTGCTTGGGAGTCTAATGAGTGGGGCCAACTGACCAAATATTCCAAGGTCCGTTTACTGTTGGCCAGCCCTTGAACACTTGATGTGAAGACGCCATGTCAAAGATAGCACTGGAAATCCGGGCTCTTGAAATTGTTTCTCCTTTGCCTCCAGACACTCCAAACACACAACACGGAATAAAACTAACCACGGAATAAAACCAAACACGGAATAAAACCAAACACGATGGCAATCTACGACATTGGAGAGACAGTCGTCTACCGAGGTGAGTCCAGTCGAGCTCGAAAGGTCTAGGGCATTGCGAGTCTGAGAAATCGCAGGCGCCGACGGCTCCGAGTCGGTGGGAATCATCGACTCGGTGGTCGAGCCGCTCACCGACACAGCCAGTGCAGCGTACGAAGTGCGTCAGGCCATATCCCACTCATCACAGCTCCAGTGTCTAGACTAGACCTAATGCCTGGGTTGCGTGTCAACAGGTGCAGGACATCAAGACGGGACACATGATCCATATCTACGAGACGAGGATTCTCGGCATCAACGATTACCATTTTTGAGGCAGGCTGGAATCTGCCGAGGGAGTGATAATTACATATTAATAAATGGAGAAGAACTTGAGAATTGGCAATCTGTCTCCTGATTAAAAGCACATGTGCCTACGATCAAGCATCAACCAGCACTATGACATCCGTCACTTCTTCTCGTCGCTCCGTCACTTCTCGTCGCTCCGTCACTTCTTCTCGTCGCCCTTGAGGAAAGCGTTCAAGTAGTCAAACTTGCCAATCTGCACGCCCTTCATGCGCAGAATAGCATACGCCGTCTGGACGTGGAAGAAGAAGTTGGGCAGGGCGTATTTCAGCACGTAGTCCTCGCGGGAGAAGTCGAAGATGCGGTCCTTGAGCACGAGGTGGATAGTGCTGGGGTTGGGCGAGTTGATGGCGGCGAAGTCGGTGCGCTCGAGGAAGTCGATGGTCTTGTCGACGCGCTCAGCCAGCCGCGGCAGCGAGTCCTCGTCGTCGGGCCACGGCGACCCCGAGAAGGCCGTTAGCCGCTCGACCGACTTCTTGGCCGTGTTGCTGGCCAACTGCACCTGGAAGCTCAGCGGCCGCATGTCGTCGCACAGCGCCCAGCCTGCGACGGCCTGCGCCGAGATCTGGTGCTCGTCGGCATAGGCGCCGGCCTTGGCAAGGATGTAGCTCAGCGTCTGCAGGCCGCGGATGAAGGTGGGGATCGTGGTCTCGTACAAAGTCGTGTTGCTCATGTTTGGAGATGTTTACCAGATGTTGATGCTACTTCCAGGCCTTCTAGAGTGAAGTGCCCATGGGCTTTGGGTATTAATATCACAACCATCATTAATTTTGTGTCACCAACAGGACTGCTAATCTTCCAGGTCAAATCTGGCGTCGTTGACGAAGAGAACCTGGAAGAGAGAGAAAGTCTCGTCATTCCCGCCAGGGCATGACATCACAGAAGGAGTTGGACCGTGGCCTAGTCTGTGTTCAACCAAAGTCTGCACATTTTGATTCGGCTGGTTCGTCATTGTGGAATTCCAGGCAGGCGGGTCCAGCATTATCGGACATTTACTCCGAGAGAGCAGGTGCCAAAAGAAGGAATTAGGCGACCATGTGTTAGATTGCGTCAGACCGGGGTGGGGGGTGAAAGACATTATGAGGAGGCATTCACAGCAGCGCTGCGCGCAATCTTGCAATTATCCAGTCCCTCGTATACACACATTTTTCTCGTATGCACACATTTTCTCGTATGCACACATTTTTCGACAACTTGCCAAGAAGGAAGCTATTCCCAAGTGGAGCTGCACATTGCGGTGCTCCACAGCCCCCCTTCCAGCAACAAGCTCAGCAAGCGCCAAACCTGCCTATGGACGCTCCTACCCAACTCTGACTTCAACAACACAACGAACAAATAGGCCCAATGGTCTAGTGGTATGATTCGCGCTTCGGGTTGTTCTCTTGAACTCCCTCCGCTTGTCCCAAAAAGTGGGAGCTTGTGCGAGGTCTCGGGTTCGAATCCCGATTGGGCCCTGTCCTATTTCGTTTTGCTGCCGTTGCCCGTTGGTTGCAGCGGTTTCTTTTTATTTTAAATAAAAAAAGGAGAGAAATGGGCCAAAAAGACATACAACACCAGGGATTCGCTGGTCGTCACCGACCCAACTACTAGTCTGGCCCTTAGTTGTTTATCTAGGGGAGAGCGGACGGGATCCCGAGTTCTCAACTAGGTATGGTCGTATGTGCTGTTCTGTCGGATGGACAGCGTCTATATTGCTAGGAACTGCGTGTTTCGTGTTTCTCATTGATGGGATCATCGGATGGAAGGTGAAAGATATAAACATTTTTCCTTGCCAAATAATTGTTGCCGTTAAAGGGTTTGGATACCCCTGGCTCAATCTTGGCAACCTGGTGATCGCATCACTTGGACTTGTGGATGCCCCCGCAATGAACCGGCGCGGAAGTTTACTGGCACACGGCAGCCCCGGACTCCCGGCCTAGGTTTGGGCAGGGGTTTCAGAGAGATGGCCATTCACACTAACGGGAGCAGTGATGAGCCGGCATAATGTGGCGCCTCTTTGTCGAGCTGAAAGCTGCATATGCAGGATAGCGCGCACAATAGTCACTTTGTTGCAGAAAACTATCGGTTCCCGATCTAGCCCATGTGCAGTCGTCCTTCGGCTTTCCCATTGTAGTTTTAGCGGCCTCTGATCTGTCGGTATATTCACAAGGTCAGGCAGGGATGTTTGTCGTCGACTGTCTTGTTCCCGAGGCCCCAGGACCCAATTAAGTATATTTAGCTGGACTTTGGCTGCCTCTTTCTCTCGTCATGCCCAGACCGTAAACGACACTTGTTCTCCCTCCTACCACTTCTACCTACTACTTGTCCCTGCAGTCTGGCCTTCGCAGTTTCTTGACCATGGCAGAAACTCAAGAGTACAGCCTAGACATTCTGTCGGCGACCTGGGGCACAGCCGACGTCACCAAGACGCTCAGGGGCATGTACGTCAAGGATGCCAACACGATAAAGGCGGACAACAACCTGTTCACGATTTCGCCCACCGTTGCTCTGTTTGGCGATCCGATCCCGAACCAGACCAAGGTGTTGGTGTGTGTCTGGCGCGTTATCCTGTCTAACGGGTCGCTGAGCGCCATCCAGGCCACGACCATCAAGCAGTCCGAGACAGGTACAATCAACTACGACGGGTCTCATCTGCCGTCGTTCGTGGCCCCGACCGACAAGAACAAGGTCTTCGTCGCCAAAGCATACTGGCACACGTTGGACGTGACGGCGCAGGTGCAAGCGCTCGCCGACAACGTCAAGTCGTCGGCTCAGGTCAGCATAGCCTATTCGGCCCTGAAGGCCTCGGACCCTGCGCCGAACACGCTCAAGGCCCTCGTCATCACCTACGGCTATGTTCTTGCCAACGGGGAAGTGCAGTTCGCCGTGAGCACGGCCACGGACACAAAGTCGGCCGTCTTCAACCAAGGTCCGGCGCCGCCGCGTCTCCTGATCAAGTCTGCTTCGTTTGGAGGCGTCGACTGGACCAGCAAGATCACCCCTTTGATCAACCCGATCACGCAGACCATTTCCGTCGACAACTACGGCTCCATCTTCAGCGACCCGTGGAAAGGGGTCTACAAGACGCTGGCCGTGCTTTACCAGTACGAGAACTCTCCGCTCCAGCTCTTGATCGCCTGGGACACCAATGCTGCCATCTCCATCAGCCCTTCCACCTCGGATCCGGCGAGATCACGCTTCTTCAACCTGGACGGACGGCGGGCCGGCGAGACCAACATCATCGCCGTAGTCTGGGGCATCATGCAGGGCCGCGTCGACGGAATCGCGGCCGACAGGTTCAAGAGCATCAAGGAGCTTGGCACCTTCGGGGCGACCAACAAGTGGTTCGGGTTCGACGGCTGGACCGACCAAACCAAGAGCGCGACGGTTTTCTACCAGTACGGCCTCACGGGCGAGATCAAGTGCGTGACGGCCCGCGAAGGCGAGAGGGCAGTCCCTCTGGCCCCGCGCCACCCCGTCCACCACGACCCTCTGCCGGGCCGGGGCCTCCTCGCGACCTCGTCCCTCCCCGGCGACGGATTCACGCTGCAGGTGCCCGACAAGAAGCACTGGCTCTCGATCGACTACCCGTCGCTCACGGTCCTCAGCACCACGACCGACAGCAGCGCAGCCGCCGTCTTCCGCATCCAGCGCGACCCGCCCGGCAGCGCCCCGGTGATGACCGTCACGGACCCGAAGCGGTCCCCGGCAAAGTACTATTACGTCCAGTGCAAGGGCGAGGCCGACGGCGACTTCGTCAACCTGCTGCCGACGCGCGACGGCGCCAGCGAGGCCTACTACGAGCTGCCAGCCGGCCAGAGCTTCATGAACGTGCTCTTCGGCTTCGGCGTCGACGGCGGCGCCCGCCAGGACCCGCGCGTCTTCCGCCTGTTCCCCGGCAACGCCACCGCCAGGTCGGCGCGCGTCCAGGCCCTGCCCATCTTCTACGACACGCCGTGGGTCCCCGACGACGAGCCCCAGTTCTCCGAGTGCCTGTTCCAGCCGGAGTTCACTGCTTCTCACAGTGCAGTCCATGTCTCGCCAAGGGACGACCCGATCGCCCCGCCGATTCCGAAAGATGGTAGGAACCTCCTTTCTTCCCCCTCCCCCTCCCCCTTTTCTCTCCCCCCCCCCTTTTCCCCCCCCTTTTTCGCCACTCTTTCGCCACTCTGTTCTTTCTCTCGTCGTGTTTCGCCATTCTTTCGCCCTCTTTCGCCACTCTGTTCTTTCTCTCATGTTTCCGTGTTTTGATTTTATTCTCCCCTTCATCTCCCCTTCATCTCCCCTTCATCTCCATCCCTAACCCGCTGACCCGTCGTCGCCGTCACAGAGGCCGCCTGCCTGTTCGGCATCGCCACCCTCCTCCTCGACCTGCTGTACAGCGTCCCCAACGCCGCCTTCGGGTGGTTCCTGTCCATCCCCGGCACCGAGCCCATAGTGCGGTGGATGCGCGACCTGGACGCCGCCAAGCAGACGCTCATTGCGGACCTGGTCGACGGGGTCAAGTCCCTCTTTGCCGGCGGAGCAGGCAACGGCACTTCCGTGTGGTCTTCGGCCTTTTCCATGGCCAACGAGCTGTACAACGCGGGCCTACTGTGGGGCTTCTACAAGGCCATCTTCTCGTCCTTCTCCATCCTCGAGTACGGCGTCCTCTTTACCCAGTTCGCCGCCTGGGCCATTGCCCAGGTCGCCGCAGCCCCGGCGCTGGCCGTGCTCGAGGCCGTGCAGTTCGTGCTCGTCGTCACGAGGACCATCACGCACATCCAAAGCGCGGCGCGCAGCTGCGCGGCCATCATCAAGGGCGGCGGCAAGCACAACACACCTGCGCGCCAGCGCTTCGCTAGGCTGCAGGCGGCCGTCCAGGGCGTGGTGTCGGAGATCCAAGGGTCGGAGTTGCATCCGTCGAGCCAGCTGGCACTGATCAAGGCCCTCCGCGGGCCGCATGTTGTTTCCTTGTTGGCGGCCGACGGCGCTGGTGGTGGTCAGGGGCGTGATGTCGCTGAGCTTCGGAAGCGGGCCCTCGTTCCGCTGCTGGAGGCTGATGATGAACCGGTCAGGCAGTATCTCCAGAGAACTGCCAGGCTTGATCAGGACGTTCTCGAGCTCGTCGACACTCTGGCGCCACAGGTTGACGCGGCTCTGGCTGAGTAGGGATGGCCGAACAACATAGTCTGAAATGGAGATTGCTACGTGTACGATTAGGGTCCCTGCAGGTGTCAAACGACTTGAGCTTGCGCGCTAGAGGCAGCGCTCGGTCCCGACCCGACGTTCCACTTGACATTGACCGGGGCCGGCTATGTGGAATCATGGGATGGCGTGAGCAGCAGCTGCTGCTGTCCATGGCCTTCCAAGACCACAGCTAAGTGGCGTAGGCGAAATCCTCAGCGTGACCAGCAAGATCGGTCTATACCATGCCTCACCCCCCAACGGATCACCCTAGCAGTGGATCACCCTTTACACCAAAACACTACATCTTTGAACAACAACAGCGCAGTCAATTGTGAAGCTATTTACAAGCCAAATACGGCAAAATGTAACTAGTTGACTGTTTAATCCATATATCGTGCTGGCACACGAAGTGCACGGCCAGATCTTGTCAGTCTTGCAGCTCTTCTTCAGCCTCTTCTTCAGCGTCGGTTTGTGGAATGAAAATATCCTCAAGCCAGCTGTTCGCTATTTGGTTGTCAGTCCAGCCCTTTTCTGTAGTAACGAAGCGCCAGTTGCAGATTTTCTGCATTTCCTCTTCAAACCACGATTTGAAGGTCTTTTCCTTTAAAAATGATGCCCGGGTCGATGCGGGCCCCCGGCACCGATGCATTCGATGATGGTGGACCAGCCACGACCTTGATCGCTTTTAGGTAGGCTTCCTTCGTCTTTAATACCCCTAGGACTAATGAATCAAGCCCTGTATAGTATATGTAATAGATAATATAACTAGGTATTATTTAATGTTGGAACAACGCGCTAGTCAGCCACAGATGTGGCGGTGGAGGCGCAAGCAGCCACATGTGGCTGTGGAGGCGCAGAGGCGCAGGGCCACCGAACCTAAATAAGTGCCCGTAGGCCACTTCCACCTTCCTTCTTAGATCTACATAGACATCAACAACCAACACTTGAACCACCAGTTTTCGGCCTACAGCTACGCCCTGTTGCTTCCAGTACCGGTACCTGGTGATTCCAACATTTACTTACCAAAGCCCGCCATAATACAGGCCTTACCGACGTTGAAGGTGAGCTCAGGCCTGATCCAGTCGTATTCTTTCTCCCTTATATTGAAGCACCAGTTGACGGCTTTGGGAGGAAACCCGTTAAAGCAATCGGCCTCCATTCTCTTACCTACTTTGGCTCGAATGTCGGGGTTTCTAGCTTTGAAGCTAGAAATCCAGTTTTTCCCTACAGGGTCTTTTTGCCCTGCTTCTTTACAGAGTCTTGAAGCAATACTAGATACCGTTGAGTAACTCGGAGCAAAGCCGAGTCTTTCCTGCTTGACGATGCACTCAATGAGCCGCTTTTCTTGAGGCCCTATGAGCCTACGTTGTATTTAGAGGGCCTCTTGTTACGGGGCTTAGCACTAGCTAGTAGGTGCATGGGCTGCAGGCCCGTGCACGGGTTCTCGCCCACACATTTAGTACGGGGATTTTCCCCTCCTAGAGTTAGCTAGCTAATGTGTTGCTTATGATCGGAGTTGATAGCGCATTGAATTGTCTTTCTAGGCTAGAAGAAAGGTTCAAAGGACGAAGCCGAAGGCTTCCTTATATAGACCCTGTAGCCCTGCGCCTCCTGCCGCCGCCTCCGCCGCTTATTGTTCTGTTAGTTCAACCAACACACATCTTCAAAGGTCAAACGTAAGATGACAGAATAAGCTGACTGTGGCTTGAAGAGTAGCTCAAAGTAACTCAAATCTAGGCGACATAATGCACATCACACATTGTCAACCCAACACCTCTTCTTTGGGGGGGACTCTGTTGAGTCGTCGGTTCAACGTTATATAAGGAACTCCATGTGTTGGAATAGCGATGTTGGTGACCGTACTCTACTCTGGAAGGGAGGCGGTGCGATGCACGTGCGCCGCACGGCCCTCGCACGGCCATGAACAAAGCCAAAGACCCCCACCATAGATTTCTAGAGCAGAACATGAATCAGAACAACTTTACACCCCCCCCCGGTAGTACTACCACTTTTTGACCCGTTGGAACACCTACGTGGTTGGAATACCACGAACACCATGCTTTTGAGCCGATTGACGAATAGAAAGCTTATTATCTGTGACGTCTAGGTACGTATTGACCATATTATCGTCACTTTGTTCAGACATTGTGGTAGTACAAGACGCAATTCACACTCAGGTAGGGGGAGAGGAATGTCAGGAAGCTAATTTGGACTTAATTTGGAGTTATTTTGCGATAATGTAGCGAAAAAAAAGTAGGGCTTCTGGGCTTACAAATCCATACTAAGATTAAACTAGATGCAATTACATAACTAGGTCAATTGTCTACTTGCGAATAGCTTCACAATTGACTAAGTTATTGTTGTTCAAAAAGGGAGTGTTTTGGTGTAAAAGGTTGATCCACTGCTAAGGTGATCCACTGCTAGGGTGATCCGTTGGGGGGTGGGGTATGGTATCCCTCGGTCCCGGCAACCTGGTCCGTGAGTGAGTCCCGACAACCTGGTCCGTGAGTGATAATCAATGTCCGTCTTAGACCTCCCCAATTGCTCAGAACGTGCTAACAATGCAGGCAGTGGGGATCGTATCGTCTAGAGCTTGCAGCAGTTGAGCCACTCGTGGTCGCTCGTACCACTATCTTCGACTAGGCGCACCCAAATTCTGTTATGTGCGCCTTCCTTGCGCTCTGGTAGCCGTGTGATTTACTCCTGGGAGTTCCTCACTTGATACAATACGCCTTCTTTTCCATCATCTAGTCTACTGTGCCAAGTTGCGGCAACTGTCGCCTGGCCGGACAGCCGATCCGGCAGGAACTGACTTCTATTCGCGCCAACACAGTCGGCCTCTTGAGGTTATTTAAAGGAATCAGCGTCGCCCACTCAGATGCTCTCTAAATTCTCGCATCAAACAGGCATCTGGGTTTACCATCTACATTTGTGCCCCAATCACTCATATCATCAGGTATACGCTCACACGCGCAACTCTCAATCTCCTGACGCGTTTGAACCTCGGTCTCTGCCATGCCACCACACAGCTACGTTTCGGACCAGTCCCCGATCAAGGACTACCTATTTCGCGAAACCCTATCACATTCCCCGACCCATACCGAGCAAGGTCTTGGTTACTGCCTGTCTGCGAGGACGTCGTTTGCTCCATCCACGACCGCGTGGGTGTAAAGCATGAATGCGGAAAGTGTGGTACGAGATGTGCGAGACAGCCGACCGTAGTTGCCGCAGGCCGAGCTCGATGCTTGGGTGCCTGATGAGTCGTCCTGGGTGCCTGATGAGTCGTCCTGGGGTGCCTGATGAGTCGTCCTGAGCAGGGTTCGAACTCAAGTTGCCAATCTAAGCCTGCCTTGCACCCCTCCGGCGGACAAGGCCCAGGAGCATATTTGCGCGCGGTCTAAAGTAGCGCCGTGGCATACCAAATTGTTCTCGGGAGCATGCTTGCCCCTGAGATAATTACGGCCTGCAAACGTCCCCGCCCCCGGCCGCAAGCAGTAGCAAGTAGTCAATACAAGAACAATCCAGTTTGAGATAGGTAGCAAACTATAAGCGGAATGGGCTGCTCGCCTGATATTTTGGTAAAATACGAGAGACTATTCTTAGTATAATAAGGTGCTTTCGGTATGACTTATTTTCCACCCGACATTTGCCAACTTGAATCTACCTACCTTCCTCAAAACGTAGAAGAGATTATCTTGAGGAATGTTATATAGGCCTGAGTTCACTTGATATCCGACAATACGACGCTTGCTTTCGGGTGTCTATACCGTCTCGTGTGCTTCTCCTTGACTCGGCGGCAATTTTGTCACCTAGTACCGTCTAACGTCGCCAGTCACACCAGACCGGTAATCAAGGCGCCCCATATAAAGATATGACTTATAGAGCCATAGACTCTTCTGTGTACAAACAGATAAGACCATTTATCACACGTTACAAGATTTCCGGGGATGCTACTCGTGTGCTAGTAAAACTGTTTTAGCTTATCCCTGACCAACTAGAGATAAGTCAGGCACATTGCACGTTACACGTTGGGATCAAAAGAGGTCTCCCCGTGTCGGCGGGAATGGCAGCAACAGCCAAGATCAACGAAGATCATCCAAAATCTTTGCTCCTGCTCAAAGATAGCAGTCAGCTATCACTCCACTTTAGACCAGTTAGACCAGACGGCTGTATCATTTCAAGTTGGTCACCGTTACTCGCACGATCACACTAACATGTTTGTCCTATTGCCAAGTATTCGCCATGGCAGTCAAAGGTGCCTTATTTATGACTTATATTTAAGACCATGACAAACGTAGCAATCGCATGTTGGCCTATAGTGTCACAGGAACTCAAGCCGTTCGGCCTCCTCAGCATCGGTATAAATATCCGTTAGTAGATCCCTTTATTGATTCTTGTTATATCGGTAGTATTTTCATCACAAACAGACCAACGTCATCACAAACAGACCAACGCCAAAACACAAGTCTTAACCAATCATTTACTCATTTATCAACCAATCCCCCAAGTTATTATTTGCTACCCCCAGGGCTAAGTGTCCTATGGAAAGTCAACCTGGTGACTCGGACCGGGAACGGATACAACTTCGGAATACTCAACACGGCCGCCGATTATTCCCCTGTTCTCCCCTTCCAGAAAAAGATAATTCCGAACCTAGCGGTGCTAGGGCCGAAGCACCGCAAGTCATCGGACAAGTTCCGTTAGCAGCTGCCTCAAGTTTCCGATTGTCTTTATTCTCTCGAGGCCGTGGCCGTCACCCGTTGCCTGCTTCGTGGCCGATACGGCCTGCCTATGTTGATGCAGGTACGCAAACAGCCATCACGTCGATTACTCCGCGAGGCATAACTAGATTATCGCGCCGAGGTCGACCCTCTATGAGGAGCCGGCAAGACCTCCAGTCTCGTCTCAACCCCATCCCGCCCAGACTGCTGCCAAATAATATAGCGCCGACGGCGCCGGCGTCCTCTGCCGGTACTGCCGCCGCTATGCCAGTAACTTCCGTCCGTTACTTCCCCGAGAATCTCACCGAACAGATGCGTGCCATGCCGGTCGTACAGCTGCAGTTGATCTCGCACAGGGGCTACCCGTCGCTCGGCCACAGCTGGTCGCTGTTCCTGCCGAGCAACAACACGCTACAGTCGGGGATCCAGATCGACATCCTGCCCAGCAGCGCGCCGGCGCCCGAGGAAACTGAGCCAGGGGTGTATAAAACGACTATGGAGGTGCGGTACGGGCTAGCGCGCAGCTCCCCCGGCGCGACCAACGGCGCGCCGCTGCACCGCGAGACGCTGGGCGTAGCGCCGGGTCTCATAGTGCGCGACTTCGTCGACGCGCTGCGCAGGGTCGGCGCCCACCACTACGAGTTCACCGTGCCCATTACGGGCGACGTGGCCTGGGTCCAGGACCAAGTCTCCGTATTCCACGCCCGGTCGCTGCTGGCCGACGCCGACGAGGTTCTGCGCGCCGTCCGCAACGTCCGCCTCGACTATAGTACGGATCCCCCGCGCGTCCCGTCCAACAGGGGGTCCGAGGGTCTGTACTACCCGTAGCGTGTACCTTGGCGTGATTTGACTATGCGATGCGTTTTATGGCGGTGATAAGTGAAGCTAGGTTGTGTCTTTTGTACTTGAAACTCGAAAACTAATACATAGCAGCTTCGTATATATTTTTCTCAGCGAGATAGACCGTCCTTGGAAGTCGGGGTACGGTTTTGTGCCTACCGTCCGTAGCATCAGGTAGCTCTTTAGGATATCGAAGGTTTCTATTTATTAGTCTTTTTGAAATCGGATTCCTTTACCAGAAATCAGCCCGATAGCGGCGAAGAATGTTACTGAATTTACTTTCTTCGTGACCCCTGATTCTAGTAGATATTTAAGTAGAGGCCAATATCAGAGTCTCGACCCAAAGGTACCACAAATATGACCATATAGTATTAGGTACCTAACAGACTGCCTCTCATGATCCGTAACCGCATGTATACGCCAAAGACATTGTACCTAGAACTTAATATAAAGGCCATACGAGTACTAACTCGCTATGATCTCCCACCCCTCTAGTTATACATGACACATATGTAAGTCCTACGCCAATCGCCGAAATCCCACGCTTGTCCGGCAGTAAATAGATCTAGTACCCTCCCTGTGGACCGCGGCCAGGTGTGCAATTTTTATTGCACATCAAAATCAACGCCAAGCCAAGCCAAGCTTAAAAGCCCAAAGTCTACACATCCGACATCAAACTGTCAACATCCGACATTACACTGTCACTATCCGACCTTATACCCTCACCATTGGACATCACACTATCACCATCCTCATCTGTGTTGCCACGACTTCCATTATTGATATCAGGACTTCTGCAGTCGTGGTGAGGGTCTCCCCTAAGGACGCTATCACTCTTGCTACCACGGCTGCGGATATCATTACGACGACGTGTTCCATGCGGTTCAAAGTAATCCTCAGCAACTGGCGTGGGGCGAACGAAAAACTGATATGACCGGTTTCGGCCGGTCGGCCCGGCCTCGAGGCGAGAAACGATATCGAGACTGCGGTTACGGCCGCCCTACGCGAAGAAGATGTCGGTATTATACTGGACTGTGAAGCGCTCCCCGAAGCTCTGCGGCACGGAGACGTTGGCCCGCCGCACGTCTATAGTGATCTCGGTTCTCATGTCGCTCTTGTGTAGCAGTCCGTTCTCGGACGTCTCCACGTCGCCGTCTGTCAGCGGGATGCCGCGGCTGCCGGCCTCGCCGCCGGCGCCGCGCATCACCTTGCGCGGCGTGCCTTTTTCCTCGTAGGCGCGCTTCAGAGACCTTTTCAGGGGCCTGGTGATCACCTCGGCCAGCTGCGCGGCGTCGCGGGCCGCTGCTTTCTTCTTGGTGAGCTCGGCCTCCATCGCTTTTATCGCCTTTTCCTTCTTAGTGAGCCTCTTGCGACCATCCACTTTGGTGTTGGCGAGTCGAGCCTTTTCGAAGGCGGAAACGGCGGGGTTTTCGGCGGGGAAGCTCATCTCAAAGGCAGCCCTATCGAAGACCAGTGGCTCGCCCCAGATGTAGACCTCTCTGGCACTTGGGTCAGGGTTGGGGGTGTAGGGAAGGTCAGAAAAGTACTCGTCGCGGACGTTCTCGGGCTCATTAGTGACATTCTGGGAGGTGTGCTCTGAGGGCATGCTGGCAGGCTCGTCGGCAGGCTCCATGCAAGTCATGAGGTTAGGATCGACATCTCCGCCGTCTGGAACGTCGCCGACGATGATTTTATTATCAACCGCTTCGCCAGGCTGAATGTTCTGGGCTGCGGTGTTGAACTTGCCACCAGCCATGTCGTGATGGTTGGCAGCGAGATTGCTCTCCTCGAGGAGTTGGGTTTCGGCAAGCTGGCTCTCCTCCTGGCTCTCCTCCTGGCTCTCCTCCTGGCTCTCCTCCTGGCTATTGTCTTCGGCAATATTGGCTTCGTCGCTCATGTATGTGACTTCAAAATACCCCTCTCCGTCATCCATGGTCTCTTTGCAGCCCATGTCCTCTTCGCCATTGCCAACGTTATCATAGTCTGTCGAGGATAAATATCTATGGGACGTTTCATCACAGACTTCTCCGCTGTCGTTTGAGCCATACAATTCAGTGTCCTCGTTTCCATCAGCAGCATATACAACGACTTCTCCCACTCCCAGTCTAGAAACTTGGGCGCTGAGAGGGACGGCGCTCTTAGGTGTGGAGCCATTGATCGCTGTGAACGCCGATCCCGCCACGAATGCCTCCCCGTCGACGTATCCCTCGCCTTGGGAATCTTCTTGGTCCCCCCCTGGTAGAGTACCGTCTTCGTACTCTTTTGGTTCCGTATCTGTGTCACTGCTGCTATCCTCATGTTCAGTGTCTGTTGCATGTCCCAAGGTTGCCGTAGTGGATTGAGATGGAGGAATGCCTCTTGAACGTCCCACGGTTGTCGTCATATTAGATCGAAAGGGAGGACTGTGTCTTGAACGTCCCAAGGTTGCCGTCATACTAGATCGAGAGGGATTAATGGCATCAGCGGTAGATCCGTGAGGTATTCCAGGCTGGTCAGCGGGTGGGGCCGACATAAATTGGGAGGGAGGAATGGCGCCCGTGGTCGAAGCTTCGTGAGATAATCCAGGCTGGTCAACGGGAGGAGCAGCGATAGGCGCGGGTGGGCTGTTATGTAGAGCGGCCTCCATCCAGTAGTAAAGATATGTGGGTTCGGTGAAGCTTCGTAGCCAAATCTCCAGAACATCGTCGTTCACGTATGAGGCGTTGGTGGGAGGTGCCTCGCCGGCGGGCATGAATAGACGCACCATGTCCTTGCCCGTGGGTTCATCGGGCAGATGGACGGCGGCGATCAGCACGTACTTCCGGGGGGGGGTGTCGTCGGTACTATTGCCCTGGAGCACACGGCCAACCAAGCTGAACGTTTGGATCTTTGCTTTGGGCAAGCGGCGGACAACTTCGCCAGGCTGGTACTTGACGCGAATGAGGTGGGGGAAGTTGTCTCCGACGAATCTGTCGTAGAACTTCGTGACACCGGCAGTAGGGTTGGTCGAACGCATGCCAAACACGCTGCCGATATGCTTGCCAAGATCCCCCTCCTGGCTGAGACCGTCCCACTCGACCAGGCTACTGGACGGGTTATTATTTGGAACCCTGTTCCAGTTGCCGCCGGGTTCGCGCTCCCAGTGCTGAAATAGCTGGAAGTGCGGTATGGACCACAGGCTCGTCTGCATCGCGGCCGACTCCATGATGCCCTCGAAGCCCAGATCGGGGGGGAGGCTCGTATCGCCATCCACGTAGTCGAAGATGGCACGCCGAAATCGGTCCTCGCCAGCTGCCGAGATAGCACCGTGTTGGTCGAGCACGTCGGCCCAGGCATGCTCCAGCAGCGGGTTGGTGATTTCGTGGCGGAGGATGAATCTCGCCAGGTTCGTGCTGTCCACGTCGAAGCCGCCCGACGAGGTGACAACGGGGCCGCGCTCGACGGCAATGCTGAACATGTGCCGCAAGGCGAGCAGCACGTGGCGGAGGCCCGACATGTCGCGACTGCCGGGCAATTTATTCGGCAGCACTTCCTGCCACGCTGCGTGGCGGAGGCGCGCCGCCTTGCCCGGCCCGTCCAGGAACAAATCATCAACCCGCGGCATCTTTGCAAGCAGGCTGACCACCAAGTTTGGGGTGCACCGCTGGGCTGACTATGGGTATGTAGCAAGATGGAGAAGGGGATGGATTTCTCATGGACGGCAACGAGGTTGCCAACGATGGCGGGTTTTCTGGTGCGATGCTCGAGGGAAGTTTTCACGGACGGGTTTCTGGCGCGATGCTTGAGCGAAGTTTTCACGGATTCGGTGTGCTACGATAGTTGTTTTGTTTCTAGGGAGGGTGGAGGGGTGGAGGGTGGAGGGTGGAGGGGTTTTGCACAAGGAGGGCGACAAAATGGTGCGGCGTCTGGGTTAACTACCTACCTTCTAGGCAACCTAGGCAGGCACGTGCAGCCAGGAGTTTCTCTTAGAGAGGGGAACAACTGAGGGGCGCGTCACTTTCCACCCTCTTTTTTTTGACTGTGTTTACTTGCCGGAGGAGAGGTCCTACGGAGGAGAGGACCAAGTTGGGACCGTAGGGACTTGGGACTGAACAACCAGGCACCAAGGCGAAGCCAGCTCCATGCCTAGCTAGCTTATAAGCCAGTTTTATTCACTAATTCCAAGTAGTACCAACTAAGAAACTTGTGCGTTTGTGTACGTGCTGGGCTTGAAGTGTCTAAGAACATTACTTTTTGTACCACATTTGCACATCATTATGAAACCGAATCGGAATTTAGTAGCTCAAGTCCTTCCCTTTGAAAAATACCGAACAACTGAGCAAAGTTCATTGGGCCTCTAATCGTAGGCCCGCTTTATTGCAGACTCTAGTTAAGGTAGGTAATTAGGTAGGTAATTAGGTAGATAATTAGGTAGATAATTAGGTAGGTAATCAGGTAGGTAATTAGGTAGGTAATTAGGTAGGTATTAGGTAGGTAATTAGGCAGGTATTAGGTAGGTGTCTACATTCCTCCTCAAGAATTTCGTCCACCCCCATTTAATAACTTCTCCGTCCTCCAAATCCTCGACGCTAGTTCACTGAATACCTACCATTAGGCGCGCCAAATTACGCCCGAGGCTCTTTGTGTTCAAATCAGCCCGGCCGCTACAACTGGCAGTGTATGGATTGAGGCGTGGTAGCAATAGCCAACCAGACGGCCCAGCCAACCAGACGGCCCAGCCAACCAGACGGCCCAGCCAACCAGACGGCCAAGCAACCAGACGGCGAAGGAGAGATGTGGCTGAGCCGCCCGCATGGAGGCGGTCAAAAGTGCCCTTCTCCCCACATCTTGCACCAGGCTGGTGTCTTTCTCCCATTAAACCCCGCCTTCCCATGAATGACGCTAGCGACGTCAACCGAAGCCGGTTATCAAATACAATTCCTGATACCTAGTGGTCTCGACGCTCGCAATCACCATGGCGGCGCCGTCTGGTCCTCCATCTCCTGGCACGTTTGAGAGCAGCAGTATTGCCGTCAACGGAATAGCCCGTACTAGAGGCGAGGGCGACATCCCAAACCTCAAGCTCCAGTACGAGTACGAGAGTGCAGCCGAGCTGCCAGCGACAACAAGTCCTATATCTGAGCTACCCTGTCCGCGGACTCGTCAAACATATCGTCTACCGAGTATCGATACGTTAGGAGACTCGAGCTTCCGGATATCTTCCAGGTTTTTAACCCTGGAGTCTTGTACGTTCCAAATGCCCCTGAGTATCCCACAAACTGCTTTAACGTGACATGACACTGTCTATGAATTGGAACTCTAAGCTGAAATATTAAACTTAGCAAACAGCAATCAGAGCCTGGCAGAAGAGTACGCTGCGCGCCATGACACACATGCCGAGATCCTTTGATCTTCATATCTTAACAGGCTGCGACCGGGTCTCGAAGCTTGGTAAAGAAAAGTGGCAGGCCCTGGTTGACACCTTTACGCCGCTTGTTCAGATCAAAGCAGAATCACAGGATTTGCCCCTCCTTTCCGAAACCCAGCAGGCCGATGAAACAGGAGAAGAGAGACGGTTCGGTTTACAGGCAGCACCAATAGCCAGAGCTTGGGGGACCAAGTTCGGGCCTCAGAGGCTGGAGGGCTCCCTGGACCGATTCCGGTTACCCCGGTCACCATTCGAAAGGCAAATTCGGACGCGAGTTTTGGTGAATCTGACGTGAGTGACGTGGAGAGTGTCTCGTCAGAAGCTCTGTCCTCGGCGTAGTCCAAGAGCTCCCTCCCAACGGGTATTATCCGCGGCGCAATGGACGAGCTCAAGAATCTCTTGCTGTTCGATGCCACACTCGAGCCGCTATATCAGGTAACTATTACAAGAGTCGGCGCCGAAAGGTTCCAACGAACCTACGACGCTTTCTCCTGCGGTACGGCCGGGCTCTTGGCAACGAGGCATCGATGCCCATTCAAGTCCAAGCGGCGCGTTTTGTGCGGTTCGCTGCGCTACGAGTTTCAGTCCAGATAGAGAACTCTATTATCGGCGATAATATCTATTAGCCAGGACCGCATCAACAGCCCAGTCGTGAAAAGTTGCTAGCCTATCTCAGGCAAATGCAGCAAATTGAAAAAGACCAAGACGAGGAGGGCCTGGATAGCAGCGACGACGAGTCGTTATACGATTCAGAAGACGCCGATATGCAAAGCCTCGAGAACGTCAAAAATTTCATGGCCTCGTCAGCTGCATTTTCGAGCATGTGCAGCTCCTTCCGGGTCTGGCTGAAACTCGACGAAGACCAGGGACAGATTCCTCTCGACGATAGCCTGAAGCGACAGTCATCACCTCTACAAAACGTTCTCGGTCGGCTTGGAGAGTGCACGAATGGACAAGGCACCACGTCCATGTCTCAACAGAAGGCTCACTCCGTGGACGAGACGCCGGTTCTAGAACACAAGTCACGCGAAGGAAAATCACACACCGTCGCAGGTCGCTCAGGAGGGACCGAGAAATGCCCATCGGAGATAAATGGGATGTTAGCTGTTGAAAGAGACACAGGCTCGCGATGACCAGGCTCCTGGCCCCTTTCATTTATCCAGAGAGTAGTGAAAGACGTGCGGAACCTTGTGTGACCTTTGTCAGACAAAACTAGCCTCCGGATATGTCCGCGTTTCATAGACATGTGTAAGTCACATCTTCCGCTTTGCAGCCAACCGGTACCCTAGAATGCAGAAAGACACTTGCTTACCTTACTTGCCAACTTTCTGCAGAGATTTGGTGAGCGTTTGCAGATTGAGGTGGCCGAACACCGACACCGAGCGGCCACAAACTTTGCCCAAAACGCAGCGGGCCCCAACGCCGACACCGTCTCCTCGAAAAAATCAGACCTCGGCAGCTTGACAGCAGTCGACAGTGTATCATCGGCCAGCACAGGCAGATCAGACTCGTCTGCATCGAGCGGCCAAGGGAGCGAGCCCACCTCTCCGCCACAGTCCCCTAACACGGCCCCCTCAGACAACGAAGCAATCCAGCCGGAGCCCTTTATCCCCGCTGGCACCGAGAAATACATGCTTCTCTGTGTCAACACGATGGCAAACGGGAGGCCGCATATCAAACTCGCCAACGTCGAGGTCACGGACGTGGAATGCGCCGAGGAGATGTTCTCGCGGCTGCAGGAGGCATACCGCGAGCTTCGAAGCAGCTGGAACCCGCTCCTGGTGCCCAAGACGATGCACTACGTCAAGCCAAGCTTCCTTTTTCCTCCTCTCATGATTTACACGCGCCAGCTAATAGCCGACTCGCAACAGTTCCAACTGCTGCACCTCAAAAATGCTGGCGAGTGCGTCGCCAACTACCAAGTCAACACGATCCCATCGAGCAAGGAAGTGCTCACACAAGAATACGCCTTCAGCCCGTGCCCGCCGCAGGTAGGGCAGCTGCCGCTGCCGCCGACGTCCAGGGCGGCACCAGCCTGGGCCAGTACTGTCTCGCCGTGCTCGCCGTGTCCGTGTCCGTGTCCGTGTCCGTGTCCGTGCCCGTATACCTCCTCGAGCATAGTGTGCGGGAGGGGGCCCGATGTGTCTGACTCTGGGGGCAATGGTGGTGTCAGCCCGGTGCCCAAATCCCGCGGATCGGCTTACGCGTCGGTCGACGGGTAGCACGGCACTTGAATACGCGTTCGCAGGCCGGGTTCAGATTCGGCCTCTTGTTGCCGATCCGCATACGAATTTGTGCAACGCTGTTTCTCACTTGCGCGTCCTTGTTGCTGTGTGTCTCTCATGTTAATTGAGACGTTCACATCCACGTCTATAATATATTCGTTTGAAGAGGTTGTTCGAGATGATCAGCTCATGTCAAGAGTCTCAGACCTTGCAGGATGTCGAAGTCAAAAATCAACGATCAAACCATCACAGCGTTCTGATCTCCCGGCTAGCCCCTCCGACCATCACCTCTCGGATCAAGAAAAAGGGAAGATGCTAGCAAGTGGCAACAAGTAGATCTCGGCAGCTGGAAAGTGAAGAACCTGAAAACCAAGGCTGAAATTGCTGAAAAGGCGCACTGATGCCAAGATGTTACTCTTGTGTTGGCGCTTTTACCAAGTAGCTTTCTGAGGTAGGTACTGCCACGATTTGACCCAAGTTGGCGGGAAGAATAAAAGCGATGCAACTCCGATGGCCCGACAAAACTGGGGCAGAGCTATCCTCTTTAACTGCCATCATCCTTGCTGAACTTGAACTTGAACCAATAATCGTTGACAAAATATGCGCTTTTAAAGGCTTGGAGATAACTGGCCCAGTGGTATTCGCCAAAAAGAACGCGACGCTACAGGGGCTTTTCCGGTGCCGAGCTGGTAGAACCACGGATTCCGCAGCACACAACGCCTCCACCACCTGGACCAACTTGTCGATGCGAAACATTGCTGTTGCACAGGATTAAACTTTTATCTCATGTTTTTGAAGCCAACATTGTCAATTTTCGAGATTTTCCAACAGACAGCGACGGGAGTCGGGCAGTGTTTTAGTCGGCCCACTCCTTTGTCATGCCACCCAGGTTGCCAGGATAGCGTAATCTGCAGGGTCGTCGATGCAAAATTGGGGGGCCACATCTGCCGGGGCCGGGGGCATATCTGACTGAATTTCAGAGGGCTGAGGGCCTGAGAGCCCGAGAGCCCGTTTCCCCGTTTCCCCGTTTTCCGCGTAAGATTACAGACGGGACACAGAAAACCTGCGCAAGTCCACGGCGCAGGGGGTGCTTACTGAAATGAATGCACCTTGCCGGCACGGGCGACTCTTGCCCTCAGCTCGCCCGGTTACCGTATCCGTCACTGACGCCTCCAGACCGAGTGATGCAACGCTGAATTACGCGTAAGCAAGAGCCCTAGCTTCCCCGCCCAAGGTAGGCGATTCGTTGAGTCTGTTTGGGACAGGAGAGAGTGGCAGGGATCTGTCCCTGGATATGGCCGAAAGGGCACCGTATCCCGCGTATTGAAGTGTAGGCACGTACGGTACGGAATAGGGAGGTAGCACTGAGGTAGCACTGTCACTCACATCCAATGCTGTTGGGTGCTGACGTTTCCCCTCCCCTCGGATTGCTCAACTGGTCGCACACACCTAGGCAGGACGGATTCTCGACAACCTAAGGGGGCTCAGTGATTTGTCCCCAAAGGCTACTGTCCCTCCCATTTTTGCGCTTGTGGTTGTTCGCCTGCCCCAACTCTTCTTTCTTTTTCGAGTCTTGTTGTCTTTGCTCGTTTCGTACCACGATGGCGTTGCGGTTTTTGCGCCTGCCGTCGCAGTACATGTCGTATTCGCCCCTTCCCAATGGCAGCAGCGGGCAGGAAGCGGCGTCGCCAAGCACTCTTTCCCTCAACTCGCCATCAGGGTCTCCAAAATCCCACCCCAGTGTCACCGAGATCTTGTGCTCGCGCCGGGTGCGCCTGCGTCTGATCGCCCCAATAGTCATCACCCTCTCCATCGTCCTTTTCGTGCTTCACTACGATGCCGTAGTCTCGGCGCCCGCCGTTTGGGGATACGGCCACAATGACACGACCTCGGTGACGACGCCCGCGACGCCCGCGACGCCCTCAACACCAGCGACGCCCGATACGCCCGAGACCCCCACAACTCCGAACACGCCCGACACGCCCGACACGCCCGACACGTCCAACACGCCCACGAAGCCCGCAACACACGACCAGCTACAGCTAGACAACGTCGACTGGTCGCGCTTCGCGTACACGCAGTATGTCACCAACAGCGACTACCTGTGCAACTCCATCATGCTCTTCGAGCTGCTGCACAAGCTCGGGAGCCGCGCCGACCGCGTCATCATGTACCCCTCGCAAATGTTCGATCCCGCCGCCCCAGACGACGGCAGCGGCCGCGGCAACGATGCCCGCCTCCTGATCAAGGCCCGCGACGAATACAAGGTCCATCTGGTTCCCATTGAGGTGCAGCGCAGGAGCACGGCCGACGGTAAATCCTTGTTTCCCTTTCCCACTCCTCGTTTCCTTTTGCAGACTCTCCATCCGCGTTACTCCCGTCATGGCGCTGACCTGGGCACGACGGTCGCCATGAAACAGCAACCTGGGCCGAATCCTTCACGAAGCTGCTCGCCTTCAACCAGACGCAGTACGACCGGGTGCTGTCGCTCGACTCGGACTCGGTAGTGCTGCAGCCGATGGACGAGCTGTTCCTGCTGCCCGACTGCGCCATGGCTATGCCGCGGGCGTACTGGCTGTACCCGGACAAGGAGATCCTGTCGTCGCAGCTGATGCTAGTGCGCCCGAGCGCCGCCGAGTTTGCGCGCGTCATGGCTCGCGCCGAGGCCGGTGGCGGTGATGACTATGATATGGAGATTGTCAACTACCTGTACCGCGACAGCGCCCTCGTCCTGCCCCACCGCCCCTACGACATGCTCACCTCCGAGTTCCGCGCCGAGACGCACGCCTTCTACCTCGGTACCGACGACCCCGCCGCCTGGGACCCCGTCGCCGCCTTCAACGAGGCCAAGTTCCTGCACTTCTCCGACTGGCCCGTCCCCAAGCCCTGGATCCGCATGTCGGATTCGGTGCGCGAGAGCATGCAGCCGCCCTGCCGCGGCAACGGCGCCGAGAAGTGCGTCGAGCGCGAAATGTGGCTTGGCTTCTACAGCGATTTTGCCAACCGCCGTGCGGTTCGTGTTTCTCCCGTCGCGACTCTCTGGAATCCCATTCCCTGAAACTGACCTATCCCGTCTCCTAGCGCGTATGTGACACCTCGTCGAACAAGCGGAGGTTACGACGGAGCGACAGGCGATGACGAGAGTATTAGACGAAGAAGATGCGTCAAAGAAAATATAGGGACTTTGGGGCGACGGCTAGGCGAAAATGAGTTATAGTTCTGGGCGGTTGACATTTTTTCGAAGCATTCGGCGGCGCATGATGAACGGCGTTTGGATAAAAGATGAAACGATATATTTGCATTATTCTTCCTTTCGAACGACACGAAAAGGGGCCTACCCGGCAGGATCTTGGAGAAGGGTGATTTGTTGCAGGATAAAAGGGAGCTTGAAGAACAGGGCTGGGGCTTCAAAGCTTAATAAACCAGGGAAAGTAGGGGTTTGTCGGAAATGTTGGGTTTACATACCTATGTAACAACACAACGGGATCGGCACGAAGCCAGTCAGTCGAAACCAGTCAGTCGGAGAGGAAGTGCGTCGTGTTCCGGATAATATAGCGCCGCGTCGCGTCGCGTCGCATCGTAGCTTCGCCGCCGAGCGGAGTGTGGAATATATTGGCTAATCTACTCTTAGATTGAGGTCGTTTGCAACATTCCGTGCCGCCGGGACGTGCCGCATCCGCCCGCAGCACCATTGTCACATGTCGACCGTCAAGAACACGTATGATAGTGCGGAAGATGACGTTTAACACAAGTTTATTCTATCATGTGGTTGGAAAATTTGCAGAGCTTATTTGGACGTTCCACGTTTGGTCCGACGGTCGTCGAAACTCCGCGGGCCTGTTCCGGTAGGCCAAGCGTGTCACGCCCTGCGGACCATGGAACTGGGGCCGACTTGCCGCCCAGCATCTGTAGAGCCGTAGTCCGTTTCCCGGTTTTCTTTGTTGTTTGCGCTTCGGACCGCCGTCGATCAGGCTGCTCCCGTTCGTTCATTCCCGTTCATTTATTCCACTTCCCCGGAAACCGGAGAGTGGAGCCTGGCCAATACATAATCTCGGGTAAATAAACCCCTTTGTTTTTACAACTGAACCTTGCTTAAGATATCGGTGCAGGTTCGAAGAGTTGCTTGTCTTAAAGCAACAAAGCTACAAAGCAGCAGCACGCGCCGCTGGAACGCGAGTGAGGCCACTGCAGCGTTCAAATGTCCGTGCCGGGCGAGACAACATAGTGAAACCTGCTACCTATCCGACCAGCTGCTGCTCATCTTAAAAAAAATTTGGCATTGTTCGCATCATCGCACTTCACCGCTAAGCCAGCAGATGCCGTATCTCCACACAAAGATCGCCGAACATGTCGGCAGCCAAAAACCGGCTTCCGTTTCGAGCTACCCCGTGCATTCAGAAGCATATAGCTGACCCGTTCGCAGATCCTGCTCCACCTCCCATGGCTGGCCGGGATGTCGGCGACCGCGATGACGACCGCCCCGTCAGCCGCAGCCCCGAAAGACCGTACAGGAGCCTGTCGAGGCTGCTTTCAAGTCCGTTGTCGGCCAGCCAGCTCGGGCGACATGCACCCAGCTGACTTCGACCCTGCATGTTTCCGTGCTGCCACAACAGCCTGCATCCGGGATTGATTTGGCTGACCACCGCCAACGCTACACAGCTTCGCCGCCTAGGGGGACTCCTGCCAGTTCGTCTTGTCAACTTGAGAGACGAACCACTCCTCCAAGCTCAAGTCGAGCAAGGCCTAGGCACCCGGCGCCTCTATGTAGGTACGGGGCTCCATGGCAACGGCGCGCGAATTGGAACCGCTCCTCGGCCCGACCTGCGAGACATTGTCCAAGCGGTGGCGCCGAAGTCGTGGCCGGCGTGCGGCTGCCGACACACCACGAGATACACGTCGCATATCATGTCGTTGGCGTGAACCACGGGGCCAACCAGGGAGCTGCGCTGCGTCGGAGGGATCAATGAGATCGACATGGTGACTCTCGACAAAGCGAGCTATCGAAACCTGCATGCAGTGCAATAAATGGCAATCAAAAAAAATACGATGTTGGGCAGCCTGCCACCCAAATATCCACGCCCGTGGGGAAGTCCCGGACGTGCCTACTAACGACGTCGTCGTTGCACAGCCAGGGATAGGAACCCGGGATGGGTAATTTCATTGACAGCGCCGTTTCAACGTACGTAATTGCGTTTTGCCTGTTCGGAACATGAAATTCAGTGTTTCCTGCCTTTCAGCTAATCTCTTCTAAGAAGGTAATTACACACTTACACTCCACTCTGCGCGCGAAATAACCCGCAATTCGGGGTTCAGTAACCCAAGACGAGCGCGAGTGAAACGCCTTTCGCCCAAGATCTTGAAATTCGAAATCTGTTTCGTTGCAATACCCACTCGCACCCAGGGTAGACGCCCAAGATCTTGAAATTCGAAATCCGTTTCGTTGCAATACCCACTCGTACCCAGGGCACACTCGCCCAAGGGGGCCACAGCAAGCATAAAGGGCATGCCATGGCCCGCGACCTTTCTTCCGATGGACACAGGTTCCAGACACAAGGAGGCGTGCTTGCAGCGTCGGAGAAATATCATCGTTGCGCTGCCAATCCGTCTTGACAGTCGCCGTGGTCCCCAAAACCTTCGCCTTGAAGCTTGGAACTCGAGACAAACACCGTTGCACAAGCTTCTCCTATTGTCGTACCCACCTCATAATACAACGCACATATAGCTCAAGGCACTCGCAAAAAAAGAAAAATGCAGCTCAAGTCCCTCGCCCTCTGCTCGCTGGCGGCCGTCACCACGTCGGCGGCGGCGGCGGCGGTCACGTCGGACAACCCGCGCTCGCAGCAGAGCTGCCTGTGCAGCAACACGGTCGAGACGCTGCTATCGGCCTACGTGCGCATCCTCAGCGAGCCCAAGTGGAACGACACTGAGGCCAAGTACCTGGCCGACAGCTTCCGGGACACGTCGGACAGCATCAACATCCTAGCCGGGATCCCCCTGGGCAGCGTCACCTTCCCGAGCAAGCAGGCCCTCATCGCCCACGAGACGAGCGCGGTAGGTTGACCCCTTCCCCTTTTCATCATTTCGCACATCTATCTGCCTAAAGTCTCAAAAGAGAGACGAACGAAGTGAGCCAACTAACGTGCCTCAAAAGCCCGACAACCTTCCCATCAAAATCACCAGCATAGGCCCCTACGACTGCACCTCCGTCTCGTTCATCTGGTCGGCGACGTTCGGCGCCGGCAACCCAGTGCGCGGTATCACGATCTTAGGCGCGACCAAGGCGGCGGGCTGGTGGCAGATCGCGAGCATCGACATGGAGATGAACTCGTGCGCCTTTGCACGCAACATCGGCGGAACGTGCGTGCCCCCCGGTGCGCCGCCATCTTGATGAGGCACTGTCCCCGCCATTGCGTGTTCTTTTGGACCTTTGAGGCAAGGTAATCCGGTGCGAAAAGGGGGAGGGAGAGAGTTGCGTGAGCCACCCGGGTAATGAGGGAGGGGGAAAAAAAGTCGACAGCCCTTGAGCCTTGAGAGGAGGAGGGAAGAAAATACGCAAGGGACGGAACAATAATCCCTAATATTTATATCCTACTATCCTGGGCATAATTATAATAAACACTGCGTTCCCTGCCCCGTCAACATTTCCAGTCTTGCTGAAACAATTGCACGTCAGCTGCTTCCTTCAATGCCGTTTCATTATTGTCAATCGAGAAGCCTGGTCAGGCCATGAGCAGCTCACAGGAACGAGCAGAAACTACTTCGTGTACATGTTCCATGACTACGCCCACTTAATTGCACCTACTTGTTCCACCTAATAACGCCAATTACTGCCCAATGCCAGAGTGTCACATAATCACACTAGGAAATGCTCAAGTTTTATGGTGATCAAATAGCTTAATGGAATGCACCCCCGCCAGATATCCCCGGCAGTCTCAAGCTTGCCCCCCGGCTCGTGCAACAATGGCAACATTCTCTGGCATCGTATCATGTACGGATGCCGTAGGGTATCTATCCATCTCTCCGTCCATGCTATTAGACCTTCGGACCCTGACACCTAGTATGCAATGAGGAAAGGGAAAGCCAGGCTCGTGAAGGAACAACGCCGAAACCCAATGACCCTCCCCCTATCCAAAAAACCCTTCCGACCAGGGTATATGCAGTGATGATTACCTATACTGACAGGGATAACAAAAGAAAAGGTATCGCAGCAAACAAACGAAAGATGTGCGTAGAGTAGTTCGATCTCCTTCAATATATCCCCCAACACCACGCTTATGCAATGCAGGAATGGTTTACAGCAACATCGTACGACGGCCGTTCAATCCTCGAGCACTTCGCGCATCGCTTCTTGAATATGGTCGAGGTCGTTGGGTGTCACTTTACTGGACGGGCCACGGCGTTGGTGTGCAGCCCAATATTCGTGAAAGCCCGGGATCACGCCAGGCTGATTGATGCCCGGCGCCCGGAACGTGTCGTTTGACGAAAGGCTGTCGTGGGGTGACCCCAGGGCCGCTTTACTCGTCAAGGAAGCCGAGTTTGGACTGGCGAGAGCGGGCGTGACTGTGATGGTGCTGAGGATGGGGGTAGCGGTTGGGCTGGGTTCAGGTGACGGGCTGGCGCTTATGTTGCCGCCCCATGGCCGCCAAGAAACAATTCTGCCCAGGGCGCTAGAAGACTGCCGCGTCGCGATCGAGTTTCTCGTGTGGACGGCAGGGCCGGAGACGGTTCTCCCGCCGGCTCGCGCGCTTGGCAGGGACAACCCTAGGCCAGCCATAGCCAGATTGTCTCGCAGCAAAACGCTCCCCTTGCTTCCTCTGGTACTTGTCCTTGAGATAGTCGGGCGGGCTGTGATGGCGCTCACATTTGTGCCGGCAGCAGTCACACCAAGCGGCCGCAGAGTCAGCTGGCTAGGCCGGACTTTAAGCGTGTGTATGTCCATCCCGTTGGAAAGGGACATAATGGATTCGTGGGAGAGCGCGCGGTGTAGCGTGCGTGGGCGACGTCCCAGACTTGGGTCAAAGTCTTCTGGCTCAAGGGTCGGCGACTGGGCTTCATGGCCGTCGCCATCAGTACTAGGGGTGTCGATTGTGGTGTCGTCGGCTGAGGGGGCGGTCTGTGCTAGATCAGGGATATCATCGGTCGTGTATGATGCAATAGCATTTCGAGATGGGCGATCATCCACGATCAGTTTTGCTAAAGGGTGCGGTCGTGGATTTCTAGCTGGCGGCTGGTCGCCACTGCTAGAAGGCGCCTGCTCCACTGGAAGAGCAACTGCAGCAGATATGCTTCTAGTAGATAGCTCTGACACTTGTTTCCTGTGGAAACCCCTCCAAGTGGGCGACAAGGGGTCGATGCTAGTCGTTGGTGAGGTGGGAAGCGAGCTTTCCATAAGAGCTCTGTCAAACATTGAGTTCCGGTTGTAGTTCCGGGGAGAACTTGGGGCCGAGGAGGCCAATTCTGACGGGCTTTCCGAGATCAGAGACCAGCGATTGTTTGCATGCATCGAAGATGTCGAGGACGGGTCTTTGGATGCGTGGGGAACAAAAGCGGCCGCGAGCACTCCTCGATTTTGCCATGTCATGGCCGAGAGGCGAGGCGTAGAGGGTGCCGATATATGCGGCGGAGTGAAAGTGCCCGGAGTGAGTCCTTGTCTCTTCTTCTTGGGCTTCTTCGACTCTGGCTTGTGGGTAACATGGTAGTGATGGTGCACGTGGAGTTCTTGTGACACCCTTGGAGGCGAAGGTGCTGGGGGTTCTTTCAGCTCCAGCTCGGCCCGCAGTGTTGGTGTCGAGGCACTGGCGCCGACCTGGCTATCGACTGGCTGGTGGTACAAAAGCTGCTCTCGGAGCAACTGTATCTCGTCGTTGGAGCTCATCAACATCTCGCGCAACTCGGAGATGCCCAGCTGCAGGGTGGCGTTGTCCTGCAGGATGTCGCGGACGAAATGCGACACCACGTTGCCCTTATTCTTGCCGTCCGTCATTGACCTCGTCGCGGCTGCCCCCTTAAGCCTGCCTGCCGCCGTGTTGAGTTCGTTTTCCATGACGCGCTGCCGCTCGATGCGGCTGAGCACCTCGACATGGCGCTCGCGCTCCTCCCTGGCCTCTTTCTCCATGCGTTCCAGCTGGTCTTGCAGGTCGTTGATACCCCTCTCCGCCTGTCTCCAGCGGAACATGGCCGTGCGTGCCTCCTCCTGGGTGTGGACGATGGTCTTTTGGAGGGTTGCCTGCTCCTCCTCCAGCATGGCAATCTGTCGCTCGAGGTTGGCCGCCCGGGCCGCGGCACTCTCCAGTCTTCTTATCTCGCGCTGAGAGTCCCGAAGCGTGGCCTCCAGCAGCTCGATCTTGGTGTCGGCATCTTTGACTGTCTCGTTGAGCTGGTCGAGATCGTCGCGCAGACTGTGGTTCTCCATGTTGGCCTGCCTGTTGCGGGCTTCGAGGTCGGCGTTGTCCTGTTCTAGTTGCTCGATACGGCTTGCGAGCTCGACGCGGTCGCGTTCGACGGATGCCATGTAGGCTTCGTGGCGGGCAAGCAACGTCTGCAGCGCAAGAGTCAGCGACGGGGTGCAATCTTCAGTTTTAGGGCGGCGCGTGCGCCACACGGTCTCGACGGTAGCCATGATGACAAGCGTACTCTGTTCGTCGCCGGGCTGTTGGCCACGCGTGGAGCCACTCGAGCAAGCGCGGGTTTGAGGACTTGACAGGAACACAAAGAAGGCGGTCGGGAAGCGACAAGGGCGAAAGCCAAGGGGCTGGTGTCGCAGGCAGGAATGAATGCTCGAGGAAGTCGACTCACCTGGCCCATTTTTGCCGCCGTGTGCACATCGCGTTCGACGCTCTGTAGCACAGAGCAATTGTGTCTCAAAAAGACACAACCGTCCCTCCCACAACAGCACTGAAGGTCTGGCGGCTGAGAGCCGGGTGCGTCCAGAGCCTCCATGGCGTCGTTCGAGGCGTCGAGTGGGGGGCGGCTTTCGGAACCCGACGAGTCGGCCATTCCTATTGCGGAAGGCTTGATTCAGCTGGAAATGCGGTCGCGCAAAACGCCACCATAGTCGCGGTCTAGGTTCGCTTGCGTGAGGAAAGCTAGCAGAGAGCGTGTCCTTCTAGCCCCAGTCGGAAAGGGACAAAAGTGAGACGGTACACGGAATCGAGACGGGTACACGGAATCGAGACGGTACACGGAATCGAGACGGTACACGGAATCGAGACGCGGATTCTAGGTTTGCGTGTTCGAGAGACAACCAGGTCCGAGCATCAAAGTCTTCGATTGCGCGACTCAGGCATACGGAATAGTGCTCCACAGATGAGGACCAGTGGGGTGGGGTCGACTTCGATGCAGCGCTGCGTGTAAAGCCTTTACAGGGCTGGGCGTCTCTGGCGTTCTGTGTCGTCGACTATCGCTTGGTTCGCTCTCGAGCTTGTTTAGACGCTATCCGACGCTTGTTGGTTTGGAACCTGCGGCGCCAATGTGAGACACTGCAGTGGACGGATGATGGCTTTGACAGCTTGGGCGACGCAGGCAGGCAAGACACGCATGCGAGAACGCGCAAATTCGAAATAATATATTCAAAATCAATTAAGATAGGGAAAAGATGTCATGAGAGGTGGCTGGATGTCTATCTGCCTGGCTGCCATTCGAGCAGCCAAGTCGACAAGAGATCATGTGCCCTTGCCCTGACTCCCAGTGGTGAATGGCCTGGCCTGTTTGCTGCGACCGCGTCGAGATTCGGACTCACAGGCCAACAGGACACGCCCCCCACCATGCCGCTGGCACGCGTCAGGCACGGCGGCCAGGGTGCCCGAATCCTAACACGCCCTGACCCCTGTCCAAATGACGAAACTCCGCAATTAACCCCAGCGCGCCCACCACAGCCCCGCCATTCATTGACTGCCAATCGTCGCCCTCCACCAGCCCCTCAACTTCCCCATTCAACAACTTATCAGCTGCCAGCAAATGGCAGAAATCCAACCCCCCTATTTTAGCAATTTTTTCTTATTTGGGAAGGTTTCTGAAAAAACTTGATTTCAAAAAACAGCGAGATAATTATGCGGTAGTATTTTACGGCAATTGAAGTTCACAACTCACTTCTGTTATGGTGACTTTAATTATTTACTAGGTACCTTGGCCCGAACATCTAGGTAGTTTTCAGCGTATTGAGCATAGTTTCCTCATTCAGTGATGATTTTGGGGATGGGGGTTGCAGCGGGTTCTACAGTAGTAGTTTCTGAGCTAAAGCGAGTGCCCAAGAGTCACAATGGGAGGATCACGAAGATAAGAGCTGCGTGCTGTGAGCCATATGAGTCTCGGGCTTGTCTCTTAATCTTCTCTCGACGCCATCTAGCATATTAGTTGAGAGCTGTACAGTCCATTTATCATTGTTGATAAATGATTTCCGCCAAGGTAGCAGTGGTCTGTCTTGCCCTGGCAGCACCTCCCGTACATATTCAGAGGAAATAAACCTAGCCTCTTTTAGTAAACCATTCTCATTCGTATCCAATCAAACGTGTGTATGTGGTAGTTGAGGGTCATAAATGCGGTTAAATAGCACAGGTATTGTCTATACACGTGGAAAAGACAGGGCACCCAAGGTGGAATTGTTCGTGAACTCCGAATATGCAGCAGCTTGGTCCCCTATAATCAACAGTGTTAGCACTGGGTATATAACAATATGGACCAGGCCTAGAGATTCAACGGTGCCTTTATGGAAAGGCTCAGCAATCAAGAGGTAGCACTTTTCCCAATGGCTATCAATGTCGGGGAAGGTTCGGCCTACGGATCAATCCAATATAGGTATAATCAATATGAGGTTCAGGTTCAGAGGAGATTTACATATAAAATTGTTGGTGTTGAGAACCAAATATTTACAGCCAAAAGGCAAGGTTAATTGGAAACCTCAGAGAAGAAAGAAAAGGTATCAAAGATGAAGGAAATACTGAGATTCGGCGATAAAGTAGCTCGCATTTTTAGCCATGTTGTCTAGAACACGCAGAATTAACACAGGTAATAGGACATTTGGTGAGGAATGGAAGAACGCCTACCTGTGTAGACGCCACAGTACTTGAAGAACAATGTATATAGTATGGCAGTCTCGGTTCCAGTCCAGAGTGGTGATATGAAAACTTCTGATTGTCTGGTAAGCCACTCTTTGCCCTTGCCATGTTGGCGAGCCCGAGCCCAACACTCAAGACTCACTGCGGAAGGTAGGCACTATGAGCATTCTGTCGATATGGGAGGGAACAGTGTGATCCTGGCGAAAAACGACCGCAGTATCTGAGGCAATGGACTGGCAGGGCTGTTCTGCTTGAGACTTGGTTGTCCGGAACACCCTCGGATCGTGTGTCGTTAGGTTGTTTTGGAGCTGTTGTTGCCATCCGCGGTGGCATCTGTGCCCTGCACAGCTGGCGGAACTTGGGCTCTACGGGTCTTCGCGTTGTCGAGTTTCAGCTTGATGTCCTGGAGGTCTTCGCGTCTGATCTGAGAGGCGCGGCCGGCGTCGACGACCATGCCGATGATCCGGGACCCAGAAGAGGCGATTGCGTCGTTTACCTGCTGACGGATCTCGTCCATGTTGCCGGCCATGCTGGCCCTGTGTCGGACGGTGGTTGAGCGCGTCGAGTTGAACTTGGCGCTGCGAAACCTGTTTTCCGATTTTGAGTTTTCTTAGCGGCCGAGGATTCTGTGGCTTGGATATTTAAGTTTTGCTTCACCGCCTAGAGGCCGTCATGCGGGGGGTGAGGGGGGCAGGGTCGAGCAGCATGGCTGCCTGGTAGTGAGAAATGTGAGACTGTTTGCTCAGTAACAGTTGGTTGCAGGATTGGCAAGTTTTGAGGCCGAGACATGGGAGAGCTCGAGAAAAAGGACGGCATCAAGATTTGAGAAAGCACCACCCGTAATCTCCGGACTGAAGAGCCATGGCCCGCGCTAGAGTTTTATGCTTTGGGCAAAGCATATCCTGCATCAGTCAGCCTTAAGGGCGCCACATCCCCATTCCTTTACCCCTTTAACGTGATTCTTTTGATCAAAGTGAGGCTCTGGCAAAGAGTGCAATGATTCGGGTTGCCTTCTTTGAATACAAATGGAGCACACAAATGAAACGGAAATCAACTCTAAAATGTCCAGTAGCAAGGTCAATGATGCGCGCCGGCGGACCTCAGAGCAACGAGGTGGATTTTGCAATCACCCGAGACTATCGACCATTCCGTGTTATTTCGAGTACTCTCGATGATGAGATAAACACAAGGAAAGAACCATGATTTAATACCATGCTAAAAAAAAAACAGCCCCATAAATCACTGCAAATTCACAAACAAGCCCCCGTCAACCAGCAGCTGGGCGCCCGTGACGTAGCCGCTCAGCTCGTCGCTGGCAAGAAAGATGGCAGGGCCGGCGAGGTCGCGCGGCTCGCCAGTGCGTCCGAGGGGGATGCGCGTCTCCATATAGGTGCGCTTGGCATCGTCGTCAAGGTCGGCCTCGTTGAGCTGCGTCTTGATGGTGCCGGGCAGGAGGGCGTTGCAGCGTATGGAGTAGCGACCGAGGGCGACGGCGGTGCTCTGCATCAGCGACAGCACGCCGGCCTTTGTGGGCGTGTAGTGGGTCTGGCCGCCGCCACCCACCAAGGCCGAGATGGACGAGATGCCGATGATGGAGCCGCCGGGCGGGGTCTGGCCGCGGGCCATCTGGCGCGCGGCCGCCTGCACCACGTAAAAGGCGCCATCGAGGTTGGTGCGCACCGTGTTGGCGAAGAGATGGGCGTCGAGATCGAGAAACTCGGCAAAGGTGCAGATTCCGGCATTGGACACGCACACGTCTAACCGGCCCGTGGAAAACTGCTCGAGCGCAAAGGCGACGAGACGCGTGCCCGTTTCGGGATCGCGCACGTCGCCGGGGAGGTGGGCTAGTCGGCCTGCTGAGGGGTTGGTTTTGAGCAGCTCAGAGGCCTCGCTGACGAGGCTGTCAAGGTGTGGCTGGTCCCTGGAAAGGCCGAGGTGGTTAACGGCGACGCTGCAGCCCTGGGCAAGGAATGCGAGCGCGATGGCGCGCCCGATCCCCGTTGTGCCACCAGTGATAACGGCAGTCTTGCCAGCGAGAAGCCCGGAGGGTGGCATGACCACCACGTCTGGAAGTCTAGAGCCCACAGCGTAAGCGTATATGGCGCCGGGGACACCGAGGTACCTTGTCCCAGGGTCCTGGAGGGCTGTCCACAACACCGTCGGCTTGGCTTGTTCAGGGTTGCCAAAGTCGTTCGCGTCTGATGCCTCGGCCAAACTGCCTTTCCAGTCTATGCCCGTGACCTCAAAAGCGATGGGCATGGGGCGTTCATACACACATGTATGTACATATACTGTACTTTGGGTACGTTGTACTGCCGTGGGGTAGATTTGGCTGGATGGGTGGAAGGAGGGGCCCCTTGCAGCAGTTGGCACACCTCACTGTGTCCCGGTCGGGCAGGCAAGATAGGCAGCCCCCCCGGAAACACCCTGCTTGCGAGGCACACGTGGAGCCCGCAGTGGAGGCACATGGGACGTCGTCGAAGGAGAGCTGCCGATGTGGCGTGTATCCCTGCATTTAGCCAGGGCCCGCCCAAGACGGCCGCGGCCTGCCTGGGGCCCACACAGCCAGCTCACTCGCCCCAAGGGGCTTGTTGGAACCACGCCCCACCCAGGCTCGGTCTGAATTACAGCGAGGTCAGCGAGTTCTAGAGTGTTTCGGTGTCAGGTGAGCTCTCGACGACGGGTTCCATTTCCGAACTCATCCTCCACTATGCACGTGCGAACTAAACGGAACAAGCCCGTGAGCCAACGATCCGATCAACCCAGTCTATCCACAAGTCGGCGAGCAAGCGACTTTTGGAACATTAAGAGTTCTCCCGCGAGGCGCGATACCAATGTGGGGAGCCTCGAGAGCCAACGATACCGATGACGTCAGACCATATCAGCCAGCCTCCACACAGGGAAACGTGTCGAGGGAAACTCGGAGATGTGGACGATTTTATGAGGCAACGCTATGGGCAATCTGGAAGGGAGACACGTGGAATACAATTGCGAGCGCTGTTGATGCTCTGTGAAGCCCTCCATCCGCACCGGGAATAACGCCACGCTCAGGCAGTAGTTAGCTCCTGCACTTTGGCAACCAAGCCATCCACGACGCCATCCTCTGCCTCTTTACTCTCCTCGGTAACACCGGGCGCCGGGGGAGTGAGCGAGGCCGGCACGGGGGGCGTCAAGAGATATGTGCTGGGAATCAGCTTGGTTCTAGCAACAGGATTGAGCGTAAGGCCAAATCCAGGCTTATCCAAGTCTGCAGCTGTTAGGTATCCCTTGGTAGGGATCGGCTCGTCGACGAACAAGTCGCCAAATACAGGAAGCACGCTCTTGCCATCAGGTGAGTTGGCCAGGTACTCCTGAAACGGTGTGTTGGGCTGGCTGATGACGAAATGGTAGCTGTACGGGCCGCTGGCATGGGGAACGACGGGGATGTCGTACGCAGCGGCCATGGCGGCCACCTTGAGCAGCTCCGTCATCCCACCGAGCCACATGACGTCTGGCTGGATGATGTCGAGATTGCGCCCTTCGATCAGCTTCCGGAACCCGTAGCGAGAGTACTCGTGCTCGCCCGTGGTGAACTTGAGGGTCGGGTGGGCTCGCTTGATCTGGGCGAAGCCATCCGTATCGTCGGGACTCAGACACTCCTCCCACCAGTTGATGTCAAGGTCTTCGCACTTCTTCGCGATTTCGATCGTGTAGGACACGTTGAGAGACATGTAGCAGTCGACCATGAGCGGAAAGTCGGGGCCGACAGACTCGCGGTGCTTGCGCAGGAACTCTACGTTCTTCTTGAGCCCCACTTGGCCTTCTTCCGGGCAGTACGGAAGCGGAACCTTGGCTCCCCAGAAGCCCATGGCTTTGGCGGCCGGGGGATCGGGCCCCGTGCAGTAGAAGTCAATGCGATCCTTGGTGCTGCCGCCGATGAGCTTGTACACAGGCTCATTGCGCATCTTGCCCAGCAAGTCCCAGAGGGCAAGGTCGATGACGGATATGACGGCGACAGGGAGTCCCTTGCGCCCATAGAACATGGAAGCGCGATACATTTGCTCAAAGAGGTGGTTGGTGTCTCGAGGGTCCGCCCCGATCAAGAACCGTTCAAAGTGCTGGTGGACGAGCCAGCACGCGGGAGGTCCTTGGAAGGAATTGCCGTGTCAGTCGTCGTCCGTATCGGCATCCAAGACTGAGAGTGACCTACCGCCGAATCCGGTGGCAAAGCCGACGGTGCCATCGCTGGCCTCAATCTCGAGGAAGAAGGAGCCAAGGACGTTGATGCCCCAGCTTGTTCGTGACGCCCGGTACTTCTCCCACCTCGAGCAAGGCGTCGAGATGGGCGAGTCGATCAGCCTGTCTCGTGTAAGCATGCATGCCAACCCAAGCGGGACAGGGGCAAGACCTACCAGTGTCCTCCCTTGACGTTATGATAATCACCGCCTTCTCAACCGTCAGCAGGCATCTAACGACGAGTGGTCTGGAAGCTTTGCAAACCTGATCCAACACCGCCAATCACAAAAGATCGCACGCTCTTGATCGTCGGAAACTGTCTTACGGAAGCCATGGTGACGAGGGTTTAGGGTGAGATATTGCAGAGTGAGGAGTCGGAGCCCCGGATGGGGGATAGGATGGGGTTATTATACGCAGAGCGTCCTTGCCAGTCAGTGAAGGGAAGGGGTTTGGGGTAGAGATATCGAGCGCCGGCAGCTGGGCAGGACCGGAGACTGAATCGGCTCTTGGAAGGGAAGACGAGGATGATGCTCCAATCGAGGCAAAGTGCAACCACTCGATTCTCAGATTCCCGCTCCGGCGCCAATGTGTGTTTGTCGGCTTGTTTCGTTGCGAGATCTGTGGGGGTCGTCCCCAAGGTACGAGGCAGGCAAGTGGACAAAGGACGAGAGCCGGTCGGGTAGTGATGCACCGATACTAGAGCCATGGGTAGCCATATCCTCCCGGAACACTAACAAGGCCGTGTCAGGCCAGTCCCGTCGCGCCCAGTCCAGTCCAGTGCAGTCCAGTCAAGTGCAGTGCAGTGCAGTCCAGTCCAGACAGAGTCGAGTCTACTTGGCAGCTGCCCGGTACGAGTTCTCTGTCCCCGTTCGTTCGCCATCAACTCGACACGCGCATCAACCCCACCTTTCCGAGGCCCTAAGTGTAGGCATGTACTAGCAATCTACATAGTAGATGATCTTGATCCGGCACCCCGCCCAACCCGGTCCGTTTGGCGACTGTGGAGAGTGCTAGGTGTCTCCTGACCTCGGCAGACCGGGCACCTGGAGACGCAGCTCCCGCCGCTCCTTGGGAGGCGACATTGAGCTTGAGGCTCTCATCGGCCAGAACTCGGGTCCGGGGTTGCTGCGGCGCAAACCAAACCAAGCACTATGTCTGCCGGAGCGTCTGGATATGCCATGCTATGATCTAGCAGGCCGTCTAGCGCACTCCGTCGGTCGGGTTGCATTGCGCCCACATGCAGTGCAGGCTACCTCACTTGCTGCTGATGCAGGTAATCATCCATTGGGCAGCATCCAGAACACGTGGATCGGGCGCCGGGAGAAGGTCGTCGTGATGTGATGCAGGAGCTTTCTGGGCTGGATAGGTAGGTAACCTTGGGTATGATGGGTTGGATGGAGCACCTCCCTCCCGTCCTCTCCTGGCCTGTCGGCGATGGGCACCAAAGACCAGACCCATCAGGTACATCTAAAAGACCTGGGCCTTGGAAAAAGAAAAAAAAAAGAAAAAAAAAGGAAGAAAAGAAAATAAAACCTCGGCACCTTGGGCAGCGGTACAATTCGGTGGAAGGCTCTACGGAGCAGTGCCTGCCCAGCGGTTTAGTGCCTGTTGATGTTGCAGGGAGGACTCGACGAGCCGACGATGGCGACAAGAGTGGTGGGACCCGTTTTTCTTACGCACAGCATCCACGCCCTATGGATTACCTAGGTATTTCTACACGGTGCTCGTCTTTTGCTGGACCTGGGACGCAAACAGGATGCCAATTCCAGGTTCGGCCGTGATTTTGCGGGAGCCACTTTAGAACTGCATAATGATAGATGCAAGTGTTGGCGGTCTGGGAAGTCGTCGGCTGCATTGAGGAAATCAAGAACTTGGAATCGGGTTGGATGTGATCATGGGACTCCAGCTGCGAGCTCCTCCTGTACGGAGTGCCTCTACATAACCATCGCCCGCACAGTGGGTACAGTGGGTACAGTGTGTACAGTGTGTACAGTGTAAATATATTGCACGGCATGACCCTATGCCCAAGAGAGCAAGCACTTCACAGTTCAATGCAGATGGCAAAAAGCGGTCGCAGTTGCTCAGTTGGTCTGTCCGACTTATTGGACCATCGAGCTAGCCGCCGTTTGGCAACTGGCAGCCACTGCCCAGTGCCGAGGGCAAGCCGCAATTGCCTGACTCGTGCGACCCATCCTCTCCGCAATTTCGCTTGTCCTTCCCCACACGAACCCCAGAAACAGCAAGAACGACAGCTCCGACCGTGGTGCGAGGTGCAACGGAGTGAAGGTGCACCCAGTTTGGCGGAAGTGCCAATTGCCCGTGGCGTGCGAATTGGCTTGCCGTGTGCTTCAAGTTCTGTGCCGCGTTAAATCGGCCGAAACCCTCTTCAGCGACCCCCTCCCTTCCCCTCGCACCCCTCTCGCTTTTCTGCCCATCATTACCCCGAACCGCCCGGTCCGAGGGCCATCGTCGTGCCGCTGCTGCGTGTCTCGCGCCGACGGAGTGCACTAGTTCCTTTACCATTCCTATTCAGTACCTCGCTGTAGGTATCTATCTACCTGACGGATCGGATCAAGGTCTCTGATGTGACCCTTGCCCGACTGGGCGCCGACAGCACGCCGCCCTGCGTGAGACTTCGGTCGCCCCTCCTTTGGTCCCTACTCCGTACCCAGGCTTCCATCTGTAGTGGCCCAGTGGGTAGCTAGCTAGCTGGGTAAGTGGAGGTAGCCTCCATGCCCGGGACCGGGAGGTGTCCTAGGTTCCAGGTTGGGCCTTGGGAAATAAGCTTACAGTGGTTGGTCCAGTTGCTGTTGCCCTGGCGCTCGAGCGCGGCTGGCAAGGTTAGGTCCTTCCAGGCTCCCCCCTCTCGGGCTGACTGGCGTCATCCGCGCGTTGGCGGCTCTTCACTAGCTGTGGGCACCGCGAATGCGCTGTCCCAGCGGCCCGCGACTCGCGACTCGCGACTGATCGCTGCTGGCGTCCCCGTGGGCGTTCCGTTGGCGCTCCTCCCCCGACCACCACGATGCAGGTGCACGCTCCAAGATACGGCGGGCAGCCGCATCCCCAGTCGTCCCCTCAGTCCTCACACAACCAGGGCGACCCTGCAGACAGCGACGACGGACAGCTGAGCGGCGACGACTTGGACAACGACCTCGACGATCACCACGACGTCGGCCGCAGCGGCAAGCGCAAGAGGCCCATATCTGTATCGTATGTCGCGTCTCCCCTTCATCCGTGCCATGTCTAGCCTTCTGGTGCTGGATCGCTTTTCTGCCTTCCAACTTGCACCCCATCACCGAAACCTGCTCCCCTTCTCTCGGATTCGTTTGGCTCACCTAGTCGGGCAGGATCCGTGCTAATACGATTGACTCTAGATGCGAGCTCTGCAAACAGCGGAAAGTATGGTCTGCGGTCTTGTCTACCGACTCTTGACTTACCCCTAGTCCCCTAAACATGCCATCCCGTTCGCCCTCTCCCGCCTCTTTCTCTCTGCCATCCGATAACGACGCCCCTGGTACTACCGATGCACAAATGTGAGCGACCACCGCTGACCGGGGCCACAGGTGAAATGCGATCGCGGGCAGCCGTCGTGCGGGTGGTGTAGCCGCAACGGTGCACAATGCGAGTATAAGGAGCGCAAGAAGCCGGGACTACGGGCAGGGTACGGCCGGGAGCTGGAGCAACGCCTGGACAAACTGGAGGAGATACTCAAGACACACTCCGAAATCCTCCAAACCTCTTTCGGCGGCACCACCTTGAGCCCTGTGAGCCGGCACAGCAGCGGCCATGACGGCGGCATGGCACAGCTCAACGCACCACCGAGCGTGAGAGGCAGCAACGCCAGTTTGCCAAGTGACCATGGCACGCCTCGAGAGCTAGGCCCACCGTCGATATTCTCACGGTCTGGCGGCGAGACGATTCGGACGCCTCAGGCCGAGACCGCTCTGTTCCTGCAGAAGCCGTTGGCGCCGATCGAATTTACTTTGCCTCCACTTACACCGGAGATACAGGACAGCTACCGGAACAGGGCGGGTATTTCCCCGCAACACCGCGCCCAGTCAGTAAGCCAGCCTAGCGCGGCAGCCCAGGAGTATTACGGTACTGTCCCGAGCGTAGGACAGCTGCTACAGTCGCCGACTGCGAGCAATGCGCAGAGTCAGAGCCAGATGGCTGCCGACGAGGAACTTCCCCCATACGACCTCCTGTACGGCCTGGTTGATCTCTACTTCAAGCACATCAACACTTGGTGTCCAATCTTGCACCGCAAATCCACTCTCGAATCGTTATTCGGGCCTTCGAGGATTGACGAGACGGATAAAATACTGCTGCACGCCGTCGTGGCGACCAGTCTTCGATACTCGACAGACGCAAGACTCACAGAGGAAAGCAGGCGTCGATTCCACGACGTATCTAAGCAACGCGTTCTCCTGTACGGCATGGAACATTCGTCCGTCAAAGCGTTGCAGGCCCTCGTCATCCTCGCCCTGGACTTGTGTGGTAGCAGTAACGGCCCACCTGGATGGAACATCATGGCGTTGATCACGCGCTCCGTTGTTCAACTTGGGCTGGCGGTGGAGAGCAATTCGTTTTCGGTCTCGCCGTACTACACGTCAATATACACGCTTCGCGCCATGATTCTTCCCGAACCGCGCGACTTCATCGAGGAAGAGTCACGGAGACGGCTTTTTTGGATGGTTTACCTCCTAGACCGCTATGCCACCATCGCAACGGCCTTTGAGTTTGCGCTGGACGACCGCGAGATCGACCGCATACTCCCATGCCGCGATGACCTCTGGGTCAAGAACGAGAAGGTCGATACACGGTGGTTCCGCGCCGACGAGAGCAAGCCTGAAGGACAGAGTGGCAGTGTCAACGGCAGTCCACCAGAGTACGATGTCGACAGGCCAGAAAACCTAGGTGCCTTTAGCTACTACATCGAGATTCTAGGGATCTTGTCCAAGATCCACAAGTTCCTGAAGCGGCCCGTCGACATCAGCGCTCTATCAGACGTGGAGACGTGGCAAATGCGCTACAGGGAGCTTGACTCGATGCTGACGACGTGGAAGTGTGCGCTGCCCAACGAACATGGCAACATGTCCAAAATGTTCCAGCCCGGGGCTAGCAAGACGCTCAATTGCGGGTGGGTTATGCTGCACGCCACGTACCATACGGCCATGATCCGGCTGCACTCGTCGGCGGCGTACCCAACGACGCGGTCGCCCATCTTCACCCCGAGCTACAGCGCGTCGCAGAGATGTCACCGCGCCGTAGAAAACATTGCGGCGCTGGGAGAATTCGTCGTTGCTCATGGTTTGTTGCCGAAGCTTGGGCCGCCGTTTGCCTTCACGCTGTGGGTTGCAGCCCGGGTGCTGCTGGTACACGGGAGCACCGTCGAGCGCAAGCTCAGCCCAGAAATAGCATTTTTTGTCAACACGCTCGGCGAGATGGGCCGCTATTGGCCCGTGGCTGCTCGCTACTCGCAGCTGCTAACCCGTGTGCTGGACGAACATCGTGAGAGCGAGAGACAAGGCGGAAGCGTCACGCCCAGCAGCGTCAAGATCTTGGCTGACATGCGGCGGACCGCTTTCGATCTGGACTTCCTTATTAGCCACCAGCCGCGGCACACCCCGGCCGGCCTGGGTGGCGGGCACGGCGCGGCGGGCGGTGAAGGTGGCGGGACTGGCTGGCAAACCCGAGTCGCGAGCGTCACGCCGGTCAGGACACCGGCGCCGAATGAGCTTGAATATCTCGACGTCTTCGACTTTTTCAACGTGCCCCGATTACCTGTTGGGGCCGGGTCAGGTGCAACAGACCTTGGCGGGGTCAAGTCCCTGAGCACCAGCATTGAGGGCGCGTCGAGTGGGTGCGGAGCAGATGCCCATGCGGCGAGCACGGGGCAATTTAATATCACGAACTTTATGGTTGATGTGAATCACGACTGGCTATTCCAACAGGAGGGACACAAGTTTTTGGCAGCTTGATGTGGCCTACCTTGTTACGAATTTGAAGTTTCTTTTGGCTCCAGCAGGCGGGTAATTATGGCTGGTCTTGGAAATGGCGCTCCGGCTTTTGGACCTAGGTCTTCGGAACTTGGCATAATATCCTCTTGTGCTTGAAGCGTAGCGTTTTAGTTTCCCTGTAGGCGTTGAAATGGTTTGACGATCCTAATGGCGGTCGGCGTGGCAATTGGAAGGGAGCGGACCAACTAGCCCATGATGCGTGCCGCGTGCCGCAATGCAACCACTCGATTGCTGTCCGCGCGTCTCAGCGTCTACTCGGGACCGCGGCCCATGCTTCTGCCTTCTGCCTTGCGGGAGCGGCAATTTATAACGCTCCCCCAAGCCCCTGTTGATGCGGGGTGCTGGTCTCTTTTTGTGAGGAGTCTCGTCTCGTCTCGTGCTGCCCTCAGCATCCTTTCACGGTTTCACCTCCAACCTCAACGCCTTTACCCAAAATTGTTGTATCGACCGTCGGTGACGGAGTTTGTGCCACAATTGACGCCATGGGAGTCGAATCCCGAGACCAGCCCGAAACAGCGCCAGCTGCAGGTCCCGTGGCACCGCGGCGCCATTCGACAAAGGCTCGACTTGGGATCGCCACTGCACTCGTCTTGTTTATCGTTTTTAGCCATTTCAGAACAACGCACCTCTGGGATGCCAGGGTTCCTTATGTCGACCATGCAGATCCGCCATCGAGCTACGATCCCCTCAACCCATGGGTCTCGGTCTGTTGCTCTCTCTCTCGTTGACCTGTTACCTACAACCATACCTAGCCGCGCATAATACCCAGGTACATACTGTTCGCTACTAACACAACAGCAGATAACGCCTAGCGCAGAGCTTGAATGGCAGCCGTGCTACGACTTCATCAACCCCTTACTCCAATGCGCTCGTCTTACGGTGCCGCTGGACTACAACCACCCGCAGGCCCAGTCATGCATCAGTCCCAAAGTGCACATCGCCCTGCTTCTCCTCCCGGCAAAGAATGCGAATACCACATCTGTCAGGTCACCGATGCTCATCAACCCCGGCGGTCCAGGTGGCTCGGGCGTGCTTCTAGCTCTTAGTCTAGCACCGGAATTTCAGACCATCTTCGGCGAGGACCAGCCCATCATCGGCTTTGACCCGCGCGGTATCGGGTACACGACGCCGCAGGCCGACTGCTGGGCCACACCGCCGCCCTGCGATGGCTGTCCCGAAGATACGGGCAAGGGCTTGGGACACCGGCTCGAGTGGTTAAACATGAATGCTGTCTTTGGCGGCGTCAACTCGAGCAACATCGCCCTCAAGTACCTCGAAGCCGGCCAGCGTGCCGTCAACGACATGTGCAGGGAAAAAGACTCTCAGCTGGACGGCCAGAGCATCTTTGGCCATGCCTCGACGGCCCACGTCGCCCGCGACATGATCAGCATCGTTGACGCGTGGGAGCGACGGGCCGACAAAGACCAGCACGCGGCCGCTGCCGAGAACCCGACCAAGGGGAAACTAGTCTACTGGGGATTTTCGTACGGCACTTACCTCGGCGCCACCTTCGCTTCCATGTTCCCTGATCGCGTGGGGAGGTTGTTGTTAGACGGTGTGGTTGACGCCGAACTGTACCCGACGCCCATGTGGCGAGACAGCCTGGTCGACACCGACAAGATACTGGGCGAGTTCTTCCGCCTCTGCGCCGAGGTCGGCACCAAGTGCAAGCTGTACCGCGACGGGGATACTTCGGCTGACGTCGAGCACCGATACTATTCCATCTTTGACGGGCTCTCGGCCAACCCCATCACCTTCACGCACCCGGATAGCTTCTTCCCCGTCATCATCCGCGCCAGCTTCATCAAGACGCTCGTCTTTTCCATTATGTACAGCCCCGCACAGCTTTTCCCCCTTCTCGGCATCCTCTTGGACTTCCTCTATGAGCGGCAGCACGAGCAGCTCGCCGCGCTGTTTCAGGATCCCCAGCTGCACTGCCTCTTGCCTGGAAACGCCTTGACCGGTCTCTTGACCGATGCGCAGCGCGCCATCATGTGCAGCGACAAGATACGGCCGGTGCGTCTCCTTCCCCGCCTCCCCTTTCCTTTCGCGCTTGGGCTGCGAGAATGCTAAAACTTGCCTTGCTCTGCCACGTGATGCGCAGGTCAACATGACGCTCGACGAGATCAGATCCGAGTTTGAGGCGGTGGCAGAGACGTCGCAGTTTGCCGACATCTGGACCGGGATTATGCTTCAGTGCAACAACTGGGACATTGCAAAGCCGCACCGCGTGGCGTCGGAGTCGACACTGTTGCAGGCCGTCAGGGGAAGCAAGATCGAGACGGCGTTTCCGATCCTGTTCCTCAGCAACACCTACGACCCCGTCACACCGCTCGTCGCCGCCGTCAAGATGGCACTGGCCTTCAAGGACGCCGGCCTGCTCGAGCAGAAGGCGTACGGCCACTGTACCATCTCGTCCGCCTCGCTGTGCACCGCCCTGGCCGTGCGCGACTACGTGCTGCATGGCAAGGTGCCCCCGCCCCCCGTCGTCCACGGTAAGGACTACCTCGCCGGCCGCTGGACGACGTGCGAGGCCGACCAGACCCCCTGGAGGCAGTACAACCCTGCCGCTACTGCATCCGTGTCTGCGGTTGATGAGGCCGACGCCCGGGACAAGCAGCGCCTGCTCGAGGCGTTCCGGAGCGTCCAGCAGGCCCATGCCGACGTGCAGAAGTGGACAGGTGGCGGGCACGACATCAACAGCCTTCTGATCCGGCTTGCTAGGTCGGATGTAGTGTAGGCCGAACTGCAAGGGCCTACCTGTCAGGGATCGAAACGCCGAAAGACAAAGGGATAAATCCTCTCAAGTCCTGACCTGCACTCTTTAGGCAGTATTAAAGAGAGTGTTTGGGCTAGATGTAAACGTCACTGTGCATCGCTTCAGGGGTGTGACATTGTGTTTCTATCTGCCCCGTTTATCCTTCAATGGTATCCATTGACGACGACTTTTTGCACCAAAACTCACCATACATAAGTACTTACATTATCGTTGTTAAGAACTGTCCAATATCTTGTCTGTACCTTTCCCCGTGATTCACGCCATGTTTTCCCAGCCACGACGAATCTAAACAGGTGACCATGTCAGATTTGCCGGGTTCTTCACTGCTGCTGTATCCTGCTGTCCCCCTCGAGCCGCGCAACGACTCCCTCGTAGAAATCCTGGCAGAAGTGGTCGTCCTCGAGACCCGCCACCCCGAGGATGCTGCCTAGGCACCACTGCGCCGCGCTCTCGTAGTTCATGCCGCCGCACTGCAGAACGGGGCCTGCCAGCTGGCTTGCTGCTTCTTTCTTGGATAGCACCGAGTTCAGGTCGGTCCCGCTGCCACTACTACCGCCGAGGTCGAAGTCCAGGTCTGCTATGCGCCGGCCCGTGATTATTTGAATCAGCAGCGTGCCGAGGGATAGAACCGTTAGGTCCACTGGCCTGAGTCGCGCGGGGAGAGGAGGGTGCATTTGTTGTGGCTGCGAGTTGGGTTGCGGTGGGAAATCTTTAGCTACGAATGGCTGGTACGCGCTGTGATAATTAAGGGACGTTTCCCGCAGAAACACGACGTCGTCAAGAGTCACGATCCTCGCTAGCCAGGGCGTGTTGTAGAGATGGAGGACGCTGGTGGAAAGAGCTAGTGCTAGCTTCAGCTGCTCGGGGTAGCCGAAGGGAGGTGAGAGGCCGCCTTTCTCGCTCTCCTCGAGGACTTGGCGAAGGGTCACGAATGAGCGGGCTTCTGGCTGATTTGGCTGGGGGTACAGCTCGAATTTGTGCTCGACGTCCGCGACGAGCCCGTAGCAGCCGACTGCTGTGCTGCGGGAGAGCTGGCGGATGAGTCGCGCCACCTTGGCCTGAGACCGAGAGCGCCTGCTGGGCTCCAGCTCATTGTTCTGCTGGGTGAGCTTGAGTAAAACCGAGTTTCCCTCTTTGATTCTCGTCAAGGTGCTGGTGTAGTCTTTCTTCTTGAGTGTAAAGCCGGTGCGGTGTTTGATCTCGTTTAGATGGAGCGAGCATCCGTCAGCTGCTCTGGAGACACCCACTGTTAGCATCAGCGATCCAATCTAGCTGGAGGGCTAACCACACCTTTCTGTCTTCCTGGATTGCCAGCATCTGCTGCTGCTCCTTGGTCGCACCGTGCATCATCTCCGTCAGTCTTTGTTGGAACGCACTATGCGACCGCCACAGCCAGAGGCGGATTTGGTCGTCAAATCCTTTCCAATCAGTGCAAAAGGGGTTCTCTATCAGCTCGTCAAGTCTAGAGTCCGGGGCAATTCCCTTGAGATGGGTTTCGCAGGTGTTTTGGAGGATCTGGTGCTCAGTCTCGAGATCTCGGACTAGGAAGTAGTCTGCCCTGCCGTCCTTCAAATATCTCATCACATCACTAAATGACACACCCGACTCGGCATCGACGGCGAGCTCCTACCTGGCGAGATTTAAGTTATGGGTGGGAAGCTTGAGTGCACACCGGCCTTCAGGGTCTAGATCGCTGGAATATCGACTCCGCGACGCATCTTCACTCCGTAATCATGTCGTTTCCTTGCTGCGGGATCTGTGCCAGTTGCTAGGAGAAGGTAAACCCACGACTGAACGAAGCTGGATTGATGATAGGCTAATGACTTCCACTAGCTCAAGATACGCTGCTAGAAAAGGGGTCCCCGCAAGGCGAAGGCCAGCCAAGTGAAGTTGACGACGAAATAGCACGCTATTTGGTTAACGAAGACGACGACGACGAGTCTTCTACAGAGTCCGAGCTTGCTCAAATCCTCGGCAACATCGGCGGCGTAGTTGACTGTCTGCTTCGGTTGTCTTTGACAATAAGCAACCCAGCTTCCCATGACGTGTTCAAGTCAAGGATTGGAGCCCAGGCCCTTGAGCACTACGAGCCTGGGGACATCCAGCATGTGCAACACAAGTTTAGTGGTCTCGATCCACTCATTGCTAAGAGACTGGGAGTAGCTCTCACCCAACGCCGGAAGTATTTCAAGTACCGGGAAGAGCACAGCAGTCGACTTCGCCAGGAACTTGAGTCCGAGACAGGAGATGTCGTCATGGTGGATGCTGATGGCGGTGAAAGAACCACCGTCGCGTCGTCTTTGCCTAACGATTTGAAGGAGTTCAGTACTCCGACAGGGATTGAGAGTCTTGCCACGCCCGAACTTGACGACGATCAGTCAGAGGTCTCGGGAGCATCCTATGCCTTATCTACAGCAAATCTGGACGAGCTGCGAGTCCCTCACACTCCCAAAGAGTACATTCATGGGCCCTTCATGTGTCCCTTTTGCTACATGGTAGTGTCAATAAACTCTAGGCACGCTTGGAAGTAGGTGATTTTCTATCATGTTCTTTTTGAACTAGAACCTTGCCATGAATGCAACGGCGCTATCAGGTTGACGCAGAAAACACGTCTTCCGCGATCTACGGCTACATGTATACCTCTTTCTGGAGTGCGACTTGCCTCACGAGCAGTACGCCCGCCGCAAGGACTGAGCAAAGCACACGAGGGAGCATTGGACAACCTGGGCTTGTTCGTTGGGGTGTACAGACGGGTTTAGCTCAGCTGGCGAGTTTCAACAACACATTCGAACCTCCCATCCAACGGAGATTGGTGTGGACAACATCAATGACTCGCAAGCCTGAGCATTTGTCCTGCCTTGCGGGGGCAGAGGGCAGGTGTCCTCTATGTCTGGAGGTCTACCTCAAGGACAGCTATACGTACGAGTCTCACATTGGGAATCACCTAGAGCAACTCGCCCTTTTTGAGTTACCAAATACATTAGACGATGAGGACAATGAGGACGATGAGGACAACGAGGACGACGAGGACGACGAGGGCGACGAGGACAACGAGAACGACGACGACGACGAAACCGATGAGATTGAAAGGGCGGCAAATTTGTCGGCTCATAACTCCGACATTGGAAAACTAACTACGGAGCAGGGTGAAATACTATGGAGAGGGACTGTTGATATAGCTTCCTGGGCTAAAAAAACCGGGTCTTCCAAATCTCTGCCTTACCCTGTCATGGTGAAGAATGCCAGCGTTGTCGGATCGACCACGACGAAAGGGCAATGGATTAAAAGGATGACAAAGTCGCTAGTCATGGAGAGAAACCCACTGCCAGATTCAATGTCTATTACCGACGGACACAGGACACGTCGGTCTTTGTCTGTGTTGCCCAGGACAGAGCAACTATAAGTCCCAGCCCCGCAGTCCTCCTGCTTGCTAATTATTAGTTATTCCGCCTCCCTAGCTGCAGCCCTCCCAGTATGAACCGGGGGTTCGTAACACGAGGCTTAGCCCTAGCTGGTAGGTGCATAGGCTGTAGGCCCGTGCACGGGTTCTCGCCCACACATTTAGTACGGGGATTTTCCCCTCCTAGAGTTAGCTAGCTAATATATATCACACATTGTCAACCTAATAAAAACTACTATAAGGAACGCTCTTTCCGCGTCTGCAACGCACACATAGTTGCATTATAATTAAGGCCTGTGCGCACTGAACACTACCACCTATTTCTCCGCGCCCTGCGCGGACCCCGCGATAGATTCCTCTCTCTTCCGTGGCTTTAAATCTACATTCGTTACTGCCTTCAACCATTGACATCCCTACTGCGTAAGGCGGGCCGTCACACGGAGTATTAAGTTATTAATTTATCTTTTACTACGTGTGGTAGTATTGGCTCCGGCTCGCTTCGTAGCTATAGCAAGCTATTTACTAGTCAATATACTCGCAAGCCTGAGCATTTGTCCTGCCTTGCGGGAGCAGAGGGCAAGTGTCCTCTATGTCTGGAGAGTAAGCCTTACGACCTATTTACGGCCAGCTTAGATTTGTACTAAAAACTAAATAGGCCTCCAGAGTGTATCAACCCAGACAGCACGGTGGCTATACGACCTAAGTGCTACCGACCTACTAATACCAGACCAAACCTCAACAACTTCAACGGCGGGAGCTGCTATATATACTAAGCTGCTATATCGGGACTCGATTCGCCTCCTACGAATTGATCCCGCGGCCGACGGTCCGTTGGAGATCCAACTTGAAGTAACAAGGCTATAGCAACTTACTCATACGAGGCGATATCGTATGTCTGGGGAACTAAGCCTAAGTTTACCGCTATACCGAGCCCTAGCGGGCCCATTCGCATTGCCCAGAATCTTGCCGATGGACTGCGTCGTCTGCGGCTCTTCAGCACACCTAGATACGTCTGGGCTGATGCAATCTGCATCAACTAGAATGATGTCGACGAAAGGAGCAATCAAGTGCGCCTAATGCGTATGATTTACAAGCACGCTACCCAGGTTCTCGTCTGGCTAGGCGAGGATCTCACACATAAGGCCGGCGTAGCATTTTCAGTGGTCTGCGGGATTGTTGCAGGCACTGGCTTGAGTGGAGTCACCGTTACCGAGCCGACTTACCATTCCGGTACCGACCCTTCTCGCCCCGGCCATGGGTGCCTCCCGCCTCTAGACTCCCCGCTGTGGAATACCGTAGCCTGTCTGTTCAACAACGCCTGGTTCTACCGTGTCTGGTGCATTCAAGAGATTGCTTTAGCGTCCTCAGCCTTGGTGATCTGGGGTGACTGCGAAATTGTATGGAGATGGGTCGGCATTGCGGCAGGAAGCATCCAGGCCAATTACTACCAGGTCATACTGAAACACTTCGGTATGAGCGGTGTGTCCAACGCATACCTGATGTACCGGATCTCCCAGGCCGAACTGGATATGCGCCCACTAATGCTTTCTTTTTCTCACCTAGTCGCAATGACGCGACATTTCCAGGCGACGGATCCGAGAGATCGGATATTCGGGCTCTTGGGCCTTCCCGCTACTGACTCGGATCCCGACAATGGCCAGTTATTTGTGGAGCCTGATTACTCGTTGCCCCCGCAAACCGTCTATCGCGATTACGCACACAAGGCACTCCGGTCGGATACCTCCTTAACGCTACTCTCAAGCGTCCAACACGGCTTCAGTCTAACATCGAGCTGTGGTACCTGGATACCGCAGCTTGATCGAGATTACACGCGCTCACTTGCCTCCTTTAAAAGAGATCCGGTCTTTCCTGCCTCGGCCGACGAGGATTTTACGTGCCGGGTAGTTTCCAGCTTTGTCATCATGCTAAGAGGGATCTCGGTCGGCGTGGTTTCGCAGGTTCTTCCCTTGGTTCCCGACACCGTAGCACCGGTAGGCGGCGCGGGTAGCAGTTCGCTACCACCGCCACTCCCCTGGGATTTCACTAAACGCGAGCTACGCCCTTTCTTCCGCGGGCCTCGGCGGCAGACCCGCCTAGTGTCTACTTTAACAGGCGGCAAGACGTGGTTCAGCCAGTGGATCACGGACTTGGATGGCCACCGGTGTGATTTTGCTGCCTTTGCTAAGCAATTTCTTCCTGATTCGGTAGCAGCTTATTTTAGTACGGCTGTTGTACAGAGGGGTGACTCTGACCGCTTCCGCGAGGCCGCTGCCCGAGTTTGCAAAGGTAGGCGGCTCTTCTTCACCGCGACGGGCCAGCTGGGCCTCGGTCATCCAGATGGCCGGAGCAGGACCCCTATATACGATTTTTCAAAAATCGTATACAGGGATCCTGACGCCACACTCCCTATCTCGGCCATTTACGGAGATCGCTTGCCATTCCGTCACGGTTCGTCGTTCGTGAGAAGCCACTCGAGAGATAGACTGGCGGCGGCTAGCGCACCTTTCATAGACCCTAACAAATAGACTAGGGGCAGCAGCGAAAACTGAGAAGCGGTAATTCTGATTACGTACGGGTCTGTTTGACGTCTCCGGAACAGCTGAGGCTCCCGAGTTTGGGCGACCGAGGCCTATTGACTAGTATCCGCCAAAGCAACGCCGATTCGGGGGGAAGGGGCGTTGAGTTGTCTTGTTGTTTGTTGTATTGCAATATCGAATACGTGCATGATTCTCACCGACTCCGCGGCCCGCTCCCTGCCCCCCGTCAGCACCGCCCCCCGTCAGCACCGCCCCCCGTCAGCACCGCCCACCGTCGCTCGCCCGTCCTACTTACCAGTTTCGAGGAAGCCGTCCTCGACACCATCCCACGGCGGTAGTTATCCCGGAAGCTAGCTCCAATTAGGTATTGACTTCATTAGCGATATTCATATAATTGGAAATTCATATAATTGGAAGAGGTCAAGGGAAGATTGCTTAGGAAGGTTATCAGGTCGATGTCACGGCATGGCCTGGACAGGCTCCTGTTTGGAGTGTGGTCTGTGCCTGACGTATCACGTGGCCCACAACTACCCATTTCCCCGCGCCCTGCGCGGTCCCCGTCATAGCTTCCTTCTTCATCTTTAGATTCTACGAATTCAGCGATGATTACTGCAGCCCTGTCTCTTTACGTTGACTGAGCCGTGATAGTCGACATTCTATTTTGTGGATATTGGCGGCGAGTACGCGCGCGGCCAAGACCGAGACGAAACTGACCTTGTTACGATCCTGGTTCAAAGGTGCAGAGGGCGTTGCCCGCCCGCTGCGGATTGGCTGGAACGGCACTTAGGGTGGGGCTCTCGCTAAGAGAAGGTGCATCCAATTAGGGAGTGCTCAGTGGGGCCATTGCCAAGGTGCACTGAGCATGGCTGAGCTCAGTAGGATCAGTGCCGAGACCCACTGAGCGCACTGAGCAGGGAGCTCAGTAGGGATCAGTGCGTCTAGGACTGAGCACGACTGAGCATGTAAGGCAGGAACTCTGATTGGTTGCTCATAGTTCTATATAAGAGCTAGCAGCACGCTCTCTCTAGAGAACGGTTCTGCAGCTATCAATGCATCTGGTTAAGCATACATTGGTTGTGTGTTGAAAGCCTGTCTTTCGCAATCTGTGCACGGTACTCCTTGTCTCCTGTCATCTCCTACCTGCCGTCCAGACCCCCACAATCCTAGGCCGGGCCTAGCTCCGTGGACCTGTTGTCCAGATTGTAACAGACCTCGTCAAGCTCATTATCTCTATAGTGTGGCAGTATTGGAGAGGTCGGGGGTCCGAGAGTCCAACTAAGCCCATAACAGGGGAAGTAGATAATTTCCCTAAAGTCTAACCTTTAGCAGCTCGATTTTCACGATAATAGCGACCACATGTGTGAAGCCAGCACTAGGTACTATTATTGTTCTGCTGAAATTATTTCCCATATACCTGTCACTGTGACGGCGCCAGCTCACAGCACCCACTACCGCTGCGCTAGAACCCCCAAAAGGATGCCAGAATTGCAAGTCGTCGACTTGCAACCTGTAGTGGGTTATAGTGTGCTACGGCCGTTGCGCGCCGTGACAGTCACGGCGGGTGCCGTGGTGGTGTCAATGACGTAGTGCTGGAGTGTAGTCTGTGCGTACCTATCACGTGGTCCGCACCATACCTAGAACCCCGCGCCTTGCCCGCTCCCCGCAACACCTTCCTTTTCCTTCTTAGCTTTAGATTCCACAATACAGGTTACGGTTATACTGCGTGTTATGCCAGTCGAATCCTCTCCTTCGTGACAGAAAGTCTAACAAACTATACCCATACCGTTGGTTGCATCTTGGGAGACGCGCCCATAGCTTGGAGTCGTTTATACTACGGAGCCATCTATATAACCCTTATCTTGAAGTCACTTATAACTAGACGCCTATGGCTTGGAGTCACTGGCGCTCGTGACCACGTCTTGGTATTTTGCTCTGCCGTCGCGATAGCTTGCTTGGTGGCCGCCCGTGTAGCGTGTAAGAGATGCGAGCCAGAAATTACCATCTACTATTATTACTACCTATACTTTCAGCGGCCATAATTATTAAAGAAAAGGATTATAATGAAAGAATCTACCTTTCTCGGGCCTGGGCCGCCAAGCTGGAGCCAGTGCATGTACGCACGGAGCTGGCCCCTCTTTCAGTACTATAATAGATAATATAGACTCTTGGGCTGTCCGGAATCGCATCGCGGGTTGCCATTTTCCCACTACCCTAGTGGGAAAATAGGAGTGCGCTGGGCTGGGCTGGGCCAGACTTCCACGCTATACTGAATTTGAGACAGGAGACTTCTTGTCTCATTTTCACCATGGAGTGGGCCATGCGTGCTCGACCGAGGAATGTCGTTGTAGGCAATCCCACCCAACCACCAGTTCTGCACACCCTAGGCACTTCCGACACATGCAACCGATGTTGACCAATCGTCCAACCTCTCCATCAGCCAGGCCTTACTCTAGTTCGAGTGTTGGCGGGTACTCAGGCAATGGAGCTGAGAAACAGCAGCTCGTTTCGAGTCCGATTTCGCGTGGTTTCGGCTGCGGGGCCGCTGCTGGCCCCGGCTTTCAGGGTCTCAGAAACCCGGCAGGCGTGTATCACTGAGCTTCGCGTTACTTGAGCCGTGAGCAAAGACCTGCAGTGACGTCGGGTACTTCTGGCAATTTGCCCCTCGCAATAAGGCTCTGCCCCTTATCGTGCAGATAAGTATTGCGACCCGCCCCAGGTCTCCTCCAGCGCTCCTTCCCCTCAATCAACCGCGAACAACCTACTTACGATGACCGACACTCTGCGAAATTGCCTCCGGGCAGACCCGGCGGTCACCTGACACAGCGGTTTCCATCCCCACCAACTTACAATGGGACTAATCCGCCGCCAAAATGCCGAGTACGGTCGCAATACCCCGCCGCGGGGATAGCAAGTCGGGCGCAAATCGCGCAAACGCCAATTAGTACCTCGCCGTTACGACACATAAGAGACGCAATGAGCGAGACAGACATCCGAGGTTGGAGCGAGAGTCAGATTCTTGATGCGGTGAGAGAGAAAGTAGGCTTGGTAAGAACCCAGGGTCCTAGGCTTTGAAGCTGAGGCTGATTTTTCAGGGTGAATTTTATATCGATATAGACGAGAAAGACCATGTCGCAGCCATCATCAATTTTGAAGGACGGCGTGGAATGCTTATGCTGGGTGGTCAGCTGTTGGTAACAGGAGGAGAGAATAAATCGGAGGCTGGTGAATGTTTGTATATTACAACGAGCGCTTTCATTCTTGCACCTGGCGATGATGGCGGGCCAGACGTTAGGTTTGTCCATAGGACATAAAGTTCTTCTCTCAGCCAAGATATTGCATGAAACTACCTGGCTTTACCCACCTAACAGTTATGTTCCCAATAGCGATTGGCCAAACTGTGCCCTCACCCAAGTTTGGGTCAGGGCCCCCACGCTTGCCATAAGACCACCAAAACACATTATCGGAGAACTCGGGCTGACCCAGACCATTCATACCAGAAACTTTATATTCCTCGCGAATCCATTGGCAAAATATCGAAGACGCCGAGGAATATGAAGACACGTTCTGCTCCAAGTGCAGTTTCTCCTCGAGCCACGTGGAAGAGGCGTCGAAGTTGATACCCTGATAGTAGGGGGTTGTAATATACGAATACTTGCCAAGCCACTTGACTTTCTAAAATACCATATCAGGAGCTGACACTATATATCGGCAGAAGTGCTCAACTGAGAAGGGATTTTTGTTAGCTATTGGCAGCAGGAACGCTAGTAGCTGGAACGCTTTCTTCGCATTTGCTATAATTGCGTTTGTCAGCCTGGGGACATTACGATGGATGGGGGAGAAATACTAATCTAGATCCTCCTGGAGACTGGTTTCCAGTTAGGATTCACGCGATCGATACTAGTCACAGTTACGACTGTGCGCGCCCGAGTGTCGCTGAATCTCACTGAACTGCCCACACCTGGCAGCGGTATGACCTGTTGATCAATGGCTGTCGCGTACTGGTAGCCGAGCGACTTGTTAGTGATGCTCGCCCTACTGAGTCGACGTGGGCAAACCCAGGCGCATCTCACTGTTCTCGAGCGCTGTAGCCGTCGCGGGCGTGGAGCCCGTTGTGACCGGTGGACCGCCGGAGCTTGAGGATGTCGATCGGGAATGAGAGGTTACATCAGAGAGCCTATTTTTTTTTCTCCGCTTCGAGAATATCGAGGTTTTGTCGTAGGTTGGAGATAAGTAAGCCAAGCTTTTCGGTGCTCAGTCTCTGTTGTCCGGTTGCATCGTTTGTCTCCCATTTCCTTTCCCTACCGTGCTTTGCTTTTACTCTCGTCTAATTGCTGTGCGCCTCAGCTGGCGATGGTTTCAGGAGCAATACGTCAACCAAGATAAATACAGCTAGACACAGTTCAGCCAAGAAACTGGCCAAAGACGAGTTGGCCGTTCTTGGGCATATTGCTCGGGCGAACCCTCGACACGAAGGCTGGCACTTTGTTCGGAAGCTTGTCGACTCGTTTGTCGTAGATGACGAGCGTGAGGAGCACCAACGCCTTGTTTTTGATCCATTACGAGAGCCGCTATAGCTGTACTGTCGGCGGTTCACTGGTGCCGTCATCCCCCCACAGATTCTGAAAATCGTCGTGCAGATGGTTTTACAAGGCTTGGACTATCTGCACACAGAGTGCCACGTCATTCACGCTGGTAAGACGGCAGCGCAGCTAACTACTTGGATTTGATTTGACAGAAAGACGTAACATTACCCTGGCTAACCGGAAAATAGACTTGAAGCCTGACAATGTCATGGTCAAAGTCGAAGACCCCTCCATCCTGGAACGCGACGCTCGAGATGAGCACGACCACCCGCTGCCGCAAAAGCACATACACGGGCGCGCCATTTATCTTTCTCGGAACAACTATGCCCAGCCATCTGTGGCGACTGGCGTTGTGCAAATCACCGATTTTGACCTCTCCGTAACACGGTAACAGGAGATGTCCTACAAACAGGCTGCATCCAGGCCGAGACATACCGAGCGCCCGAGGTGGTACTCGATGCCGGCTATGGGTATAGCGCCGACGTGTGGAGCCTTGGTGTCATGGTATGTCCCTCGTCTTCGCTATATCGAAGTCACTTCTAATATTTCATCCTTCCCAGCTTTGGGGTTCATTAGAGGGCACCAAGCTGTTTGAGTACCCGTCTCGAGACCAACCAATCAGCGAGTACGATGACCAGACACACCTGACCCATATCACTGCTCTCTTGGGCCCAGCGCCCAGTGATCTGCTAGCTGCTGGTAGACGGACGTCAAAGTTTCACACCCCAGACGGTACGTGAAACCGCTGTTTGCATCGTCAATAACTTCCGCCGCTCATCAGCATCATCAGGTAACCTCAAAAACCCCAAGCTCATCCCTGCAGCCTTTTCATTCGAAAATACCTTAAACCACGTTAGCGGCGAGGGAAAACGCAGGTTCATCGACTTTGTCCGGAAAATGATAGCTTGGCGCCCCGAAGACCGAATGACGGCGAGGGAACTGCTCAAGGATCCATGGTTGCATAAGGATTTCCCCCAGGGCTAATTAGAAGAAATAAAGCCGTGAATTGAAGAGGAATCAAATTCCTCTCTCCCTATAGCTGAACAAGCATCCGTACTGCGGGCAACAAAGAGGCCAATTTCCTAGTACCCTTCTTTGTCACCCGGGACCCGCAGCAAGTAAATTTAAATCATAAATAGCCAGGATGCAATCTCTTTGTTCAGAAAGGCGTAAATATTAATTACCAACCCAACGTCTTGATAGCCATTGTTATAGGTAATATACTACAGCGTCTTTGGCCATTGATGAAGCTGTGGAGTATAAAAACTCATGCCTGTGAGGTCTTCAGAACGATTGAAATTATCTCCATATCTTTTCTTCTAGGCTTGCTACGGACCATAGAGTTACCACGAAACAACTGCTACTGGTTGCGGCCTATTTTTTTGAATGTATCCCGGGATTGTACTGGCTGGGGCCGTTCTGCATAGTGTTTTTCGCCATGCGACGGCCTCTCCTATAGGAACTGAAGGCCCGCGGGTGCACATTAAAGCAACCCGTACCGTTGATGAGGCTCCTGCCGTGGCCTTGCCTGTATATGCCAGAGATGACCACGATGACGACTTGGAACTGCCGCATATGCCGCACATGTCAGACGTGCCAGACGTCCCAGACAAATGGGGCAAAATGAACACGACCCAGATTCTCGTTATCGTGCTGAGCATCTTGGCGGTAATTATATTCCTCGCCATCACTATTACGTGCTGCTGCTGGAGGCGTAAGATTAGGCGGCGGCTCCTTGAGGAGAAGAAGAAGCGGGAGATCGCTGACCTGGGTGTGCGGCAGGTCTACGGCATCACAAACACGGCCGCCTATAACCCTTTTAGTGTGAACCAGGCAAACAGCGGTGATCCGGTCCCGGGCCCTAGTCGGCAGCCGACGGGTCGTCCTCCTACGTTCCAGAACCGGAGCCCGCCGAAAACCCCAGACGTTCTTCCCCAGCATCCTTGGCCCAACGCAGTGGCGCCGCCAGCATTCGTCCCGCCGACTACGGTGAGAAACAAGGTCGGCTTCAAGGATTTGCAGAGGCGGATCAAAGAGGGACAAGAGAGCGGTGCTACGGCCGAGCACCAGCGCCAGGCCATGGAGCATGCCAAGGAGTGCCGGGCAATCGTCGAGGGCAGACGTCGTTGATCGCATCTATTTAACCTCGACCCTCCCCGCTGGGTACCGAAGTGTGCGCAATGTTAGCCAGGTCAATGGCACGCAATGTTTATTTAGTAATGAATCTTGGTGGCTTTCGATATAGTTCCCTAGGCATCCCTTTAGTCAGTGGTCTAATTATGATATTTTTATACCTGACAATGCTCGAATGAAACAACTCTTCTGTCAAAAATCCGCACACTCAACTATGAATAGCCTTGCATTTAATTGCTCCTATAGTGCGACAACTTGAAGGTAATGGTCTTTCATAGGAATTAACAACAAGTGATCCGCGATTATATTATATTTGACCCCCAAAACGGGCCATTATCTCCAATACACATGCTAATAGTTTGATGCCACTATTTCACTATTTGCTTCGGACCCGTGCTTTGCCAAACTCGGGCCGATAATTAGGCTGCAGTGCAAATGTAGTATCCCAGCCACAGGTTAGTGCAGCCGCTGTTGAGATTGCTGTTCCATGCCAGGATTTGAGCGAGGCTGATGCTGTTGGCCTGTTCGATGGCGAAGCAGGTATCGCCGCTCTTGACCTGGTAGTACTTTTTGCAGCCGGGCGTGATGCCTGGCATCTGTGGCTGGGGCCCTGTTGGCGTGGGCGAAGGCGCAGGCGACGTGTGCGTGCTACCCGGGGTGCCGACACAGACGTAGTAGTCTGCCCACATGTTGTTGCAGCCTGCTCCGTGTCAGTTTGGATAATACTGGGAAACGGAAGGGCTGGATCAGATATTCTGAGACCTTGCTTACTAGTACCGACGGCCGGATTCCATTTGTAGCTATGTCGAGAAAAGGAAGACATTAGTTTCATATCGACTTCGGGCAGCGTTCTAGAAGGAGGGGAGCTTGGTGTGTTGCTTACAAGTCAGACAACGAAATCGAATACTTGCGTGCAATTGCATCGCAAGTGTCGCCGGTCTTGACAAGATAGAAGGTATCACAATTTGCTGCTAGCCCCGACTGTGTAGGTTGGAGTGGGGCAGCCGACGTCGTCGTCGTGGTCGTCGTCGTCATCGGCGTCGTCGTCATCGGCGTCGTCGTCATCGGCGGCGACGGGCCAGGTGGTGTATTGGTTGGAGTGGAACCTTGAACGCAGTACGATTGACCGGCCACAAGCCTGGGGCAGGTAGTGAGTGTAGGATTCAGAGCCCGAAGTCCTGCCACGTTGAGGCCCCATGCTCCGGCAAGAGTTGCGCAGCTATCGCTTGGTCCCGCGGTTACGGCAAAAGTGCAGCCGGCGATGAGATCGCGACCACTAAATTGTCCACTGGCAACATCTTTGTAACCGTGAGAGTTTAGCGCAGCGGCCCAAGCCGGGAGCAAAGCCAAGATAAACGAGAGACGCTGTGAAGACATGGCGATTTGGACTTCAGGGTCACTGGAGATCAAGCGGTTGTCAACGACACGCTAGGAAAAGAGAGACCACCACGGCCCGGTCGTCTCTGACGACCATGTATCTCTATATATACCAAGGTAGATATGCGCTAAATGACGGGAGACCGCGTGTTTGGCTGTTCTAGTCCATGACTGAAAGGGGCATTATTTCAGAGCTATTGAGCCGGAATTACAGCCATAGTTTGGGGCCGTCCCGGGCTGCCGAACGACTGTATCTAAATTGAACATGCAACCAACTGGACCTAACGTCTCCCGGGGCTGTGTGCGCCTTTCCCAAACGGGAGCCGGACCGCTTGCATAAATGATAAAAATCCTTCTAGCTGTTGCCTGGGTTCCACAACGGCTTCCTTTCCCGCCAGAAAACATCGAACTACATATGAACCTAAAGGCGCAGCACGCCCAGCAATAAACCTACCATTTCCGCTAGATTCCCAAGAGGATACTCATCTACACGGTACGTAGGATCATGGACCACACGAGGCGATTCGAAAATGCGACTGCCACCAAATTTCCTGATTCTAGCGACCGATTGCAGTCCGCCATAATGCCATTGCAATCTTTGCGTTGCAATGAAGAAATGCGAACATGGCCGAATCTCAATCCTCGTATTGGCTGTTTGACGGGGGCGACATATATATCCCACGTACGGCGATGCAGTGTGTCTCTCCTGACGTGCGGGAATCTAGCCCTCTTCCTGTCTGAAAAGAGAAGATAGGCCAGTAACTAGCGTCCGGTCAGGTACCTGAGAATTGCGGACACGACGAATTCAAATGCCCCGGATCGTTGGATATTCAAGCTTTTCCTTTTAATACTGTGCAAGAAATCTTCCGGATTTTACATTAATTGACTTGTGTGTCACTGAAAGCAGCCTCAAAACGTAAAATGCCTAGTTAACTATGGCTCAAACTATAGTTACTGGTAGATACCCACTACTGCTTGATTTTCTAAAGAAGGGACGGTAGCTTAGGTAATAAGTGAGAACAAATAATAATGAGAGGTAAACAACAGCTGTCGAAAAGAGCGTCAGAGTATCCATTACAGCATCCAACATGGAGCTATTCCCGACACACCGGACAGCCACGAGATCGTGAAGAGAGAACAGAGCAGCAGAATGGGTGGCCGTTTCAGTAATTCTTACCCAAAGCGTTCATAAGAGCCATCGTCCCGGTCAGCACTAGCAGAAGCACGGTTCTTGTGATACAAACCCCGGAATCCGGCGACTACACATGAGAAGTCCCCTTGATTGCCTCTACCCTTGGAATCAAGCAGAATTTGGTGCCGGAATTGGGCAAGTGTGGCCCTTCTGACCTTGGTTCTGGTAAGAGCACCTCTAAATTGTTCTTTCCCTCAATCAGTCGGTGGTTGCAAACACAACAAGTCTTGGTCCAATGATTTAGGATAAATGATTTACAATCCGTACCTAATCATGATATCAACTCCGTGTAGCCAATTATCTTGGCTGCCGGAAATAGGGGCTATGGAGATGGAACTTTGCAGCTTACCGCCTTCCATAAACACTGGCTGACCATTGCATATTCGTGCGGATTCGCACTGTCGCTGAGCAAGCTGTCGCCTCGCGGCTGGCAGCCCCCGACAGCGAAAAGGATGCCAGGGACAAGCTCGGGGCATTCTTGCGGCGCGGCGTGACGCGGCGAGAGTGCGAAATCGAGGTGCCCTTCCAGATCATCGCCGGCTCTGACACGACCGCGACAGCGATTCGGGCGACCCTTTTATTCCTTGCCTCATCTCGCGCCTACGGTCGGCTCCAGCAGGAGATTGATGTCGCGGCAGCCGAGAGCCGCATCTCTAGCCCTGTCACGGCCGACGAGGGCGAGAAGATGGAGTATCTGCAGGTACGTGCGAAATGGGTAAGATATTTATTCGTGCAGATTTTAAAGCTATGATAGGCCGTCACCTACGAGGGCCTGCGCATGCAGATTCCGTTTTCGGGGCTGGTAATGAAAGAGGTTCCGCCCGGAGGCGACACCATCAACGGGCTCTTCGTTCCCGGCGGCACCCGTGTCGCCCACAACACGCTTGCCATGCAGCGCCGAAGGGACATATTCAGTGATGACGTCGACGTCTTCCGGCCCGAGCGGTGGCTCAATGCGGATCCCGTGTCGCGGCAGCGCATGGTGCAGACAACAGAGCTCGTGTTTGGCCACGGCCGGTGGGGATGTGTGGGGATATCTGGGAAAGCCTGTCGCCTTCCTCGAGCTCAACAATATATACGTCGAGGATGTGTCCCCTTCTCCGAGAATTGTAGGTTGCAAGTTGGGGGGATTGCTAACCGAAGGCTGCGCCAACCGATAGTTGCTTCGCCAGTTCGACTTCCAAATCATCAACCCCAGGCGGCCTTGGCACGAAATGAACCACAGTATGTTTTTTTAGTCTCAGCTGTGGATGAGAGTAACGGAGCGCTTTCCCTCGGAATGAAGTGGGCCTTTCAAATCTCCTAATCTGTAGATGCACCGCGGGTGTCGTTTAGCTTGACCCCGCCTGATCCCGCCCAGTCTCCATGGAGAAATTCGGCTGGCCTGTGCCCGTGGCGGCGTAATTATTCCGTATTCCCGGCATTGCGATCGTGTATTCCACTGAGGTCCTGATGTAATTACGCTACCGTAACGTTTCGAACGACAAAGGTGGAGCTGCGCGCCAAGTGTGGCCGTTTCAGTAATTCACACGTTCGTAAAAACAATCGGCTCCCTAAACTTCATCCTCCAACCCTTCAAACCTTGAAGCGGCAACGAGCGAATAAGAAGTCAACCTAATCATGCCGCGCTCGCGTCGCCTCGCGTCGCGCGTCGCATAACACTAGCCGGTCGCTGCCGTCCTGACCAGAGCGAGCATTAATGATATTGAGCGATGCCTGCCACGCTCGAGCTGGACCACCGGGGACCTATCACGTTTGACTCGGCGCTCAAAAAGGACGCGACATCATCAGGCTGGTGGCCCACCGCGCAGCCGCCAAGGAACTCTCTCAGGTGCTCTGGGACCGCCGGACCACCATCGAGGCTCTCGTCCGCCACCACCTGGGGCTCGCCCATGGCGACACGTGCACCGTCGCGCCGGTGGACCGATGGATCCGCGGCGGCTTCAACATGTGCGTGCCCGTCGACGTGGTGCAGCCGCGACGCGCCCGTCGCGCCCGTCGCGCCAGGTTTATTTTCCGCTGCCCCATGCCACACAAGCTCGCCAAGCACACCTACCCTGGCACCGTTGGCGAGAAGCTAGGCTGCGAGGTGGCTACGTACGTTTGGATGCAGCACTAGTGCCCCGACGCCCGCATACCCCACCTGTGGCTTTAGCGTCTCCGATCGTCGCTGCTTCACCCATGAGGTACACATGCCTTTTACGTCCGCCTCTGGCGCACCATTCGGCGTCGCCTCGGCGCTCTGCTCGGGCACCCAATCCTGTCGCGCTACGCAGCACACCCAACCCCAACCGGCCTGCACCTGCCGACTGCCTATGTGCTGCTCGAGCACATCGGCCCCGACATCGGGCGCATGCTCTCTCGGACACGTGGGTCGAGCACCGCCGTGACCCGGCTCGGGGACGGAGGGAGGCTGTTTGGCGGCATGGCCCGTATAATGCTATCGTTGGCCCGCGTCCCACTGCCTTAGATCGGCTCATTCCGCTTCTGGCCCGATGGTACGGTGACGGTAGCGGACCGGCCGCTAGTGTGCTGCGTGGCCATCCTAGAGGACGACGGCGCACCGCGTACTATGCCCAGGGACGAGACGTACGCCTGCGCCGAGCTATTTGTCGCCGATATGCTTGCCCTCCATGAGACGGCAGCTTCCTCACCAACCGCAACGCTGTCTACGACACTGCAGACTGCCGTAGCCAGATGACCACCCGCGCCATGCTCAGGACCCTGTCGCATCACTACGTTACGCGCGAGCGCCGCCGAGGGCCCTTCCGCCTCCAGCTTACAGACTTCCACGCTAGCAACATCTTTGTCGACAATGACTGGAACGTCACCTGCCTTATCGACCTCGAGTGGATCTGCGCCCTGCCCGCCGAAATGATTGCAGTGCCATATTGGCTTACGGGACAGGGTATTGACCAGCTCGCAGGGGACGATCTCGCCGAGTTCGACCAAGTCTGTCCCGAGTTCATGGACGTGCTGGAAGAGGAAGAAGCTATAGTCGCACCAGCCCCGGGGCATCCACCGGCGCTAGCTGCCATCATGCGCGAGAGCTGGGACTCTGGGACGGTGTGGTTCTTGCGCTGTCTTACGTCCGTAAATGCCATGATCTCTCTCGTAGACGACCACATCTCTCCCCGGTTCTACCCCTTGTCCTTCAGGGTGGAGGATGTCTTCTCAAAGTACTGGTGCCAGGATTCTACCCAGGTTGCCTGCGGAGCAGTCAGAAGGCCGGCGTCTGAGCCCTGTTCGGCGCCAAAACTTCTAGACGGATGCATGCCATTGCATGCCATACTTGATATTCTTCCGATTCGCCTGTTGAGTGGCTCCAGCGCGTCGGGTCGTCCCTCTTAGCGTGTCATCCTGTGCGGCTGCAAGATGTGATCAAGGAGACTAAGATTAAGCTCTAGACGTGGTTGTGCAGAACCGTGTTCGGATTTGCTGCTAATTTTTCGTTTCGCTGCTTCATGCCGGATGCTCGCTTGCAGAAGCTCCTGCCTGAAGTTCAGCCAACCCGCATTTCACCCTCTCTCGAAATTACCCCGAAGATTCCCCCAACATTTCAGGAATGGGGCTCGTAATTACCCCTACTATTACCCCATACTATTACCCCATACTATTACCCCATACTATTACCCCATACTATTACCCATTACCTATGACGTCGTCAATTCCCCAAACGTCACCACGGAAGCAACAAAGGGACCCAGGCCCCTAATGATCTACGATTTAGAAAAGGGGCCATGACAAGTCGAAGTCGTCATAGGTAGCGTGCCAGAGTGAGGTGAGAGTCCGCATTATCATCCAATGGCATGGGGACCTAATTCCCAGGCCAAGGGGCCAACGGCTGCGCTGTTTGCTGGTTAAAAGGAGAGAGGCCCTCCCACATCGCCAAACCCAACTTTTGATGTCAATAAAACAAAACAAACAAAACAAGCAGCTGCCCTGCAAACATTCTACACATGGTTAATCGGCGGCACGCCACCATGGCAGCAGCACAAGCAGCTCACGGCGTCGAGAAAGCCATTGGCCATAGCGAAGAGCACGTTAGGCAGGACGCCTCGAGCTACGAGGGCATCGGCGAGCCGGGTGCCACCATGAAGGCGCTCGTCTGGCAGGGAAAGCAGAAGGTCGAAATCCGTTCGTCAGCACCTTGACCTTTGACCTCTTGTGGCCGGCGATTACTGACACACAGGTCCCGTTCGTCTCATGCAATTAGTCGACGTGGCCAAGCCCACCGTCCTCGACGACCGAGATGTCATCTTGAAAGTCACGGGAACCACCGTGTGCGGGAGTGATCTGCATCTGCTGCACGGTAATGATGAGCCCGCATTTGCACCGAGTTTCTTGTAGAGAGACATGCTGACGATGGTGCGACAGGTGTCATTCTTCAGATGAAGAAGGGCGACATTCTGGGGCACGAATTCTGTGGCGTGGTCGAGAGGGCTGGACCTGCCGTGAAGAACGTCAAGGTTGGCAACCGCTATGTCGTGTCATTCCAGATTGCCTGCGGAGAGGTGGGAACATCTCCATTTCCATCATCCGTGTTCACATGGCGGCCGGCAGCTCTAATCCGTCCGTGTCTCGCAGTGTTTCTTCTGCAAGCAGAAGCTGTCTTCGCAATGTGAGGTGACAAACTCAAACACCACAGCCAAGTCCATGTATGGCGGGCGGACAGCCGGCATCTTTGGCTACTCACATCTTACCGGTGGCTTCGCTGGTGGCCAAGCAGAGTACGTGCGCGTACCCCTTGCCAGCGTCAATCTTCTCGAGATCCCCGATGACGTCCCCGACGAGAAGGGCAAGTATCTCCGCCTCCGTGACCAAGTCAATCCGCGCGAGCCAACTGCTAACACGCCTGGACGTCGCAGCGCTATTTCTCTCGGACGTGCTGCCGACCGCATACAACGCCGTCAAGGATACTACCGTGTACCCGAAAGACGAGGTCGCCATCTTTGGTGGAGGGCCCATCGGCCAGATGGCTGGCATATACGCCCTGGGCGAGGGCGCGAGCAAGGTCATTTATGTTGACACCGAGCCGCGCCTGTCTTTCCTCGAGAGCCGGTGGCCTGCTGAGCACAAGGACAAGCTCGTGCTAGTCGACTTCAAGAAGCTCAGCTTCGGCGTCACCAACAAGGAAACCGTTGTCAGCCGCCTCAAGGAGCTGTGCGGCGGTCGGGGCCCCGACGTGGCCATCGAGTGTGCCGCGGGGGAGTACGCCAAGGGTTGGATGCACTGGCTCGAGATGCAGCTCGGCGCCGAGACGGACACGAGCGAGATTCTCAACGAGATGATCGAGGGCGTGCGCAACTACGGCCGCGCAGGCATCACGGGCGTATATGTCGGATACGTGGGTTCCCTCCCCTAGCCACTTCCCAGCAGGCTCGGAGCTGCAATGCTGACACAGGTGTAGACAAACCACTTCAACATTGGCTCGATGATGCAGCGTGGAATCCGGCTCATCGGCAACGGCCAAGCGCCTGTGCACAAGTACTGGGAGGAGCTCCTGCAAAAGATCAGGACGGGCGAGCTGGACCCCACGCAGATGCTCTCCCACCGCGTCCGTCTGGAGGACCTCGACAAGGTCTACTACAAGTTCGACGCCAAGGAGGACTCGATGCAGAAGGTCTTTGTTGAGACAAAGTTCTCCTTCCCCCGCGCCGCGGGCACGCCAGAGCTGACGACGTATTAATTAAAACCAAAATAAGAAGTCGTGGTGGATGCTTGTTTGTTTGATGAATGATGAGCAATTGAACTTGTATTCATTTGGCGGCTGAAACCAAAATCTTGGGCCCCTTGATTGTGTGGGTGCTCGCGAAAGTCCCCCGAGCGGTGGAGGGGACGCCGCACTGCTTTCAAGTCACCGGCCTTGCTATTTTCGTTTTAATTCAAGTACCTTGCCGTCACTTCTCAAGAAAATGAGACAGGGGATTCGATTAAGAAGCTGGCAGAATTGGTCCCACTAGAGTGTTGTTGACTGGGTTCTCTCGGAAAATGCGGCTTCGAATTTGAACATTGTGGTGGCTACTAACGCGTGGGCCATACACTGGTGAGAATCCTGCTTATAGTCTCATATGGACAAGAGGGCGTTTGATCTTTCCCTTGGCCTGAGTCCGATTTGTTGATTGAGTACCTATGAGATGGGGCATTTTTCGAATATGCCGATATTACTTGGCCCTTTGCACTGGGATTTTTAGATTCTAATTATCCAGGTCGTTATAAACGGTTAAAGAAAGAACTGTAAAATACTCGGCATCTTATTATTAATTAAAGTGCTTTACGTCAATGATACTTTGACATTAATAATGCTTTCACACCAATGATGAACAGTATTTGGATTAAGGGCAAAAGCCACCACGACAAATCAACCATGCACAACCCCAACGCCAGGCATTGCAGATGCAACTCGCTTCGTCCCAACTCCCAAGGAATCTTTTGGTGTATTCAACAGAGAGTCTAGGCAAGACAGTACCGCTGACTAACGGCGCCGAGGCCATCTCTGGTGTACAGCGCCAGAAAGCACTTGCTGTCGAGCACGAACAGGCCAGGCCAGTGGGAGCCTCTGTCGCCGGTGACGACGGCGCCACGGCTGGTGCCGGTGCCACCGCCCGAGCTGCTCCAGGCGGCGGCGGAATTCATACTGGTGACGACCTTCATCTGGCCGCCGTCAATGGTGGCCACGTCGGTAGCCTCATTAGTCATGAAGCTCGCGACAAGCGCGCCGCCTACATTGATGATCTGTGGCGCGCCCGCGTTCTTGCCGTTGCCCGCCGTGTACACGCGCGCCCGTCTGGACCACGTGTACCCGCCGTCGCTAGACAGCACGCGTGTGATGGTGAAAGGGCCAGACTCGGTGCTCTCGAAGATGCAGCTTGGGAGGGAGATTGCAGTGTTAGTTACGTGACATGGCTGGATCCTGTGGCATGGTCTTGGGCTTTCAACCACTGCGTGACCAGGGCAGGGGGTCACTGGGTGGCATGCGATAGGGGATGGGCGTTGATGATTCACGTTAGCAGGATCTGAAACATACATTAGGTTCATTCCACCTCCATCTAGGTCTGCCACGCCCGTCATGCCGTCACGAGAGGACGCCTGGTCGCCGCCAGACACGGTGATGGGTCCGCGCCATGTAGCGCCCCCGTCAGTCGAGTATTTCATCAGGTTATCCTGGTCTTTGGCACTGTTCTCGCTTGAGTAGTAGACCTGCAAGGTATTGTCGGCGGCCCAGCGCAGGAAGGGCTCCCACAGACCATTGTTGGCGCCAGCATTGGTGTTGGCTTTCCGCTGGTCCACGTGCGATAGGAACAGCCATGTACGCCCGCCATCATCTGAGTAGCAGATGGTGATGCGGTAGTAGGTGTACTGGCCCGACGAGGCCACCCGGTCGTGGTTGCGGAAGGCGTAAAGGATGCGTCCTGAGGGCAGGACCAGTGGCTCGGCATTGTCCATGTCATGGGTCGCACTGTCGGTGCGCCAGATTTCGCCGAGACGTGTCCAGGATGCTCCGCCGTTGTTACTCTGAGCCGCGCGCAGGACATGAGCCGTGCCGTCCGCGGCGGCATAACCAGCGACGATGCTGCCGTTGTGCATGGCTGTGGCCCTTATGTAGACTCCACTGCGGTCGATGACCACTGGATTGCCGGCATTCTGGACTGTCGCCGCAATGGCCAGCGCTGCCAGGGCCAGCCCGGTTCTAACGCACCGGAAGAGTGATACGGAGAAGGCATTCATGATGAGAGTATGGTCGGTGAATGGGGAAGCACGGCGTGTGGTGCATGTCTCGTTCCGCCACCATATATCCCAGAAAAGGTCGGCAGTCGTTCTTCTTATGGGAGCAGGCTTGGATGGAAGGAAACGGGTTTAAACTAGATACAGACCCGCAGACGTGCAGCCTACAGGACGCCAGGTCCATGGGGCCAAACTCTGCCGCTCCCGTCATGTGGTGCGACCCGACGCGAGCGCTCAGCCCTGCTTGGGAGTGCGGAACCTGCGGCGGAATGTGTGGGACAGTGGGCCAACACGCCATGAGACCATGGGTATCCACGTTCCAGGAGATGCAACGTCCGGGGCTCTGGGCCGAACAGGTGCCTCGATAGCACCGGGATGGCGAGAGAGACGGGGCAAACTTCGATCTACCGTCTCGTGTGCCGCATTAGCTTGGAGCGGTTCCGCAGCAGGGCGCTTGGGGTGCTTTGCCGCGCTAACTCCGTCCCCGCGCCACAGCAAATACGCACCCTATACGCTTATACGGAGTACGCGCAGGAATCGGGAATCACTGTCGATCCTCCCGAGTGCGGGAAGCTGGAAGGTGGGAGGAAGACGGATGGGGGAGGCCGGCAGCCAATGGGGTTCGGAGAGCAGATGGGCTCGAGACGTCGGAGTGGCGCGCGGAAACGGTATTTCTTGACGTGGGAGCGGAGCATGCAATGGAGGCTGCAATGGAGGCTGCAATGGGGGCTTGACAACGGTGATGGCGGTGATGTCACTGAGAGCGGCCCGGGGAGGCTTTTCGGGGCCTGTTTGTCGACCAGCTGTAGGTTTGCTGCTGCTGCTGCTGCTGATGATGATGATGCTTTTGCGACAGGGAATTGGAGGTGATTGCTCTAGGATGGTGAGGACGCCGCCCTGACGTTGCCTTCGGACGCCTGATCTCCCCGCCATGCATCCAGCAAGGCGTGGTTGATGCTGAACTGCCTGCAACGGGCGGCGCGGCGTCTCTTGCACGCTTGTGGGCATGTGCAGTGGTTGGAGTGCGTGCCGGACCCGGACCTGGGCAGAGCTCCAGCACATGGGCCTGCTGGTGCTGGGTAGGGGCTGTAAGGGGGCCCTGACCCTGTGCTTCTGTGGTGGGACCCACTTTCGCAGACGCAGGACCTGGGGGCATTTCTCCTCTTCGCAAGCTCCCTGTCGTGGCCAGTCAGATGCATATTTCGACGCCATGTCGAGTCGTAATGGCCAGTTTAGGATACAATTCCACTTGTTGAATGGGATGCGTGAACTGTGGGAATTGGGAGAAGAGGGGAAGGCACCCTTCTTGGAGTGCGCTGAAGGAAGGTTTGGGCCGACGCGACACGGTGTGCTTTTGCGGCTTTGGCCCTCCTTCTAGGTCGCGTCGGGTCGGGGTCGACTTTTTGGCCAGCCGCGCCTTCCAGCTCGGTACCGTACTTTGGCAAACAAAGAGCCAAACAATGGTCGGCACTTTTGGAGTGCAAATAGAGGCACTATAAGTGATGGTATTGCAGCCCGGAAGCGCATGTCTTACGTGACGATGAAGTCGTTCAAGTTTGAAGAGTAGACATTACAGAGGGCTGATGTCACCACGTTTCCGGAACAATAAAAAGGGCCGGCGGTTAAACAAAACAAACGCCCCTCTAAAAATGAAAGGGGAAAGAAAAAGGCCAAAAAGACACCCCCCACCAGAACGAAAAAGTAAAACGGGTAAACGAGGAAAAAGATGAGACTGGACGGGTAATAGTTTGTTCGTTCATTTTTTTTTTGCACCTTCCTTTTCCCCCTTCCTTTTTTTTCGGAAGGTTGAGAGGAGGAGACAGGGTGCAACACAACATCTATGGCTAACCTTCAGCAGCTCAGCCACTCGGCGTGTTTCCGCTGAGAACAATACGAGCCGGGTTGCACAAACACTGCGTAAAAGAGTGATGATTTGGTCGCCGCCATGGGAAAGGGGAATGTCCTATGCAAGGCAAGGGTATACCAGGTACTGCAAAACAAGGTTTTGTTTTCATTTTCGTGAATGTTACACTTTTTAAAACGCCGACTTTCAGTGTCACACCAAAACTGTCATTACACAGTATTGTCAAACACACCAAAAGCACTATAACCGGTTTGCAAGAACGCGATCAATTATAAATGCAATAAATGCAAGTGCACGCCTTTTCCTAAAGACAAAAGCTCAGAAGCGCCTGGGTATTCCGTGTTCAGTCACCGCTAGTTCGTAAATCTCGTCTTAACACTCTCGCTATGATCTCAACCTCTGCTCAGCTTGCTGTACTCGTGATTGATCATTCTTGCAAAAGCAAAGGCATGTCGTCGTATCATTTATTGTTCACTTGGGCGCCACTCCCCTGAAGGAGCCTTAGACGACAGCGGTGGTCCGTCCTCCGCGGACATATCCGTAGTGCCAGTCGTAGACCACGTTGAAGAATAGGAAGAAGCTAGAAGAGACACGGAATAAGTATGCTGGAAGTAGATGCAGATGGATCCACAGGCATGTTTGACTGTAACTCACAAGGCAATGAAGCTGAAAGCCTCGACAGTGTGCAGAAGAGCGCTGTCGCTGTGCGTGAAGTCTGAGGCTGTGAATGCGACGGCGACAAGCCAGAGATACGAGAAGATGAGGTTGAAGAACAGCACGAATCCGTGGTAGGCGCCGATGAAGAATGAGACCAGGAAGAAGGCAACAGTGAGAACCGACTGTGGGTTTCATGTTAGTGATGGATGGACTTCATCAGGTGGAGGACAACATACGATGACTTCCTCATAGATCACGTGGTCGCCTTGGTTGTTGTCGAGGGAGATGAGGTAGGAGAGGATGCCCATGACAATGACGGCCGAGATCCAGATAATGACATTGCTGAATGTCAAGAAGGGCGAAAGCCCGGCGTGCGTCGTGCGTGCGTAAGCCATTGCTACTGCTGCTGGTGGTGAGGATGAAGGGCGTCAGGTGACTTTAGTGGGCCTGGCAGGGCAGAGGGCGTGCAAGGTGCTTGATTTGAGGACAGAAAGTTCAATCAATGGCAGAGAGAATTCAAGATGCGATGAGGAACCACAGAAGTGATGCGGCAGACAGACTGGCAGGCAAGAAGACGTTCTTATACCAAAGGTAGCATCCAACGGCAAAAAAAAAAATCATGACCAAACAAGCGTAAGCTCACCGCGCCTTGAAGAGGAGAAAAATCCAGTTTGCTGTCCACGGTTTGCGGCGTGTGACAGACCAAAACGTCAACGAGCATGGCAGGCAGCTTGGGCTGCAGCCACGGCAAGCCGCACGGGCGGGCAAGAAAAAAGACGGGATCAGAGTTGCGCGTGACGGGGCCACCAAAAAGAAGCAGTCTGGCCACTCATGGCGCGCCGGCGACGAGAAGCCGCTGACGGCATTTGGGCATTCTGTATTTCACGCCCCCCAATAGCCTCTCCGCTCCGTGCCAGTTGCAGCCCAGTTCGCTGTTCAGGCGCACTGGCGCAGATCGCGGCGCTGGCGCTATTGGCGAATCAAGCTGACCTCAAGCGGCATCGACGACGTCATGATGCAGACGTCATAATACGTGCGCCTGCCAAGCATACCTACCTGATTGGCTCGCGACGCCATGTGAAACAGCGAATCTCCTCCGACCAGCAGCAGTTGATCGGAACCATCGGTGAAGATCAAAAGATTGGAATCAGCGGCCCTTGGCAGCACTGCAGCGAGAGGGAAAAAAGAGAGACATGGACAGCAGACATGGACAGCAGACATGGACTGATTCCTTGGCAGCCTCTGCATTTGATCTTGCCGTTATAGCCGTCCGTGATTCACTTTGCCGATCCGACGTCGGCATCTTTGCTTTTGAAGGACGAATATCCGATGCGATTTGTAAACACTGAAGGCAAGGGGGACTAGTTGTTGTTTTACTCTAGCTTGCTCACCATTCGGTTCTTTGTTTGAACCTTGACCAAATTCTGTTCTCGGGCGATAAATTCGTGTTCATGCAAGCCGCCGTGGCCTCTTCAGGCTTCCCAGCAGCCGGCAAGGTCATGTGTGTCACAGGCATCTGCGCCACGCCTGCTATTGGCTGCATGCTAGCGGCAGAAATGCTCCGGCGCATGGAGATCCATGTTGTGTTATGCTAAGTTGATGCGCTATAACGACAAGGCGCTATAACGACAAGACGCTCTTCATGACAGCCTCGAGCCGGGAAACAGGGTCGGGAACCATGGCCTTGGAACGCCACGCGACAAAGCGGTCTGGCCGCACAAGTACGCAGCCGTCCTCGTCGACCTCGCGCCGCCGCGCCCAGTCGAAATAGACGTCCTCGTAGTCTTGGTGCCATCCGACGGCATAGCTCTTGATCTCGGCGCCTAGACTCTCGGACACGACTGCCGCGGCATCTTTCCATCCGTGCCCACCTGGGCCCGTCAGCAAGCAGAACTGCCCGTGCCCTGCCAGGTCGATGATAGAGAGTCGCTTGCCCGGCGACCGCGTGTTGAGCCACGCGTGCGGCAGGCGACGCCCCGGAAACGTTGTCATCTGGTAGGTCCGGACCGCGTCCTCTGGCGGCGGCGGCGGCGCGCCCTGGTCGGCTTGGAACACGGCATTGGAGAAGTAGCGTTGGTTCATCTCGATGCCGAGTCCGTGGAACTCGGTAGATGTGTTTTCGATAGCACGCTGGAATCCTCGGCGCCGGGCCTGCCCATTTTCGCCGGGCTCGTCGAATTCAGCCAGGATCTGGTGCCGTGTCTTCGCATCGGGCTCCAGCATTCCGAGTGCCCTCTGCCAAGGGACATGATCGCGCAGCCCCTGGTTGGCTCGCGTTATGACTTCAACGCCAACAGGCTGGCGCTCTCGGCTGAATGAATCGAGCAGCTGGGTGCCCGCCTTGCCCGCCATCACATGGTCAATCTTCCACGCCAGGTTGAAGGCATCCTGTATGCAAGTGTTGGATCCCAGTCCGTTGAAGGGCGGGTGTCGATGGGTTGCGTCGCCGAGACAGAATCTGTGATTGACTGTTAGAGATTTCGCTCCAGAACCAAATGGAATTCATCTTGCAGAGTCATTGAAAGGGGGAAGACCAAACGTCGTTGACAACGTACACATTGCCGTCGGAATAGTACTCAGCTACAATTTCGTTGATCCACCACTTGCTGACGTCGAGGATATCAACCTCGACGGAATCGTCCCCAATCACCTTCTTTACCCTGGCCACGTACTCGCTTTCGGTTGCGTCCATGGCGTCCGCTTTGAGGTCGGCACCCGGCGCAGGCAGGAAGATGAACATCCACTCGGTCCACGGCCGAACCATGCGCACGAGGGCGGCCCAGGCCCACGGAGGCCCGTCTACTTCCTCGGGGCTCACGACCCAGTGCAGGTTTCCCGTCCTGTTGGTCACGAGGTGAGACATGTCGGCCTTGACCAGCACATTGAGTGCCAGCCCCTGCCCAGGCTTCCTGGCGAGCGGTATGCCCAACTCGCGGACGACCTGGCTGCGTGCCCCGTCGCACCCAAAGACAAAGCGTGACTGGATGCGGTAAGTTTTGTTGAAGACTTCATCGTAGACTTCTGAGATGATGACATCCGGCGCGGGGCGCGTCATCCCCACGAATCTGGTCTTGAAACGCAACGTCCAGCCGCAATGCACCGCCCGCTTGACGAGGATTGGCTCTAACAGGGTCTGTGGCAGATCTACGTGGCTGCAAGGACTAGCTGATTCGTAATCGCCCTTGACACACGCAGGTTAGTCGAAGTCCTTTAGCGGGTTAGACCCACGGAGCCGGTTTCAGAGAAGTAAAAACCAAGAGTCAAGGATAAGACAATGATACCTTGTGCTTGGGATCATGTCCCCACGAATAGACACGAGCAAATTCCTCTCCAGCCATAGTGCGGCACCACCTCGTGTGCTCCATGTGATGGCTGGGGCCGGCCACGTCGAGACATTCTTGTTCAAGACCGATGTCCCGTAGGCATTCTGTGTCGTAAAAACAAATTCAATTAGCACTACTTCGACTTGCCGGCCGCGTTTGACAACGGAACTGAAGACTATTGTCAGCTGGAGCCATACCTAAACCCGCCCTATTGGTTATGTGTGCGCGTGGTGTTTCCGCCGTTCCTGCCGCAGCTGCAATGATGATTCCTGTTCTACCTGTTATTCAGTTTGAGTAAGTATCCCGGAGTGACTTGACGCGAATCAAGAAGCAAAGAAAGGAGGGGAGACAGTCACATGCCTTGAGCAGCAAGGAAACAAGCCAGGGAAGCTCCTGCTGGACCGGCTCCAACGATGAGCAGATCGGTTTTGATAACGTCCTTGTCGTCCATGTTGATTCCAGACCGCTTTTCATGCATGGCAGTTTCTAGAGTAAGCTGGCGCGCGAGAAAGTAATCGGCGAAGTACGTGTTATGTATGATATGTTCGTCCGCATTATAGAGGTTGACTGGAAAAGCTCACGGGAGCAAGAGCCGAGAACGACAACACACGTAAGACGTGGAGAATGTTGATAAGCCATTACAAAACAGGCAAAGACACCAGATACGCAGAGTAGCGTATAAGGCGGCCGACGGCACGTGGTGCCACCATGCCAGAGTCCGAGGGTAAACTAGCCGAGTCCAAGTCCCGTCCCGAGCTGTGGAGTCGAGAAGGGAAACTAAATGCGGAGAGGGTCCAAGTGGGGGAGAGTTAATGCGGGGATCGTAGTGCTTCTCGTTAATATCCTCAAGTCAACGTACTAAGATATGGAGGGAGGGTTCTCTTGTTGTAGGTTCCACAAGACATGGAGCCAGAGAACTAGCTGAAACATGTACGGATATTTTGGAGCTGCCCACCCCCCGCCCCCCCCCCCCCCCCCCCCCTTCCCCCTAGCATATGCATCTATTGCATGGTCTATAATCATTGTGAAAAGGAACCGGGCAAGCAGTTTGAGGGGAAATGCGTACTTTGTGGTTTCAGTTTGCTGGAGATTTTGAATGCTCTTTTTTTTTTTTTTTGCTCACTAAGCCAAGGTTGGGAGGCTAGTTCCTCACTGCCAGCGCGATACCGCCAGGCCCTTAGTCTTCTATTAGTCACGCTGCAGAGCCCGCAGGGGCTCGGGTTTGAGATTGCATGCTACCACCCAACTAGAATGTGCATCAGGCATGTTAGCAAAAGGGGCTTACTCAGACATGCATATGTCAAAATTGTTCTGGTAATGTTTTCGTGGTCAATTGTAAATACCATCGAGAATGGTGTCAGACGAAAAACTGCCGCCGGTGTTCGAAGATGGTATAGCGTGGATGTGAGCTCAATTGAGCAATTGGAAGTTCGGGGTTAGGCACCACATGACACTATCTCTGGTGGCGTCCAGTCACGACGCTGGGTGTGCTGCTGCGCCCTTGACGTGGCCGGGAGGCAGATTTTGAAGCACACCTACAATCGTGGAGGGGTAGGTGCAGATCCGGGGCCTGTCGTGGGTGGGCAAACTCAAGTCCCAAGAGCAGGCTGTGGCTGGCAGAAAACCCTCCTGGCGTGGGAACTTGTCCTCATTGCTCTCCCACCGAATTGTACTCCTAACAGCTCAGTTCGTTTAGTTGGGGCCTTTCCACGACTTGTCCCTATGGTGCGAATGTCCCCCTGGTCTGCGCCACCGTTTCCGTGATTGCACACCAAGGCGACGCCATCGGCGACAATGGCCTATAGAGGCTTCCGCCCGCGGCATTCTAGCGTCCGGCCGTCGGACCAGCTCGTTGAGGATACGCCTTCGCAAGGCCCACGCGACGAAATGGAGGAGCTTCGGGCAAGGCACCTCACCGAAAAGGAGGCAGCCAAAAGAGAGAACGAGCGTATACTGGATAACCTCATGGAGCGATACGAACGGAAGGAGGCCGATCTGAGGCAGAAGCACCAGACCGAGCTCGGCCGACGGGCAGCAGAGGAGGCTCAGGCACAAAAGAAATACCAGTCCAGCATTGAGAGTTTGCAAGCTCAGATGAAAGACGAGCGAGAACAATACAGGCGCATCATCGAGGCCAAGGACAAAGATATGGATGGACTAATGGCCCAGCAGCAAGAGGACACAAGGAGAATTGCCATGGAAAAAGACGATTGGATGGCATCGCAACAAAAAGACAGCAGAACAAAACAGCAAGCAATGGTCACCGAGATTGACAAGCTAGGCGAGATCATGGCCAAGAAGGAGCACGACCTTTTAGAAGAACTCAAGAATCTGCACAGCCAGCTAGAGGCGCGAACAGCAGAGTTCAAGAAGCAGGCAGAGCTTGGCGACTTTTTCGAAGCAAAGGCGCGAAAGCTGGAATCCGAGCTCGCGAAACAGGCTGCGAAGCACAATGAACAAGTCACATTTCTGAAAGACGAGATGAGGGGGATGGAAGCCAACTTCGGCCGGAAAACAAATGCCGTGGCCGCGAGAATCGCAGAGGAGGTGGATCGGGGGAAGCAGCAACTCGCGCAGGAAAAGGAACTAACTGCACGAAAACTCGAGGATGTCCTACACGAGCTTGAGCTGCAGTCGACCGATTATGCAAAGAGGACCGAGCAAATACAGATGCAGCAAGCGCAGGAACTTGGGCGGCAACAGTCATACTACGAGGCAGCCATGGCCGAACAAGCAAGGAGTCTGAAGACGAAGTTCTCCGAGAATGCCGCGCAGCTGCAGGAGCGCATCAAGTCCCTCGAGGTGGATTTGATCGACAAGGGAGACGACTTCCGGTCCGTCTCCGAAGGCACGCTGAAGGAGAAGTACCGGCAGCTGAGGCTGCTCGTCGAAACGACTACTGAGCCCTTCAACCTTGGCATAAAGTCATACACAGGCCTCGGTGACTTGGACCCCACCGAGTTCCTCGTACGGGAGGGTAAAAACCAGCTGCGTTTCCTGCTCCGAAGCATCTTCTGGACGAGACTCATGGAAGGCTTCTTCTCGTCACCGTATGGGTTTGGCGCTTTCGGGGCGGGCGAGGGAGGGAGCATGGTGTTCAACCTGTACTGCACCTGGCAAAGGCTGTTCGATGCCGATTTCACGGGCTTTGGGCCTGATGGTAAGCATAGGTATCCGACGCCCAGGGCCACAAGCCGCGTAGCCTGCTGACAGAAGCCCAAAGGTCCCGAGACGCCCGAGAACCACGACTTTGAAGCCTTTTATCGCAACAGGTTCGCCAACGGATGGCGGTCGGCGACGTTCCAGTCCATCGTGGCTGCTTTGCGGCCGAGAGAAGGCTCCCGGGCCCGGAAACGGGGGTCGGCCTCTCGAGGAAGCCTCTCGAGCAACGGGTTACGTGGAATCGCCAAGGTCCATGCCGTTAACGTGGAGAAGGTGCGAGCTGACCTCCTCGCGGTGCTCGGTCGCGTCTGTAACGGAGCGGTGGGAGACGAGATCGAGGCGAATGTCGCGGAAATAGTGCGGTGTGCTAGTGAGCTAGCTGCAGACTTCGCAGCACACCAGGCAAAGGTCTGCTTCGGGCAAATGCCAATGCGTGGCGACTCGGTTACGATCGGCGCCGAGTTCGTCGACTGCGAGGACGGCGACACGAGCCGTAGGGGGGCCGAAACTGTCGACTTGGCCGTGTCGCCTTCTCTGTTCATCATTGGTGATGGTCGAAACGATCTGACCACCCCTGTTTGCCTCCTTCCGGGCGAGATATTCTCCAGCAAGTCTTGAGTCAACCGACGACGGCTTTATTTTGGCCTCGAGGTTTGGATTCGAGGTTTGGATTCGAGGTTTAGATTCGAGGTTTGGTTGTTTGGGGATTTTCGGCTTCGACTTGGGGGTCTGCGACGCGGTTGGAACTTGGAGGCCTGAGAGACCTAGAGGGCTCCCGCGACGAGGTGCGCAGCGCATATTGCGGGAGAATGCAGCGCATATTGCGGGAGAGCGGGAAATATCCCGGTGGTCTCGTCGTCGTGTCCGACGTAACGGTTCAATTGAATCTCTGTTTGTACTCTGTAGGTACTGGGCGGCAAGTGAAAGTGTGCTGGGGATGTATGTACGGAATAATTTGAACCGAGCAACGACGGGACAAATATGGAAGGTAGCCCAGAAGCGACGAAATGAATTCTGCCCCGCCCTGCCCCGCCTCGCAATTGATGGAGGGGTAAGATGGTCTGTAATCCTGGCCTAACAGCAGCCTGCATATATGCGCGCATGCGGGGTGCTAGTTGCCTTTTTTTGTTAAAACCAGATTTTGGCACTAACAATTATTGCTTTACTGCTGGCCTTTCCAGTGCCATCTCCAAAATCTGCAGAACCTGTTCCTTGTCGCGAATTGCTACTGGGTTTGTGGGAATATCACGGTCCGTCATGGCGCTCTCTGCAAGCCCCTCCAGCCTTTCTCTTCCAATTCCCACGTCTTGGAGGCAGGTTGGCAGGCCCAGTGCGGCAACAAAGGCAGCGACAGCGTCGCCCGCGCCCGCCGTCTCCCGCGACAAGCCGCTGCGCTTCAGCGTCTCCGCGACCGTGCTGCTAGCCCAGAAGGCTTCGAGCATCTTTTCCTGGCGCTTCTCGACCCACGCGTCCCCGTGTTCCCGATTCCACCTCAACACCGACGGGAGCATCACGCAGCTTATCTCGCCGTGCCCAACGCCCAGAGGCCCTAGCTGGTGACCGATGCCATGGCTCGCGCCCATCTTGACGCCTAGCTTGTTGCCTCTGAGTGCCTCAATCACCCCCAACATCTCGTCCCGCCGCGCATCGAGGTCTTCGGGCCGCTGCTTGGTCACCAGGAGGGCCGGCAGCAGCAACGACAATCCTTTGATCAGATACTTCTCGACAACCGCCTGAATGTCGACGCCGCCGCCACCGCCGCCGCCCTCGCCGGGCCTAAAGAACGTCGAACACAACCCTTCGACGCAGTGGTCGACTGCGCGCATTCCCGAGCTCAGCCAAACCCTTTCAGGCGTCGACACTGTCAGGGCCGGGTCGAGGATTACAAGCTGCGCGCCCATTGTTGGGTGTTGGAAGGACGTCTTGCGATGACTGCGAAAGTCGGTCGCGCCGCCGGACGGGTTATACTCGCCGCCCGAGAGCGACGTGGGGATGTTGATTGTCGGGATCGAGCAGCCCTTCAGCGCCGCCGGATCTGGCTGAGCTCGAGCGTGGAGCTCGTCGAGCGCCTCGAGTGTAAAGGCGCTGTTCGCCGCGGCAAACACTGCCACTTTCGCCGCGTCGGTCAGAGATCCAGCACCAAGTGTCACTAACAAGTCGGCACGGAGGCTAGCGAGGTCTCTGGCAAGCTCCAAGACTTCGGTCCCTGGGACATGCGGCGTGATGCCGTACCTGACCCCGGCCACTCTGTCACCAAGGGTCTCCCAGAGCGCCGTGAAGTCCTGCGTCTTGCTGATAGTCTTGGAGACTATGATGTAGATTCTGCTTGCCCCAAAGGACTCGACTGCGTGGTGCTTGCAGGCCTGCTCAAATGGTAGGCCGGTCGAGACGTACGGCTTGGGCTCCATGGCCTGGAAGTAGGTCTCCCCAGAAAGCGTCATTGTAGATGGGAGCCAGTGCCTCGCGATCTTGCTCGGGTGTGTTGTACTATTTGCTGCCATACTATTTGCTGCCAGTATTGGTGTTTGGTGCAAGTGTCCAAATAACCACCACCAAGAGTTAATCAATGAGCCGCGTGTTTTGCTTATCAAGCGGCATGCCGCGGAGAACAGTTGGTGTCTTCCGGGTCTGGACCGGTTCTTGATCCGGTGCTGGAGCCCTCTTCTCCCCACGTCTTGCTCCGTTCCATCAACAATGCCCGGCAGAACCAAAAATAAATATACGACAAATTGAAAGATGACGCTGCTTGTATTCACCATGTCGACTCTTCGCAATGTTTCCAGTCTTTTTGCTCTCATAGCCGCCAATTGATCCCCCGATGCTTCATGCCGGAACGCTCAAAACCCACCGATACCGCATGCTAGATGTCACCTCAAAGCCTCTATGTAAACTTTGCATGCTCGTTAATTCTTCGGTCTGTGTTGGTCGTCTCAAATCCGCGCAATTCCTTGTGGATATAGCGGCTTTTTGGTATCAGAGACGCAAGAAAGGCCCGGCAGCAGCACTTAGGTCAAGTGGTTCTGGCATCAAATAAAGAGTTCCTTATACTGCTTATAGAGTCTATTGACATAGCTATATTCTGGACTATTCCATTTGCGTGAGCTGGAGAAAGGGGTCCAACTAGGACGTTAATCCTGTCAATTCGGAATGTCACCTACTTTATTTACTAAATTAATTATCGTATTTCGTAGTACAACAGCGTTGAGTCAATTATTGACGAATACTTGCCCAAAGGCCAAAGCTTTGGGAGGCTGCGTTCCATGTCCTGGCGTGACTTCTATTTCCCATGTAATCTGCATCAAACGCTTGTCCCACCCGCGGCGTCTTTCCCATCCACACCCATATCAGTAGCTTGCAAGGTAGCCTCATTACCGTTGTCTGCATTTCTGGCCCGAGCTGTGGTTACGGATTATTAGCGCATTGCGCAGTATGAATCAAGAACTAATATAGCATATTTGCTAAAGTGTCCATGTCCACGAACAAACATCATACCATTTTTACTTTCTGAGCCGTCGTTCGGGCTTTTCGAGCTGCTTGGCTCAGAGTCTTCTTGTGATGAATGCATCCCCTCACGCACACGGCGCAGAACATCTTCTTCCGATACAATTACTGATGGCTGTGCTTCCCATTGGTGGTGGTGATGGTGGTTGTGGTGGCCATCATGTTCTGTGTCATCATGACGGCATGAATGCGGTGCCGCGTTTTCCTTCGCGGGGCCTCTATCGTCCCCTTCCCTCTGAACGGCTTCAGTTGCGGCCACTTCCCGTCGTGCGAACATTTCGAGTTCTCGGATTCCGAAGGGCCGTGTTATTGAGATTGGAGCTGGGACTATTTGAACTCGAGTCCTGCTTGGGGAAAGCGAGTGATAAATGCTCGAAAGGAGATCCACCCCTAGTCCCTCCATCCGGGACGTCACCACGGTCCACATTTCTTCACGCCAAGCTTTGATAAATGCGAGGATATCAAGAATTGAAGTTCGGGCAAGCCTCCCCTCTAGTTCACTGCCAATGCGGGAATCGATTATGAATTTAGGCTACTTATTTAGCGCCTCGCAGTTTGGTGAACTATTGAGCCTTTTCCTGCTCCACCCTCTTGTGCCCCAAACTAGACCTACGCCGAAGACTTGTGGAATAGCCAGGGGCTTTCAACTCGCCTTAGAGCCCATGCTCTCAAGCCCCTACCTGGGAAAGCCCTTCGCTGGCTGGCAACAGCGAATACTCGCGCAAAGAATGTCTTGGCGTTGACTCTCGTGTAATTAGAGAGTCATCCGTCTATCGCTCCGTCTATCGCTCCGTCTATCGCATGCCACAGTTATGAGCCATATAGATTCAAGTCTCCACCCCTGGGCCGCCAAACCAGGACTTGAATAACCCCAAGTCTGGGTTCTTTCTTTATTATAACCGTTCAACAGTTTGGACGGCGGTTAGGCTACTTTAGGTAGGCCTGCGTGCCTCTTCTCCGCATAAACCAACAACATTATAGGTTAGAAGGATTCTGCAGCGACGTGCCCAAGCTATCGGCTACACACGCTAGCCCGGTTCTATCTGAACAAGGGCGTCATGAGCGCAGTAACTACTCTGTACGACGTTCAAGATCCCCAGTTGATGTTGTCCGCGTTTACTAGCGACCAGTATGTCGTGTCGATACCTTGCAAGACCCAGTCATCGGCCTCGGCCGTCAGAGGAAACTCGAGCATATTAGCGTCCTGAGGCTGTGGGTCGAACTGCATGAACATGCCATTGGTCGTCGTATCAGGGGGGAGGATTGCAGAGTCCATCGAGCCAACACTAATATGGAACGCGTCGCTGGAGGGTGCGGCATCGCCGATTCCTGACATGCTTTCCATTGAAAGCTGCAGCTGGTGGGTATCGCCCGCATCATGGAATCTAGGCCCGGCCGAACTGCCGTTGCCCTGCGGGGGATCTGGATCTAACGTCGCAAAGGATGATCTCCCTGCGAGGTTTGGATTGTTCGTCTGAATATTGACGGTGCCGAGGTGAGGGACGTTCAAGTTTAGGAACTTCAAGGCGTTGACGGTGCCTTCAGCCTGGAACCCAATCATGGACTCATCAATTGAGTCGAGGATAGGCATCATGCGGCTCAAGATCTCGGCAGACTCCTTGGAGAGCTTATCGTGATTGACAAGGGCAACATGCAACATGCGCTCGCGGACTACCTCAACGAGTCTCCTATCGTCAGCTCGCTCGGCGCAGGTAGGGAAGGGCTCGGAGATTGCTTGATGCTGGCGTAGGTAGCTGAGCAACAGTGTCATGGCGGCGACCAGGGCCGAGTAGTCGATATGGCGACAGGCCCATGGCGAGCTATAGAGCCCTCGAAAGGACACGAAGCGTTTGAGCACTTCCCTGCTCGCCCGTACGCAGGTGGCCTTGCTTTGATTGTCATCGGGCACCTCAGGCGAGCTTTGCAGCATAAATGGCAGGTGTAGGAGGATCATGAGATCAAAATGGTGGACCTGCAGCATCATGTGAAACATTGTGCCGAGGTTTGATTCGTTCCCCTGTGACGGGTCGATTTCAGGCTCGGCCCACCATTCGGGGTCCATCGACCTTGCGGCTTCCTCGAGATCGCGGTGGATGGACAGGGTCATGGCGAAATGCTGGCCTGACTTGTCAGCGTTGCGCTCAATCAACCGCCCGCCAATCACTGTCTGTAGCTTTTCTAATCTCTCCATATCCGTATCGCGCCTCATGGCCTCTTCCGTAGCGAAGCTGTCATCGCGGCTACCTGCCGGAAGGCCGAGTAGAAGCGACGTAGACCGGTCAAAGAAGTTGATGCGGTACCACAGGGCTTGAGGCGTCGTTCGGCGTTCCGGCGAAACAGTCGCGTCGACGAACTTTAGGGCAAGTGAGGAGCCGTGGTCGATGCCCATCAGCTGACCCAAGCTCATTGCTCTGCGGTAGCTGAGCCATGCTTTACGCAGGTTGCCGGCATTGGCGTGCCAGACGCCTTGCAGGATAATACACTGGAGGCCCTCTGCGGTCCCAACAAGCTCGTCGTTGGAGGTGACGAGCTGGGACACGGTGGAAATGATGTCCGAGGTGAGGTCAGGTAGGCTCCGTTTTGTCTGAAGTCTGCGCACGTCGAAGTTGGTTGGCATCTGCTGGATGGAAATGGCAATTTGCAGCAACCGTTTAGCGAGAACTGTAGGGTGGTTCGTGAGGGCGGGTAGATTATTCATGTTGTTAATGTGTTCAAATCTGCCCTCGAGGAGGTTGCGGAAAGGGTTGAAGAGTGAGGTGAGAAAATATGGGGCGGCGCTAGCCTCGGCAACCAGGGTGATATCGTGTTCTGAGAGGAAAAGAGCATACAGCGCCCGGCAGGCCTTCTCGTGTCTCGGCACAGAGCCTTTTCGGGGAGCGGAATGGTCCGACTCGGGCGTCGGCAAGGACTGAGGCTGGGGTTCCCGAGACATGTTGTTGTCCCCATTACGCAGGCCTAGAAGGAGGCCAACAGGGGTTTCGGCACCCGTGACAACAGATGCCTCGAGGACATCGAGAGCCTGCTGGTACCGAGTGCTGGTGCCGTCATCCACCGTGTCGTCGGAAGATGCAGGGGAGACGTCCCGAGACCGGGAAGACGAGATGGACTCGGGGAGGATGCGATCGACTAGTTTGGACATGAGGTCTTCGAGACGGCCGAGTCGCTGGGCCATTCTCCGGTCAGGCTGCTGCTGTGGGCGCGATTCGTCGACGAACTCCTGGCTGCGACAGGAGCTCCCGCGCCCCTGACAGGGTAAACAGACTGCATCGTTTCCGGGGCCGAACTGGCATCGGATCTTGCGTCGGCGGCCTTCAAAGTGTTAGTTGACAGAACTAGCTAAGGCATCCTAGGCCACGTAGTCTATTAGGTGCACACATGATGCATAATCACGTCGAGCGTGCCAGCAGCTGCCAGTGGAGTTCAAGACAATTCGAGCGGGACGGCGGGCGGCAAGGGAAAGAGGCTCATGGACAGTGCAAGGTAAGGTAGGTAACTAGACATACATTCCCAGCAGCTATGCGTGCCCTTCCGCACTTTTCTCCGCCTCGCCTCGGCCTCGGCGGCGCGCTTCATCTGTTCCGACATTTGGGCGTAATTATGGTAGGTTAGAGCAAGACCTTCTTTCGCCAAGGTGGATGTTACAGTCGTCTCAGAGTTGCGGAACCGGAGGCGCTGCAGCCAATGTTTTGGGACCAGTCGTGGTCGTGATTAGAGCGGAGATTGAGCAAATGAGAAACACAGCCGCTGGCCCGGAACTCGGCCGAAGATGGCGTGGGCAGGAAAAGGATATAAACATAAACTAAGGTATCCGTAGCTACGTGCGCTTGACCCCTTTCTCGTAAAAATGAGGAGAGCAAGCTGTGCTGTGGAGGTCAAAAGACGAAACTCCCAATTCAGATGAGGGAACAATTCGGGATTGGGCCATACGGAGACCGAGACGGACGAAATCCTTCGCTGCTGACATACAGAGTACCCTCCAGCTGTTCCGGCATTAGCCTGGCTGACAAAAGCTCTCTGGGTGGTCACAAATCAGCTACAGGGATTAGGTACGTGGAGCGGCGGCAGCCCCACTTAGAAGTCCATGCCCATTGGCCCAGCAAGGATCGGCCAATAAAGAACAGCTCACCAAAGTCCCGAAGGAGAGCACATGGCGCGTTGGCCATGGACACGCGCAAGGTATCGGTACCTCAGTAATCGGTTGCTTTAATTCCGCAAAAAGGAGTCGGGTTTCCTATGGCCATTTCCAACTCTTTCAAGAGACCTCTCTGGTTCAGGGGAAGGGTTTTGTTCTATCATTAATAATTAAGAGCCTCGCAACGGTTACCTAATAGACGTACTGTTGTCTACCTACCTTGGCACCTACCTACCTTGGCACCTACCCAAGCGGTTGACAAAAAAAGACGAACTCATTACTTTAAGGTACATCCTTGGGAGCCAGATTTACATATAAATCTAGGTATCTCTATGTAGTGGCTGTTATCACCCTGTCATACGACCATCGCCCTCTAACACATCTTGCATCCGCCTTACCATGGAATCTACGTACTCATTGATTTTCGCTTGACTCAGTCGCCTCCATCCTTCAACTGCTAGGTCCATGATATTCGCATCAATTCGAAGATTGGCACGGATATACTGCTTTACAGCCCTCCAGCAATTCGAAGATTGGCGATAAATCTGGAGAGCTAGGGGTATTGAAGTAATGCTTCAATCCGTGGTCTTGCTTCCACTGCTTTACGATATTCCCACGCTTCGAATTTCCACCTCCATGCCCTGAATCTCCGTCTTCTTCCAGCACGAAAGCACCGCCACGGAGAAGCCAAGGACCAACAACCTTCTCCAGAATCTCGTCGCGATAGGTCTGCAAGCTCATCTTTCCATAGGTATTTGTTGGGACTTCGTAAAAATACATCTCGGACTTGAAATTCCATCCGACGGCCGCCCAGACGTGATATCTTCGGATTTCGGTTCCCGCCGCTGGTTCAGGCTCATGGTGGTGAATACAATCTGGACAATAACGCTCCCCTGGCTTCCTAATAATCCGAATCTTTCCTTCGGAAAAGAGTCCAAAATGGCATTCATCCGACCACTGGATATCGTGCCAGTCCTCTGGACGAGGGCGATATTGAAGCGCGAGCTTGGCGGCTTGGATACGGCGGTTGGCACTTAATGGAGAAACAAATACTTTTTCGCAAGTGGTGCATTTTCGGTATTTCAAGGTCCCCATCGCTCGCTCAATCGTCCTTGCGGATGCGTGGATACCGGTCATTAGGCCTAGACCTTGCCAAGTCAAGATGCGCGCCTGGAAGCCATACTGCCAGATGACTTTCTCCATTCGATGTAGGTCCTCGGCCGAGATGATATGCTTCCGGCCTCGTGTTTCGTGATCTGGATGCCTCCGGTCCTTGGCATTGCGCAGGATCTCCCAGCCCTGGGTTTTACTGCGGATGCCGAACTCTTTGAAAAGACCACTGTGGAAGTACTGAGCGTAGTGGTAGTCGAGGAATGCAGCTGTTCCAATGAGGTGCGCCTTCACTGGCGTTGGGTAATGCGGTGCCATGATGGCAGTGATGGTGGTGATGGACTGGCGGTGTGGTGCCAGCAGTGGTGGTGTGAGTCGAATGCCATCGAATGTTGTAAAATTGGTAGTGTCTGCTAGTGTAAAGCCGCCCGCACAGACCAATCCATCTTTGCAGTTCGTGTTATTTTGCCAACCGCTTGCTACCTACCTTGGCACCTACCTACCTTGGCACCTACCTACCTTGGCACCTACCTACCTTGGCACCTACCTACCTTAGTTCCCCGCCTCCATACCTACACTACTATTCTCATACTTCCAGCTTATTAATTAGGTAGACGCTCACTATTTCATGGACATTCTGCCGAGTTCCATCATTACTAACATTTTCATCGAGGAATTATATTGGCGCTTATTGTCTTGCAGCAGAGACTCCAAACTTAACACGTGGTTAGCCTGAACTAACACTACATCGTCGCGTCGCTACTCTGCTAAATTTGTGTAAAAATCCCACACCCCAAGCAACCAACACCCGGGTTTTTGTAACGCGTTGACGTGTCCTCCGAACCTTGACATCTTCCAATGCGCTGACATCGGACGGATGGACCTCAAAGCCCTGCTATTTCGTGCATCGCTTTAAGACAGATGAGTAAACCCAGAGCAGCGGCCGACGTCATCCGGCCCCTGTTAAGATTTGCTTAAACAAGTCAACCAACTGGTTCAGACGTGCAATGCATTTCACGAGAGCTGTCACGGTTCATTAACAGCCATGTCACTTTTCACTGGTCTTGTGTGTTTTTACGCATCTCGCTGAGGCTCACTGACATGATGGGTGCACCAAACCGGCAGGTTTGTCGACCCAATTTCTACCAGCGACCTCGAATCCAACTCATAAATCAAATTTGGAATTTGGATTGGCAAGAGAAGATTACAAGGGTTCAGTGAATTTGAGGTTCCCGAGAAGGCGAAAATCCTAAACGCCGGTGGACTGTGCAGTGTCGCTATTGGGGTGGCTGGAGGCGACTGCTGCCTATTCCATGCCTGCACGCTGGCATTTTCCGTGTCCTGAATTATCCCCAGCCACATAGCACCGCCAAGTCGAGTACTGCATAGAGCTGTCACCTTTCAATGTACCTGCAGGTAAATTCGTGCGCCCGTTTAGATGCTCGTTGCCTGATTGCCAGCGTACTGGCGGCGTATTCAGCCACGGACAACTCAGGTGATCGTGAATATGGGTCAGTGTCATAATTCTACTAGGCAATAAATCTGCGGCTGGAAATCCCATCTAGGGAAAGCAGGCTTCCACATGTGTGCAAGCAATCTCAAAAAGACAATCTCGGGGATATAATTACTCCAGTGTTGCTGAGATAGTCGACGTTTCTGAAAATGGACAGGCAATCAATAGCCGCCGGGTCCCTTGATATAACTTCGCCACTTCATAATTACTAACAGGCTAGGCACGGTCTTCGCCAATCAACAGCCACGACCATAAACAACCACAGCCATTGCCTGGGCGCTTTGAATCCGACAAGAGAGGAAAGATGGGCACAAATCTTGGCCTGGCGGTCGAGAGCGGGCTGCCTCCATCTCCCTCAAAGCCATCCCTTTCTTCAACCGAGGCTGCAGAGTCTGGCCGGTTCAGTCTCGCTTGCTCCACAGAGCCAGTGACGTTGGATGTGGGCGGCAGGCGCTTCGCCACTACCATCGGAACTCTTGTCGACCGGAGTGAATTCTTTGCAGCCTTCTTCTCGGGCCGGTGGTCTGTCCCAAAACAGGAGGACGGCACCGTTTTCCTTGACGCCGATGGTCATCTCTTTGCCCACATCCTTCGCTATCTCCGCCGCGGCCTCTTCCCTCTTGCCTTTGACAACGAACACGGTCACGACCTGTACTTGTACAACGACCTGCTGGTCGAGGCCAGGTACTTGCAGATCCCCAAGCTGCAACGCTGGCTCGAGGCCGAGTGCTATAACCATTGCGTCCAGCGCGAGTCCGTTTGCAAAAGGCCAAACGACCCTAAAGGAGCGCAGAATCGCTGGCCCGCAATTCCTGGTTCACAACTGCTGATAGTAGAGCCTCCTCCTGCAACCGTTCAGCCTTCAAGCGGCCAGGCATTGCGGCCAGGCGTCTCCGCAAGGACCCCTACTTCCCCTCCAGCACGTCGTCGGTTGGGCGATAGTAGCCCAGGGGCGAAGATGGACATCTTGGGCGGTCAATGGGCAGAATACGGGAAACAGTCCGTCCTCTGCAAAGGCTGGCTGAGCGACGAAGGGTAAGTCATGTCTCGTATCGACTCAGGGGCTGACATGCGAAGCTGACATAAATTTCGTAATTAGGGGCGACTTCCAGAAACATTGGCAGGAGTTTATTGACAGTAATCGCGGCGTGCCCGACTCTTCACAAGCGATTCCTCCATCTAAATCGCCTGGCTCCGGCTGTTCCGAGAGCCCGAGATGACCTGACGTTCTCGGCTGCGACCAGCTTACCCCTGCGCGGCTACCTAGACTAAACATGTTTTAATATTTGCCAGAGGACCTACCCAGTTTTTTTGGGGGTTTTTTTCTTTTTCTTTTTTCTTTTTTCTTTTTTTTTCAATTTTTTATTAACGTATTTTATAAGCGAATGCCCCATATAAGCGAATGCCCCATGCCCCACTACTCTACCACAATTATCTACAACTATTCCATCACAACACTAGGAAATGACAATAATTGAACTAGGAATAGATAAACCAGACAATTCTCCAGCCTCCTGACAGGTTCTTGCATTATGGCCAGGCTTTCCACACACACCACAACACCGAGCCTTCGTACGAGCCCCCCTTGCACTACCACCACTTTGCCTTGTTTCCTGGGCTAACTGCTCACCCAGGGCCTTCTGATCTAGTAGATCCTGTGCCTGTTGTACAGTAAGAGACCCTCCAAGCCGTAGACGTGTTTTTTTTAGCCCTCCGTAGCTTACTAAGCTCCTCATTGGCCTTTCGTAATGCCGAGACCTCTGTACGTAACAGGGCCACCTCATGCATCATAGCCATTGTACCTTTAGCCAATTGGTCCACAGCAGTCAGCATAGGTGTCGGAGAGCTGCCTTGGTGGTTAGATATCCTGCCTTTAATAAGCTCCTTCTGTGAGGTAGCCTCTTGGGCGTTTTGTGGAGTCTGAGATAGCCAAGGTAGTGCGGTGTTTGGTGGTGAGGTGTGACGAACCTGGTTCGTACTGGACCAGCTGCAGGAGGCAGGCGCCTCAGGCAAGACTGGGGGCCCCGCTCGTCGAGGGCCAATCAGACGGTGCCCGGTGCCAAGAGGGCTCTTGGCACCAGGCAAACGGAAGGACGGCCAATCAGAGGTGGCCCGGTGCCAAGAAGGGTCTTGGCACCAGGCAAATGGCCCGGCACGCTAGCAGTGCCCGGCGCCAGGCAGCTCCTTCCTGCCGGGCAAGTAAGAGCTGTGCTCTTACTGGCCCGCCATAATTAAATAAATACGATGACCGTATCCACGGTCTTAGATAGTTCTTGCTTGGTTCTCCAAGCAAGCAATACACATTCACTGCACTCATACACTTTGAGTGGCATTCCGATTTGACTGTATTACCCGTGCGAAAGGAGCTTGCCCTTTGTTCTATCTTCATAATTACCAACCCAGCATTCTGTGGAGCCCGTGCTCCCTTACAGACAGACGACCCTAACAGTCGAGTGGTTTGTAATATGAGGCTGGCGGAGTTGGAGTTCGAAGCCGAACAGTCATCTTAGAAAGTACCCTGCCTGGATCATGCGGTATAAGGCCAGTTCCAGCAAATGCTCCTTGGATGTTTTGGTCGATAAAGGCGATGAAAAATGCCTCTTTGAATGCATAGAGAAAATCCACCTTGGTGATATGTGTGATGTACATCCGCATTAACCCCTCGATTTGATCGCCGTAGGCCTTCTTCAATGGCCCAAAACAACCAACATCTAATGGCTGGACTAGATGTGAGGAATGCAGAGGCATACAGAGTGTAATAATGTTATGCTTCTTGCAGTAGTTCTCGAAATCGTCGGAGTGGTGGCTTTCGTGGCCGTCAAGAATTAAGAGCTGGTATCTCCCTGTAGGAATCACCAGGGTACCGGTACTGGAAACAGCATGGCGCGCTGCGCGCCGTAAGGTGGTGGTTCAAGTGATGGATTCGTTTGTGTCTGTCTGTCTTCTTATCTATCTGAACAGGTGGGCGTAGGCCAATATATATGCATCTGTCAGGCCCGCTCCTCCACAGATGTTGCTGTGGCCAGGAATGCGGAGCCGCATTCCTTGGATCAGCGCGTCATTCCAGTATGTTATTCCAACACTCCCCTTTGTACGAGATGTTGTATGGAGATCGAAGTGTTTGATAAAATCTAGGCCTTTCGTATTTGTAGTCCAGCCGTTGTCGGTTACTCCGATGTACCAGGTCTCCGGAAGGCCACATTCATACCAGCCTTTCTGGTGGTATTTTCCTTTTAAGAGGATGAATGGTGGGATAGCCCAGCCTTGAGCATTTACTGCTTAGATAACTATAGCCCACTCACGATTGCCAGGTTAGACTTTTTTAGCCTTCCCATAGCCATCAGAGGTAGTAACAACCATCCCAGTAGTAATCATACCCATCATAAAGCCAGTCTCATCGAAATTGTACATATCGTCGTCAAGGATGCCGTACTTGGCCTTGGTGTTATGTACTAGGGCAAACCACTCGCGAATAATCTCTGGATCTTCGCATTTAGCCCTCTGGTAGTCGTATCTACGCGAAAAACGCGTCCGGAGCTCTAGTTGGCGTTTGACGAAATTGTGAGCCCAGAGCTTACCGACAGGGGGCGCGTCGCGTTCGCGTAACAATCGGTTAGCCATATCTTCCACAAAACAAAGCCGAGGAGGAAATGCGCGTGTGCAAAGCTCGCTTATATACTGAACAATCGTACTCTCCTCTAGATCCGTAAGTTTCCGTGAGTTGGCTGGAATATCGCGTCGTGAAGGCTGGCCGGCGCGTCGGAGCCTAAGAGTCTTAGGATCGACTTGATAGATCTTAGCAGCGCCTCGAATAGTAAGATCTGTATCTTTTTCGAGAGCCTGAATGGCCAAGATTAGCCTGGCTTCTTTTGACGGCGACCGCATTTCGAGTGGTGGAAAAAAGCGGTGTTGTACGTGGAGGTGCTGATTTGTGTGGGGCGTGGGGCATTCGCTTATATGGGGCATTCGCTTATAAAATACGTTATTATTTAGTCGCTGTTTTCTCTTCCCGTTCACACCAAATGTAACTGTTGGGATGACTGTAGGAATTACCGATCAACCAGGAGCTGTGATTGGCCCAAAATGTGGAATAGTGGGGCAACTACGTCAGCACACGGGCCACACCCGCCTAACACGTGACTTTCCACCTGTTGGCGGGGCACTGGAAATTAGCCCCTCCATGTCCCCGTAGTTCGCGGTCCCTGACAGTAGAGAAAAGAGAGGAGTACAATCAATACACAACACCCTACCTTTCGTTCTAGTTACTACAGTGACTACCATGCGAATGACCTTGCCATTCCAACCATGACAAGGTCATCCATACGGTAGTCACTGCAGTAACTCGTACGAAAGGTAGGGGGTTGTGGTGGTTGTATTCTGGTATCTCTTTTATGTAAAAGGATCACGAACTACGGTAACAGGGTGCGCATTGGATTTGGCGATGCCCGGAGGCTACGTGATGGTTGCGCCTCGGACACGTGCCGCATAGCGGCCCGTGTGCTGGTCAGCCACTGAGGCTGTGCATCCCCGTTGACTGGTAGTTCCCACAGTAACCTTTTTTTCGTTTCCAGATCGGCCAATGCCAAGCGAGCAATACTTGTTAAAGGCAGGCACCCGATCCAAAGCGTTGTAATTCACTTAATTGTACATACATTCTAGTAGTCAGCCAATGCAAGCCCCGAATTCGTCTCGTGTTCCTATTGCCAACCTATGAGGCTTCATCTGACCGAGTAACTCCCATGGACCCATGCTCAATTACTTGAGATTTGCCATCTCGGGCCGCTTTACCCTGAGATTGAGGACATCACCAAGCTCGCCCTTGGTTGAGTCGTGGAGTAGGACGTAGACAGAGTCGGGGTCTTTGTTCCATTCGAGGAGCTTGGCAAAGGTCATGACGGCGCAGGCGGTAGCAACGCCAAGGGCAGTAACGATGCGGTAGTGTCTGTGTGGAATCAGCTGCATTGTAGAATATGAGTTTCTTGGAATGATGCTGGCTACTTCTGAATGCCCCAACTGGCTGGATAAATTTCCTGACCTCCGGGGCCGCCCATGTCATCCTTGGGGTCTCGCCCCAGTACTGTCCCTACACGACGAGCCTGCGAGTTTGCGACTCGGCCTGGACGAAGAGGGACAGCGGCGCGCTGTGCCGCCAACAGTGCTGGGATTCCCGAAGCACCGGCCTGGCTTCTGATAATTCGTAGCGCCAACATAAGGTGTCAAGTAATTGTTGATCTCGTTGATAGCTATACTCGAGAATAAAGAGAGATGAATGCGGTTACGCGAAATTTGCCGAGCATTAAATCGGTATTTTCTTAAGGTGTCGGCTTTGGGTGTGTGGCGAGCAAGCTGCGTCTGTGAGTGGTGACCTCACAACTATCTCATTCGGATGCACTCGACGCCTTGATGAGGTATTTGTGGAGCCTAATCAAGACCAAGTTGAGGGACGATACGCGGCGGAGTGCGGGACAACAAATTTTGAGAGGGCGGAGGGAGCACTTGGACGGGATCAATGCGGGGCAATGGAATCGTATTGCGACTATAAACCCAAATCTAATTCCCCTGACGATAAATGGTTAATTAGGGCAAAGTGAGATCAGTGGGTACCCGGATGATCCTTGAACATTCGACTGGAGTTCCGGAGTCACACAGTTCCTGCAAACCTCACTACACAGACCGCCTCACAACAAACGCCCCGCGGTCCATGGTGTTAATGACAATGTACCCGCTGGGGAAGAAGGGGTAGTGGCTCCAGGTCCCAGTAAATGTGACCTGACCTCCGCCCGGGGCGTTGTCATCCTCGGGATGCACGTCGAAGTACGCGACCTCCTTGATTCCCTTCCCTGTCGGGTCTTGGGGAACAGAGCGGAGGTCAAGGATACTGATACCTAGGGCATAGTTGCTCTGGTAGGCGAAGCCGTCCTTGACGTATTGGTTGTGGTCGATGCCTCTCCGCAGTCCTCTGTAGTATCCAGTCTGCTTGGGAGACTCGAGCGAGCTGATATCCCAGATGTAAGAAATTGGGTAGCCGTCGGCAGCCAGCCCTACCTCGTCTACCTCGTCGTATTCGTCGTCCAGGATAAGGTACTGCTGCCAGAGAGGGTCCAGGACCCAGCCCTGGTGTGTGTAACTGGCACCGTCGTATGACGTGTTTGAAATGACCTGGATCTTTTTCTTATCCGACACGTCAAAGCTGTTGGATTGTGCGACGGTTAGCGGGTCAATTGCAACGGACGCGGTCTAGCCAGTTCCCCAACTCACATCGTCAACGCATCTTCGTCATAACCGTAGCAAATATCCCGCCCAAAGTACTTGGTGTCTGGGCCTCGATAGACGATGCACTGAGCATCGTGAACGTAGCCGTCCTGGCCGGTGCCGCCGAGCGTCTTGGGACTGGTGGGGTCAGTCAGGTCGAAAAAAACTAGGCCGGCTCGGAGTGTAGCGTTGCGGGGCTGGAAGCCGGTGGCAACGCCGTAGTTCCTCTCCTCGTTGGTCACAACATTGTGGGAGCGTCCCACAGGCAGCCCCTCGGTCCAGAACCCGTCCAGGTCGTGTTGGTTGCTGAAGACGACAGGCTTCGCCGGATCAATGTCAAGTAGCTTTTCCAGGTTGAAGATCTGCACCCCGTGCTTCTCTGCCTCGCTGCCGATGACCATGTAGCTCTTGTAGCCTTTGATCTCGCGCCAGAGGGAGGCTGCGGCCGTCGTGTACTGTGGCAGGCGACCAAGGTAGACAAGCTTGCCCTGCCTTGTGACCTCGGAGAATGACGTGCCATCCTCCTGTGCAATGGCAATAAATTCCCGATCCTCCGGGCTGGTCCAGCCCCACGATCCTGCACCGCGTCCGGACGAGCTCCCAAGTTCCGAGTGAGTCTTGAAATCGTAGAGGTCCAAGTTGCTGCACCGAAACGTGTACTTGGGGTTGCCTGGAACATAGGAGGCCACTCCATCCTCGCAAGCGACGTAGTCGATACCCGAGTCAAACGTCGCGTACTGCGTTGAGTCGTAAACGCCCTGCTCATCCAATTCTGCCCAAACTTTCTGGTTCATCGTGTCAGCATTTCGTCTGAGTGTGTGCGATTTTGGTCTTCTCACATTCTTGAGAGCCATGATTTGCCCATGCCGGACGCCGCTGTCGTAAAGCTCTGCTTTTAGCTTCATATTCACCTGGGCCTCTCTGGCCACTGCCGAGGCAAAGAGCGCCATCACGGCCATGGTGAGTGTTGAGCCCCCCATCATTTTCGTAGTCTTGTTTCGCTTTGCAACTGGCATACCAAACAAGTGCCTGTGTCTAAACAATGTTTGAATGTGTTACTCCTACCGGTAGGATAATGAAGAGTTTTGGCGAGTTTTGGCGAGTGCTGTGGTCAACGCGTTTATATGCACTGGTCTATACCCGCCGAGATGGCCGAAGGATCGAGGGAAGAAACCCGAGCTGGTGCCTAATGAACCAATCTGCAATGGTAGGAGTCTAAGGATGGGCTTAGAAGGTAGGCTATGGCACCATGTTACGAAATTTCCAGTTCACTTGGCGTGATAGGCCGGAATGGGGAGGTGAGATAGGCAAAAGAGGCTGGTTGGGAGCAGTTCGCTGTTGAAGTGGCCCCGTGGGCAAGGGTTCGACCATATAAGAACGACACCTGCTATCTACGGTCGACATGTCGGGGTGACTCGCATTCCTCCCAGGGTCTCTCGTGGATTAATGTATAGTACAATGGGGTTCAATACGGCACCGTGGACGAATAGGGTAGGTAGAAGAGGAATTCAGCCGCCAAGCCGGCAGATGCTACGGCCAACACTCTGTCCTGCGTCAACGCCAAGAGAAAAGCTGCTTGAGTGTAACACCAGGATTTAATCTCGCAGCGTCTCCCGTCTCGGCATCTGCCCAGAGCATGTGGCTTGATTGACGAGTGTCGAATTTCCTGGCATGAGGGTAGATGCTCCCAAATAATCAGTGTGCAGAAAGACACATCTATATTATAACACGTCAGTGCGATGTATGAAAGAACTGGCTAATTTGAATCAGTCGTTCTTTCATTTAAATTCGATCCGGAATCCAATATTATTTTGTCTTTACTGATTACAGCCTCCTCGTCGGCTTTTCGTTCGCCGAATTGTAAGAATGGTAGGCAATTAATTAGTTGGTTGTGATGATAAGATCTAAAGATCCCGCCATGTGTGAAGCAATGCCGCAGTGTTGGCGAGCCTTGTGAAGTGAATTATTTCTAGTAGGTATTTATCTTCTTTATTCAGTACTCCGCATAATAATTACCATCAACATTTGCTGTTGCGTTATGTGATCTTCTCCTCAGCCTGTGGCCAGGCTTTGCACTAGGCCTAAAAGGACAAAGTCAATAGCCCGAAATGGAAGGCACCTAAAGGGGCTGCCAAGATGGCTTGGACGAGGGGGGATGACCACCGAGGCCGAGTGATCTGCTTTGACGCATTGGTAAGCACGACATTACCTAAACAAAATGGCGTTGCAACATTGGCGGGGCTTGATCGCTACAAGGCTCACTCGCTAAGACGCTCAGAAAGGCGCGTTCAGAAAGGCGACACCAAGCGCGAGAGAGAGACGCCGTAGGAAACAAGACATAGGACGACGAGCCGTCTTTCGTTGGACTTTACCGGCCTAGGTAATACCTAGACAAGAATGGAGGTTGTTCCACAGTTGAACAGGCGCAAAGGTCAGCCAGGATTCTCTTTTCCCCACAACCTCAGTTTTTTTTTTGGATGCCCGCCACTGCCCCCAAGGTACGGACTGCACGGCGCTCGGCGTACGGCGCTCGGCGCTCGGCGTAGACTAACATGATGACATGGCATGGACGTTCTGGGACAGCCTGCGACCTTTGCTTCACCAAGAAGATAAAATGTGACATGATGAAACCCGTGTGCTCCAATTGTCGCACATACAAGAGCGAATGCAGGACCACGGCTATCCGTCGACGGGCAGGAGTTAGTAGGAAACCTGCCGTATCCCTTGACCCGCTAAATGCCTCGCATCCGGGCCTGGGCGGTGCAACTGCGGCTCCGGACAAGACGCTCTCAGCCCACGTGCCGACTGCAGCTGCATCTAGCGGGCCCCAGTTGGATCCCGGGCTGGAGTCGCGTCTGGCACGCATCGAACAGCAACTGCAGCAGGTTCTCTCTGTTGCCTCCAGCGCGGTGAACAGGGCCAACGAGCTCGAAGCGCGTACGGCAGGCCATCATGCACCATGGCCGAATCCAATGCCAGCGGACCCTGGCAAAAATGTGTTTGGCGAGGACCAGATGGAAGCCTGGCTCGAGCTCGATGATCCAGAATGTCCCTCGACAGACTCGAGTGGCAAGACGCTCTCCAGCGTCTTCGACGGCGACGACGATGACGACGACGACGGCGGCGGCGGCGGTGGTGGCGGTGACGATGTCGGACCCGAGGCCCTCAACAATGACGACCATGTGGTCCGCACGCCCATCCCAAAGCTGCCACCGCTTGAGGAGCTGCAACCAATCGTGGACAGCTACTTTGCATACTTCAACCACGCGATCCCCATTTTTTCCCAACCGGAATTTGCCCGCTTGCTCGCCGGCTGGTACTCGGCTCCCTCACGTCGTTCGCGGGCGGCTTGGGCAGCCATCAACATCGTCCTAGCCCTTTCATCCAGTATCCCGCTAGTGCCGCGTCAACAGGTAGATTACGACGATGACCCAAAGACCGTGTATTACATGAGCAATGCCCAGTCCGTCTTGGCAGAGCTTGTGACACGCGACGAAGACCTGCTCGGGCTGCAGGTCCTGCTCGGGCTGGTCTTTCTCCTCCAAGGCAGCAAGGATCCCCGCTCGGCATCGGTGCTGATCGGTGCGGCGGTCAGGCTCACGCATCGCCTCCGGCTGCAATCGAGGGACAACATCGAAGAGAACTACACGGCCGAGGAGGGACTGCACCGGTGCCGACTCTTCTGGATCGCGTACCTACTGGACAAGGAAATATCTATACGCCACCATACGCCATCCGTGCAGGTGGATGCCGACATTGATCTCGACCTGCCATCACGCCACCCGCCCGACGGCGTCAGCGAAATTTACACAGCCGACGGACGAGTGCGCGTGAACTACCTGCGCCTGCGGGTTCAGCTCGCCCACATCCAAGGTCGGACGTACGATCTCCTGTACTCGACACGCAGCACGAGGATATCTCCCCAGGAACGGCAGTCCCGTGTGGTGAGGCTCGCAGCCCAGCTCGAGAAGTGGAGGCGCAGCATCCCTGCTGAGATGCAACTGGGATCGGTCGACCGCCACCTGGATCGCTTTGCACTGATACACATGGCTACACTGCTATGGTCGTACCATGCGTCCTTGGCCACGATCCACGGGGTCTGGAGTCACAACGCGCACTGGATGAAGCGCATTTCCAACTACAGCCAGGCTGTCATCCGGGACAGCGAAGTCGACGGGCGCAAGTGTTGCTACCACCAACATCCGCCGCTGCCGGCGGCTTGGAAACGCCTTCTAGGGGCCAGCCGCGAGTGCCTTGCGCTGGCAAACAAGATGCCCCGGAGTGACTGCAATGTCTGGTGAGTCGCCTTTGCCAACCCCCGCCGTAGTCCATTGTGTTAATGTTTCGTCTCCAGGGCCAACACGTGTTCTTTGTTCTCAGCAATGATCATCATCATGTCGAACATGTACGAGTTCCCCGACTCTGATCCCCTCGCGAATGATAGGGACCTGGTGCAGTATGCGCTTGGGATATTCCACAAGATTAAGGATATATCGGAGCTCATCCCGCTTAAGAAGCTACACGTCGTCGTTGTCGAGCTAGATCGCGCATCAAGCGCGGCGGTCGAAATGAGCCAGAGGAAAAGGGTTTCTGTGATCCAGGGCGCGGTTAGCGGAGAAAATTTGTCGGCGGCAGCTACTTCCAAGGTCTGGGACCAAACCAAGCCGAGTGACGATGGTCTGAGGGATGCGACGGCGGCCGAGAGTCGTTGGGGGTTCGCAAATGACCAAGCTGTCGTCGCGGCTCTGCCCCATCCTATCATGGGGTGGGACGACGATTACCTGGGGGATCCGGCGCCCGAGGGCTTGCTATCACCCTTCAACCCTAATCAGTTGGTTATCGATCCGTTTGACGGCGACTATGGTCCGTTTGGCGGCGATTGGCGGGATGTTCCCATGACCCAGCAAGGATTGGAGGAATTCGCATTTTGGCCTTAGCATTCATTGCTCGTCCATGGAGAGGAGCGCAGCCAGCGATAGCCAAGGTGCTGAGAATTTAACGTGTCCGGAAGCGGAGAGGATTGGGGAAGAGTTGCGCCCGCCGAAGAGCTGGGTGTTCTGTGCTCGAGAAAACTGGCGCGAGTAAAAGAAAAATCGTTTGTCAGCTAACGCGGGGCAGTGTGGGGGGGGAGTTCACGGCTCCTTCCGGGGGAGCGCATTAGTGTGTAGATACCCCACTATGACGGCATTGCTAGCACAGATTGAGACGGGAGCTCGACGGCTTTCAGACGGCTTTGGGCCACTAAGATGGATTGTGATTACCTACAGCAATGCGCTACGGCGGTGCCCATTGCGCCGCTTATCGAACCACTTTCAGCCACCTACACGAATCAGAGATCCTCTGCATAACGCCGTTTGCTGGCCGTCTTGCCATTCTCGTCCAGCTCCCCGATTCCCGTCCCTCAGCTCAGCTCTGACCCGACATTTGCGCAATACCCCTCATCTCGACGAGCTCCTCCCCATGACACGTACCCCCCGACTGGCATTCCGCCTCACTCGCCCATTTCCCACCGCACCAGCAATTCTCCCATATCGATTCTTATCATCCACAACAAAAACAGCAATGTCGCCGGAATACAAACTCAAGGGCGTTAGCTCGCTGGCCCTCCAGCCCGGTGACAAACAGGAGGTCGAAGTTGAGGGCCTAGATGCCAAGGTCCTCCTCCTTAATGCCGGGGGCAAGGTCCAGGCAATTGGCCCCAAGTGCACACACTATGGAGCACCGCTGGTCAAGGGAATTCTCGGCACAAACGGGAAGCTCACTTGCCCCTGGCATGGAGGTACGTCTCTCTTGGTTTCCCTGATTTCGACTGCTTCCACCCCGTCGTGCACATTTGTCGAGTTTTGTAAGTGGGCGAGCAGTTGGGGCGCTGCTGACCTTTTCGTCCTCGAGTAGCGTGCTTCAACAGCAAGACCGGCGACATCGAAGATGCCCCAGGCCTTGATGCGCTTCCCGTCTTCAAAACCACCGAGCGCGACGGCGCCGTCTACATCACTGGCGATGCAGACACGATCAAATCGGGTCGCCGCAAGCCCAACTTCAAGTGCACGGCGACGGGAGGAGACAAGGTTGTCGTGGTGGGTGGGGGATCCGGCGCCTTGGGAGTCGTAGAGGGCCTGCGCGAGAAGGGCTTCAAGGGCGCCATCACAGTCATCACAAGCGAGGGCTACCTGCCCATCGACCGACCGAAGCTCAGCAAGGCACTGCTGACCGATCTGGCGAAACTACAATGGCGAGACGAGGAGTGGTTCAAGAGCGGGAGCGTCGACATTGTCCAGGATGAAGTCACGGGCGTCGACTTCGGGACCAAGACAGTCGCGACAAAGTCGGGTGGAAAGTTCGCCTACGGAAAGCTGGTTCTATCCACAGGGGGCACGCCGAGGCTCTTGCCGCTGCAGGGCTTCAAGGTCCTTGGCAACGTTTTCACGCTGCGCAATGTTCACGACGTCAAGAAGATCGTCGAGGCCATCGGCGAGAAGGGCAAAAAGATTGTTATCATTGGCTCGTCCTTCATCGGAATGGAAATCGCCGTTGCGACTTCCAGCGGTAATGACGTCACCGTCGTCGGCATGGAGAAGGCGCCGCTTGAGCGGGTACTGGGCGAACAGGTGGGCAACATTGTCAAGAAAGGAGTCGAGGCCAAGGGAGTCAAGTTCTACCTTTCGGCGGGTGTGGAGAAGGCCGAGCCGTCGGCCTCGGACCCATCGAGCGTAGGATTTGTCCACTTGAAGGACGGGACCAAGCTCGAGGCCGATATCGTCATTCTCGGAGTGGGTGTCGCGCCTGCGACCGAGTACCTAAAAGACAACAGCGTGGTGCGCCTCGAGGGAGATGGGAGCCTCAAGACGGACGAGTCCTTCTCCGTCGTTGGGCTCAAGGATGTCTATGCTATCGGCGACATTGCCACGTACCCGTACCACGGTCCCGGCGGCGGCGGCAAGTACGTCCGCATCGAGCATTGGAACGTTGCGCAGAACGCGGGGAGAACGGTGGCGAGCCACATTGTGAACCCCGGCCTCGAACCGCAGTTCTTCACGCCCGTGTTCTGGAGCGCGCTCGGAGCACAGATGCGGTACTGTGGTAACACGATGGCCAGCGGATGGGACGACGTCGTGCTGCAGGGCACGCCTGACCAGGGTAAATGGGCGGCTTTCTACACCAAGGGCGAAACAGTGGTGGCCATGGCCAGCGTGGGCATGGATCCCGTCATGGCCCAGAGCGCGCAGCTTATGCAGTTGGGGAGAATGCCCAGCAAGACTGAGCTGAAGAATGGCCTGGACGTGCTGAGCCTCGGCCCCCCGCAGTGATTGACGGATGGCGCCACGGCCGCAACATGACAATTCATGACACATGTTGATGACGTATTTCGGACTTTAGATTTAATTATGTACTATCTCTTTTTCCGCCTCTTTTCTTGTCGTTTGCGCCAGGTAATATACGAGAGTCCCAGGTTAACTTGTCCATGTCCGTTAGGCGTGCTACAAGTGCCTACACGAAGGACCCCAGCCCACCGAATCAAGTCGGGCAGTAACCCTAACCCCAAATCTGGTTCAGGGTAAAATTTGCACCGCCGGAAAGAGGGAGGCGCATCGTTCATTTCTCCATCCTTCTCAACCAGCCAAGAGAAGGCCAGACGATGGCTTCATTTCCAAGTCAAGCATATCCGCCTTACAACAGTCGCTCAACGTTCTACAAAGCCTTGACTCTTCAAAGCCTTGACTCTTGAACACATCCAATCACTCCCTTGGAATTTTAGGGACGCGGTTCTGCGCACTAAACACTACAAATAATTACCTACCGGTACCTACTTAAATCAGAGAGGCGGGTTGTAATTAGCAGACAGGGGGAAACGCGATGACATTTGCAGTCTCCATATGGTTACTTGGCTTGCTTCATCTTGCTGCCAAGGCGCTGGCTGTGTCTGCCACCTGCCTTGTCACCGTTCTTTCTGTGGTTGTCGCATACCGCCTCGTGTTGCATCCTCTCGCGCGAATTCCCGGGCCCAGGCTTGCCGCCATTTCGAATGTCTGGCAGGCTCACCACGCGCGCCACGGGCGCATGCTTCAGCTTGGCAAGACACTCCATCAAAAATATGGAGCTGCTGTTCGCGTCGGGCCAAACGAGGTTTGGTTTGACTCGAGCGAAGCATTCAAGTCTATATATAGTGAGACTACCGCTGGTTTTCGTCATATCTATCCCTACATACTCCTTGACTCCCCCAGGAGACCAGCAGTCTGAAACGCAGACCTAATAGGTGTGGGCAATGGCTTTGATAAATCTGGCTTCTATCGTACGTCAACACTCCTTGCTGCCCTCAGCTTTTTCTGACCCCGCCTTCAACAGTGGCCACGTCTTTGAGCAAGCCAACTATCGACTGGCGACTAAAGCTCCACTTTCCGGATACGCTGGATTTTCTTTCAGAGTTTGATGTAAAGCGGTATCGACTGCAGAGACGGCTCATTCGCCCTCTGTACCAGACATCTAATCTTCAGAAGTTCGAGCCAGCGATCGACGACGTGATCGATAAAGTTATATCGAAGCTAAGGTCCCTGAAGGGTGCCGAGGTAGATCTGAAGGAGTGGATGCACATCATTGCTGTAGAATGCCTCGGAGCCGTCGTGCTTTCCTGGTCCCCCGGCTACATCCGAAACGGCTCTGACGCCGGCACCAGCGCACAGGGATATCTTGGCTGGAAGCGCAAGAGCGTTTTTGGCCTCTTTCCAACCATCACTACCGCCGCATTCTTCTCGAGATCGCTGGGTAGAAGCTTCTCAAACCTCTGGGGCGTGACATTCAAGACACCCAAGAATTTCAAGCCCTTCTTCACTGTTAGCTTGCTTGGCTCCCTCCTGATCCAACGTGGTTACTAACATCACGTGCCAGCCTGTCTATCAAAAGACTTCGAAACGAGTAGCTGCCGCATTGCGTCTGGATCCAAGGCAACAGACAAAAGACGCTGGTAGGAAGGACCTCCTAGCCGACCTTATCCAATTGCACAAGGACAGACCCGAGTTTACTGAGACGTACCTGCGTCGGCTGGCCATGACCAATTTTGGTGCTGGGCATGAGACAATGTGTTCGGCACTCACCTCGGCCATGGCCATGATTGGCTCCCACAGGGATGCCCAACAAAAGGCTGCAGCTGAAGTGCGTGATGCGGTCCCCGGTCCGACCAGTTACGGCACTGCCGTTCGCCTGCGTTATACCCAGGCCAGTATTAGGGAGGCCCAGAGATTGTATCCCGTTATCGGTATGTCCTTGTCTAGGACTGTACCCAGCGGCGGGATGGAAGCCCATGGTTGCTACTTTCCGTCTGGAACGACAGTGGGCTGTAACCCAGTGGCCCTTCACCGCAACGCTGAAATATTCGGCCCAGATGCCACCGAGTATAACCCCAGCAGATGGCTTGAGGACAGGCAGGACCGCGACGTCGACCAGGTTCGGCAAATGGAGAGATATAACCTGATCTGGGGTGGCGGCTCAAGAGCGTGCCCCGGCCGCCACCTTGCCGAGATGGTTTTGTTCAAAGCCGTCCCTTCGTTGCTAAAGGCATTCGACATCCGTGTTACCCATATGCCCCCCGACGACGACATACAATACTACTTTATGGCCATGATCACCGGGGTCAAGGCACGATTCCTGCCTATTGGTCCGGCAGCGGAGATTTAATACCAAATAGAAGGGTGCGAAATAGAAGGGTACGATACCAGAGGAATCCAAACATAATGCCATTGGGCTTCTATATCTAATATCGAGACACGCACCTTGCCACCAACGTTATAAGGATCGCCGATTCTGGTTTCTAATAACCATTCCTTGATATGGGTATGATGCGTGATGGATTTCTATGCTTGAAATCGACAGTTTACGATCATCACCTGTTATGAGTGTTCTGTCGAGTTTAACAACAGTCGTTAACCGCTTTGACGTAATCTGTGGGCAAACCGATCAGATGCTGGTTAGCTTAAAACTCGCCTCTTGATCGGAAGTCTTTTAAACAACCTTCCCGTTTGTCCCTGGCCCCTGTTGCTTCTGGTTGACTCGCCCGCAGGCAGCATTACCGACCATTCTAATTCCCCAGATCCACCTAACAGATAGGATGTAATTGGCGCATTCCTGCTCCCGTTCAGTCAGTCAGTTTGGGAACACACTCTCCATCGTTCATTCGGGTCTTGATCCGGCTATTCCCTTCGACGCAACATGCCTGCGTTAGTCTTGCTCTCACTTGACCGCGTCTTTTTTATTCTGCCGTTTCGTACCTAGGTACTCAAACATCAGTGGACCCGCATCCGATGTCTCAAACCCAACCAAGACTCCAACCCGCGGACTACAGACGCCGGCGATCCTGTTCATGCACGCAAGCACGCCAGATATGCGCCACAGCCGACCGCCGGGCCGTTGGTCCTTGGCCGGGGCCATAAACCAATTACCAAGATACAAGGTCCAGCAGGTGTGCTCGTCCCGCATTGCCAAGGTTGTGAAACATCTGCTGCCGTGTTTGGGTCTGTGCGGGTTTCCATTCCACGTATTCGTCAGTAAACTAATACTCTGCTCGGAGACCCAACTCGGAGCTAAGTAGAGAGAACCCGAATCTCCCCACAAATGAGATGCAGCCGTGGCGTGCCGAGTGCGTCTAGCCGGGGAATTGTATGCATTAATTACAGGTGAAGAGACTGAGTTGCTATCTACACAGTTGGCTTTACACCCGGTCGGGAGGTGGAGAGGTTCTAGGCTGAACTTGACTCGTTAATCACATTCTGATGGAAATGGTATCTAATTTCCGAGCCGCGGACTCTGGCGAGAATTATTGTTAACGTGTTTCCATTGTGACAGAGTGCAAAGACGAAGGCGAAAAAATTGTGCATGAATTGCCGCCACCTTTTCTGTCAAAGTTGCTATTGTACGAATACTCCACACGTAACTATCCGGTAATCGAGTAGACTAACTCAACCCGCCAGAATAGGTATATATCGATAGAAAACGCCCTTCCCCTCAATGACATACCATGGTTTATCGCCATCTCAGTCCTATCAAACCCTGTAAGATAGATTCGAGCCATGTGCTTACGAATCGTCGAAACTTTCTTTTATCTATTTTGGACTGTAGCCATGTGTCCATTTCTAGAAAAATGTATTATTTATTCTTTCATCCTTCTTTTCTTTTTCCTTCTAGTATGGGGCGACATGTCGCGCCTTAAGCAAAGCTCTGCTCACAGAAAATGTAATAAGACGCCAGATACCTAGCTACATATTCAAGTTATGAGGTCAGATGTAGATATTTGGCTTAGCAATGTCATGAACTAATTATACACTCGCATCAAGAAACAGATATTCTGTTAGGATACATATTCATGTCACCGTGACATTCGTCCTCCGCTTTGATAGGTACCCGCGACGAGTTGGCCATAAATACTGGCCTGCAAGACTGCACGACTATAGTGACCGTAGACAGAGGCCAACATCGACTCTTTCAGAACGCCCAATAGCACTCAAAGTTTCGGGTTGCCTATATTGGGTGTTGCCCCGATATTTGTGCGCGGCAATATTTGCCAGCCAATCGAGACTGCCTAAGTAGCTGATTGGATCTCTCTGCTCTAGCTGGTCGTCGGCAGGTGGTGAGTGGCGTGGTGGCTTGGATTTGCAAGACTCGGTCCGACAAGGTGGTGGCAGCGAGGGATTTTGGCTGGCAGCATCCTACCTACCTAGCAAATCGGACTTGGCTCTCCAGTGCTGACCGGTTGCACCCGGCCACTGAGGTGCAGAGACACTTTAACCGGGTGCGGCGCAGCTGTGCTTGTGGGTCCTCATTGTACATGCAGCGCGCTTGCAGTGCACCGTTGACGGGATAAGTTCTTGAGACCTGGGGTATGTGGACTACAGCACTTTTCATTCGTCGGGTTCCATGTCGCTGGTTATGCATCTGTGGTGGTATTAAGGTACACAAACATATCGTCAAGGAGAGCGACTCCCTCTTTGGGACGGCTCGTCCAGCGGATCCCCTGGATACCAGCTAATATTGAGGTGCCTTTATGATCAAACCCCAGCGGCCAGGAGCCGGCTCGGAGAACTCGGGCCCAACGGTTCGGACTTTGAGGGGCAAAAAGCCAAACCCTCGTACGCTGCCTCGTATTCTCTTCCACTGGATTGGCTGGATGGACTGGGAAGGAGGTCCATGGGACTAATGCTAGACCCGCGATTCCGCAACTGCACCAAGGGTGCTCTAACCACAAGGGTGCTCTAACCACAAGGGTCTTGAGCAACAGAGACGAACAACACACCAGCTTGCCGCATAGGGACGTAATGACTGGGCCTTGGCTTTGGCCTCCGCATCCACAAGACCCGTGGGGAGTCGCCGGCACACGCAGAAGCTGTGAGAAAATACGCCGTATAAAAGCGGGAAATGGCGCGTGCTTCGACCAACTCTTCTTCTGCTCTAGACGTCTAAGTGAAGGCGTAATTTTGTCGAATCACCCCTTTAAATTCTATCTTGAGCATGAAAACGAGTTGTCAAACCAGCCAGTCGACTAGCCAATACGATGAAGCGTCCAGATTGCCCCTCAAGTTCCCACCTATCGAGTACCACACCAAATGCCGGTAGAACTTGGGAGGAGATCGTGGCTGACAAGCAGCGGACTGATGCTGCAAAAATACCCCCAGAATGGGTCCTGCCGCCGGCGGTAGTGGCAGGGGCTGAGGCCAGGCGAAGCCTCGTCGGTGCCTTCATCGAGGGGCTTCTTGATGCAGAAACGTGCCGGATTACCGATATGGATGTTCCTGATCTCGTTGGGCTGATGGAATCGGGGGCTTTCACAGCTGTCCAGGTGACGACGGCGTTCTGCAGGCGTGCGGCAGTCGTCCACCAGCTTGTTCGTGATAATCCACCTCGGCGCCAGAATATGACCGTAGCTCACAGCATTAGCAGACGCGGAACATGCTTGAGATCGGTTTCAACAATGCGCTTAAACGAGCCGCAGAGCTAGACGACTACTTTCGTGCACACAACAAGCTCATCGGCCCCTTGCACGGAATCCCCTTCACCCTGAAGGACCAGTTCCACATCAAGGGCCTCGAGACTTGCATGGCCTTTGTAGGGTGGATAGGCACTTTCGAGGGCAACAAGGGAACAGGAAAGGAGCGGGAATTCGAGAGCGAAATCATCAAAGAATTCCATCGACTCGGGGCGATACCGATTGGAAAGGCGAGTTGCGTCATTCTGCTAACCGATTGCCAGTATATATTCCAAGACTGACAAACGAAAAACGCAGACGTCTCTCGTCCAAAGCATCTGGGTGAGTTTTGCTTGGCCATCACCCACATCAAGTCCATTACTGATTCGTCAAGTCTCCCGAAACGAGTAACAACATCCTTGGTTATCTCTGGAGCCCGCACAATCAGCAGCTGTCATCTGGCGGATCTTCGGGAGGTGAGCAGAGCTGGCGAGATGCCGAGACAGCTGATTGCGATCCGAGATTGACTGACGCGAATCTTTTGAAACAGGGGAGGCTGTCATGCAGGCACTGAAGGGTAGTGCATTTGGCGTCGGGACGGACATTGGGGGTTCTGTTTCCATGCCTGCATCCTTCAACGGCGTTTTCAGTCTGAAGCCGTCTTCCGGCCGTATCTCTATGAAGGACGTGGCTAACACGGTAGGAAGCACAGGAATCGATTGGGTGTCACTTTCCCTCAAGCTAACGTGAATTCGGTATTTCTCAGGGTCCCGGCCAACAAATCATGCCGACAGTTGCAGGTATCATGGGCCGATCAGTCACCACACTTCGGCTCGTCTTGAAGTCTCTGCTTTCCACCGAGCCCTGGCTCCAGGATCCCTACGTCGTACCACTGCCGTGGAGAGAGCTTGAAGACTGTTGCCCCGGAAAGGGCTTAGCCAAGTCAAAACCAACATTTGGGTTCATGGAGAATGACGGCATTGTGATTCCCCACCCGCCAGTACAGCGAGCTCTTGGCTTAGTGAAGCGCGCCCTGCAAGAGGCTGGATACGAGGTGAGCACGAGAACCATTTTTCTCTTGCCCCTTAATCTGACGACTAGAAGCTAACAACTGTACACGTCATAACAAAGACGATCGACTGGGGCCCGCCATCAAACCTAGAAAGCCTCCAGATCCATGGCCACATCGCCCGTGGAGACGGATGTCCGGACGTGTGGAGGGCGCTGCAGCTGTCGGGTGAGCCCGAGGTGCCTCAGATCAGCGGTTTGTTCGAGCCCGATGGCCCGCGGGATCCCATGTCATTGCCCGAATACCAAGACGTCGTAGTCCACATGCGCGACTATCGGAACCGGTACCAAGAGTACTGGATGTCGACAGCTGGGCTAACAAAAACCGGCCGTCCCGTCGACGTGTTCATATCGCCCGTTACTGCGACAGCCGGGCTTCTGCCAGAGAAATTCTTCCATGCCGAATACACCAACTCGACAAACGTACTGGATTTTCCCACTGTCGTGATCCCAGTTACCTTTGTTGACAAGGACATTGATGTTGGCGATCCGAACTTCAAGCCCATTACCGAGACAGATGCGATAAACATGGCTGCGTGTAAGACAAACCCACCCCACCCCCCAGCCTTGACCGATGACCCACATCACCCAAGTGAGGTGACACGTTAGATGCAGTGATTTCTTGAGTCTTGACTAATCCCTTCTTATCAGATGACGCATCGGCGTACCACGGAGCGCCAGCCGCTGTGCAAGTCGTTGGGAGACGACTGAGCGAGGAAAAGGTACTCGCCATGGCCGAACTGGTGGTTGAAGCTTTGAGCTTGTGCAAAGCCAAGGGCCATGGGCCGTCATCGGTGGGATGATGGGATCCAATGTGAGAGAGGGCTAAGATCATGGGAGTCCCACGTGCCGTCTGCTTTCGACTTTGACGACTAGAGCTCAGGACGCCATTTCATCCCTAGCTAGACCCAATGAACTCATGACTTCGCCCAGGCTCGGTCTCTGCGCTCCAAACTGTTGATTTTGCCACTCAGGGCCATTGAGAAAGATTCGTGCCTGCTCCAGTTCGGACTTCCACCATTCTTGTGCAGTGCCGAGCACGGAATCTGCTATCTGTTGCGCGTCGGGTGACATGTGCATGTGTCCTTCGGGATACAGGAGGCTGCCCGCCCGTATCACCCGCCCGGGTCTGGGTTCCGTTGGTTCTTGCCACTGCGGAGCGTCTGCTGTGCAAGCCTTGATGATGTCGCGTATGCAGGCCGGCGTTTGGCGAAAACGGGGAAAGGAAATTTCCGGCTCAAGTGGGTAGGCATACGCCATACTGGGACACACGGTGCTGATGCCCTCAAACACGCAGTAGATGAATAATCCCAAGCAGTAAGCCATGGCCTTCTCCTGACTTTCTCGAGACAGCGAAAACCACGGGCGATTTTTGGACTGAACGTACGTCTCACCAGCAGTGGGAGGTCTTTGCCGCGTGTATGATGCGACGAGCTCGTCCCAGTCCTTGTTCGTAGTTCGATGGCGGTGGCTGCGAAGATTCTCTAGATATTGCGGGTACAAAATCTCGGGTGGGCACCACTCGTGCCAGTTACCACGCTGCTCGAAGTCGCACAAGACGGCGACCATGCCCGACTCTGCCGGCTCTGACAACAGGCCGCCAAGTGAGCCCAATAGAACATTGTCTGGGCGGAGGTCCGAGTAGAAGGTGCCTCCTTTCTCCTTGACGTGCATTAGCGCCGAGGCAACTTGCTCACACCAGCGAAGCTTAAGGGAGTCGCCGAGCGCCCCGCACCGGTCCCGAGCCGGGAGAAGGTCACGGAGAGAGCCGGCGGGAAGGTAGGGCACGAGAAATCCGAACACTCCTTGCTTTCCGCCAAAGCCGCACTTCTTGGTCACTACGGCTATGGGGCGCGGCATGATGTGCGGATGCGAGGGCGTGGTGAGGAGGAATTTGAGCTCGTGCAGCACATGATCAAAGCCATCGGTGCCCGATTTGAAGATGGCCGTCTGGCCGTGCAGCTCACGCCCACGGCCGGCAGAGACATTGCACCGCACGAGGGTGACGGTGTCGTGGAGCTGGCGGAAGGCGCTAAGACTGGCGATGTCAATGTCAGGGGGCCAGTCGTGGTCGGCGACTTGGCTGGCCCAGAGCTGCTTGAGTGCGGGCAGCGAGGTCGCCTTGGATTCTAGTTGGTAATTTGGCTCAACGACGAGATCGATGTCGGCCAAATTGCTCACGATGGCGTCAATGACGATTCTGGAGCCAAAGGGCAAGCGACGATATCGCTGCAGAAAGCCCGTGTCTTGGCTGCAGTGGCGGTCTAGGGCTTGGCAGATGTAGCGGGAGATGCCCAGGGCAGCAGTGGCTGGAGGGTGCTGCAGGGCAACTCCAGAAGCTGCGTCGAGCGTCTGACGGAGGGCGGGTGGATACTCGTCCTGATCGGGCACAAAGACGTCGATGCGCAGAGGCGGCAAGCCGTTGGACTCGAGCAAATCCAGAGGGAGCGCGAAGAAGCGCGTCTTGAAAGAAGCGGCGCCATCGACGCGCCAGCGCGAAGCTTGACATGTTCTGCCTGCGGGTGGTAGAGCGTTGACGCGATTCTTGGGATTTAGCGGTGAGGAGTCCCATGGCTCGGCCGTTGTGACGGCCCCACCTTTCCTCCTCGTCAACCGGCCCCGCAAATCTTCATGCTTGAAGACGAAGCTAGGACGCCATAGCGCATTGATGACCTCATGTCCCATTTCCATGGCCGCAACGATTGAATTGGATTGATTCAAGATCGACTGACTCCCTGGCCGTGGCTCTGTGATATTTTCAACCAGAGTAAGGTACATACAGTGCGGGGTACAGGCAGTTTGGATGACGGGGAGGAGCTGGCAAGTTCCCAACTCAGGTATGTACTGGTCCAAGTGCCGTAAATACAGGCCGGACTGCGGAGAGTGGGGGACGACGGAACGGGCAGGCACGATGGAGGCCTTTCGTGAAATATACCCAGCCACGCAGCATTTGTGAGCCTTGGCGTCAAGGAGCGACCCCAAGCGTCTCGGGTGGATACTGTCAGCATTCTAAACAAGATACCAAAAGGAATGTCGGTCCTGAACCAACTTGGGGAATTGCTTAGCTTGCCAGCCCGTCACTTGTCATTTCCTTCAGTCTCCATTTTTGGGCGAAACCCATTACCAAGCCAGCTTGAGCACCCCAACGCCTTACAGGGCTGAGGAGAATTGATACCTACTATGTGTACCCTGGGTGCCAGGGTGTGAGTAGACGGGACCAAAACCCCGCCCGCTTACGGGCCGGATGACTCGATGCTGAGCGCAGATTGCTAATCTCAATTGGTGGGGTAGACTGGTGCCCATTGGACACCCGTGGCAGTTCTCCGCGATTCTAGCTAGAAGGGCCGACCGAGCTTGCTGATTTTTGCCAGCCTCTGATGTAGATTTATCTCGTTAAAAATGTTACGATATGTGATGTACTGGTACAACATCCGTACAACTACGGTTACTAGTAGGTACCTTGGGCATATTAAGATTAGATAGCGTAAAGTGGTCCACTGCTGAGGCAGGGAGGTGACCTAAGGAGTTAATTAAGAGGTGCCTACCGAGATCTAGGTGGTAGTCCCACCGAAGGCTGCTGCACTGTGCACTGCCTCCCCCCTAACGACGTTGCGTCGAATGTCCCCTGCGGGTCTGCCTAGGACGTTGGACAGAGCACCTCAGCTGAACCTGGCGCGCGAGCCACGCACGGCTACGGATACCTTGGGATTAAAGCAAAGAAACCCCCGTATCGCGCGGGTTTGCAAACTGGTCAGCCAGATCACAGTCGCAAGTCTTTCCCCCCCAGACTGGATTTCTGACTTCTGCTAGTCATCAGACCCCTCCCATCCACCACATTGCCGGCGCGATTCCACCGCTGCCCTCGCTCTCTGCGTGATTGCCTCCACTTTCGTATGTCTTCCGAGCTCGTCCTAGACTGCACTGTACCACATTCGTGCTGGTACACAGGAGCAGACTCGGCCTCAGGTTGTTTTCGGCAAACCTGACTGGCCACCTTACCAGTACCTACTGAGGCAGTGTGCTGTAGCTGTCAGAGACTGTCAGACTGGCGTGTGCACTGCACTGCACTGCACTGCGCGGTACCCTTGCTTGCTCCTGCACACACACACACACACAAACACAGACTGTTTCTCTCTCTCAAGCTGGGGTAGATGGCCAACATGGATGCCGAACTCACGCACGGAACGCTGCTGGAAGCTGCCAACCTCTTGCACCTGCCCGTCGACTTGTTGGTTGAGCGCCTCGGCCTCGCCCCCGACAACCTGTTCACGCCATCAAACACGTTGTCGCGAGACCTGAGAGCGGCAGCGCCCCTCTGGCCCCCGACGGTTGGCGCTGACTCCTGGCCGCCCTACTCGGACCACGGGCGCTCTGCTCGTCATCTTCTTCAAGTCGGTGGGTCTGGGCCTGGGCCTGTGCCTGGGCCTGGGTCTGAGCATGGCTCTCTCGTTAGCCTCGCGTCCTGGGGCCAAAATGCTTTGGAAGCTTCCCGAGCCAAACCGGCTCCGCTTTCTCCCAGCCATGGTGCCCTCTCGTCTAGCGTCTCGTGTGCTTCCGTCCCGTATCAAACCGTCTTTGATCAAGCGGCCGACATCTTCGTTGCCCTTCCCTACCCAGGCACGCCTGCAACATCCGTCTCCTACGCGAGCGGAACCAAGACCGAAGCTTCTTTCCCCGCTGCTGCTCTCGGTTCGGGTCCTCTTCCCGCCGCCCCTGCTGTTTCGCCCAGTCCCAGCGAGGCGGCGTCCCTCCCAGCGCCCAAAGTGAGTGAGCCCGACGACCAGGCTGCAAGTCACGCAAATCCTCATTCCAAAGATGCCGACAACGACGAGTTTGCCATTACCTCCCAAGAGGTTGAGGAGGCTACGGCAAATGCGCCTCTTCTAGGGCCCTGCAGTAGGGTGTGGACGCTCCCACCGGTACGTTGTGGCTCTGCCACTCACTTGCATGCTGTATCATGCTGGAGTAGAGCGACTGATGCCCATGTGTCCCTAGAGGATTCGTCGCAAGACCAAGGCCAAGCCCAACGATGCAGCTAAGTCAAAGCAAAAGCGTGATGCCTGCGCCGTGGCCAAGGACGGACCTAAGCGTCGAGGGGCCTACACGGACGAGACCAAGAAGCGTAACACGGCCTTGACCAGGGTCCTGAAGTCGTGCATCAGATGCAGGATGAACAGAGGCCGCGTACGTGACCATCCCTTCGCCGCCTGTCTGGGTGCCTCAGTATGGCCTGGCTTCCAGTACTGACACGACTCTACCAGTGCAATCCAGACCCAAGCGACCCGTACGGCCCATGTCTCACTTGCAAGCACATCACCGGCCCTACCCTTTGCAAAATGCCGTGCTACCGATACATCGTCACCGACGCTTCTTTGTACAGAGAGCAACAGGCACCCTACCAGCTCTTCTCTAAGCGATGGCAGACGATGGATATTGTCGATATCCCCGCCAATGGATGGGCGTCGTCGGATATTCGGACCATTGTCGTGTCCCCCAACCACCTCGATGCACCCTTTGCAATTCGCGTCCGCGAGTTCATCCCGGTCGAGGGCGATCTGCTCGAGGAGCAATGGATGACTCAAAACGGCATGCAGAGAGTTGCCATTCCCAGATACGCCGTGGCTTCAATGCAGGAGGCTGCCGCCGATATGACGGATTACATTGAGAGGAACATCCATAACTTCATCTCCGTGACCATTGGGAATCTCGACCACCTTATCTGGGAAACGTACATGACAGCGTTTCGTCATATCGGTACCGCTGCGGTACGTGTGCCCTTTACCGATAACACCCCGGAAATAAGAGGCGCCGCTGATGTTTAATCTCGCTCACTTCAGACCCCCGACGAGCGCAGTCTATTGACCAACACCTTCAGGTTGTGGGTGACTTGCCGTCTGATCAGCAATCCCGTCCATATTTGCGGCGAGGACAAACTCGGAGGGCAGCCAGTGTACTCTCCCGAGAGTCTCCACCACGGCAAGGTCCCTATGCCACTTATCATGACGGCTCAGTTTGAATGCATCAACTACACAACCTTTCTTAGACCTTGGAGCAGGGCGTTGCTCAAGCAGCTGAATGAGCTGGTCTTGGCCAAGAAACGCGAATACTGGCTCACCATCTATCTCGTGCTGTTTATTCTCCTACACAGCTGTGCCATGACAACTCGACGAGACGAAGACTCGGCCCGCCAGTGGAACGTCGAGGTATGAAAGTCATTAGTTCGTTGTCGCAATTGGGTCTTGGACCTTAACACTCTGGCACAGGGAAAATACGCAAACCCCGCTAGCATCAAGGCTCACCATACAGGAGCCCAAACGATGCTCGCGCATTTCCATTTTATTAACAAAGGGGTGATGCCTTTCTCACTACCCCACACCCCCGGTGGCAGAGAAGAGCTTTCCAGGGCCGCTAATCTTGACAAGAGCCAGCTGGACTTTGTTTGGCGGACATCCGATATGATCAAGGACGCAGAAATAGGTGCGTCTCTCTTCGCACCCCGCAATGACCGTCCAAGACGGCGCTAACCGAGGCGTTCAGCTTCGAAAATGAGGGCTGCTCGTGAGAGGGACGACAAGGGTGATGATTTGTATTGGATATCGATGCTTTATGATAAACATTGGGAGCCGGTGAAAAATGACTAATTGACAGGCCTGAAGAGCCCGTCGGGCACATTGCATGCCTCTAACACTGAGTTTACGAAGTAATCAACCAAACAGAAGCAGAAGATACTCGTAATAAGCAATGAGTTAATATACTCACCAATAATATCAAGTGATAATTACGGCTATGATTTACGTAGAACGTCGCTGAATGTGTTTCATCTTCTCAATGCGGCACGCGAAAGAGGCTGCTAAGCAAAAAAGAATTCGTTTGAGCGCAAATTAACTATGAGTACGAATAGAGGTAATAAGCACGTAGGTACGTGAGTAACTGGGATACGTGAGAAAATGAATAGAAGGGCGTGATACTACATCACTTGAGCCTGCACTTGGGGTGAGGTGGCAATTTAAATTTTCCGTTGCGTTAGTTCGCTTACGACAAGAATCTGGCTTAACCGTGAGGTACAAATGTTTAACAAAAACACAACGGCAGACATTGAAGCAAAGCAATCCAAAAATACTGCAATCGTGGAAGGTTTTCAACCACTGCAGCACATATCAATATATGAAAACACAGCCAAAAAAAACACAGCCAAGGAACATAGAAGGGAGAGAAAGAGCACAGAATAATCAGAAACCGGCTAACACACTATGGGAACCCAGAATATCAAGCGAAAAGTGCACGATGGCTTCACCGTCTCAGTCGCACGAACCTCCAACACGCATGATGCGACCATTGTCCGGGTTCCGGATGGGCTCAACATCCCAGTGCTCATCACGGCCCTCGTCATCATCGAAAATTCTCGCCCAGGCTAGACGGAGCGGGGTAGGGAGGGCCCAGCAGGCGCCCTCATCGTTGTGAAGCCAGATGCGAACGAGATGGCGGGCGGAGCTGCCAGGGTGGTTCTCAAAGGCCTCGCGGCGGTGCAGCAGGGCCATGTTGTTGATGAAGCGAATGTCGCCGCGCTCCATGCGGGGCTTAATCTCGTGCTTCCGGGCAATGAAGTGCACGGCGTCGAGGGCCTCGGCCTGGGCCTCGGTGAGGCCTGGCACGCCAGCGGACCGCGGCTGGAAGGGCGCGTGTCCGACGAGGAGCCGGCGCGAAAAGGAAGTGATGAGCTTGCCCTCGTAAAAGTACTGCAACGCACGGCGGTAATAAGGCGGCTCGCGGCCGTAGGTATCGAAGGGCCAGTCTGGAGCGGCGAGAGTGTGAATCAGGTCGGGCCGTGTGGCTGCCAGCTCATTGTAGACGGTCCAGGCTGACGCCAGCACGCTGAGTCCTCCAGACGACGCCAGCTCTTGGGTGAACAAGCAGAGCGTGTCGGTCACCGTGTCGGTGTGGAACGGCTTGTCCTCCGAGTATTGGACATCAAAGTCGCCGTCCTCGTCTTCCGACTCGCCGCCGCGTTTGATGACATGGATGAGCATCGAGCCACGCTGGTCCTGGCGGCCCCGCCGCCCAGCCACGTAGCTAGAGATGCCAAGATAAACGATGGTCAGGTCGGCCACGTCGTAGTCGTCTGGATTGAGCCCACGGACTACCGCGAAGCCCTTGCCGTCGTAGATGTCGTGGCAGATGGCGTCGAGGCGCTTTCCAAGGTTGGGGAGCGGAAACACGGCCTTGGTCACCTTCTGGCCATCAAGCCCGAGTGCCTTGAACGATTCCAGCGCCTTGAGAAGCTCGGACTTGTCATCGGCCGTGAGGTTGTACACATACTCGGTCTCGTCTTGCTTGAAGCTGTCCGAGGTCCACACGAGGGGGCCCTTCAGCTCCGTTGGCCACCCCGCCGGCACCGATGTAGGTAGGCCGCCTGCCTTGACTCGGGCCTCGGCACGGGCACGGTACTTGGCCTCGTCGACTTCGTAGCCAATATCAGCAAACGCCGTTCCGCTGCCGCTCGCTGCTGCTGCGACCTTGGCCTGCTCGGCTCGGACTCCATCAATCTGGAAACGAGCCCGTAGACCTTGCGAGTAGTACGGCTCCGGGGCACCCGAGGATGACTTATTGGAGGTGGAGGCCATTGCTGAATCCTGTTTCGTGATTGGCGTAGGTCGAGCTTATGAACGGAACGACCGAGAGAAAAGCCGTGATATGGAGAGTGTAACGAGGCAAGGTAAGCAAATATTACCAGGTCTTGAACGCTGTACTTATTGTTACAATGCGGTATGTGCATTGGAGTTTTGAAGAGAACCGTGAGCCTTTATATACCTCGCAGAGATGCTCACTAGGCATCGCTTAACCGCGGTATAAAGGCGAGTAATTGCTTTGCAGCTAGGTAGTTGTGCTCAGGGGCGTCTAAGACTTCGGCTCCACGAGAGCCATGACGTTGAATACACATACATATCTACACGCACTCAGCCACATGCATTCACCGAAGCTCCCAGATTGCTGGAACGCCCGCTGCTTGGTCCTACTCTGGAACTAGCGGCTGGAGCAGGGATTCGACGTCCCATGGACCGTCTAGTCAAGCACCGTCACTAATCGCGTATGTATGAACCTGCAAGGTAAGCAGCCTAGTTTGTAAATAGCGTAGCTCCGGTATGGTTCCTAGTGTGCAAGACGAGCCACTAATTCGGTAGGTACATGTCTCCCAGCTTCATCTGGGTGGGCAGCTAAGTACCTTGGGCACCCGACGCAGGCAATTAATGAGTCGAGGGCGGTACGGGTCTCAGCCCCATTTCGATCCCAACAAGATCTTGGGCTAGTGCCGCGTGAGCGTCGCATCGCGGCGGCCAGCAAATAGCATGCCGTCCAGACAGGTGGCCGTTTCGCTGGGTCGAGAGTTGGTCCAATGGCAGGGCCGCATTGGCTGTCATCGGCTCGGGAAAACAGTGCAAGAGCGGGGACTTTTGCTGCAGAAGCGTTGGCGTTTTGGGGCGCACCAGGTGCGCGAAGCGGTGGTTCCGCGGTTCCCTTGCACCCGTTCGGCGAATTGGCTGTTTGGGGAAAGCGGCTTGCTTACTTGATCCAGGCTACGCGCCGATGACGAGGGGCCCAGTCCGAGGGAATGAATGCCTTGCAGATTTACGGCATAGGCGGCCTGATGTTGGACGGTACCTTACCCTGGTTTCCCTTGGCTTCTCGGTCAGATGGGACAATACAACGAGCGGGTTAAGCTGTTACGACAGTGGAGGGAGCCTTGGGACTTTGGCGCGTCGTGCGCAGCTGCGGCGTGCCCCATCCCGGGCTTGGTGAGATTTCCGACTCCCGCTAGCGAGTAAGAATTTAGCGATGCATGGCTGACCGGTCTGTGGTTGGCTGCCTTGTGGCCGATCTCTGGCCAAGACCGCCATAAGTTACGCGCACCCATCCCGTCGTAACCAATCTGATTTCTCCCGTCCCGCTGATTAACTCGAACCAAGCTAGATGATTATGTAGTCATCATGCTATATTACTGAGCCATCAACCGCTGAAATCAGAAGCTTCATATTGACGTTCCCGACCGAACGGTTCGGAATGTGGGCGCTTATTTTTGTCGCGACTACGGAGCACAGTGGTGTGGGTCTGTGGATGGCTACATGAGAAGCTACAAACCTTGTGTCGGTGCCTAATTATCAGTTTTAAAACAAGGTCGAGATCTCGGAGGTCGAGGTCTCGGAGGTCTATTGTCTCTAGCCCCCATGATAAGGTCACGTGCCCCTTGCCTAACTTGTGATCTTGCGCCCTGAGAATGACGAGAGAATGACGAATGATTAAAATGCTCGACAATACAGGTAACGTTAACCGGTTATTATTAATAATTTGCAGCAACCGAGACTACGTGGAAAACATCGTTTTAACAAGATATCAAGGACCAGAACTAACGACGACAACTTTAGAGGTGCTTTGCTAAGCCCTGCTTCTTGTTTTTGGATTTCCTTGCCAACAGTTCTTCTCTCAAGAGCCAGCCTAGTCCGACAGTAGTCCCGGGGCCGAGTGTAGTAGTACAGATAATGGTGCCAAGCAGGACCAGGGGCCAGCCATATGGCCCTAGACGATCGAGGTCGTTAATAAGGTAGGCAAGCCATAGAAGGCTAGACCCAAACACAAAAACCTCGTCCCAGGAAAGGAATTGCCGGCAAAAGGCCGTAAAGTCCGGTAAGGTAAAGCGTGGAATGGCCGTGGGGATAAAAATGGGTGCAATCCCCGTTAGACTGCCATGCGTTGTCCAGAGCCACACTGTCGCACCCAGCCCAGACAAGCAGGCAATGCAGAGACGGGTGGCTGCCGTGCTTGAAAGTCTGATGGGCGACTCAGGAAGAACCAATGACGCTACAGCATATGTGACGGCCATATAGAGAGGATAGAGCTGCCAAAGGAACAGCCACGCTTGCCTCGTGTCGGGTCTGGGCCAAAAGAACATTGCTGAAGCCGGAAAAGAAAATGCGACAACGACGGCAGAGAAAGCAGCTAGTACCTGGCGCTGATTCGCGGTGGACGGAATGCGGACGGCGGCTGGAGAAAAGACGTAGTGAAGAAAGTAGTAGAACGGACAGACGACGCCCATGCCTAGAAGCTGGCCCGCAAGAGCAAACGCCCCTGGGCTAAAGACGCCCCATAATGTCAGCCAAGTCATCAATTATTAGCCAACATAGATAAGGCTCTCGACAGGACAACCTACACTCGCAAAAACCACAGAGCCTCCTTGCTGCGGAGAGACTCAATCAACCAGACAGCCAGCAAGACGCCAGCATCAGAGAGAAACGATAAAGCTTGGGCGTGGGCGGCATGATCGTAACCGTAAATTGACGGCACAAAGAACATATTCATAACGGAGAGTCTTTAAAGAGGCACGTCAGGACGATGGCCACTGAGGAGGGGCCGAGGGAAGCCGGATGTCTGGGCAATGACGCACAAGTCATCAAGCCACTTCACGCCGTAAAACGAGGTCCGAACTGGAACGGCGCCATCGGCCCAAATAATCTCCCCGCCTTGTAAGATGTCGCGGGCCGGTGGGAGCGCGGAGCGTGCGTCCATAATGACAAATGCAAGAATGGAAAGTCCCAGCAGTGGCATCGCGACAAATGCTCTCTCGGCCCTGCCATTTCTTCTCGCGCCCTTCGGTAGATGCAGCAGTCTTCGGAGCTGAGAAAAAAGCCAATCGACCCCGGTGGGTAGGCTACTGTCTGTGGGTTCAATCATCGCAGATTGAAAAGATACATGGGCATGTATTTCTTTTTTGAGAGCGCGCCGTGGGAATTGCCGTGGTGCAGTTTAGTGGATGCACGGGGGAGAACTCAGGAGGGATGGTCTCGGTATTTAAATGAGCTCGCCCGCACAGACAGGGGGTCCTGCAAGAATATGACGCAAACACCAGGCACCCATGCTGTTGATGCTAAAATTCCTAGGGCGGACTCGACGGAGCTTACCACTGTGACGTGGCTGGTATGAATTGGCACCAATGGCTCAAGGTCGTGTTGGGAATTTGGATTTCTTCGACCATCTGAGCCAATCAAGGCGTCGTGGCTTTTGCGGCATCAGCTTGGGCGTGCCCGACGTGGCATGCTAGAGCAAGGGTTCTGCCAAAACGCTAATGCGCCGCTTGTGGCCAGCCTGCAGACGCGATTATGCACGTGTGGGTTAATACTTAGGTGGCTCCCAAGGCTTACTCCAACTTGAACGTATTATGGCCAAGAGTGAACGACTTGTAGCACCAATAGCCTCTTTCACAACTCATCAAATAAGGGAGCACCCTCTTCGGCCATTGACTGCGTGGCCACTGACTGCGCGGCCATTGACTACGAGCCCAGTGCCCGCAAAAATAGTTAAGCAGGAAGGAATCATTAACCAAAGTTGGCAGAAGAGGACAAACACAACGATAATTAAAGTCAATTTAGAAGATGGAACTAAGGAATTAAGCTTAGTGTCAAACGATCCATCTCGAGGATGACGTTTCCCAATTCCAACTCTGATACCCAAACTTGCTATAGCTCACCCACTAGACATGAGCTGACAACTTTTAGACAACAGTTTCCTTGACCTCGGCGGACGGATACTTGTGTTCGGGGCCGTTGGCGTCGAAATTTTCGTGCCGAATGGCCTTCTGGACCGCGGCGACGGCCTGATCGGCCAGCGCCTTGTCCTCGAACACTAGTTGTGCCGCGTTAGTCTCGATGCGAATAATGAACAAGGACATTGGGGAGATGAAGACAATGGGGAGATGAAGACAATGGGGAGATGAAGACAATAGGGAGATGAACTTACTAAAAGCCAGCTCTTCGAGCGTTCTGCCAAACGTCTCGGGAAAGAAAAAGTAGACGAAAACAACCTCATAAGCGAGCCAGACGCAGTACGAGATGAGGTATTTCCAGCCAACGTCTTTGAGGCCGATGGGGTTGACAAAGGTGGTGAAGAAGCTCGCAAGACGGCCGAACAGCTGGAACACGGCAATGCCACGGGACCGCTCGGCATAGGGCCAAACCTCGACCATGTAAGCTGTGACAGGGTTGTCAGCGCGAGCGCTTGCTCAAGGGGCGTGGGAGTTCGACTCACTATAGGTCAGGGCATTGTAACCCATGTTGTAGCATGGAGAGTAGGCGTAGATGAAAAAGAGGACGGCAATGTTTGCGGCTTGGTTGGGTGCCTTCGCGATAGAGGCCGTCTGGGCGTATTTCATCGAGATCGTCCAGGAAATGTAGCACAAGAGCAAGCTGATGGTGCAGGCCATGTACATGACGCGGCGACGGATCTTGAGAACTAGGAGAGATACCGTCACGCCGCACACCAAACTCCAGCAAGCGATGGAGACGTTGATCTTCTGAACCGAGGTGGACTCGACCATGCCGATCATCTTGAGGAGATCGCCCAAAAAGTACCTGTGCACTGGTCAGCAGCCGTCTACGGGTCGACCGATGAGCAAGATGAACGGCCCAACGTACGAGATGAGCGTGTTGCCGGACCACTGGGTGAAGAGGCCGAGCATGGTGGTGATGAGAAGACGGCGTCTCATTCCCGCGGTTTGGAACAAGTCCATCCACGAACGCTTCGAGATTTCGAGCTCTAGGTTGATTGTGGCATTCATCTGCGCAAACTCGGCCTCGACAAACTCGACGGCATTATCGCCCTCTCCGTGATACTTGAGCAGAATCTGGTGTGCTTCCTCGCCGCGATCTTTGGTGATTAGCCAGCGAGGGCTTTCCGGCAGGAACCTGGGAGAGCGGCATTAGCTTGCAAGTCATGGTATTACGGCTCGTGGAATGCGGGTAGGACGTACAAGACAAAGGTCATCTGAAGAATTGACGGGCAAATCTGGAGGAGCGAGGGAATACGCCAGGCCCAGTCACTGTCGATGCTGTTGGTGCCGAAGCAGATGGCGGCGGCAACGATTTGGCCGACAAAGTATGACACGTTGAAGAGCGATGTCAGGACAGGGCGCTCCTTTGGGTATGCAAGCTCGCCAATGAGCGAGGACCCGGACACGATGCAGGTCGGGATGCCGAAGCCCAAAATCATGCGAGCAATGATGTACATGCCCACTTATTGGTAGATTTTCAGTCAGTAATTACAGGGGAATGGGCGTCGTCGTCCCGCAGTGATAACTAACCGTGGGTCGAGAAGCCTTGGATGAGCGCGCCGATCACCATGACGACGGAGCCGCCGAAAATGGACCACCGTCGGCCAAACCGATCGTTGATTTTAGGGACGAAGGGGAGCGAGAGAATGGCGCCGAGCGAGTATGCGGCCGCAATGATTCCCTTGAGAGCTCCCTGGGGGTCCCCAAAGACTAATCGAGGACGAAGAGGCAAGAGGTCAGCGTGTGTCTTTGCTCGGCGGCCGATAGTGGCATGACACTTACACTTGACCCACCAAGGCACAATCTGCAGAGCATTGATCATTTGGGAGTCGAAGCCCGACGTCAGCTCGATTCCCATGCATGTCGGGAAGAGCATCAGGTAGAGGTAGAGCAGATGCGGCTTCCGGTAGAAGGGCACCTTGTCTTCGTTGGCAAGCCGGGTGACGATGGGGTCGGACTTGCCGCTGTCGGCGGCAGCACCTGCTCCTGCCATGGTGGTTGCCGGTGTGTCGCGGCGAGCTGCGATGGGATGTGATGCTCTCAACTCGACCTCAGGCTGGAGGAGGCAAGGCAAGGGAAGCCGGATGGGTTGGGAGACAGGTCACCAGAGCTGAGGAAGACAGCAAAAGTCAACAACAACCCGGGGAAGAGCCCCCTATTAATTTGGCCGCCTGTGCGGGTTCAATTTACCGTGCAGCAGGATCCAAGACATCGGGATACCCACTTTCCCCAGTCCCTGGGTCGGATTACTAGCCATCTCCACGGCGGGGGAGGTAGAATCACGGCCTGTGATGGCCGGTCTTGGCGAAGCGGACGGGCCCAGTGGGGAAGGTACCTCGTCCGAGATGGAGAAAACGGGCACAACATGGCCCGCCTGGCACTGGGAGCCCATAACCCAGATCGAGCTGGCCTTCGGGCCCGAGAGCACTTTCCACCGACTTGAAGCCAGCCAACCGCAGGCGGGGAACAGGTGGTTGGAGTTACAAGCCAGAGTCGCAATCCCATGTCCCGAGCCTTGGCGTCGCCTGTCAACTGTAGCTTGGACCCATAGGATTGGACGGCGTGAGGGGTAGCGACGTTCGCCTCCGGCTAAATGCAATGCTTGAGCGGCAACTTTACCCTCTTGTTCCGCTAGCGGCCTGTTGCCTCCCGTCTGTTTCCAAGTTTGCCTGCACAAGAACCCCAGCCCCCAGCGTCACCGCGGCAAAACTGGAGAGAAATCTCTGCCAGATCCTTAGCGGCGCTGGCGGCAACTCTTTGATATTCGGCCCGTGGGAGTATTGGCCACTCCAGTGTCCAGTAGCAGGCAAGCGTGGGATTCCCCTCGGCCCCGGAATCCAACACGAGGAGGGAGGAACCTTCCCCCACGGGGTCACAGAATCCGGGGGGTGATGCCGCGTCGTTGCGTCACGCGCAATTAGCAGCTGGTAATCTATATATGGAGCCGCTACCTGCGGTTAATCTATTCGAGATTGCTCGCTAGCGAAGTCTGGGCAAAAAACCTGGTCGCTGGGACCAAGAAATCGAGAGCCCTCGGTCTGGTCGGTGAAGGTGCATGAGCCTCGGTGGCAGCCTGCGCCAACACAAGCATTTTTTTTTTTTTTTTTTTTTTGCATGCTTGCCACTCAGTCGGTAAAGTAGCATTGCTTTGCTGTAACCAAACAACGTGCGAAGTGGCCATGAAGCAAACACGAGAGCGAGCCAAGCTGCTGCCGTGATTGACTGGCGCAAGCTCTGACAATTACCCGTCAAATAATTAGGCGAGTGAGTGTCGGGAGCCATCGTCGCGATTGTTTGCCCGGCCAAGACGAAGGAGCATGAGTATAATCAATCGCCCCCGTATCGAGGAGAGCCTTATACGACCATTGGCACTAGAATGGTGTGCAGTGGTCTGGCATGGAGTGGTCTGGACTGATCCCCGAGATGATAATGGAGCTTGGCAGCAGCACTGTCGACTTTAGCCATCATCGGAGCATGCCAGGATGTGGCGCCAAGTCCATCCAGCTCTGGGCACTATTTGTTTTACATTGCTCTCATTTGAAGCCATTGAGGGGATTTACCTCTCCGGTAGGCGTGGCGGAGGTCCGACGTCTGGATTAAAGCAACCGCGCATTTGACGAGGAAACTCGATATCCGGTGGTGGCTTGGCATGACAGAGCACCACGCCAGCTTTTTTACGAGGGCTTTATGTCACAGGCTGAATGTGGGCTGATGTAGGTTTGTGTTTCCTCGATGATGCTTGTTATGAAATGAAGAAATCGAGAGTGCCAGGACCAACACATTTAGCGGATAGTAGTCGCCTGTCGATCAGCTGAACGATCATCCGGTTCCAACCAAAGACTTCGGGGTCTGGCTGATCCGGCCACAATACCAAGCCCGAGTCACAGCTCATGAGAAAATAATGAAACAAATCCTAAACATCCCCCATAGTCGTTAATATCACATCAGGACTGGCGTAAAGCTGAAACAGTAAGTTCACCACCCTAAAATCGACACCATGAATTTCCCTTTCCTTCTTCGGAACTGAGCAGTTGCCGCCTTGGCCTGAGCCAGACTGAACCAGATTGAGCGAGGGGGTCATAGTCCTGGGCTGCCTCGGCTACAGCTGCCACGGGTCTAAAATGGCGGTGGAGTTACGAGGACCCAGTTTTGGGACCTCTACCACCACCACCTAGCCGCGCTTTCCTTCACTCCAACTAAAGGAAAAGAAAAAACCTGGAATTTCAATACGTCGATACATCATGTATATTAAATTCGGATTCCAAAAGTGTGGCTCTCCACCTTTTCTAGCGTCTAAAGCGGTTGCGCCTAGGTTGTTGTCCATTTTTCGGAACAACTTATCATTAACACTTCTTTCACCAAGCGTAATAATACACTGTATAATAAGCTCTAAGAATGATTATATATTTCTATAATCAATGCTATAGAAAGCGGGCAAGTTAAGGCCTAACTCTCGGACTGCGGTTAGAAACTGCTGAGGTGACAGTACCCTAATGGCCCGAATCATGGACCACGGTCCCGAATTTTGGCCTAGAATATACCAGTACATACCCTAGGATAGCATATGATATCCTAGCTCGGAATTTAGGATGGTGGGTAGTACCCTAGCTTGGAATCTGGGATAGTACATAATATACCAGTACTGATTGCACGGTATATAGTTGTGACCAGGGGCTGCCACAGGCACTGTGGGAGTGGCTTGGAACAGTATGTGGCCCTGTGGGCGCTGAAAAATTTGATTCTGGATCACAATAATTGACTATGGCCTCGAAGGTCCTTGCCCTTCTCAATCACAGGCCATGTGCGTCTATCTAAATACAGAGGTCCTCCTGGGACCGAAGTTCTCGGTCATTCCGAGTGAGACTGAGCGACTGCGAGGATACCATCTGAACCATACATAAAGGATAATAAAAGAAGAAGGCTCCATCTAGGAGCCAGAACCACAGAAGAATACAGACAATACAGTTACGCAGTTACAGCCCCATCAATTCCTCCCTTCATCGAATCTAGTGTACCGTGCGTCTGGCACTTAGTATGCTAGCATAGTTTTAAGGATAGTATACCATGTACCGGTTTATGACCCTGATACAGTATACAATGTATCAGGGCATTGCATATACCAGTACATATATACTAGTCTAAGGATAAGGTAGCCTAACACAGGGCTGGAAAATATCGCAATCAAAATGCCTTAAACATCAGCAACGTGAATAGTTAACATCGTTAACGCCGATTACACCTTTACCGCTGAGCTACAAGATAAGGGAGCTAACGGCTTTGTCCTAGCCGCTAACCAGATCATCCCCTTTAGACAGGAGACGTATGCTGGTGTCTGTTACCTGTTCCTCAAAATGAAGTAAACTGGGAGACAGGCTCTGTAATTAAATGATGATGATAATCGATCTTCACTTTCAAGAACATAATATGACTGCTGCTGCTACACTTCGACTTCCAGAAAGTGGCTACTCTGTTGTGATCCTTCCTCACGGTAGAGAAATGTCCGAAGTTTTTTAATGGCGCCGGGTCAAATACAAGCACAACATTCTTAGAGTGATATACTAACGCACAAGGGGATTGGCGGAGGCCACCCTAGATTTTAATACTGAACCCCCGGCCGCAATGCTATTATTATTTCTGATGGAAATGGAAGTTTGGGGAATTGTATCTATCTTGGCACCAAACTTGCGTGAGGAATTACGAGGATGGCTGTCTACTGGCGCATCACGTGCAGACTTGGTCGGAGTGTGTGGGCTTCAACATTTGGTTCGCCGGGACACTGCCAAAGTGCGGGGTTTATCCTCGACCACCGCCTCACTTGATACGCCTCACATTTCATATTGCTGTTTCAATTCTCTCAAAGAAGCTGTCAGATGGAATGGCCTAGAAGGTTCTGGATTCGTGCAATGCGCACAGGGGCACGCCTACCAGCTACACTTTGGCCAGAAATAGCCAGAGCTGCAGTTTACCTACAAAACCGAATTCCACGGTATATCTATAACTGGAAAACCCCATACGATCGATTCCATACACATCTAGCCCACAAAGACGGCATTGTAGTTGAAGACAAGAAGCCAGATCAAACCCACCTTCGAGCCTACGGTTGCAAGGCCTTTGCCATGACAGCAAACGCCATGAAGAAGTCTAACCGGCTTCAACGAACTAACCCAAAGACTTGGATTGGATACCTAGTGGGATACAGTTCATCCAACATCTATAGGATCTGGAATCCTATAGCCAACAAGGTATTCAATACAAGAGACGTGGATTTTAACGAGGACGAGATCTTCAATGGCAACTTAGAGGGTCTGAAAGACAATCTTCTTCACGTACGACTAGACGAGCTTAGCCACCTTCTTACAGCAACAGAGACTGTAGTGCCAGAAGATGACATACAGCCCTCTGTATTACAAGAGGATGAGGGGGTCATTTTTATTCCCGATGACGAAGACCAGCCTATGGAAGACCAAGTGCAAGATCAAGAGTCACATCAAGAGTTTGTGATGCCTGATTGAGCGAGGGAGCGCCAAGACAAGGTCATATGACCGGCACGTGTAATTTAAGTACATAGGTACATAGGGAAGCGGGGCTTACCCTGACGCGGTTAGACCGCGTCTGCCCCACCAAAGGACCACATTAAGGTCCTCGGCAGGGCAGTGCTCCCGAGCTTCCTCCCTCGATCATCAATTTACCTACCTTTTCACGAATAGCCTACCGCATTCCGTGATCTAGGTGACGATCACCCTTCAGTTTGGTTATACGTGTGCACGCTTTGCACCGTATCCTACACCCTCTCTTTCACCAGCAGCACTATTGGCAGCATCAATCCGACAAATCGATAATATCCCACCTTCAAAAACAAGCCAATCAGACGCCAAACCTTGGATGGCAGCCTTTGCTGCAGGGCGGCTAGTACAGGCAGTTAACCACAATGGAAAAACAATTACGAAGGCTACGATACAACGATTGTCAAAACAACCAGGTGGTTTACAAAGAATCTATCGTCGAGATCTACCACCAGTGCCAAAGTCACATAATCAGTTATACACACACGTGCTTAGAGAACAGTTCTTGCAAGCTGAAAAAGATCACTTGCAAAGTCATGCAGAAATGCAGTCGTGGATATAAGTGGCCAAACAAGGCCAAGAAATCCTAGACTGTATGTGGGTGTATGTATATAAGTACGACAAGCACGGCCGTTTTCAGAAATGCAAGGCAAGACTAGTCGTTAGAGGAGATCAACAAAGACGATCACTCGAAGAAGAAACCTACGCAGCCACCCTCGCCGGTCGATCCTTTCGAACACTTATGGCGATTGCGGCTAGGTTCGATCTCGAGCTCATCCAGCACGACGCAATCAACGCATTTGTCAATGCTCGGCTAGAAAACGACATCTTCATGAGGATGCCACCTGGATACCGGAAGCCAGGTACCATCCTGAAGCTGACAAGGCATTA